GGTGCAAGCAGACAAGAAATCTCCGAGCTGGCTTGCCGTGACTGGTACCGTTGATAGGTTCTTCATGCACGATGGCATCATTCGAAATGCACGGTGCTGTCCGTGCCATTCTGCCACATCGGAGCACCCATGCCTATAATACGGGTAGTAGGTTGTTTTGCCATCGCCTGTGGCTCCATGAAGCTGAGGTAACCGTCTAAGTTTGGAACTTCTTCTACGGAGTACGCACTAGCAACTTGCGCAGCTAGTTGATAATTTGGTCAAGGACCGCCATCAGATAGCGGATTTTAGTCCCTAGTCCCAGACAGAGCGCACGCACTAGGGAGCACGCCATTCGAGTGACAAGGGTCATCATAGGTGGACATTATTAGCAGAAACTAGAAAGAGTGGTAAACAGGATGTTGCATTAACAGCGGATCCACTGGATGCACTAATTATCGGACCGGCGAGATAAAAGTTGCCGATTGACTGAGAGCTTTGTGATCAGTTGTAATCACGATGATATTCGGCGTCAGTACGGGGCTCACTTTCTTCTATATCTCTGATCCGTCCCACCGACAGGGCTACAAGCCAGACCCATTCCCAACCACCTGTCGCGTCACTTATCGTGCACATCGCCGTCGCAGCTTGAGACTAGGAGAGCTCCTACGGCCTCTCGAGTAGCGTTCCCACATTCAGTGGAGACAGAACGTCTAACCGCTGCAGGATTCGTAACATCGCCCACAGAAGTACGGGTACCAACAAAGCTAACTATGCGAGCCCAGACGCCGGCGCAGGACCCGGGCCACCACCCATCCACCACGGCTACTCGAGAAATTAACCCGTTCCTGGTGCCTCCGCATGGACATTCTGAGAGGAAGAGACCTCGCTACTCCGGAAATGGTTGACGTTCGACCCCCGTCGTACGGTTACTGCGGTAGCTTCGAATAATAGGACTGTTCTTACCCGGTTTTTCATCTTCGCCCTGAACAAGTGGATCCTGCTGCGGCTGAGCCTTGACGATCCCGCCGCTAAACCAGGAGGTTTGGGTGTGAGATATAATTGGAATTCTGAGTTTTGCGTTGCTTGTACTCTGTACTAACTGGTTAGTACTTGGCTGGGGGTATGCGGAATTGTTTCAACCGAGTACTCCCTATGCGAAAGGTTGGCCTCAAATTCTCGCCGTTTAACCTATTGAAGTATGGGACTGGTGTTATGTTTGCGACTGTCGGAACAGATGGAGACCTGCCAGCGCCACGGCCCGCAGTGCAGAAACAACCTAGGTAAGTGGGAAATAACACTCCATATGAAAATGACGCACAAGCCCATCCCTGGTCCCTGCAGGCCGAGTTGAAGACGGAGGCAAAATGGAACCCCCAAACCCACAGAGACAGTCACGACTCACCAACGGATCGCTGCGAACCTTGCCTGCTTGTTATTGAGTTTACTGCAAAGTGTTAGTGCACGCTGCACAATGCACATCCGTCCACCCAGGATAGACCATCAGGAGCCACCAGTCTCCATGTCACCTTATGTACAGGAGAAAGTTACGCCGGAGTAAGGCCGATCACGCCCTCTGGACGGTGATAGGATAAAGGACATACATTAGTGGTACTGGTCCAGCCCAAAGCCGGTTAGCAGCCACCATGTATGTAAGATTGTTCTGCATGTCGAGGCCGCCACGGACTTCCTAGCGAGTCGAGGCGCGTTCGGTGTGATGTACTCCGTGGTTATCTAATCGCCTAGGTTGACTAACTCGTTAGCTACTGTGGCCAGGACTTGTCTAACTTTGGTTGCAGGGGATGAAGTTACAGGGCGCGATCATAGCGACTCCAATTGGAGACCAAAAAACACTCAGAGCTAATCGAAGTTTGGACCATCCTTGATCGTGTCACTCGTGACGAGACTTGACGGATGAACATGGATAAGGAAGGCAAAAACGGAAAACACGCCATGGAAGAATCCGGATGAAATCCATGCATGCAGTGTCACTCTGTGCCCCGTGGCTCGACAACAGGTCCATCGTGTAGGATACCGTGAAATCTCCCGAGGATGCGACGCGATGCTTGTTCGGGGTCCTGCAGCAGCAATTAATGCTCAGTCTTTCTCATTACCTCTCCTATCTATGTTGTCTGGCTGGTCTTGGCCACCCTTCACATTCCAATCATCTCTCCGTTCTTCATTTTCCCTTTCTTCCGAAATATACCCAAGGATCCGAGATTGTCGCGTCAGCTAGCACTCGATATCAACTGCCCGAGCACAGAAAACCTTCTCGACCAGCGTGTGCGACCGGAGCTTTATACTTGTGAGCGTTGAAACTTGCCAAATTGGCTTTATTGCAGTTGAGACCGGGAGGTGAGTCGTACAGAAATCCTTGCTTTGTCGATCATAACGGCGAGGCAGGTTTATCATCGCGGACGTACTGTATGTAGTTGGGTTATGGAGGGTGTACAGTAGATTGTAGCGACTAATCGGACCTAACCTGGCCAGGGTGTTGATAGGGAATGTTCTTGGTATTCTTTATGAGGCTATGTATGCACATGCTTTCTTAACATTGATCAAGCCATATGTAATCAGGATCATAACATAACCCGAAAAAACGATATGTTTGTGTAAAAAGACGATTCCCAACGCAACCGCCCAACGCATCTACCCATCCATCCGGTGAACAAAAGCAGACAGAGAGGCAGGCAGATCTCCAGTTCGAGTTACTCCTACACCAATGTACGGAGTACACAGTACATATGTACACTGTAGACACCCACCCCACGGATAGAGAAAGATTTCAACCCCACCCAGCCCGATTACCAACTTCCTTTCAACAGTGGGTGGTACTTGTACCTGTTCCCCCCTCGTTGTGTTTATCTTACTTCATCTGAATTGCATCATTGGATGGACTGTATGGGTGTCTGCTTACTTGAGTATGTATATCCAATGGGCTGAATGTTTGCTGTTTGCCTTTCTGGATGAGGTTGATGGATATCCGGATGTGGAGTTGACAGTGTGCTATACTAGTAATGTTAGTGGGATGTATGAATGAATGAAATGCTTCCTGTCGGTCAGGATGTAAACGTGCACAGTGCAGAATAGGTTCCAGCTTTGATTTCAGGAGTGAGGTAAGGTGAGATAAGGCAAGGCAAGGCAAGGCGGGTTTGGAATTCGGTTGTTTGGGATGTGGTTGCGTTGGTTACTAGGTGGACTGGTGGTTGGGAGGTGTGTCTACAGTATGTCTGTTTGGCGTTGACTTAGATTATTTAGACTTTGAGAATCATTATATGGGTGGCAGGTTGGAATGTTGAGATGTTGGTTTTCATGATATTCTTTTTATGCGCTGGCATACTGTTATACATGTTGTTTGTTTTGGATATCTGGGGGTTTACTCAAGTTTATATCGAAGGTCCGGAGGTATACACCTCGGATAGGGTATATGTACTCTCCTATTATTGTTTGATTTTCCAAGTACCCCGCAGGCCCCTCACTGGATCAAGAAAAGTAAGAACATAAAGAGGGAGAAAGTGAGAGTGAGCTGGCAATTTGGATTCGGGCCAATGCTAAGGAATCGGACCACATGATGGATGAGAACTACCGTAAGCTGTAGGGCACTTGCCTTTGCGCAGGCATGGAAGCTTCCGAGCTTTTTGATGCTTGGTTCTTGGTTTGAATCAAATGACATGGCGTGGGGAGAGTTGGTTGTCTGTTAAGTTATGAATGTTGGACTTGACCCAGTCCGTGGACTTGAGATGATGTTAGATTTCTGGACTGTCTACTCACTTTTTGGAACAGGGTATAATTCATATTAGATTCAATATTTGGTTTTATTGGTGCCGCTTATGTTATTTTTTTGAAATGCTGTTGGACTCTTTTCCGTGGTCTTTATCTTGACGGAGCTCTAGACATCCAGTCGTGATATAGATACTTTAAGTGGTTTATTTGTATGCTCCTGCATGTTCATAGACGAAATTATCAGCGTTATATCAACCTTCTGGCAAGGACTAGGGACAGTATTCTATAAGTAATCTTTGAAATATGATCAAACGCCTTAGCTTGGGATATTAGACCACGGAAATATCATATATATGCTTTAATTCCTGCTTGGGAACCAAGACATGATTTCTTTAAGAGCATGAACAATGCATTGAATCACACCGGCAGGTGTGCTATATCTGACAATATCTTCTGATTCCTCGGTTTATATTGCTTTTATCCCGCCGTCCCACAGCAAGACGGATCCTGTTCACATCAACAGCCTCCATAAGATCTAATGAAATTAACGATGTTTTTGAAGCTCTGAATGGAATGATACACAAACTACTGTTGGCAACAACATCATGGTTTGAAATTATTCAATTATCATCTAAGATGCTAGATGAAAGTTTCCGACAGGTTTAGGTCCATGATATATTTCTAACCGGAGAGGGATTATTGCTGATCAATATATCTCTGTACTATGATAGAAGACTTGTAGCTATCTAAGACGCTGGAAAAGACAGCCTGCTGTGTTATGTCGTTGCTCAACGAGAAGGCCAGAAAAAAGTACATTTTGATGAACCCCGTGGGAAAAATATACCAGTCGGAAGAAGACATAATACCAATTTCCGACACCACCACAGCAACCTTCAAAGTTTATCCGTATGTCAAGGATCACCAGAAGACACTTACCCCTAAACTACTTACTGATAACCCTCTCGGTCCAGGACAGCTCAAAAAGTCGGGAGGATTGAGCATTCGAGCCCGAATCAACCACTCCGATTGGTCCCGAGCACCCGGGGCTAAACCGCATATGGTAATTGGTCATCGATCCGGAAGGTACAGAGATTGGGTTTATTGTTGGGTGCTTTAAGGGGGTTCGATGTATATAACTGAGGAATTCTTTTTCGTGCAATAATAGAGAGGAGAGAGTATTGGATACTGAAAAGACTGGTTTGATCAGTTACTTTTGGGCCGACTTTGTTTACCTTCTCTTTGCTCATCGGCTCTACCTACTATCTATACTCTTTTGCGGAACTTCTTCGAGTGCCAATATGAAACACTCAGACGAGATTTCATCATCGAAGTTGGACGAAGAAAAAGACAAGGAGGAAGGGCGTGGCTCTGTTAATGACCAAGCCCCCGAGCCAGAGGGCCTCCAGGGCATGGCGCTGGCTGTGGTGATGACTTCGATTTGTCTTTGCATGTTCCTGGTTTCGTTGGTAGGTTCTCCCTGCCCTTTCTCTTGCCCTCTTTTGTTATAAACCCATTGGGATATACAGCACAGGATATTGAATGACTACTAACCTGTTGATAGGACCGCACCATCATCTCCAACGCTATCCCCAGCATGACGAACCAATTCCACTCCTTCGACGACATCGCTTGGTACGGCAGCGCATACATGCTCACCGGCTGCGTGATGCAGCTGCCTCAGGGCATGTTCTATAAAATGTACCCAGCGAAGATTGTCTACATCACCAGCGTGGTCATCTTCGAAGTCGGCTCCGCGGTATGCGGGGGCGCGCCGAATTCCGAGGCCGTCATTGTAGGCCGCGCCATTCAGGGTTTCGGGTCTGCGGGGATCTTCTCCGGGTCAATGGTCCTGATTATGAAGGCCGTGCCGTTGAAGAAGCGCGCGATGTATACCGGTTTTTTGTGCTATTTCTGGTCTCTCGGCGGTTGCGGGACCGCTGTTGGGTGGTGCCTTGACAACACATGCGTCGTGGAGGTGGTGCTTTTTAATTAACTTGCCGATTGGAGGCGTGGTGCTGGTTATTATCTTTTTCATCTTTCCGAAGCAGGAGAGAGAGGGAAAGGGGGGAAATGAGGGTGCAGGTGCACAAACAGGGAGACAGTCGCTGTTGGATAAGGTGCTTCAGTTCAATCCCCTGGGGTTCTGTGTGTTGGTTCCTGCAGTGGTCTGTTTGCTGCTCGATCTGCAGTGGGGAGGCTCGGCTTATCCTTGGAGTTCCGGAAGAGTCATTGCTTCGCTGGTGATGAGCGGGGTCCTGTTCATCGTATTTGGCATTGATCAGGCCCTCGAAGGCGACAGGGCCATGATCAGGACGAAGACCGTCAAACAGCGCACGGTGGCAGCTGCATTCGCTTTCTCGAGCTGCGTGGGAGGAGCCATGATGACCAAATCAGAACTCCCTCCGGCTATTTCTTTGTTGTTCTTCGGCCAACAGCTGGGAGGATCGGTGTTTCTCTCTATTGCTCAGAATATCATGTCCCAGGAACTGATCAATAACGTGAAGTCACAGCTGCCAGATGTCGACGCGTCTATGATTGTGAACTCGGGAGCCACGGATCTGCGTGACGCAGTCTCTTCTGACAAGATGGATACACTGCTTCATGTTTACAACGACACGGTGGTCAAGGTGTTTTACCTTGCCATTGCGCTTGCCTGTGTTGGGGTTGTTGTGGCGTTGTTTGTGGAGTGGAAGGATATGAGAACTACAGAGGAGGTAGATGAGCGACCGGAGTCGGAAAAAGAAGGTATCTGACCTAATCGGGTCCCAGAGACGCGTTTGTTTGATTGAACACTGCGAGGCTCGGTGCTGAGGTGTTGGAAAGCTGTTCGAAAATCTTCACTCAGTGTATAATTGTTAACCATAGAACCCACAATTGCATTGTTCATGTTAACCAAGATTCGAAATCAACATCCGGATCTGCGGTATTCAGATATAATAGACTAGACCATGATGGATCGCTCCAAGATTGCGGCCGCTCATGATAGCCTTGAACAGCAGAGCTGGCCCTGGCCAAGTAGACTTCGGAAACATTCTCTCCCTGGGTTCTATCCACAGCACTTGAAGCTGTAAAGCCATTTATCTTGCTGCGTCTTGCGATAAGCGATTCGATGAACTCCGGGGGGTTGTTCTGCTCTGCAGAGCCATATGTCGATGTCTTCCGTGCATCCCAAGCGTTGAGTGTCAGAGTCCCAACAAATCGATTCATGCCTTTGTCCTGATGCCAGAGCTCCGGGTAGTTTCGGTAAGTGTTTTGTACGCACTGCCATCACTGTTCTTCATTCTCGTCCCATTCACTAGAACTAATCGATCGTAGGAGCCCAAACAGGGCACCCCATGGAAAGTTACCATGGGCATACCAGAGAAACCCACGTAGAAGCTCGTTCGAGTGGATCATCTTTTCGTATTCCGACATCCGGATACCATAAGCGCACCATGAGTCAGGGCTCGGTGGCCCGATTTTGGGGGTCAGGCGCGAAGAGCCTTATTTTGTTTTCTAGTTTGCAAAGAGTAGATCTCGCCATGATACTCAAGAAAAGATCCAATGGCATCACAGGGTCACAGAAACGCAGGAATCTTTCTTCGACTAGGCTCTTTAGCTCTGAGAACTGTTCCCTGTTTAGTATGATCTGGACCTTGTATTCAACAAAATATTGGAATATCTCTTCAGCTCCGCGGATCTCAGGGCATCAATGGTCACGTAGGTGAAGAGACAGAAACTCATATCTCTTATCCCTGTTTGATCCTTCGGTAAGACCGTCATTGTGGGGTTGATATCCTGGTCGTTGATATTGAAGGCATTTGGGTATCCCACGTTTGGGATATGATAGAGTTCCTAAAGCCCGCCAATTCAGAAGCACGAACGTCTATGCTAACGAGATACCACCAGACACGGCGACGTACTTCTGTCTCAAAAGGGGAAATTCCCAGAAAGGTTCCATGCCGATGAAGCCCCATGGTTTGCGCCTTACGGAGAGCGAAGGGACCTGAAGAAAGACGACTCTAAAGTACACTGTATGGTCCTAGCAGTTGACTGACGTCATCTCATTGAGCTGAATGAACAACCACCCCGACAGTCAATTCAATCAGAACACCATTGGACTCGCACTGCTGAGTGATAAGGCGATTCGTGTCCAGTTTTCTCCCGCATATCTTACATTCCAAGTGTTTGGGCTGCACGGACCAACTTCACTTTCCGTCACCCGTGTTCCATGTATGCAAAAACCCAGTTTAGCGACTCTACTGATTTCGGAACATGAGGGCATTCGCATGCGTAAGTAATATGGTGACAAGACAAAAGTGAATTGACAACAAGGGAAGTGGCCGGTGAATAGCCAAAACCATTACTTTGCCGCAGTCTACCCAGGTGATGCCTAAGGCTAGGACGAAGGGTCACTATGTAATACTCAGCCAACGCTGATATGAGCATACGCTATCATATTACATGTAAAACTTTTCATAGATCTATAATCTAACAGACTTTTCTATATTGTAAGTTATCATCCGGGTAGTTTAATTACTAATATCAACTATGTAGTAGTAATCTATTGGTAAACCTGATATACTGGCAACCTGGCGATAGAAACTTAAGACCTGCTGACCTGTAAACGCTTTTGACACCATCATAGGATGTTCAGGATTTACGTCATACTGTATCGCAATTAACACATGCCTCATTCTCTGCCTTTTGTGATTGTCAGGGTCTATCAGGTAAGACTCGACGTAGCAGCTCCAGTTTCGGAACTCTAAGCAGTGTTGCCCAAATTGCTAACGCCACAGTCAGCATTGCCAGGAGAATAGGCTGTAACACCATTACCCCCTTTGTCTGTGCAATGGCGCCGACCATGAAAGGAAAAACAGCACCCCCGCCCATCGAAAACGCAGCGGCAAACCCTATTGCAGCGACATGGAGGTTTCTGGGCAAAAGACGTGTTGACACCACGACAACGCCGGGGTAGATCGTTCCCATGAAAAACCCAACAAAGGAGACCGCAAGTGCGGAAACAATGAACTGAGGAACGAGCCAGAAAATGACCTCAAGCACGATCGCAAGGATCATGTATATAGCAATGGATGACTTCTCGCCAATTCGGGGCGACACGAATCCAAGGACAAATCGGCCCACTGTGATGCCGAGCCAAAAGCCTGTTTCTGTCATACCACCTGCAAATGCACTGCCCTGGCGGACACTGGTCATGAAGACGACGATCCAACCACCGATGGAGACTTCCACGCCCCCGTAGAGGAAGAGGAAAACAGCACAGATCCAGGTAGCCCTGTATGTGAGGGAAAGGCGAGTCTGGCGCATCATTCCGCTTGAGTTTGAGGAGTTTGAATTCTCCTGTCGGTACTTTGACGCGGTTTCAAGCCAGAATGCGCTGGTCGCGTAGATAAGCTCGATAGCAGCTGCTCCAGCCTGGCACACCGTTAACTAATTCATGTCTACTCGTGAGGAAAAGAGGGCGGGTCAGGTGATAAATTTACCATTAGAGAGTAAAAAGAGTACCATTGCCATCCAGCCTTGGCAATCAAACTGGTAGCAACAAGAGGACTAGCCGTAGCCCCAATGCCATAGAATCCGTGAAAGAAGCCGAGAACTTCATGCGAGTTCGCCATGTTTCCGATCCACACATTCCACGCCGCATTCTGGATACCGCTGCCCAATCCTATGAGGACATACAGGGACACCAGGACCGGAAACGGCGGATGATTGGATATTATCGTGAAAGTGAGTAAATGACACGCAGGACCAATAATGGCGATGCCTCGTCTACCGAGATGCTGATGAATCGAATTGCTGACAAAGGCAGAGATAGTGTAGCCCGCAAAAGGGGAGAGAAACACTAGGGAAACAACCGTATAGCTTTTCTGGTAGTATTCCTCAAGCTAGAGCGTTGAAAATAAAATATAAGTATGACTATAGAACGAGTATAGATATAGGGGGGTAGACGAACGTAGGAAATTATCGCACCATACGCGGCATCATTAGCACCCATTACAAATGCACACCAGAAGGTGGCAGTTAGCCTCCAGATCGTGGCTTTTGAATCGTTCCATCGGGGTGCTAAGTTCACAGCATGAGATGGTGGGGTTTCTTCCATCACTTGACTTGGGCTGGCTCTTTGAGTGCCCTGCAACTCAACATCTGGACTATAGGTCCCGGATACCCCTTGCACAACCATGATGAAGAACAAGAGCAGTGGATTGTCCGAAGTGAAAAGAGCGCGGGTTAAATAAATTGACTATTCAATGGAAGATGCCCCGCCCACTTCTGACTGTGTCCGTTATCTTAACCAATCATTGAACGAGTTTATAATTGCTTTTCTATTTAACATCAGTATATCATGTTACCATATCTCACTAAATACTCAAAGCATGCTAGATTATATAAGTATCGATTTCTTTCATATGAAAAATCAAATACTAGACCATATATTGATTTATGGAAGACTATAAAAACCATCCCGCTAATTGTTAAGGGCTGGGAGGCGCCCTGCACTGCGACCGAGGATATCGAGTAGTTGGTAAGCTTGCCTCCAGAGTGTTTAGGACTATATACGAAGGGTTGAACAGTGGAATCCCAACATGTTGGTTCATCTGGCTTATATATGAGAGTAGACTATTTCCTGACCTCTCGATATCATGGTTTCGGGCTGCTGGTGACTGTCAGCTTGTTATTCCACTGTATCGTTGTCTGATTACTTTAACTGAAACACAACATTATTTGGCTTGGGCTCTCGGTGGAAAGATCGCTTCTGCTTCAGCAACGTGCAATCTACTCCAACGTGTATAAGAGCGTTCCATGGCCCAATTGATCGAATCCCCCGCTGGTGCTTCCATAGTCACCGCCACCTCCTTCAGCTCCGTCGCCATCCTCGACCACCAGATCGCGATACTTCTTCGTCCACGTCACGTCCAGTCCTTTCAACACGCCGTAATGGTTGTACAGCAGCTCCCAGAGAGGGCGTATATCACCACGTCCAGCTTCACTGATGATATCCTGCGTGACATCGCTGTTGACGTATGTGGTGTAGGGAACATCTTCGCCAAGGTTGTACTTGGCGACATACTCGGCACTGAGATAGTGTCAGCATACCTGTTAAACATCTCGAGACGGTGGGGAATCTACCCAGCTAGAATCCGGTTATCCAGATACTCAAACAGATCATCACCCTGGTTATACGCCGACTGGGCAATCGGACCCAGCAGGGCAAAGTCTAGCATCGAGTGTCCCTGATCACGGCCGGCCTCCTGCCCCTGGCCTAGAGTCTGTCCATCGACATCGTACAGCTTCCAGACCATCTTTTCGATCTGGCCGTTCCCCTCGCCGTTCTTAAAATAATCCACTGCCTCCTGGTACATGGTCTCATTGTCAGACAGGATGCCGATGGATAACATAGAGGCGATGTTGCAAAGATCCCAGTTCGCCCAGTAGTGATCGATCTCGGCATCATTGTGCCGGATAAAGAAGTCCCGGTTCATCGGATAGAACACGTTCACCATCATGTCGCGCAGAGTGTTGAAGCTCTCGGTCGACCAGCCGTCATAGTCGCGCATCAACTCGGCTGCGTTCGCTAGCTCGTAGCCGTAGATTCCTGAAGCCAGGAACTTGTCCGAGTTGCCAGAGATCTCGGTCAGGGTCGTACCCCAAGCATCGAGGATGGCGACGGCGGAGTCCGCGTAGGTGGTGTTGTCGGTGATCTTCCATTGTATGGCGAGGGCGTAAGCGGCTGCGATGTCGCGGTACAGGTTGGGGTAGTTCTGAGAATGAGTGCCGTCGTCGCCGCGATAGATGACCTCCTGTGCCGTGTTGGTGTAGGAGGGGGATGCGTAGGAGTTGTTGGTCAGCTTGTACCAGCCGGTGATCCAGGGCTCGGCGCTAGCCTGGACCTTGGACTTGATGCGGTCAAAGTCCTCGTTGGTATGGAGAAGGCCGGGGTGAGTGAAGCCCTGAACAAGTGAAATGGAGGCAAGAGCCCCGAAGGTGAGACTAGAACGCATTCTTCTCGTGTTGTTCTACCTAGAAATGGAACCGATGCACTCCGTACCACGTAGATAATATATAACGGTTCAAAGTCGATACCATCGTGAGATTTTATATAGGGCCACTCTCAACGGAGACCCTCCGGCAATTCCACCGAGTTCCTTTTCACATCGGAAAATTGCCCAACCAGTCGACATGATGCAGGACCCCTGACACTTGTATGGGATATTGAGCGGAGCGTTCTCATGAGGGATCAGCGAACGAGTACGTCAACCTGTCAAGATCTGAAAGTATGTTCGAAGGGAACCCAACCCGATTCTGGCTGCGTTCCGGTCGGAACCCTCCCCTGTCATGTTTGGTGGCAGGAAGCACCCACGGAACGATCTGGGTTGAGGCCGTGAAATGTCAATCATCACCCGATGGAGACGCGCCAACAGCCCCATCCGTTTCAAGGCAAAACAACGGTCTGAGAAGCGACGCGGGCCGGAGAACTTTCGGGGAAGTTTATCGGTCGCTTTAATCTGTCTTAATTTGATCAAGGGGTCAAGGACGAACGTTTCGACCAGCAGTTTTGCGATCAGGAGACCCTGTGTATAGCTTGGCATGTGTGGAAGAATCAGTTAGGTAGTGATCTCGGAAGTATCGGATTTTCAAGCAGCTGACGCCAACAGACCTGCTCAGTTAGCTGCTTCCCTTTGATTAAGTTGTTGATGGGTTTCGTGATTGGAATGTTGCAGAGATGTCGGTATATATTGGCAAATACTCGAACAGCAGAAAAGGAGCGGTATTTGAACAGCGAAATGATCAGATCAATGAGTTGTGAGATTTATCAAATCACGATTAAAAGTTTGCATCGAAAATCTCTTAATGGTCTGGTTCCAGAGAAATTGTCGTTGACCCGACATGGGTTCTACAGCATCTCGGATGCGATCAAGGGGTAACTGATGAGCGCAACAAATGACGTCTCGCGCGTAAGCGCTCGAATATCATGTGCCGAGTGACACCGCATTCTAAGATTTCTCAAAGGGGATTGGAAACACCCCTTGCTGCACACCAATTGCTGCGAGTCTCCTCCGCACCAGCCGCCCACGAATTTACAAAATCGATTTCCTTGATCTTTGAACCATGATCGACCCTCAAGATAGATTCTTCTCAGAAGGCCAGGGCTATTTTGGCCCAAGGGAAAACCCGTTGACCGAAACCCACTGCAATGTCTGGGATTGGGACCAGCTGCGATTAATCAAAGTGAAAGGAACAGCCAAACTCTTTCGGCCTGAAGAGGATGTAGAGGTCTCAGTCCTTGCGCAATTCGCTGATTACCTCTCGCCGGAGGTTCGTGCAATCACGGTCGACAATGACGGGCTTCTCACGGGAGTCTCGACAGATCCGGAAGAAGATGATACATTCTTTATTGCGTATCTTCCCTTCTCCCTGTGTCAATCACTCGCAAATTGCTCTACGATCTATTTCTCACAACTCAAAGAAATTGATCGACTTGGACCAGGTGTCGATCTTGTATCCTATAATGACCGGAAGGTCGCATTCAAGTTCAACCCTCTAGGCATGCCGCGAAGACTACACATGTCCTGGAAGGAGATGAACCTGCTCAGCAAAATGCCACCGCATCCTAATATATTACCATTCGATAGCCTTGTCCTTGAAGATGTGGAGTCCCGAGTGATTGGGCTCACATCGAAGTATATACCAGGTGGAACGCTAGAAGATGTCGATCCGAAAAGGCCTTTCCGATTCAAATGGCTACAACAACTTACCCAGGTGGTGGATTTCCTGAACCTAGAACTGGGGATCATGCATCAAGATATTGCACCCCGGAATTTGCTTGTCGACCCTGAAACAGACAACGTTGTTCTCTTTGACTTTGACTGGGCTGCCAATGGAAAGGACGGTCTATTAGATGGCCGAGACGATGTGTCGAGTGTTGTATTCACACTTTATGAGATCATCACGAACGATAGGCATCTTACGAGTATTCCACACTGGGACCGAAACATAGACATGGTGCTAAATATTGAGTGGCCTGTTCGCCGCGAACTCGACTCTGACATGTCGAATTTCCGCAATTTCCTGGATAATTGGGTAGCAAGGAGGGCCGAGAGTGCCACGGAACAATGTCTGAGTGCACCCAGGCGGCTTACCTGGCCTGATCTTCCGGGCCCTCCAGATTACACTGTGCCATTTGAGCTGGGCTGGACAAAGGAAGGAGAAACTGTTTGGCAAACTGGCGAGCGCTCGAGACGCATTGCATTAGCGAAGGGGCAATACTGCTTTCGTTGGGAAAGACCACCGCAAAGTAGACTGTTGGAGAAAGCAAAGGTCGAACGTATTACTTATTAACTGTCGATTTTGGAAGAGCGATTTTGTGATAGCCTTCGTGAAAGATGATGATGCTGTGGATGGAAGTTAGGCGGTCATCGGCAAAAGAGACACATTGACGAAGTCTTGGTTTGAGATATAAGAAAACCGGAAAAGAGAACGATGAAAGTGAGCTTGGCATGCAATATAATGAGACTCACTTTACCTCAGCTGTGAGGTACATGTACTATAGACTCATCGCGTATGAAAATGTGAAGCTGGAAATAAATTGGGTTATAATTAATGACGTGTTTAGTTCGTCGGAGGCGTTTATGAGAGAAGCTTCATATACAAGCGCAGATTTCAGAACAAATGAGCCCCATAATACTCATCAACCTACATAAGTATTCATTGTATGCAACACCCCTCCCGCTCTCTCCCCCTTGCGGCATCTTATAGGATACACATACATGTAAGACGTTAGTTCAGGCCACTGAAGTACGTAGCTACACACACTATGGGGAGCATATGCTGCAGAGGTGCAATGATCTGCAATATGATATGTCTGCTGCCTTCGTCATCGCCACAGAAGATCAACCCCCCCCCCAAACATGATATAAATCCGTGTCTTCCACTCGAGTCAATGTCGACATTTTCTAAATCGAAGACAAACACAGTTATCTTTTACCTTTCCTACAAATCCAGACTTCGCTCAACTTTCGAAACCAAGATGAAAACATCCCTCCTCACCAGCATCACCCTGGCCTTCTCCGCGGCCATGGCCGCCCCGTATCCCACCTTCAACGAAGCCAACGGCGGCCTCGCTCGAGCTGAAAATGAAGAAGCGACGAAACGAAACGGCGATAGTCTTGCCATGGCCAACGGTCCCGCTATGGCCGACGGTCCTGCTATGGCCAACGCAGGTAATGTGCCGCGGGTTGTCAACGTCAGAGAGACCTCCGCTACTAAGCGAGGGGAGAACATGGCGGACATGGCCAGCGAACCTGGCAAGCCGTATATTGTCGACATCCCAGACACTTCTGCTGATAAGAAGGGGGAGAACGTGGCAGATGTGGCCAATGCAGCTGATGTACCGTCTGTTGCCAACATTCCAGGGGCCCCTGCTAGTAAGCGTGGGGAGAAGGTGGCAGATATGGCAGATGTGGCCATGAAAGATGCATCTGGGTTGGGTACAGAGAGGGAAGAGCATGGACCGATCCCTTGAAAGAATTCGCTCGAGTACGCTCTCCAAGCCCAGGAAAAATGACAACCTACCAGTATGATACAGAAGAATCCTGAGACGTTTATTTTGGGAGGGGATACATATGGTTGATATACGGGAGATGGGTGGTGGATGACTGTGACTTTTCATTGCGTTATCAACAAGTGAATAGATAGTTGATCGAGACAATAGATGGATACTCTAGTTGAATGATAGGCTTCGCAACGGACTTAAACATACGATACACATATGTAAGGCAACAGTTGAAATCCGGTCCTTAGCAGCATAAAAGATCTTCGCACAGCTTCCCGCAAACAAGTTGACAATCTCGCTCTGATACACCCGGTCTCACCGATTGCACGGAGGTCGTATCAGTACCATTTCCCGCCGGAGTGGCAACGAACCCCTTCTGGTCTGACCACACCTCTGGTTGCAGCGTGACTGAATGAATACCATATGCATGGAAACACTCGTTGATCGTTTTAGCCAGAGAACTGAAGTTATCTTTTGCCTCGTCCGTTAGGAGAATGTGGGCTGACGCGAGAGATTTGGCCTGGTTCAAACGCCAGATATGAAGCTCGTGAATGGCGCGAACACCGGGTATCTAGAAATAAGTAAGCTTGGTTTCCAGATTATGCAATAGATCACGGATAGCCGCATACCCTTTCCAGATCATGCTTTACATCATCCGGGTCAACTTCCCCAGGGGCACTTTGTAGCAGAACCAGACCCGCGCGTTTGACTACATCGTTAGCTTTGTTTTCAGACCGGATACAGGAAACGGAAAGCTCACTAAGAGGTATAGAGGAAGCAAAGATCATCAATGCGATGCCCATACTAGCTGCCGGATCGGCATAGTATCTTCCACCGTAATCGGCGAGCCAGATAACCAGCGCGGCGGCCATAACACCGAGGTTGTTGCCTGCATCACCGAGGACATGAATTAGAACTCCCATAATAGCGAGGTCGTGACCGGGTCGGTGGGCTGAGGCAGAGGCGGCATTGGTCTGGTGTTTGTGGTGAACGTGCTGTTCTAGGTCAGACTTGTCAAATGATTGTGAAGATTGGAAATATAAACCATTTCATTCGGCAAGGGGTGAGAATGCGTATTTGCACGCAGGTCAGCTTCGTTGGCGGTACCATGATCGTCGTGGCTGTGACCATGGCTATGATCGTGTCCATGGTCATGCTCTGGAAGAATTAGTGAGCAACCTTATGCAAATATAAATTCTAGTGTATAGTCAAGGAAAACACACCATGCAAGAATAGAACACTGATAATGTTCAGCCCCAAGCCGATAGAGCCAATGATAAGAACCAACTTTGGGTTCTCGACCGCTAAGCCACCAAGGGATTAGTATGTTTGCATGGGGTCAAAAGTACATACATAAATATGATACGTACGTTGCAACGAGATGAACCTCTCAATAGATTGTAGAAAAACGCTGATTCCCAGACCGAAAAGGAGGACTCCATTGAAGAACGCGCCGAGAAGCTCCGCACGCTGCCATCCGTATGTTAAGGCTTTGGGAGGAGTGCGTTTGTTTGCGACCTGCGCAGATACGAATCAGCCTGGAGCTATGGAAGAACGGTACAAATGACGTACAACGACGGCGATAAGTGCGATGATAAACCCGATTAGATCGTTCAGCTGGAGTGGTTCAGTCAATTATGGTGGAAAAAGGTGAAAACCTTATGTTTGACCTACATAATGGAAAGCATCCGCTATAAGAGCGAGCGAATGTGTATAAAAGCCCACTTGATAATTATAGGTCAGCTAAAACGATAAGAACAGGAGCGGGAGTGACATGAGAACAGTACCCGAGATCTCGGCGATGAAGAAAGATGTGGAAATAGCAATGACTGCACTCAGCCGTTGTGTGCGAGATATCTTTAAACCCATTTTATAAAGCCTGCCAGGGACAGCTGGGACTCTCTTGGTCTTTGAAAGGTTGGCAGAGCACGATGCTAAAGAAAATTCAGATTTCAGCGAAGATATATCCTGCATACATTCGGAGACAGATGTTTCCCCTTTCGGGTGGGTGGGTCAGACCGGACAGATTGTCCAATGACAACCATAATCTAGCCGGAGTCATCTAGTACCTACCTTAGTTAGCATGACTTGGAAATAAAAGACCTTTTCTCATATAAACATGCAACTTCCTAGAAATCATATAGAAAAGTCTGAGCCTCCATTCATGCCTTCCCATATTACTGGAAAGATGATTAGAAATTAGCGGGCAGAAGATGAATTGGGAAGGGAAAAGCAGCCACTACTGTAGGAGAAAGAAATTGACTTGTATGGTTAGCGTCGGTCCGCTGTCGGAGTCCGGAGATACCGGACATGGCAACCCGCCCGTCCGCAGACACCGACAAGAATCATCGTGTCTCTCGGACTTCATCTGTCACGCATGAAAAGGTTCCGTGCATTATGGACCCTCTGAGACAGCTTCAAAATTCGAAGAGATCGATTATGCGAGTAGATCAGCATGGGAAAGTGGTAACTCCTCGAAAGCCCCGTGGAATCATTTCCTGCGCCGCCTGCAGGAGACGCAAGGTGAAATGTGACCGCCTACAACCTTGTACACAATGTGTCAAACACAGTATCGGAGATACGTGCTTTTACCCCCAGGCGTTAGACTCGAGCCCTGAGGAGAGACAGAGCGCTATCGGTGCCTCTACGTCAAATCAGTCTTCTCAACTAATCCGGCCTACCAATTCGAATAGTCGACAGGAAGCGTCAACGCCTCGGAGGAATTGCCAACGGGACGAGTCATTATCGGTTTTGGGGTCAAGGGTGAACAACCGTGCTACTGTGTCCGAGCATCGCGAGCATATAGCCTCAACATGCTCGGGGATAACAAGGACTGCAAGCCAACCATTGCCTGCAGAACCAAACGCCTTCTCTTCCTTTTCGTACCGTGGAAAAGATCATAAAACACGCTACTTTGGAAGAAGTCACTGGGCGACAACACTGGACATGGTACCGATCTTGTTCCATTAGATGGTTTATCACTGACCGGATCATAGTTCCCAGATCTCAAAGCTCACCTACAAAAGTATAGCGATGAAAAACATAAAGAGACACACCACACGTTCGACGAATATCTGACAATGAAGCGACTGAAACGAGACATGAGGACACAAAAGCCCGACTCCGACGTTGCTCGTTACCCGCAAGTGCAACGGTTGGAAGAATTGGTTCCCAGCCGCAGTGTGGCGGATACTTTAGTGAATCTCTATTTTTCAAGTTTTGAAACGACATTTCGCATTCTGCACAGACCACAGTTCATGTCTGAATACGTGGACTATTGGGACACACAGCGGCCCTCCGGTAATCGAGCTCCTAGGACACTTTTTGTGGCCAAACTGTTGGCCCTCATGGCATGCTCGAGTAACTTCTACGAAACCCAGACCACCTACGGCACAAATTGCAACAGTGTAAACATATCTGCGCGGGCTTGGTTTGAAGGAGTTGTATCGTGGATTAACTCTACGACGGGATATGCCCGGCTGAATCTCGACATGATTCAAATCAAATGCTTGATGGTACTCGGCGCGCAATCCGTCGCATATGAAGGAGACTTGGCTTGGATGACAGCGGGATCCCTCGTGCGAGAGGCCATCACGATGGGTCTTCATACGGACCCCTCCAATTTTCCTCGGGTGTCAAGCTACATGGCTGAAATGCGGCGTCGCATCTGGCTGACCGTGGTTGAACTGGACCTTCAATCCGCCCTACAGAGTGGTACACCAATGGCTGTGTCTTGGGATGAAATGGACGTCTCTCTTCCTTTGAACATCGACGACGAAGACATCCAGGTTGATTCGATCGAGCCTCCCGTATCATCACCAATCACCACTGCAACAAGAACGTCATTTCAACTGATTCTGGCACAGAGTTTGCAAGCTCGTATGACAATCGCGAAGTGTGTCAGCAATCTACGCTGCCCATTAGACTACCAGGAGGTGTTGAGCATTAGTAACGAGTTGACGACGGGGATGGTCAACATTCCACTCGCGCTACGGAGCGAAGAGGCCGCTGGAGGCACAGGATACTCAACGTTCCAAAAATCTTTCTATCTCTTTCTTATCTACCGATGTCTACTTGCCCTTCATCGGCCTTTCTTCCTCACCCTCGGGGATACCAGCGACCCCACATTCGAATACTCACGACGGCTCTGTGTCCAAGCCAGTACAGCACTACTGGCTCAATTGGAGTCATCTGATCTTGACGCTCAATCCCTCGCCGTAACGAACCAATCTTATCCCCATCTTCTAAGATTGCGAGGGGGAATGTTTCGCGATGACATGTTCCACGCTGCAGCTACTCTGTGCTTCGAGCTCTGTCTACAAGCGAGAGATACCCGGATTCCATCCTTGCCAGGTTCGCGGTCATCCTTCATTGACTACGGAACAGGATACCATGTCGGATCGCTCTGGCAGAGCATCGACAGCGCCGTCCAGTACTTTGAGTTTAAGGTCCGAGCGGAAAAGCAGGGGTGCAAGGCGCTCATGTTTCTTCATCTGATCGTGACTTCGGCGAGAAACCACAATTCACCATCTGGGAACGACTCCGTTGTTGATCTAGACGATGCCTGTCCTAAAGCATCGCGTCGGTGTCGGGAGCTTTTGTTGGCCGACACGACAAATGCCAGTGACGGAGCGTCAACCCATGAGCGCCCAGACTACGCAGATGTATGAACTCAACTTGCATGATATCTTGATCCTTGGAGCTAGATGCTAATGTGCGAAAATACAGGCAGCCGATATACACGCTTCATCGCCGATCGACGCGACAGAGACAGAGACAATTCAGCACATGCCTAACCAAGGACAGATTGTCACACCTCTCTCTATGGGCGATTCGATACCGGAGTTTCTCGTAAGTGCACAGGCCAGATGTATGATTATATTAGCTAATTGATCGCAAAGGACCCTTCATTGGACTGGAATCTACTTCTCGACTCGTTTGATCCTTATTCAACTACTAGGTGGCCGCTGATGGACCCGTTGATGTAGTTCCTATTTTAACAACGAAATAATACCTACGACCTTTCCCACTGAAATGTTTGAGGGAAGATGCATATAATGTACTGTACATGAAAGACTGCACCAAATGATAATAATACAATATTTATCCGATCCAAAGACCGAAGACATTAAATCAGTGACAACTCCTCCCCCATTTCCTCAACCTAACATAGTTGTACGGCAACGGCGCCAAGAAACCCGCCGTGATACTCACTGCCGCGGCGGCCCAGAACGTCGGGTCGTGGATTGCGACCACACCCCCGGTTAGATGCCAGTCGACAACATTCTCGGCTGCTTCCATGGCAAGCATCGAGACGAGGCTCATGCCCGTTGCGGTGCGGAAGGCTGCGCGAAGAGGAAGTTTGTCGGGGCCGTGTTTGAGAAGCATGGTTTCGAGGAGGATCGAGGTTGAAATGCCGCTTGCCACTGGTCTTTGATTAGTTTTGAACAGAGGAAGCTTGGTAATATAGGGGGGAAGCGCAAGTGGCGAGAATACTTGATAATCCCATGATTGTTCCCATTCCCAAATGCGGAAGATATGTCTGGAGGATCCAGAGGGCCGAAAAGTCGCCGATGGTGCAGCCCGCCAGACAGCGAAGGGTGTTGATGCCCGCGCGTTTCCATGTCGAGCGACAGCTCCAGAAGGAATTTTGCAGTAGTGATCGTGTCTCCGGTTTTGGGCTTGCGTTCTGCTCACGATCGCCACTTGATGTGTTGGTATGACTGGATGATTTTGAGTGGCATGCTTGCCGGGGAGTGGCTGATGAGAAGAACCTTAGTGGTCTTGGTCCAAACCTGGAGAATAGCTTTGGACATGAAGAGCGCGTAAATAGCATGGTCAATTCGCGAGGGTGGATTGCAGGTTGGGACCTGAAAACACAGTTGGAGAAGTTGAGGAAGAAGTAGTTGGTGAAGGATAACAGACGGGAGAAACTATACCCCTTTTGGTAAAGCGCAGGCGAAAATGGCGCAGCCGGAGATTCGGTCTTTGAAGTTGCCTAATTCGGCTGTAGCTCGGAACTACATGAAAGCGCGTAATAAATCTAACAGCAAAAGAAAGATTTGGTGATCTATTGAAGAAATACACGATATTACAAATAAGGTCAAGACTGAAACAGATGGGATTTACGTATCTAATGTCGCCTTGAATGATAGTGAGATTGCTGGAATTTTGGGAATTTGCAAGTTCTCCGGAGGTATCCATATTACCATGCACGCTTCATGACCCCAGTAAACTTAGTTGACATGCTGACTGCATTTTAAGGACCGCAGATTATTGTAGTAGCTGTTTCATTGCCATAATGCCGTTCATTTTATCATATTGCGTGGAATCGACTGGACTTCACAGGGGCAGGTGGATGAAGCTGGATTCAGCCATGCCACGGTTGCGCTGTTTGAATCACACAATTAATATAATTCAGAACTAGCTTAGTCCTTTGCGGATGATGGTACGGAGTTTTTATATTTGATTTATTGGGGCATTACTGCGTATTCCCGCAGCGAGGGCGCTGCCTCTTTGCAGGGCGAGTAGACCCATCAGAAATGAGCAGCTGAACATCCAGAGCCTGACGAACCATGCCGAAGGACGAGAATTTAATATGAGGCCAAGAGTCGGAAGAATCCATCAAGTGAATGACCGCCGGGAAAGTACAAGACCGCGGAGATGACACGTGATAAGAGTGGTTGCTAAGTAGTTATCACCATCAAGACCTCACCTTTCCTACCACCTTCCTAACACCACTGACCCATCATTCCTGGAGTAATCTCATTAGACCTAATCTATACGCCACTGTCATCACCCCTAATCAGATCCAGGCCGGTCCTGGACAGAGTCAGCTAGGCAAAAACGCAATTGGTGGCTCCGGATCATCAAGTCCGTCCAGCACAAGAGGAAAGCAGATTATGAGCTCCCAGGGGCAGATGAATGCCCAAAACCTTCAACTTCAGCAGGCGCGTGGGAGCCATTGGGAAAGGAACTAGGCCGAATATGTGAAAACAGACCCTTTCCGGATCCTAATGCCAGGAAGACCACATTCAAACCTCAATCGATCACCCAGGACAGACTCATGGAGCTTCTCGACTTGAGTCAAGAAACGAAGGAAGAATACAATGATGTGAGAAGAAAAGGAGTGGGTATCCTACGGGTTCCCTAGGCACTAGGCTCAGCCCCGTCTAGACGAGCGCGCAACCTTGTTTCAGCTAGGGACAACAGAGGCTGGCATCTACTACCTACTTCCATACCCCCTTAGGCGGGAAGGAATAGCATGATACAGTGCCTGGAATGGTTTGAGTGCTTATTTAGCTATTACTCCGCTCTGGCTCATTATAATACCTCATTATGCTAGGACTTCGAAGAAATAAAGATTCCCAGCTCATCGCCCATCCTGAACCTGCTAGAACCATATCCCGGGGCGGAAAAGGTAGTTCCGTGGTTTTCGAAGGCATTATGAAGGGCCAGTTGGGAGGATGATAATCCACAAAGTCTTCAGAGGGTCTCTTATACTAATAGAAGGGGCCAAAAGGGGTTCAGGTCGTGCACCATTGGTGGCTGAAACCTATCGAGCGAAAGGAAGGAACAGGAGGCCCAAAGGCATAGAAGAGCGTCCCTATATCCTTCGATCAGCAAACTTCATACATAACTTACTAACAACTGAATAGGCTTTATTAGTGAATAGATAAAGACTGATGGATTGATTCGAATTTCCTAGAAACATAACGGATCGGAAGAGTGATATGGAAAAGCAACAACAATTCCATCCCCCGGCCCAGTACACAGCAATATTCATTCTGCAGCGAGCTTCGTGGCCGCAAAGAGATCAAGGTGGACATTTCCACGAACTTCAGCGTTTAGTCGGTCGATCGCAGGCCAGCCGGACAAGGTAAACATCCACTGTATGGCTGGTCGACCGGTGGAAGGACAGCGTAGCAAATTGTCGCTCGTTAGCTTTGTAAGACTTTTCCCCTTTATTCTTGATCTGCCTGTATATGTATAGCCCTTGATGAGATCTGCATTCTTCACTTCCTTGAGATGATCTGGCAGTTCCCCGTAGCGTCCGTAGTTTCTCAAGTTCCAAACAAAGTCCTTCCATGTGTTGAAAGGCGAGGCTGTAAAACATACCAGCTGGTCCAAAAAGGTCCTGCGCACCTGGATCTGAATGATGCAAGTATCACTTGTGGGACACCGAAGAGCGGCCCATTTACGATATCGTTCGGCCGTCTTCTTCTCTTCCGCCCAGTAGTAGCCACTGCGGCCTTCATTGAAATCCCCATTATACCGCCGATTATGCGCCTTGAGCAATTGGATACTCCCATCATTCTTGACAATTTGGTCATTCGGGTAATGATGACAATAGGCCATCCCTCGGTAGAGAACAACGTGATCGGGTAAGACGGGCTGTGGATCCCCTTCTATGACCGAGACATGGGCGGCTGGGAGTTTGAAGTCCTCCATCCTCAAATTGATGGTGGCTGATGATTGTTTACCTTGCCGAGAAGTCTTTTCCAAGCCGTCTCGCTCTCTTCGGCTTTTTTGCGCCATGACCTTGTTGGCGTGCCTTTTCAAAAGCTTTTGACGACACAGAAGGGTTTCATAGTTGGTATCAAGGGTATCCTTGATCCAGAAACATAAGCCTTGGGTATCCAGTAAGTCACGAAACTCAGGGTCAAGGATTGGCGCTGCCACTTCGTCCTTCAATCCAACACGGCTCATCGCATCTCTGAGCTTCAAACCAGCATAACGTGGCGATTCCAATTCATCCACTAGATGGTGGGCAGTGTCCATAGGATCCCATGGGCCTTCTGGTGGCAGACGCCAGCGCTGAGATATGTCTTCCGCAGCCTCAGGCTTGAAACCAATGTACTCAAGCACCTCTTTCACATCTGTCCGAATGGGAATTTTGGTGGATAGCATGCCCGGGCTAAAGTTCCGGAATTTCACTGAGGCTGAGGATGCTGGGGACGTCGAGGACGTCGACGAGCTTGATATACTCAGTGGAGGGCTTACGAGCGCTGCCGAGACCGTTCGTATGCGAAATGGGGCACACCGCTCACTCCTGGTGAGAAATCACTTTGCGAGAGACCGCTGTTGCCTTGGAAGCATGATTCCGTCTTCTTCTAAGCAATTGATTCGCTCCGGATTAAGACGATCGTAGTCGTCAGGCGACATTGGGGCGGTGGTTAAGGCGATCCTTCGGCAATTCTCTTCTGTCTTCTGGAAGCGAAGAATTCCGCAAGTATGATGGGGATAGGCTTTTCGATGACGGGATTTCTGCGTAGTGAATCCTGCCGGTGATCCACGCAAACCAGTATTCTCCCGAGGTGCATTGTAGGATCCTATATAGGCCGCAGGGGCCCTGTCTACTGGAGGAATTCACTAGGAGATGGGAAGTTCCCGATATAACCGGCCTTCGCATCTTCTTGTGGTCTTTCTAAATTGTCTCGATTATGCCACCCACACTCGCTGCTTGTATGCGTAAAGCTCCGTCGAAGTAGGATGCCTCACGACCCCTTCCGGTAGATACGCCCGTCCGGTATCTCGAGCGCAATTCTTGGACATACTGATGTCCATAGACCCGTTCGTAATTTAACCCCCCCACTTTCGTCTCATCCCCTCGGAGCCTCTAGCCTTACTTTCCAGCTAGCGTTATTTCTTCTCAATAGGAGCCGACCTAGCCCCTACCATCTACTGTGTGACCACCCTTCTGGGGATAATCTTGGATCACAATTGGCGTTGTTGAAAGAGAACGCTGGGAAAAAGCGACATCCAATTTCGCGAGTTAGACCGTAATGGTAGATTGATGGGTCGGCCATCTTTGATGAACTCGTAGTTCTGCAAATCGCAACAGGTATGATTATGACCTTGTGGTGGGAAATGAAGGACGACTTCAAAGATTGTTGTCTACGAAGTATCCCCTCCATTTGCTGGGATTCACGAAAATTCCGAACATTCACCTAACCATATGCAGATACCAAATATATTCACTAGCTTTCGCTGTCGCCTTAACTGAGGTCTAGAGATTTTTAGTTCCATGCAACAACCGAATTAGACAAACCAGAAGACCAGGAAATTTGGGAGAGTAAGATAGCTGGCGCCGAACCCCGAATTGTGATTTTATATGACCTCACTCCCAGCCATGAAGCTTTCACGTTAACTGGGTCGTTCCTTCCACATTTGCTTACCGTGATTATTGAGCGTCAAGTCTCGTTCTTTCAAGTCCACTTGTCACTTTTGATCAGCGCCTTGAAGCATGTCGTCGGTAACATCAACGTCTGAGGTTTTCGCAATTATGTGCGAGGCTCGTACAGTCGTGCAATCCCACCAAGATAGATAGTCCCGCCGATAAAGTGCAGCGAAAGCTCGACAAGACGATCAAGGCCTATCTGCCAAGCCGCCATCGTGAACCAACTTTTACTTTCAACTCGGTGACGAAATTATACACCTATCTTTGCCAGTGATGTTATCCTTCAACGCTACCAATGAAGTCTTCCGCGTTACGATGCGTCTCGAAAGCTTGACCTCGCCTTCGAGGAATTTCATGGATACTCACTTGAGGGAATCCGTGAACACGCTCTTGGGCACGGGTTTGATTTTCCACGTCCAGGCATTGAAAGTCATAGTGGATTCCCAAGAACGACAGTTGGCAATTAGAAAACCACCTCCACATTTGAGAGTCAGTGGACAACACCCATCATGAGTTACATAACATTTACTTTGTAGGGGATTTTATGCCATGGACCAACTCCACGCTTGATGTTATAAGCACCATCAAAGCAGAGACCTAGGAGCCATCGTTGTTAGACGCCGAATTTCCAGATTGGCTGCTTCAGCTCGAGTGTCTAGGAGCAGGTATTTGTTTCCTGTGAGGATTATGCGCATGGAAGGGGGTAGGAAGGGCTGGCCAGGTCTTGAGCGCCATAATTCGATCACACCAACAAGACCTCGTTTTGGGTGGTTTCAAAGGCACGGTGTGGAGAGGTTATGAATACCTAGGTATACGTAAACTGGTCGGAGATGCCAAGGTTCCATGAGTGGAAGATACGACCTAGCTCTCGCCGTTAATCTTGGGGAAGACGGTCACGAAAGCCTTTCTGGCATCCTCTAGGTAAGATAACCCAGCAAAGGATTGGTGGGCATGCGAGTTAACTGGCTTTTGAGTCAAATTGCATTCTACATGCCGGGTACGAAGCCGAATGACACCCTTTTGACAACATATGACCAGACTACGTTCCTTCGTGAGATAGAGATTGGCAGAGGCCGCTTTCTCCGGTACTCACCTGTGGTATTCACAATGTGCCAACGGTACGTGAACTGGAGGGACGGTATTTATATGTGAAAACCCTTGTCATGTTGCCGTATTGACTTGGAGACCCAGGTTATATTGAGAATTATCTGGCTTCCTAGATCGACCGAGGGCCAGGAAAACAATTAGCACAGGAGAAACGACGAATTAAGGAAGCTCCCCAATCAGAGGGGTTCAAATCTCAAACGGGCGTATGGACATCGATTCGTGAAAGAATTGCGTCAAAGCCTGCTCTGCGATGGCAATAAGAGCAAGCCTCCGGAGTTTGAGCTCAAAAGATCAAATATTCGGACCTGGAAGCGAGTCAAGGAGAGGAAACACTGACGTTGTCTAGCAGGATAATGGATTGCTGGAGAAATTAGGCGGGCTTATCCGCAGCGCAAGAAGTTTTACTTCCATGGAGCTCATAAAACCGGACCGGAGATTGTGAATGGTATACTCGAGCCAGTCCAGAAGAGCAAGCAGACGATGGGAAGATTTGACGAACCGGTAGCCCACAGAATCAGAAAAGGCAATCTGTACGCCACTACCAGAGCTCCTAAGCTGATACAGTCCGTCCCTGGGAAGAATCGACAAGGCAAAAGCGCATTCGATGGCCCTGGACCATCGTATACATCTACGACAGGAAGGAATGGCTTAACGAGGGTTGAAGGTAAGAGGAAAGGGAAAGAAAGGCACTGGAGCAGGAGGGTCAGGGCCCTCAACCTCCGCAGATGCACAAGCAAATTGAGTGAAACATACATATGAGAACAAAGGAACGCTCCATATCTACTCCCGTTTGTTGCACTGCAAATGACTGAAGTAGGGGGGGCTCAACAAACGAAAATGGATGTGCTAGATGGTAAGTGAAGAACCAAACAGGTTTCCTTTTGGGCAGCCTCTCCTATTTCGCCCTCCATCCATCTCACTACCCCCAATTTTCCACGTCGATAATCCAAAACAAAACATCAAAACATCCATTTTTGATATCTTTCAGCGGAACCCAGCTATACATCTTTTAGACCTACGGACTATACCTTCCTATAAAATGGCCAACGCAGGCAAGAAAGCCATTTCAGCGTCGCTTGTCAGCTCTGAACCGGCTATCCCAACCTTGCTCTTGTCCTCGTCTTCCCCCGCCCCCTCAGCGATAGACACCGAAATTCCTATTGTGGAAGTACGTCTGGAGATTGCTGGGAGCCTGGACCCCAAGCGCAAGGCCGCAAACGAGGATTTTGGGCGCTGGAATAGAGGGCCAAACCAAGAACAGTGCCCATATACTCTTCCGGGCTATGCATACGAACGGTCTCTAGGGAAGGTCAACGAACATAGGACACAAAAGAGCGGTAAGAGCAGGAAAGGTCGGAAAGGCACCAGAGTGGCCGCTCAGCAAGAGGATCAGTCGCGCCCAAACCCAACAGCCACTATCAATAGGCCAGCGAAGGACTTCAACTTCCCGAACGACGCCCACGCCCGTGTCGAGGTTATTGCAGGCGACCCACAACTCTTACCGGATCACGTCGTTCTTTATAAAGGGAAGCTTTATACTGAGGGGCTTATCCAAGCTGACGGGAAAATCAACTTCGAACCGATAGTCACCAACGAAGGTGGAGATTTCAATGGGAAGCTGCCGGCCTACTACTGGACACCAGAGAAAGACACAGCCGAACACTATCGTGACCTTGCGGCTAGAAACAATTCTCACAATCAAACTTGCATCATCCAAATACAGATTTCCAATTCCTCTATAGGTCAGCTGCAGGAAAAGAGATTTTGGTTTGATAACGAGTGGAAAAGCCTTGTCTGGCACTCCAGATTGTGCGAGGATCCGCCGGATGCGAGTCTCCTTGAGAAACAACTTCTCATTGGACCTATATGTGGGCGCGCAACCCGGAAGATAGGGCGTATAACAAAAAGTCAGATTGATTCCCACCTAACAAAAGATTTTCTTCTCAAACCCCGTTCTGCCAATACACCGGCAGAACAGTGGATGTTCAACACCGCGGTAATCAACGACCTTCAAACTGAAGTGCATGGAAAAATGCACATCAAACTCTTTGACCCTCTGCAACCCGCGCCAGAAGCATCTCCGGGAAATGGGTAGACGTGACGAATCTGGTGATTTGTATGACCTTGGTTGAATAAATCAAGGTCTGACTTTCTGTAAATGCTGAGCGGGGACGCCTGCGGAGTCGGGTACGTGAGAGAGTGCGACGATGTCAAAAGGCCTACGCCTTCCTTGTCTCTCCATCTTCGCTAGATAGTGGTGCATTCGAGATAGATCATAGAAATAAAGCAATAAGGAAATGCGGCCGTGCTTTCGCGCTGCTTTATTCCCCCAACTCATGCGAACAGAATCCATCAATTACTCTCAGTATAGACGGCTTGATAGACTTGGCGGTACGCTAAAGGGTAAAATGACTGATAAGCCAACTGGACGTATAAGCTGTAGACTAAGTGACTGAACAATAGACTGAACATCTGAATATCAGCCGGAATAAATGGCCATGCCGCCGCCTATCAGCGGCGTGTTGCGAAACGCAGAAAAAAAGGGACGTTGACATGTTTTACTTTGAATGGAAAGTGACTTATTTCTATCCCCATTGTGCGGACCCCCTTCATAAGATAGAGAATCGGAAGATTTAATGCTTGCTGTAAGTACTCTTGAATGTAAGTCAGAGAGGTGGAGCGGTAAGAGATGCATTCTTCTGTAGTACTGTACGATTGGTGGAAACTATATAATCAAGCATATCTTAGAAACGATCTAAATCTACCGTCGGCTATTGACTCAATAGCCTTATTCACGGTACCCAGTAGGGGGGAATGCCCCGTGGGGAAGCCGATCAGCAAAGGGTCTTGCGGGGAAGTCGGATATTGTAGTCTTGGCTGTTGAACTCGGTGAAGCTGTATCCGACGATGCTTCAATTGACCGCCAGCCTTGTATGTGGACAATGAACTTCAAAAGACAGGGAGTATCCGTTCAGTATCCCACGTAAAGGAGCCATCATTCTCCTTCTCAAAATGATTATCACCCTGTGATCCCCCATGTTGATCCCCCTGACTCTCTTTGTGGCCGGAGGATCTGCAAAATGGATAGTACGCGCGGCTCGATGGGTCGATACTAACGGGGAGTCATTTGATGTGCACGCCGGAGGAAGTTGTATAGACGACAAGACCGGAAAGTTCTTTTGGTTCGACGAGTATAAGATCGAAAACCAAACTGACGGCGTGGGTGTCTCGGTTTATAGTTACGGTGGTTACTTGGGATCGCGTGGATTGGCGCTTGGTGAGCTGTCTAGCTGAGAGCTTGAAGACCCCGAACCTAATAAAGTCAGAGCCTGTTGAGCGACACAGATATGTGTCTTCTGTGAATCTGATCCAGAGGCCGGAAGTTGTGTTTTATCAGGAGACTCAACAGTACCACGTAGGGCTCTTTTACGAGAGTATTCATCAGAGACTGTGATGCTAAACTTCGCTTCTAGATTCGGTGGCACGCCAACGTGTGGAAAGAAGATATCCGATAAGCTCTAGTATGTTCATTAAGAAGATACATATGTTGCAAGAGGTTCAGCATATTGCTTGAGGTTTGGGTGTGGTCGGCTGGCCCTGGGATCTCAGCCACAGTCACGTGATCTATCAGCCACTGTGGCCGCGGGAGATATGCACTATACCTCGCTAAGAAGGGTTGACCACATAGCGCATATTCAACCCGACATGCTCCTGCAAGGTCTTGCGATATGCCACACTATCCCTGGCCCGTACGAATTCCACAAAGCCCTCGCACCTCTAGGAAACTGGTCGCAGGACTTTGGCCTTTTCAAAGACAACAAAGAGGGTCAATCATATGCCCATTTGATGGAACTCGTGAGTGTAGGATGCTTGAATTGTATGAAGCTCTCACGGTTTGCAGCGAGGCTATCTACGGGCTATCTACGGAGTAGCTACTAGCTACAGACGGAACTGCTGCTGTGGAATGCTTGAATTGTATGAGAGCCCTAGCGCAGCCATCTACCTAAGCCGATCCACCGTGGGTCAGCTGGTGCGCAGGCTAACTATGATAGGCAGGTGCAAGGCTACAAGCGAATAGCAGTGGTCCAACACTGTATTCAAATCATTCCAACAGGAATAGGGTTGAGGGTAGAGAAGTGAATCTCACTTGATTCAATGAGACCGTGACCTTTCTTGAAGAGGTTATTCACCGATCCCCCAAACGTGATCTTGAAGCCCCGACTATCATCTAGACAGAGAAGAGCTACTACGCTATCATGAGCAACAAGACGGGATATAGACGACCAAACAGTAAGACACTTATCTGATGAAGTTCTTACAACGGGAGAAGCTGACCGAGAAACTGTAACTAGAACCGTCTTTGTCAGGCCCGTGGTCTATGCCCTACATGATTGCTCCACCGTATACTCGCACCTTTAGCACGCGATCCGGATACAGTATGAGGATCAAGGGGAGCATGGAGACAACCTATTTCTATATGGGTAACACGGTATGGTGGGCTCTACTTTGGGTTCTCGGCGACCACTAAGTGAACACAGTGGGACATGAACTCTCAATGGGAAAGCCGGAATACAGCTCCCCGTGGAAATCGATGACGCAAAGGGGGACCTCAAGCTGGCCTGGGATGATGTTTAAGATATGAATGTGGACGTGCTCAGCATAATTTGCGTCTATCTACGGCGGGATTCTGAGCGGTCTTAACATATGTCCTCTTTTCAAATAAAACTGGAGACTGGATGTCAATCCGCGGCGAGATATACTAGGTCAAAGACGCCAAAACCAAGGGCGATGCGTTCGTGCAAGAAACGGTTGGTTCGAAAACAGTTTTCCTTCGGTACTCGGTACAGGGAGGGGGGGGAAGATAGGAAGAGGAAAAGAGAATTTGCTAATCCATCTTCCGGATGAGCAGAACTTTGCCGGTAACGGCGTGATGGCCACCGGGATATACGGCAACGACAGAAATGTAGAATTCGAAATTCAAGGTTCTGATAAAGAGCAATGGGTCTCAATCTGTCATCCAAGTGAGCTATGGTGCTCAAGCCACTCATGCCTAAAACAAGGCTGCTAATCTCTTGATTCCGGCAGATATCGATGACATAGGTTTTGGAGACCAACGTACGTTTAACTTTGAGTCAATTCCCATTGAATACAAGATGGAAGCCTTTGGTTACGATGATAACAACAGGAACGGGCCAGCCAGATCGCATCAACAGCACTTTACAACTGCGCTGCATTAGCAATGTTGTGGTCGACGGGGATATTGAGAACGTGCATACCCTCTACCAGAAAGATACACATAAGGGTGTCGTACTCTCTTTTCCGCTCAAGTTGCTGCTGAAGAAGAGCAGGAGCATAGTGACCATTGGGGGTCTATACAATGGGAAGGATTATCATGGCGCTATTTTGGAGAAGGTGATCGTATATTCTCCTGAGGAAAGGGGCGTAGGTGGTGGCAATGAGGGTATTAAGAGAGCACCCGCGGTGATGTGTCAGTATAACCTGTGTTGAGCTAAGCAAGAATGGGATTATTACTATGTCATGGAAATTCAAGGGACAAGCATATGCCTTGACCTCTAATGTTGTATTGCGCTAATTCATTCGTTCAGGGCACCTTGAAAGCCATCTACATTTCTTTTGTGTCAAACGTCTATCTTGCCCTGGATTGGGTTTTTGCGAAGATGATCACCTACAGTGGGGGGAAATGGTGCCGGATAATAAAATTGTGATGTCATCTCGTTAAAAGGCCCATTGATCCGTCTCAAATATGTACCCGCGCATCTATTTCAACTCCAACCTCAAGGCATCATACTGCACATACAAAGCTTCCGGCAAGACGGCCGTTTCAACACTCGACGCATTAAAGGGCAAACTCAAAACAAACTCGTTCTTCCCCTGCTTCAGCTTTGTGGTAGGAAACACAAACTTGTGCTCGATGTTCTGACACGCCACGGCGCTGCGCACACCACACGACCCACTTCGGAAGTAAGGGATCCACCAGGTCGACTCATAGCTTCCGTCGTTGACATTCACAGTCCATGGAAGGTTGCTATACGGATGATCGATGATCGACCATTTCGAGTTTCCGTTGGCTGTCTTGGTGCCGGCAATTTGAACGGTGAAGGTGGCCGTTTTGGCACGGGAGAGTTGACTCTTTGATAGGTCGAATGCAATCGTCCAGTTATTGACATTCTCGTACACAGACTCGTTGCGAAGATGGTTTCCATTTGCTGGGAAAAATGACCAGTGGATGTAATTCAGGTCCTCGGACTCTTTGCTCTTCCCGACTTCGAAGTTCACGCCCTTGGGAAAGTCATCGGTAAAATCATACTGTCCCCAGTAGATCCGATATTGCTCAGGATGAAGACTCTTTGACTCATCCACCGCATAGCCATGACGGTACTCGCCGGCTGATTTATCGGGGACACCAATCCGCCAGATCTCCTTTCCTGCGGTCTCTTCTTTCCACGTGAAGCTCCAGTCTTTGCCGCCATTGACCTTTACGTCGTCCTTGATGAACCAGCCAAAGACACCGTCCGCATAGACAGTAACTCGGTACGTTCCCTTCGCTACCCTAGGAATGCTGAATTTTCCAGATGCATCGATTTCCGCCCAGTACTGCTTTGACTCAGTCTCAAAGACATTCAGTTGGAAGTCCTGTTTATTCTCCGAGAGCACAATGATAGGATGTTTCGCGCCTTTCGGCAGCTTAACCTTCCCTGAAAACGCAGTCCTTCCACTAGAAGAGATCAGGTTCGGCACATACTGCGCAATATCATCATAGAACTGCACATTCCACTCCGGATCTGCAAACCGCGCCGCGTCGGCCCGCAACTCGGACATGCTCGTCCCTTTGTCTCCCTTGTTGAAGTAATAGAACTGCGGTCCCCAGGTCCGGTCGAACCCATGTGTGATATTTGGGACCGGGGCACCGTGATGTCCCGAGACCATGTAATTATAAACGATGCCGTCCACTACGAGATCAGAGTGCAGCGGTCCGCCGTAGTAGCTTTCCCGAGTGTTGTGCACCAGCCACGCGCCAAACGTGTTCCCGTCCGCACTCTGGGAACCGTCAGCGTAGTGGCCGTGGACGTCGTGAGCGCGCCAGCTCTCAGCGAGAGTGTATTTAGTAAAGTAGTCGGAGTATTGCTTCACATAGGGATCGTCGGGGGTGTTGCCTAGGTAGGTAGTTGCATCTTGCACAGTGACAGCCCTGGAATTTGCATCCGAGGACGGCATCGGGCCGTAGTTTGTGTCGCTAGTCGAGAAATGAGTCCAGAGTTTGGTGTTTGGACGGAAAAGCGTGCGCATCTCCCCAAGTCCTCGAAGGAATGGAGTGTCAGGGTTGAAGTACGTAACACGCGAAAAAGCATGTAGGCCTGTTTCGCCGTCGCGAAGGAAGAAGTACTGCGAGAGAGTCTGGTTCGTGGACGCGTATGTATCGGTCATGACGAGTCCGCCATAGGCGACTCCTTCAGAGTCGGTTCCATTGATTAGCTGGACGTCCGCTTTGTCGCTGCCTCCGGGGGTCCAGAAGCCAGATGGCACGCAGCTGCAGTCTAGGTAGGGGCCCTTTCCGCTATTTCCGCTCGTAGGGCCAAGCAGGTCTTGGCCGTCAAGGAAGAGATCAGTGATCTGACCGCTTGATTTGGTAAGTATGACACTGAGGTGATTGTTGTTGAGAGAAATATGAGTTGAGTTCTCGCCAGTCTGCAGCCGGGCAAGCGCTGTGGTTGCAAGCGTGGCCAGCACCGGCAGGGTTCGAGCTTGGAGTGCTCGCATTGTGTTGATAAAATCCAATAAATTGCCCCGAAAAAGATTTTTGAAGGGGCTCCTTGAAGAACACGATCATAACGCAGTTTATATTGTAAATGCTCCAGTGGGGTGAAAGTAGACAAGAGGGGTGTTCGCGCAACTCCGATGATGCTCTCCACCGGCGATTATTCATTCGTGGGAAAATGTCCGTCATAACGCATTCGACGTGCATGAATTAATAAATTCCCCTCTTGGCTCTTCCGGTTCCTGCCAAAATATAATGCGGGGGAGCCAGGAACTAGAGCTAGTTACCTGTCGCTTTGCAGGACCGTCTCCGTTGGCCCGGCTCTCGGGATATATCCGGCCGAATCATGTCCAGCGCCCAAGCTGGTTCTCATGACACGCGACTGACACGGGGAAAATGAACAGTGGCAATCTATGCTGCTTTCACCTAAAGGACGCGAGATGGGCATCTCTGTGGCACACCAAGTTGCCGCCCTGATATGGATTGCCGATGTTCAAAGGCCGACGACGAGTATATGAGGCATGTCGATTATGGAGCCGGGAATTATGATGGGCATTTGCAACGAAAATAAATCGCAACAAACTAGAAATGAGACTCAGATTTGCATTTTTCGTCGGGGTCCTTCTGCTTGCTTCACTCGGAGCAGGCAAGGACCTCGCGCCGGCCCAAGGCCTAAGTCTGGATGCTGAGTATGTGAGAACATGTGTTATCCCTGCAAACGGAGATGGCTCGGATGACTCCCCGGGGATTATTCAAGCCTTCAAGAAGTGTCAGAAAGATGGCGTGATCGTCTTCAAAAACACGACTTATAACATCAACACCGCGATGGAATTTAAGGACCTAAACAACGTCAAAGTCGACATCAAAGGAACGCTCAAAGTAAGCTGACCCTCTCATACCAGATATTCATCTACGGTCCAAGAAAGGCTAACAATGTCACAGTGGAGCGATGACATCGACTACTGGCTCAACAACTCCCTCCCCATCGGTCCCGGTGAGGATCAGAACTCCTATCCGCCCGCTGCGTATCAAAACCAAACTGTGGCTTTCATTCTTGGCGGGAAGAAACTATGGGTTGAAGGCCATGGATACGGGACATTCCATGGAAATGGCCAGGCCTGGTATGACTTTGTGAAGGGCGAGTCCAATTATCCAAGTAGGCAGCGGGAACACTCATTAGGGCTGGCAAAGCACCTGACCATCTCCAGATCGACCACATGCTCTTGTCATCACAGCTGAGGATTCTTACTTCCATGGGTTGCGCTTTATCAAACCTCAGATGTGGTAAGCTTTTGATCATTGTCGATTTATTTACGAACAGAAGGCTAAAAGCGAAAGGACGGTCACTATTGTGGGCTCATCTCGCCTACTCCTTGAAGACATACACGTCAACGCAACCAGCGACAGCCGGCAACCTGCGCGAAACACCGATGGAGCCAATACCATGTTTTCCGACTCAATCACCTTCCGACGTTGGACCGTGCAAAACGGAGACGACTGCATCGCTGCCAAGGCCAACTCCACAAACATTCTGATCGAAGATACGGTTTTTCACAAAGGCCAGGGAGTCGCCATCGGGAGTATAGGTCAGTACGCGGAACGGTTTGAAACCGTGGAGAATGTAACAGTAAGAAATATCGTGGCCCATGCGTCACGGTATATTGGAAGGGTCAAAACTTGGACAGGTGAACAGAACGACTGGCCGCCGAATGGAGGTGGTGGCGGAATTGGTTGTGAGTGCTCAGTCTCCTGTCTCCAATATTTGTTGAAACTGGTGCTAATTCTTGGTATCATGCTACTCAAGACATCCGAAATATCTCATGGGACAACGTAACCATTCACGACGGCGAAAGGGCTCCTCTGGTCATCAATCAGTGCTACACGAACGTGGCGCAGGCCAATTGCAGCACCTCGACGTTCGATATCTCCGATATCAGTTACTCTAATCTCCGTGGCACTATCAATTCTGGCTACATTGCGGAGTTCCAATGTAGCCGGTCTCAGGATGGTTGTGATGGCTTGAAAATGAATGGTGTGGAGTTTACAAATGTTGCGGTTGATCCAGAGGAGAAGGTGGCGAAGGTGAAATGCAGTAATGTTAACGAGCCGCTGGGGTTCAAGTGTACCAATTAACAGTTGGCTCGGACACCTGTTACTGAGTGACAGGGAGTGTGGAACATGTGAGTGAGATGAAGAGTTTGACTAAATACTATGGTTAAGAGGTCAAAGCACGAAGGGGTAATCATAGACATAGGAAAGCTCACCCCTGTCCAGGATGGTTTTCAAACGCTAGCCGATAAGCGATGATAAATATGCCTCTGAAGTAATAAATAATTGAGATAATGTTGGTATTATTGGCGTTGGTAATGCATTGCTTGAAAACCTGGGAAATGGTTATTCAAATTCATTATAATCAAAAAGTCGACAATTCGGTTGTTGGCTGGACTTTCCAGTTACCAGCACAATCTGAGGGAGACTCTATAACCAGTATAGATCTTGACTCGTCAGCATTGTACCAAACTCGACCTCATAAAGCCGCGTAGATTACCTATCTATTATGGTTCCTTTGTTTGGAGAAGGGCAAGGCCCATGCAACACTGGTTCAAAACACGAATGTCAGGGAATGACAACTTGAAAGGATACCGAGCTCCATGGCAAAGAAAGGTAGATACCACCACAGATGGAACACTCATGAGATTACCGACGCACAAAATGAGCATTCATCGATGCCAGGATATGCAGGTGTTCCTGACGGGTCAAAGTAGACACTAACTGGCTTTGAGGATTAGGAACAGAGAGATTTGCTAGAAACCTCTGTTTCAGGAGAAACAGGAAATCAGCATGGAAACGACCTAGCTCAGACCCCATGAACGGATCCTCTTCGCGATAACGATCGGCCATGGTATCGACGACGACGCGCATGGCTGGAAGCCAGCGCAGGTTAGAAGTGAAGATCTCTCTGTAGTCTCTATTAACCTCCCAGCGCTGGGCGGCATCCATGATGCTCCAATGAAGCATCCCATAAATGACTCGCCCAGCCTCATAATCCAACTCGCGATCTGGGCCGACTCTGTCCCTAACGTCTATTGCATACTGATCGAGTCGTCGATTGAACCAGGACTCGTCTTCTTCATCCATGGCTCGAAGAAACCTTGCCATGGTGAGCCCGTCGATGAAGTAGTATTCGCGCTTCCTAATCATCAACCAACGAATGATGAGCTTGTTTGGATCGTCGTGAAATTCGAGGAAGCTGTGGACTACATTAAATTGCGATAAGTAGTTGATCACGGACAATCGATCACCAGGAGTTACATTTTCCAGGATGACCTCATTCGTTTCGGTGATGGAATGAGTGATCGGCATTGTGGCCCTGAAAGGATTCCAGGAATCTTCAGGATCCTCAGGATCCTCATCTTCATCATAGTCCTCGTCTTCATCTTCATCTTCCTGGCCGTCTTCACTTCCCTGGCTATCCTCATCTTCCTGTCTGTTTTCATTCCCCAGCCCGTTGTCAATCGCCCGGCGAAAGCGACTAACGATCGCGTTTATCTCTGCATCGGAATACGTCTCACGCATAACGTCAATGTCCTGCACAATCCTATCACACAGCTCCAAGGTCTGTCTCTGGCGGTCAAGATTCTCCTGGTCGCCCTCGTTCGCCTGGGTAACGCCAGGACCTCTCTCTCCTGTGGTCTCCATTGTGACCTTCTAGGTTTCGCTAGTCAGATGAGAGGATATGTTTGACAGAAGTCCCGTGCGATTCCGAAGGGGCAGCAGATGGGTAGATAGGAAGTTCAAGACTACAGAGCTGCAGTCGTGATTTCCGCGTGGTTGTTAGATTAAGGAGGTCGTTCTTGCTGGTGCGTGCAGATGACCTGGTCTTTTTATACCTTTCCACCTACTTTAGCATAAAACGATACTAAGATATACTAGGAGATACTCCTTATCCTTTTGGACCTATAGCAATCGAACAATGGATGTATCTACGTTGAGATAGAAATGTTGGTCATTGGGTAGCGTTTTTAACGGGCACACGCGGGATCCATGTATTTCTTTGTATGGTTGTGCTACAGGACGTCAAATATGTCAAGTTAAGGCCACATACCGGAGAATAACATGTAAACGGATATGAGGCATGGAAGGATTGATCATAGCAAAGGGTCAGCTTTCTATATCTGAGAATTGTGTGAATTACGGTATATTATCAAGAGACTAATTGTAATCATCCTACTTCATAATCTTTCAACTCATGCTTCCCCTATCTGTCGTGACAGAAGATACGTGACATCTCCCGGGTTCGGATCCGGAATCAAGGGGTGTTCTGGTTAAACAGGTAGTTTCCATCAACTTGTCGTGGCACAGCTTGGTTGTAGTTGTCCATATCGTCTGTGCTTTCTCAACCTGACTGTAAATCGTAAACTGTTCGCCCTTGAGTAGCAGCTTGTGCAGTGTAGTCCAACACTCGTCATTGGTCTAACAGAGTATTCTGTATGCACAGAAGTGACTAGAAATGCCATCGATGACAGGATGACTTCCATTGTTCAATACACCGCATTATACCTCGGTTGATCCATCTCAGGAAAATAGGCAGAGGGCTAGATGGAAATCACTGATCCTATAGATAAACACTCCCATCAGCAACATAACACCGAACCAACACCCAGATGAAAGTCCCGTGGAAAACACAACGAACAAGAAAGCAGGATCACCACATCCTCTCCCAAAACCTCCTCACGAACCCCATCTCCGCCAACTCCCGCTTCCTCCTCTCCTGCACACCTCCCTCCTCCCAGACCCGACACTCCTCATCAATTTCCGCCTTCCCTTTATAGATATCCGCCTTCACAGGATCCACCCACTCCGTGCGATGCCAGAGCTTCCAAAACACAAACATGACGACCCACAAGGCCAATCCGAAATACGACGTGATGAATCCCTGTACGCTGAATGGTTTGAAGACCGTGAAGCCGTTGAAGAGCGTCACGGTGCAGCCTATGATCGCGGCCAATATGGCCGAGTAAGGCTGCAGGGGCGATTCCCAGGGCAGACTGGTCCGGGAGATGCCTTGGGCACGGAGAGCGCGGTACCAGGCGAGGAAGACAATCACCATGCTTGTGTAGGTGACGATCAGGGCGCAGGTAGTGAGGTCGACGAACCAGTAGAAGACGGTGGAGGAGGAGTTGGAGGCCACGAGGAAGGTGATGCAGCTGAGGACCAAGACCGTCGCGACGCAGTAGATCGGGACGCCGGCGGCGGTGCATTTAAGGAGGAAGGCTGGGGCTTGGCCGTCACGGGCGAGTGAGTAGAGCGTGCGGCTGGAGGAGTAGAGGTAGGCGTTTCCGCAAGACCAGCCGGCGAGCAGGATTAGGAGGTTGATCAGGTCGGGGAGGCCGTGGATGTTCAGGTTCGTGATCCCGATGACCCAGGGGGATGCGGCGGAGCCGGCGCTGCCGTTGTCGATGGCGGAGAGGAGACGAGGGTCTTGCGAGGGGCAGATGATGCCGACGGCGAAGACGCCTATCACGTAGAAGCCGACGATGCGGTAAAAGGTCATCTTGACGACGCGGGGTATCGTGAAGCGTGGGTTTTGAATCTCGCCGGCTGCGAGTGCCGGTAGGTCGGGTCCTGCGACGGAGAAGCCGGCGTAGACCATCACGGAGAAGAAGCCTAGGAAGCGGCCTGTCGTGCCGTCGGTATAGTATTCGTGCATGACGCCGTTCGTCCAATTGCGGAATCCGTAGACGTCGTGGTTGGGGTTCCCACCGACCATCGTGATGAAGGTGAGCAGGACAAGACCGATCAGTAGGAGGACTTTGGTGGAGGCCATGATGAATTCGCTCTCGCCGTACCATTTCACCGCGACTACATTCAACAGGAAGCAGACGACCAGCGCCATGGCAACCCAGACGGCCGGATTGACGCTGGTATTCCAGTATTGCATGACGGTGGCCACGGCCGCATATTCGGTGCAGACTAACATCAGTCCTCCATAGAAATATACCCAGCCCCTGTCCGGTCAGATCAAACTTTATAGGGAGATAGGACCAGGCAACTCACATGGCAAACCCAAACGCAGGGTCAATATATCGTGCAGCCAATTCAAATATCGACCCTCGAATGGGCAGATAGGCACACATCTCCCCCACGCACAGATTGCATGGCCAGATGAAGAAGATACCATAGCACAGATACCCCAGAAAAACGGACAAGGGGCCCGCATCGCGTAGATACGATCCAATCCCGACAAAAAGACCCGTGCCGATAGATCCCCCGATGGCCATCAACTGTACATGTCGAGGCGATAGACCGCGCTGCGTCTGACGGTATGGCGTGATGGTGCCTGAGATAACATCCTCTGGGACACTATGGTCCTCGACAGAAGCTTTTTTTTCCATGACCGCGCAGGATGGACTACTGTATCAGCCCTTGGTGGGTTCATATGAAGCCTGGAACGGAGTTTATATATCCGCAGCCACGAGGTGGAACGATAAACGGCCGCATTGTGTATCCTCGCACCACGATTTCCGATACAGAATTAAGCATATCTTGACAAAACCCACCCACTGATAAGATGTTATCGCGCCGATCGCGACCAGCGACCGGAAGGGGGAAGAGAAGGCGATGCTAGTGGCGCTGCCAAGTGATAAGGCTCGGTGACGGGGGCAAATGAGCGATGCCATTGATAGTGACACAGATAGACTGTATAGACTGAACAGCCGGGGAGATTCTCAGTCTAACCTGTCCCTCCACACGGCCTGCAAAATTCGAATTCTGGAATATGTAATAACATTGATCGTAGCACACGGATGCCCTATCGGACAGCTGACTGACTAGATAGAAGGTATAAAATTGGTAAAGAGGAAAACACCGACAAAGCCTATTTGGATATCATGCGCCGCGAAGACCAGACGGAGAAGAAGCGAAAGTATTAACATATATTAACAATAGAAGGACAGAGCTAGCAACACCTCCACAGGGACATTTAGCCAGGCTCAGTATGCGATCAACTTCATAAAGATATTTGGGCAATATCACCGCCCGTCGTAGTGCTCGTGGCTCTCGGGGATCTGCGTCATCGGCACCGGCGCCTCCAACTCGGTCGGACCGCGCTGATATCCCGACTGAGGGGGCATCTGGCCCATCTGCTGTGCCTGTTGTTGCTGGAAATTGGTCGAGTCCCAGCTCCAGTGTCCGCTCGCCGGCTGCGGCGGCGGGGAGAAGGCGCGTTGCGTAGGGTCCGGGCTCGAGACGAACGTGGCCTGATCGCCCGGATGCCCCGGTGCGCTGGCAGTCATCTCGCTCTTGCGCTCGCCGTGGCTGTTAAATAGGGCCCATTGGGCCGTTCGCTCGGTGCGTCCGTCCTCCGACGACATCCACTTCTTGTATATGCGGTTGCGGCCGAGGACGAAAAACAGGGCGATGAGGATGGCGACGAAGGCGACGCAGCCGACAACGATACCGGCGATGGCACCGCCGCTCAGTCCGCCGCCGCCGCCCTTGTCAGACGAACCGGTCGAGCTGGGAGATGAGCTGGCGGTGCCGCTGGGTGGGAGGTCTCCTTCGGCGGGGGGCGATTGTCCGGGCACGAGCATGTACGGATATTCTTTGGCTTTCTTGTACTGGTCGTCCCAGGTCATGCTCGAGTTCTGGACCTATTAGCAGGAGATCGACATGGAGATCGTCGATAGACTTACCGGGTTGATGACGCCGACCATGCCATTGCCGATACATGAGTCGATGGCCGTGCAGTAGAAGAACGTTGGCTGTGGGAGTCAGTGGGGCTTCTCAGATCGATCTGCTATATTCAAGATAAACTCACAGCAGTGTCATTTACAACCAAAGACCAGGTCGGAGGCTAGACTCTGGTTAGTCTCGATGTATCCGGATCATCTCCCTACAGATACTTACAGGTCCCACCAACTGTCCATTATTCTCATTGAACCGATTGAACTCCCCGGAATAAAACACATCCTTACTAGCCGGCACACAAGGAGCCAGATAATCCGCCTTGACGACGGAGTGATTGCGCGGATAGAACTCGAAGATGATCACGTCGCCGACATCCGCCGTGATGTTATGCGGCGAGTACTGATGAGGGTCTTCCTTGGAGCCGACCTTCACGGTATGCGTTGCAGTACCCGTGGTTGAAGAAGTCGTTTTCGACGCAGAGGTCGTCGTTGCAGTCGTTTTGGCCATGCTCTGCGTGCGAGTGCCACTCCCCGTCGCGGAGCCGTATGAATCGTCCGATGAGGTTGTTTGTGTCGACACCATTGCCGCCTGCAGGGCTAGCAGCAGCCATGTCATCACACGCACGGGAGATGGCATGACGAGAGAATTTTTTTTTTTCCCTTTCCTTTTGTTCCGCAAGTTCACGGCGTTTCAGAATGTCTGGGGGGTTGCCGTCATGCGGGAGACAAGTCCAAACAAAGAGTCGGGCAAGAAAGAAAAGAAAGGGAAAAAAGAACTAAAATAAATCGAGGGAAGTAACGGAGAGAAATAATAATACCTACGAAAGAGCGAGAGGGGTCAGCAATCAGCCCTTAACAAAGAGCCCGACTTTTTTAGGTTCTTTTAATTCCATTTGATTATTAAATCTAGCAGGGCCGATATAACTAAGAACGGCCGTGGCGCAGACCAAATGAACGAAAAACCGACAGGGAAAACAAGCAGACAATAACAAATAATCAAGAAGCGATTCATTCATCGCTTCTTGGACCCAGAACTACTGCTGCAACCGGTTTAGTTGGCGCTCGTTGGCGGTGATCCTGGGCCTGTCTGGTTCGAACTAAACCATGGATCCGGCGCCAGCCATTCACATGAAGCTCTATCCGAGACTTTGTGCTCTGCGCTTCTCCACTTCGTCCCCGTGGGCCAATTCGGGCCTTCATCTGGTGCGAGGGTGGCCCTGCTAGAGCAGAAATCACTCTTCTGACTGGTCCAGCGACGGCATCAGACCGATCTAATGGCCTTGGCGGACACCAAAAAGTGATCAGGGATCATTGAAATCGGCCTAGTCCAGCCTTGCGCAGCGAGTTGACTCCGGTGGACTTGCCCAGTGTTGTCCTGTTCGGTTTAGTCTTGTCCAATTTCTTTGGCCCCCGTTTAAAGGGTTAAGGGACCCATTTGTAGCCTCGCCATGATCCGGCCGATGGAGATAGGGCCGAAACCCTTAAGAGCCGCTTTCAGTTCAGACTCAAAAAGAGTCCAACCTACGGACTCCTGCCGTTCAAAACAGGAGTCTCAGCTCGTGACGAGCGTCTGCGCCTCCACCGAATGGTCCGGCAGCGAGTGTCTGGTGCACTGCCGGCGTGAGATGACGCTCAGCTCGGATTTCCCTGCCTGCGACCGTACGGTTTGTCCGACGGTGGAACCAAGGCACTAGAAATGCTACCTTAGCCAGGACTAGCAGGTCGATAGTTAGCACTGGGCAGCAATTTCCTTCTCGTTTCTCGTTTCTCTCTTCTTTGTTCCTGTTCAGCTCCACTCTGTCAAATAACTTCCGTTTACGAGTCCAAGTCTGGACCGCAGCGCTGAGAGATGCAAGACGACAGCCGAGCAGGATTGATGACATGACAGTTGTTGCTAGGAAGCCTAGGATTCAATGTTAATAATTAAATCTCCTCACGTGTGCATGACTTGACAATCCATGGTCATCGCAGCCACCGGAGATTCCCGTCAGCATTCAATAGAAGCAGCGAGAAAAGCCCGAGCCTGTACGATTGGCTTTCTTGTACAGCGAACCGACGCCATGAGGATTTTAGCTCGAACGATCGCATCCAAAGATTTCGTGAATACCAAGCCTGAGATCGCTCGTTGATGTTTCAGACCACGGTGGAAATGATAACAGATAAACCGTAAACACACATATTATGGAGTACATAGACCGATCTCTTCCCTCCGTTCACTGTTCAACTCCGTAGAGTCGGAAATGGATCTCATCCATCGAAACGACGTGCTTATCCCCCACAATAATGACATCAATCTGCATACACAGCTGCTCTTCACTGTCTATCCTCCGTCCTCACGGGGCATCTAATTTGTGGAAGATGGGCGATATTCTGTCATCTGGAGAATTCTCCCGTTGGTGGAATCTTCTCTCCAATCTATCGTGAGTGATGGATAACCGCCGACCATGGAGTCAACAAGATGTAGGCAAGGAAGTATGTGACTATAAATCACAGCATCACAGCGCGTACAGTACAGACTACTACAGATCCCAGTCTAATCCCTGACGCACTCTAACCGACCCCCCCCTCCGGAAATCCACGATATCACCATGAATCTGCGCCTCCTCGCCTTCACATTCTCGGCGCTAGTCCTCCCCTCTTTTGCCTCTCCTCTCCCCTCATCTCCATCCAAATCCAAACCGCCGTTCTTCCTACTAGCAGGGGACAGTACGACGGCCACGCAAGCGACCAATGGCGGCGGCTGGGGCGACGGCTTCCTGAACACGACGCTCCACCACGGCGCCAACGGCTTCAACTACGGCCACAACGGCGCAACGACCGTTAGTTTCCGCGACGGCGGCGACTGGGATACGGTGCTGGAGAAGGCGGGCGAGGTCGGCGACGTCTACGCGCCCTACGTGACGATCCAATTCGGACATAATGACCAGAAACCGGCCAAGAATATTTCCATCGCGCAGTATACGGCTAACCTGGAGCGGTTTGTCGCGGAGACCCGTGAGGCAGGGGCTACGCCTATCCTGGTGACGCCGTTGTCGCGTCGCACGTTTAACGAGTCGACAGGGACCATCGTCTTGAATTTAGAGTCCGAGAGGGTCGCGACTATCCAGGCGGCGCGGAATTCTAAGGCCCGGTACATTGACTTGAATCGGGAGAGTACGCGGTACTTGAACGCCATTGGGGAGGACCAGGCCCATAACTATAACCTCAGCCCGGACGATAATACACATCTGAACGTGGAGGGGAGCCAGGTGTTTGGCGGCCTTGTGGCTTCGTTGATTGTCGGTGTAATTCCGGAGTTGAAGCGCGCGGGGTTTGTGGCGGTCGATGGCGCGTTAGAGACGGCGTTGCGGAAAGGCGAATATTACTGGCCTGAAATGTAGATTGTTAATTAGTGGGAAATTAACGGTGTTTAACGTGCTTTATACTCTTATTATTGGTGACGCTGGTGGAAGTGTGGACACGCCGAGATGAGCTGGCGGGCCGTCTCTCCGCTGTTCCACCGACTTTCGTGATGATAAACTCATGAACGAGGAATAGCACACAGACAGATGGAATCGCAGTGTTAGTTCAGCCTCAGCATGGAGTCGATGCAGGTAGAACAGCACGAGGAGCCCGCACCGCCACGTCTTCTCCTGAAACTGGTCAGCGCGGGCTTCGCGTTCTTCGTTGCAGGCCTCAACGATGGCAGTCTAGGGGCTCTCATTCCATACATTCGCGAGTCCTACCATATCGATACAAACCTGGTGTCCGTCGTGTAGGTTCACAGTCTTCCCCGACCACATTGCACTTCACTGACATCATCCCTGGTCGATCAGCTACGGCACGACCTTCCTAGGCTGGCTCATCGCCGCACTATCCAACAGCTATCTCGGCCAATACCTCAATCTCGGAGTCTTCCTCGCTCTCGGAGCCAGTCTGCAAGTCCTCGCACACGCCCTGCGCCCCTGGACGCCTCCGTTCGCGCTCTTCGCCGTAACCTTCTTTTTCGCTGCCCTCGGCCAAGCCTACCAAGATACCTATGCCAACACGTTCGTCGCGTCCGTGAAGGCCGCGCATCGCTGGCTAGGCTTTATCCACGCCATGTATATGGCTGGATGTTTGGTTGCGCCGTTTGTCTCGACCGCGGTTGCTTCCTCCTCCTCCTCGTCCGTGTCCTTGTCGGTGGGGCCGACAGCCAAGTGGAGTTTATTTTACCTGGCGCCCCTGGGTCTGGGGGTGTTGAACTTGGGACTGGTCGTGTTTGCGTTTCGCGATTCGCTGGGATTGAAACGGCGGGCTAGCTCTACTGGAGCTGGAGCTGAAGGTGACGGAGCTATCGATACGGCGGCGTCAACCAGGGAAAGCAGTGCGGTCAAGGAGATGTGGGCAACCTTATCGCTGCCCAGCGTGTGGGTTTTGAGTTTGTATTTCTTTTTCTTTCTGGGCGCGGTTATCACCGCTGGTGGTGAGATCCCCTTCCTTGCGATCGAACTAACCTGTTCTCGTATTCCGTGCCGTGGATATGGTTCTGCGATACGGTTCTGCATCTGTCCGGAATCTTGCTGATGATCATCTCCAGGCTGGATCGTCGAATATCTGGTTCATGTTCGTGACGGCGATCTGAACCAGATGGGCTACGTGCCGGCTGGGTTCTACGGGGGTGCGTTTCTAGGACGACTGCTTCTAGCCGAACCGACGTATCGGTTTGGTGAGCGGCGCATGGTCTTTGTCTATGTGTGTTTGTGTTTGGCGTTGGAGCTGGTCTTCTGGTTGTATGTTTCCAAATTCCTTACAGTTCTGGTCTAGGCTCGTGCTGATTGTTTAGGGTGCCGAATATTGTCACCGAGGCTGTAGCGATCAGTCTGTTGGGCTTTTTCTCGGGGCCGTTCTTTGCGACGGTATGTGTTTCTCGGATTGGAGGTCAGGAAGCTGTGCTAACGAGATTAGGGCATTTCTGTGGCGTCGAAGCTGTTTGATGTTGGCATTCGGTCCTCGGCTCTGGGTTTGTGTTCCTTCCTTACATTCGGATGAGATGAGCTAATTCTTGTAGCGTTTATCTTTGTCCTCGGACAGGTTGGTGGCTCGCTGTTTCCGGCCATTACAGGGGTTATTGCAGACAGGACAGGCGTCAAGGTCCTTCAGCCGATCTTGGTCGGTTTGCTAGGGGCTACGGGGGTGACGTGGTTGATGCTGCCGAAGAGCAGACTTCATCATGAATAGTGGGAACAGTCGAGAACGCAACAGATTCATTCGGCAGAGCACTATCAACAACTTCCCTCACGACATCTTAAATACATAAAAGCAGGAAAGCAGGAATGCAGGAGAACAGGAAATCAAGAAAGCAAGAAAGCAAAGCACACAAAAGCATGAAACATTCTGAGCCACTCCTCTCCCGATCCTTTCACATTGGCTACTACACCGTGACCACTCTCCCAATGATCTAGAGAACCTGCACGCGAGGTCCAGTAACCCCAATATCCCACCGAATCGCCACCTGATCATTAACCCCGACGAACTCAAACCCAGCCATCTCACCAGCGGGGCAATCAAACTCAGGATATCCATCATAGGACATCACCCACTCGGCCACGCCCGGAGCAGCGACCTTGATCCGTCCAATGTGCTCATCCCTGGACTGCACGATCACCTCAGCAACCTCCTTCGAGGCAGCCGCGACAGCCTGAACGCTGACCTCGCCGTCCTCTTTGGCCTGCGCGCCCGTCGGCTTCGTCGCGGTGAACACGTCGGCCTGCTGCGAGCCAGTCGAGACGTCTCGCTCCCACAGGTCAAAGAGGAGCTTGCATCGTCGGCCCTGGAGGTCTGGGGAAATGTCGAATGTCACGATGGTGGTCGTCTCTTCGGCTTGGTTGCCGTTCTTGAGGACTAGGAGCTGGTCCTGAGGGTCTTCTTTGAAGACGCCGCTTTGCACCCAGTAGCGGTACGTGCGGTAGGGGTAAAGGAGGGTGTCGGCGCGCGCGGCGTGCGGGAGGCTGGCGGCCGTGGCGAGGGTGGCGGCGCCGATGAGGGAGAGGACGGTATATCTCATTCTGATGGTATTGGTTGGGGATTGGTTTCTTGATTGATTGATTGAATGTGAATGCTGTTGCTTCTGGTGTTGTTCTGTGGATGATGATGATGATGATGATGATAATGAGTATTGACGGGATATCTACACCTTTATATACCTTTTCCTCTCATCCTTCTCATTCTGTCAACAACCTCTCTACTCATCCAACACTCACAAGAACGACAAATATAGAAAGTACGATATGACACATCCGGACTATACGGCACCGTCATGCCTTCCCCATCGCGAATCACATCCTCATTGTCCCTGTTTCTCATATGCCGCTCGCGAAGAACCGAGATCTCGTATCCTGCTCGCCTTACTGTCTAAGGTCTCTGTATATGTAACCTTTTGCCTCAGAATGGAATCATGTCTCTGTGTCTGTCTGACTGGTTGGCCTTGTGTCAAGGTGATGTGGAGGTACTGGCAGAATGACTTGTCGTCTGTTGTACGGCTACATTCACGAGGTATGGGGTAGACTACAGTGCCGAGTATACAGATCAGGCGGAGGTACTGGCCAATGAACCAGTAGGCAACTGTGTAGGCAGATGATGTGTCTAAGACAGTAAGACTGCACCTGCCTGAACCTGAGTAAGTCAGCCAATGACGTATATTTCTCAATGTCTAAGTCAGGACTCTCCCTGTTCCGGGGAAATGACTGGCTCGACCGTCGTATTCTCCATAGCCACGCGGGCGCTATTTTTGTTCCGGGGAACCCCGGCGTGGGGGGGAAGATTGTCGCTGGGAGAGGAGTTGATTGGTGATGAGCTCAGAGAGGCGTTGATTTCTGGGCGATGATCGACGCGATCTGATCCTTGTTTTGTTGGTCGGTTGGGTAGGTTGTCCTGGTAAGGGAGGACTGCACGAGTGGTTTCTCGTCGGGGAGTTTCGGTGGACAGTTATATATAGAGCGAATGTCATTTGTTCTGGAAGTGACACAGGTTGAGCGATATTTTCTCCTTCGAGTTAGACGGTCGTCCTTTTGTCTGCCTTGGGAATTTGTCTGTCGGTGTCAGTGTTGGTGGTCACACCGACTGTTGGGTTGTATCTTTATTCGTTGTGTACAGAGCAGGGATTCAGCCTTACGTCGCCTACTACTGGGTATGTGTCTCGGTGGTAAAAGTGAATGTTACTTGTCACTTGGACGGCTTCTAGACATCAGTCACTAGCAGTCTCGAGTTGTGTACTCAACCATCTCAACAAACATTCTTCCCCTCCTCCGGATCAATCATATCCCCCTCAATCCACGCCATATAATTCCAATAATCACCCTGTCTCCCTTCCCCATCAACAGTTGCATTACCCGAGAACTTGGCTGTCCAAAACGCACTCCCCCTCGTCTGTTCCTGGAACGCATAAAGCCCTGTATTCAGCGCCCTCTGACGTCCGGCCAACGTATTTGCCTTCTCAGCCTCAATCGACCACTCGCCTACAAACGTCGGGAACTTGCCGTCTCCTGCTGAGGCGATCGCATCTTGGCAGATATATTCGGTGATGTTTGCTCCTGTGGCTCCTCGTCCGGCGAAGTAGTAGTTGTGGACGTCGAAGACGAGGTTCGTGGTGTTTTTGAAACTCGGAGACCAGAAGCTCTCGGGACGGAAGCTGCCTTGGAAGACGATAGGAATCTTTGCGTTGACTTTCTCAACCTTGGAGATCACGGACTGGATATACTGCAATGTCCAAGTCGCTCCCTCGTCTGATAATGCCGCCGGCGTGCCAAACGCGGACATATCGGGATTATCGACCGGCTCGTTGATCGGCGCGATTGAGTATCCATCTGGATGTTCAGATGTTTGCACGAACTTGATCACCTCGTTGATGACTTCCAGTGAGTACTTCAGTGCCGTCTCGTTATGAAACCAATCATAATGACCCTCTGCCTCGCCGAAGGGCATCCCGTTCACGCCACCAGGAAGGGAATGGACATCAATGATAACGTGCATGCCGTACTTAGTAATCGCGTAGGTCGAGATATCGCGAAGGAACGAAAGCTGGTTGCCCGTGTAGAGCTGCGATCCGGGGACCTTGAGCCAGGCGGCGTAGGTCGTGGGGATACGGAGGGTGTTGATTCCCGCACTATGAAGAGTGTCGATGTCCTTGGGCGTGATGAATGTCGCGTATCGTCGTTCGAGAATGGAACCGCATTTTGAGCCTTGGTTCGCGCAGAGTCCCCATTCGTCTGGGGCCCCGAGGGAGTTGGCGGCCCACCAGGTGGTGTCGATGGTGGATTCTTGACATAACCAGCCGCCGAGGTTGACGCCATGGACGGTGTGGGTGCGCCAGTCGAGGTACTCGGCTGCAGCTTGGGTGAGAAGGGTAGAAACAAGGGCAAGCTTGGGAATGTGCATGATGGCTGTGTTGATGGGGTTGCTGTTGGGTTGTTCGAGGGCTTGTCTGGTCCATGTGTGAATATTTATAGTTGAATTAACAGGCTTCTCCACGTCGGAAGTATATTATCTCGAGGTCACTGACGGCGTATTTCGACGATGTAGATCGCTCGGTGATTTCAATCTCACCCCGAAGGCCAGTGGTGGGTATTCAGGTCCCTGCATTTCCTGCACGCGTTGGGTTGTACATCTTCAGGGCGCTTTCTCCGCACGGGGTAGACTCCGCATGCTCCACACAAGCACATTGTTCTCGATTCCGGGGATTCTGCATGAGAATGTGGGAGAAACGAGCATAATTACATGTGCACAGTGGAATGGTGAATTGCTTCGGGCTCCGGTGCCGGCTCCACATCCCGATTTAATATAAAGTGCTCAGGTGTGTGTCGGAGGAAATACACCGAGGACTGCGCGCGGTGCCAAGGTGGAATCTTTCGTGATAGCAGGATGTAGCATGGCTCAGCCTTTGTTCTCTCAACTTAGGTGATGTGAGAATCGACCAGTATGGTCGACACATCCGTACAGCTCGTTTGTCTCTCATCAACTGGATACGCCGTGCTTTAGCTCGTACATGCCCATCATCACAGGCCCCCCACATACCGATGTTTATACCCTCAGTCAAGACATTCACCGTTCTGCCACGGGCCACTAGACTCAAGGACACGAAAACAAGCTCTCATCTTTCCGACATGCCATTCGCAAACTCGGCGAAAGCTCACCCGACTGAATAATAAAATTGTCTCCCATAAAACATGATCGCGGCTGAGACTGAATGAATGTGAATATTCGTGAAAGCCAAAGGCTCTCCCGCTGCTCACCCACTCGAACAAAAATATACCAGCCCCCATGAGAGAGAGTTATCTTCTTCCATCGCACAGCCCATTCTGTCGAATACATAGGGGAGCGATCTGCCTCCGAGAGAGGGGCTATCGTATCATTCTACACCTGCATTGCGATTCTCGGTGCGTTTGAATTAGGCTTTCGTGCCAATTTATTGCTCTGAATCGCGACGGCACAGGAACGTGACAAATTATCGAGTTTGATGCAGTTTATGCTCTCGTGGGATTTTTTTCATCTTGTAGTGACTTGGTTGTAAATGTGTTTAGGTGGACAGTCATGTCTAGTGTCGAACCACATTGTCGTTCCAGGTGACCCAGGCATCATTATGTAGATGGGATTTGGGTTCTTCCGGAGTTGCCGCCATGGTTGGTTGAGAAGGCATGCTTTGAAGCCAAGACGGTAATGGACCAGTTGCATGCCGACTGTAAGTGTCCCCACTTCCTGGACGCAGCGCTCCGTGGAAGTGTGGACAAGATCACAACCGAGAAGTTGATCTCGATGTGGGATTGGAGAGAGATACGTTCGCGGGCGGTTTATCAGCAACACTTGGTACTGGTGATAGGTATCTGGGCATTTGGACAGTTGCCGAGAATCGGCTTTGGACAAGGCCCCTTGCCCATTTCCAGTTTCTTAAGACCCCCGTGTAGGAATGTACCGTTCCTCAGCTTCTTGAGATGTTAGAAATCGGTTCCGAGACTTCGTTATGGATCATCGGCATCTGTAGGAGGGAATTCGTTCTCGACCCCGAGATCGGACTCTTGTTTGAGAAGGTCCACCGAGTAAAGCCTTGCTCAATGTTCTCTTGTCGTTTTGAAAGAGTTCAACTTTTAGCTTTCAATTCTCAATTTCCCCTTCGCGTGGAATCTGATGGGGCGTGGTTATTTGAATGGAGGCAGGAGATATATCTCCGCGGAAGAGGAAGTTATCAGGTACCCGCAGATCTAGGAACAAGAGTCAGCTCCGAATACTGTACTCCTGCTGTGAAACTACCGCATCTCATGACCAGAACTTTGGAGGCGTGTAACCACAGCACCATGTTATTCTAACTAAATGGCCTGATTCAAGATAATTATCTCACGCCTAGCTCAAACAGCTCCAGTTTCGTCCATACTTTACCCTCAAAGACAGCCAGTCCAGACTCGTCCAGCCCTACAAACACCATCTGGCCCTGATATCGCGTGCTTCCGCCATCGCGATCGCCACGCGGAAAAGGCTGCACGAATCATGCCAGGACGCCAACATCCATGCAATGGTTCTCGTGATTGGTTCCGGACATGGGGCCGCACGGGTCTTGGACGGTCCATTCATTCGAGAAAGAAGGTTAGTCCGCCACAAGCTTCGATCCTGCATGTCGCAATCAAGGCCACGGGATTACGCCACTGTGCCAAGAGGGTAGGAGCTTGGCGGGTTGAATCACCCGGAAGAAACTGGGTGGAGGGTGAAGCTCTGGCGGGTGCGGCGGAGAGGGAATGCTGAATGACGGAGGGAGGTGGAAAGGGGATGAGGTATGAAGTATCCCAAGTCGGGCACTCGGGGATGCCGGAAGAGGCAGGCAGTAAGGCAGCAAGGCTCTCAGGCTCTCAGGCTCTCAGGCTGCCAGTCGATTCATGCGGTGATCAAGTGACTCCACGTGACCTGATATGCCCTGACGCACTAACCCAAAGCGGCAGCATCGGCGGCCCCGGCCTGTCCAGATTGGCTGAAGGACGCCCGCAATCTCCAAATCACCAACGACGAGGCCATGTCGAGCACCACCGTCGTAGCGCGATGCTCCCAAGACCTTGGCATGGGTCCCTCTATCAGAAATCTCGCAAACTTGCTGGGCCAGGATCAGAATGCCTTCTCTGACGCTGCTTGGCATGGCTCGACCAATTCCGGGGGTCACTAGCATGGCACCTGCCCTTGCCCCCGTCTCCCTTGGCGTCGGTCGCAAAATCATACAAAAACCACCAGGCGGGCTGCGCTGATGGTTTTCTTGTGCTTGCTGGATTCTTGACCTCTTGCATGGTCGCATTGCTTATATTCACCTTGCATATTGAATTCATTGCCGCCTGCGTCGCGGGTTTCAAGGCAGGATGATTTCCCGCCCCTTTACCCAGACGCTTGGTCGACGTTTGAAGCAGGTCGCAACCTGGCTTGCTCCTCCGCCGCAAAAATCGGAAGATGGGCGAGACCAGTGGCCTTCTCGAGCGGCTTTTCTGCTGGCTGCCATGGGTGGCTGCGCCGGCCAAGGAAACCTCCTGCGATACCCCTCGGTCGTCTACAACAACTACGGTCTGCAGTGGTTTATTCCATATCTGCTAGCTGTCTTTGCAGTCGCTATTCCGGCCCTGATTCTGGAGATCTCGATCGGTCAGGCATATCGTGGAGGAACGGTTATCGCATTTAATAATATCAACCGGCGACTGAAGGGTGTGGGCATTGGACCGGTTTTGGTCAGTTTTATTGTGACGCAATATTTCACAGTGAATCTGGCATGGATCATGAATTACTTTCGCAACTCATTCACCAGCCCCCTGCCGTGGGAAGGTCGCATCGAGGAGTTCTACATGGGTGACGTGGTCGCCAATCCCGATCCCATTGCGGGCAGCCTGACCGACGGGAACAAGGGAGTCGCCGCGTATACGCAATACCCATCGGTGGGCCTCCTCGGCGAGACAGTCGGATGGAGCGCCTTTATCTGGTTCCTGATCTGGATTTCCATCTTTCGTGGTGTCGGCATGACCGGTCGCGTTGTCTACTGGACCATGGGTCTTCCGATCGTCACTACGATCATCCTAGTCGGCCGTGCGTGCTCCCTCGAAAATGCCCGCGAAGGCGTGAAATTGCTCTGGGCGACCTGGCGTGGCGGGCAGCTTGCCTCGGGCACTGTCTGGCAGACGGCCGTCGGACAGGTCTTTTTTTCAACCGGCATCGGCTTCGGTTATTTCACCTCATATGCGTCATATAACGCTAAGCATTCGAATGCCGTCATGGACGCGGTTCTCATTTGTGGCAGTAACGTGCTGTTCGAGAACTTTGCTGCTTTCGCCGTGTTTGGCGTCGTTGGATACCTCCGCCGTTGGCCTCAAGACGGAGAGCGACTGGGCGCGTTCGTCGTCGGTTTCCTCACGCTGCCTGAAGCCGTGATTCATATGCCTGGGGCGAACTGGTGGGCTATCCTCTTGTTCTTCACGCTGGTTGTGCTCGGATTCAGTTCTGCTTTCGTGATGCTGGACGCCTGTGCCACGCTGGCCGTCGACGCCGGTGTCAAGCTGCCTCGACCGGTCATTGTGACTTCCCTCACCATCATCTCCTTCCTCATGTGTTTACCCTACTGTACGGAATTTGGTTTCTATCTTCTAGACGGAATTGATCGCTGGATCAACAACATCTGCCTCATCTTTGTCGTCTGGTCCGAGCTTGTCAGCGCCACTACAGTCTACCGCTGGCAAGACGTTGTCAGTCAGACCGGACTTCCTGCCTTTCTGTTGTACAACTTCGGTTACTTTGGTGGACAGATCGTTGGTGTTGCCGTCGCCCATGGCGTGGAAATGCCAGAGGCCGGCGCCGGCGCCGGCTTCGGTCTATACATTGTTTGCACCATCGCCTCAGTCTTCCTCGCCTCGACTCCAACTATCAAAGCAGCCAGCTTCTGGGGTCGGAATCCCTTCCTCAGCCGATTCTGGTATCTGGCAAACTACTCCGTACGTTCCCTTCACATCTATACAAAACATCATACCTAACCAAAACAGGGCAACCAACTCCGCCGCGACCTAAACGCTCACGTCGGTGGAAACGGCAACTGGAACATCCCTCGCTTCTGGCCGGTACTGCTCCGGTACGTCAGCGCGCCCATCCTCGCCATCATCTTCAGTTTCGCGTATCCCGAGTTCCACACCCTGCGCTACGACCCCATGATGATTGCGGGTTTCATCCTGGCGCATTTATGCCTCGTCGCTATTCTTCTCGGGTTTGTGCTGCCGCGGTACTATGACGTGTTCATTCCGCCGGCTAGGCGCGCCGATGGCACGGAGCCTACTGTTGCTGGGCAGCCGAAGACGGAGGACTCTGGGTTGTCTGTTTCGGGGCCGTTCGACTTCGAATCGGGATTGCAGGAGACGGAGAGGTGGAAGGGAGAAGGCGAGTATCGAGTGACTGGGAACCATCCGTTGGGGGCGAGGAATTTGGATTAAATTGGTGTTTGAAATGCGCAAGGCTTTTCATGCGTGTACTAAATTGGCGTTTAATAATAATCCCATGGAATATGAGTACTCACCGGTCAGTTTTGTGTCATGTACAGTACAGACGTGGTAGTCATTCCATATATTCACGTTCGAGAGGCCACATGCACCACCGTGGTCAAATTGATGAATTGAATATCTTGATCAATACAAATGATTGATTGATTGATTGATGTAACTAGAGGTCATCCACGTCGCCTCGAGGGGAAGGCAAACGGCGATGCTTGGCAGGTTGCCTCAGGCATCCGATCGTCAACAGAGACCAGTGGGTAGACATTTCCATGTTATCCATGTCCTAATGTTATGGGAGCATTTGACTGCCTCTTCTCTTCATGACAGGGGTCTTGATGTCGCGCATAATATTTCTGCCTCAAGGTCCGAACAGTACCCCAACTCGAAAAGACTACGAACATAGCTAGATAGTAGACCCTAGTTGTCTGAAACTGTCCCTTTTCCAAGAGAATCCCAGTTTCTAGCTATATTGCTAGGACTGCAGGTTTTGCTTAAACTTCTAAGGGCAAAGATCCGTGACTATTGTTCGGTGATTCACTATTAGTCGTACCTTGCAGAAAATGACTAGAGCAATTATTCGTACAGGCATATCCATGGTGTTGAGATGGGAGTTAGCTCTGCTGTCTTTTGCTCATAACCTTCTTTGCCTCGTCCGCCACATTATAGTTGATAATAGACCTGCTTTTGCGCGAGAGAATGCTGGGGAAGAAGCCTATTCCTTCAACGTTAGCAGTCAGTATAGAATGTTGTTCTCTAACTTGAGCATATCTCGGGAACGAGAGAAGAGCAAGGCGGGAGGATATCTCAACCACCAGGCAAAGAAGTCCCCAAACCCTAACAGATCATGCATAATAGGACTAGAACAAGCAACCGCCAGACTTGCATCAGACCGGAATGACAGAATGAACCCATTCACTTACCCATAATCCAAAGAACAGCGTACATCACCATCTCCCCGACCCAGCCTACATCGCGCTTATTATTCTGCATTCGTTTCGCCTCGTTCAAGATCACCTCCACGTGTGGTTTTCTGATCTCAATATACCGTTTCGCAGCTCGAGTGATGGTTCTCTTTGTTCGTAGGATGTCTTCTTCCGCTTCCTCTATCTCTTCAGCATCCTCTCTTTCCTCCCTTCCCTGGGTGATGGAATGCACTAAAAACATTCCCAACGCCTCCCCATCCTCCATACCCTGTGACGCACCCTGTGCGCTCGTCGAAGGTAACGCATGCGCCGCGTCACCGACCAGTATCACGCCGTGTTTCTCCCACGTTTCCAGGACAGGAGACGTCCATGTCGGATAGATGTTTTCGACTGTGAGAGTTGCGAGAATGGATTGGATGATCGGGTCGGTCCAATTCGCGTGCCGGGATTTCAGGTCGGCGGTTATTGTTGGCAGGGAGATGTCGGAGGGCGTTGGGGGTGGGGATGGCCAGGCGTAGGTGGACCACCAGCTTAGGGTTTCTCCGGGGGGTGTTATAGTGTATGGGGATGTTGAGGTTGGGTGTTCGGAGGATGAAGAGCTGGGAAAGTATCCGAAGAAGCCGTTGCCGCTGAATAAAAGGGACATTGTGCCTGGTTTGAGGTGTGTCTTGAGTGATGCCGGGAGGGGCGTGAAGCCGCCGACGCCGATGAGGCCTCTATATAAACTGATTAGCAGGCCGAGCTTTCCTTTTCTTGATAGCCACAGACTAGAATATATTCTGGCCGAAATTATATTAACGAAAGAGGTAGGATCATCATACTCATAGTGTGGTCCATATTCATACCTCTCCTCTCCATCCTCCGTGAACGTCCTAAACATCCCCCGTCTTGTAACGCTCCTCAGCCCATCCGCCCCAATCACCAAATCAACCTCTACCTCTCCACCATCCTCAAACTGAAAGATGTTCAACCCGTCAGGTCTCGGAATCACATCCTCCACCCTCTTCGTAACAACATCTTCGTCTGGAACTCTGTCCCGCAAACATCCCCAGAGCCCGTGTCGACTACTGGCTATCATATTCATTTTCATTCCAATACTACCGTCATGGCTCTCCTCGTGTGAATCGGATTGGGAGAGAAAGACCTCCGGGATAGGTCCAGCATCAGAGTTTGAGTCTAAATCTGCTAATACCCTCCCGCTCTTCGTCTTCAAAGACATGGTTGAGATGGCGTAACCGGATCGTACGATATCCTGGATCAGTGACTGGGATGGATCAAGACGAGAGAGAACGCGCAGACCGTTAGGCGCGAGGCCGAGTCCGCCGCCGATTATTGGCGTTTTAGTGGCCGTTGTATTCTCTGCGTCATTGGAGTTGGTGGTGGATGGGGGATCGGGAGAATGAGGCGTAGAATACGCTTCGTAGATTGTTATGCTGTGGATACATGCTGCAGGGAGGTGCTTTTTCAGTGAAAGGTAGGTGGTGCAGCCGGATATGCCGCCGCCGATGATAGCTATCTTCATTTTGAGGTTGATCTGTAGATGATGGATACGGTATAAGAACTTGCGTAGTCGAGTCAGACAGTTCTCCGACGAGAAAAGTACGAGGTCGGAAAGATATTGATGAGTTCAAATATGAGTCAAGCAATACTACGTCTCGTGTTACCCCATCTATTTGAACCCGTCGACGTCATCAACACGAGCGCCACAGACTTTCAGTCACGAACTTTATACTTTGATTCATATTATCGACAACGGCCCCATGCGGTCAGAACCACGGTTCACGATCCACGTCTCGAGATCAAAATCTATGTCCAATAATTCTCTGCCTGTTCGCAACCGTGCCATTCCCCCGTCCACTATCCTTCCACTTCTCCAACCATACACCCACAAACCGCACCACCTCCTTCTGCACATCGACCACCTCCTTCGGCGGAATGCCACCCCTCGTCTGGTTCCCAGGCACCCCGTTCTGATCCCAATGGTGCACCGCACCCCGGATCCCATCCCAGACGTCCTCCGCCGGGATATCGATCAGGATGAACGGTTCTTCGTCCGTGGATTCCCGGTCTGCTGTCCCATCGGCGTGCGGCGTCGCATCGCGCCACGGGTCAGCGAGTCCGTCGATGATGGCGACGCGGGGGTATGAGAAGTCGAAGCCGCCGTGCTTGTTAATGTTCTCGACCTGTGGGGGTGTGGTGATTCCGAACTGCGAGGGGCAGAAACTTGATAAGTTCTCGATGTCGAGGACGCGGGATACTAGCGGGAGAATGTCTTCGGGGACTCCCGTGCCAGTCGTGAAGTATCCCCACTCTGTGCAGACTTGGTAGCTCCAGCTTGTGCCGGATGATTTGGGGAGCGGGCTTGCGGCTGCGGAGTTGTTATTAGAGGTCTGAGTATCGGTGTCTGCGTCGGCGCCTGAGGCCAGGTCGGAGTATGAAAAGACCAGTTTGTCGAGAAAGCCGACGTGGTTGAGAATCTGCGTTACGAAGGTCTTGTTCTGCGCGTCGTAGCCCGCCACGTCCACGATCTCTTTGATCGATTCCTCGACCTTCTTGGTCTCAGGGTACAGCCGGTCCGTGCTGGTAATGTTATCGCAGTACCGACGGAATCCGAGACTGCCAATCGAAGGATCCCAATTGCGACCTTGGAAGTCGTCCAGCCCGGCCGAGAGGGAACTGGCAAATGTGAAGTCGTCGAGGTCGGCAGAGGCCCCGATCGCCGTCTTCAACTGCGCGTTCAACGTCTTGTTGTCCGCGTTGTCGATCAGCACCCGATCGACAATGTCGATGAAGACCTGCGTCGCGTGGATGCAGTCTTTCGGGGCATACTGGCGAATCGGCTCGTAGTACTTCCAGTAGTCGATAATTGCGGCCGTCACGCCTGACGAGGACACAGCGCCCCAGTACACCTCGGGGTAGAGCTTGCGGAGGAAGGCGACAAAGGCACCGGCGTAGGACCCACCATAGGCCAGCCACGGCGTCGACTTGGGCGTGAGATCGACATGCTCGAGACCGGGGAACTTCACGTGTTCGGCGAAATAGGCATAATCGGCCAGCGCCTGGTCCGTGGACAAGAAGCGAATGTTCTCCGTGTCGAGCTGTTCGAAGGGAAAGCTGCTGCCGTAGTAGCGATGCTCGAGGATGACCCCGATGCCGTGGTACGCTTTGGCCAGCTGCGTGACGATGCCCTGCGACAGGAAGGGAAAGCGATCGGTGGCATCGGTTTCTCCTGCGGCGATGACAATCACCGGTCCGCCTTTCCGGTAGTGACTGGCGTCGAACCAGTACCGGAGGTTAAATTCCTCGTCGGTGTGTGGCGCATAACGCGAATCGTTGTGGAAATGATCCACGGGAACGGACAGGTTGTACTCGGGATAGGATGCCCCCGCTACTGAGCGTGGCGTTAGTCCCGCGACGCCGGTGGATTTATGACGCTGTTTGATGGCGTGCAGTCGAGGCACCGCCAGCTCGAGCGGCGTGTGCTCGAATGCCTGTGTGAGGACCGCTAGGAGGACCAAAGTCCCCAGGAGCGACACTACTCGGGCTGAGAAATACATCGCGCAGTGACTCGCATGCGGTGGTTGGTAAAGGGCCGGACATGACGAGAGTTAAATAGGCCGTGTTTCTTCAAGGGGTCGGCGATCGACCGGAGTCCGGCAGATTTAAAAGACAGGGAATGGCCTCAGTTGATAGACTGATCCTGTCGGTCTCACCCCATTACCCCGCTTGATGATGCGAGGAATGCAAGGTCGTTGGATTCTGAACCTGCGGAGTGAATCTGCACGGTGCCTGATCGGAGATTTGCAAGATGCCATACACCTCAACTGCCCGACATTCAGTTGCCAGCAGGCCCCAAGCGTGGAATATCGACCTGCCCGATAAGGAAAAATGCCTGGCGTCGCGGTGGGCCCGAATTGATCGGCGATGAGGGCATTCCGGAATCCGGCATCGCGTAGGTACTGTGTAGGCTAAGCCCCTGCTAGTGCTGACCCGGACAATCAGCTCAGTTTTTTTCAGTTCACAGCAATCTCACATGGCTCATATGGAAGCGGCCCATTTCCCAAAAATCATAGGCATAGCACCTTGAGTTATTATCAGTTTCATTGTGCTCGTTAGCTGTTGTCCCTTGTACCTGTGTCAGGTTCAAAATCCCCACATCCCTAGACCAGATGGATCAACAGTCTCTGTGCTCTCTCGATAGTTCACAGTTTACATCTGCGATTGTGGAAGAAACATAAAACAACCTTGACAAATCGTGGTAGAGATCAAGGCGGGCATGAAGACAAGAATAGAAAAACATAAGGTAAACAAAGAGAAGAAGCCACAAATGATCATTCCCTGGGTGTTTGACTTGCCACCAATCTCCAGAATGCCAGCCCGACTCTTCGCCAGCGTCCAACATCATCTACCAGCATGACGGGTGATTCCAGTGTGAAATTATTGCTGACACTTTCTTGATCATCTGAATTTTTTCGCCGTCTTGGAAGATGATTTCGAAGATTGCGCCGTTGACGGCCTCAACCCACTAGAGTTTGCACTGCGAATCGTTTTGTCGCATAACTTCATGAATGCATCCCAAGACAAATCGTTAGCCGGGGTCTCGTCGAGCTCTATGTAGCGGCGCAAAGCAAAATCTGGCATCTCGCCTCGAATCCCCCCAAGCAATTGGTTACAGGCCCAGGAAGGCGAAGTGGCCATATACGAATCATTCGTGAGCCTGACTAGGTCCCTCAGTGCCTTCACAAACTCAGGGATCGTCCCAAATTCTGAACGTGAGATGTTGGATGTTCTATCCAAGAGATCGGCAGGTGGGGGTACTACCGCTGATCGAATCAGTTTCAGCAAGTCGTCGGGCCAGGTATCTGGCTTGGAGAAATCCGTGACTCTCATGAAGATGTCTTTTGAAATGCTACTGAGCAACCAGTAGCGCACAGCCTTTGCTGCTTTCCTCCATTTCTCATAGTCACGGTCACCAGGAGCTGGCCGAGGAATGGACGAGTCGATGAGATCAGTTAGGTCCAACAACTCCAGTGCGCATTTCACTCTCCGAACCCAGAAACTCCAGTCTTCGGTCTTTGACAGCTTTTCAATCCGGGGCAACCTCGTGTCGAGACGTGTGGGCAATCCGCTGGCTTGAGTGATTTCCGTGCTGGCAGGGATTACCGCGATGGAGAGGTCTTCGACCTCCACTTTGCCGGGTGTACTAGCAGGAAGTATTGGAGATGAGAAGTCGCTAGACGACATATTGCGCGTGGACTGATTCCTAGCACTCAGGAGAGAGCCTTGCGTACAGAAGACTCTGGATTTCTGACAGTCTTTCCCCTCAGAGACCCAAGGCTCTGTCCCTTGCAAAGGTCATGGTCACGGGACATGACCTGTCAGCCATGACTCAGCCACTGAAGACCATCAACTCTAGACGTACGTGGGACATCGAAAGGCCGCATGGCAGGGTGCGTTCTCGTTTAGAGTGCAGCTGGCAGCTGGCAGCCTAGATTGCGGGATGCGATCATCGAAGATCGGACTGGGTTGACCGCAAGTTTATTTACACCGGCTTCTTGTCTTCCTGTCCAGACACGCCTCCCGTTCTTTCTCTTCTCAGCCTCCAAATCGCTCTTACAGGGAAACGATTCATCATGCATCTTTCTAATGCCGTTTCATTGACAGCCTTCAGCGTCTTTGATCTCGCCATAGCAGCAGCCTCTTGCACGTCGGGACAATGGGTGAACCTGGCCCCGATTCCGACGCAACCCCGTCAAGAACATGGCACTGTCGCCATCGGAAACTCGACCATCGCCATCCTGGGTGGCATTGTTCCATTCGAGCATGGCATACAAACCACCGACATCCTCCAGCTGTATGACATCGTTTCGAACTCGTGGCGCACCGCATCTCCTGCCCCCTACCCAGTCAACCATCCGAACCTCGCCGTCGTCGACAACACCCTCTACCTCCTGGGCGGCTTGGTTGACGGACCCTTGTCGCCCAGCATGATCATGAACTGGGTCGCTTCCACATCCTCTCACGCGTACGATCTCGCAACCGATACGTGGACGGAGCTAGCCCCCATGCCGAACGGTACGGAACGAGGAAGTTCCATCATGGGCGTACACGAAGAGATGATTTTTCTTGCCGGCGGTATGACCGTGCTGCAGGCCGAGTACCAGGATGCGGTGAACATCGTCACCGCGTTCAACACAACCTCGGGAACCTGGCAGAGACTCGGCGCAGAGGCTGCCGAGCTCCCCCAGAGCAGACAGCATGGCAGCGGTGCGGTCATCGGTGATACATTCTACGTCGCTGGTGGACGACTTCTTGGGCAGGAGAATACCCGGGACACGGTCTTTGAGCTGGACCTCGCCAACCAAGACGCTGGCTGGCGCACGAGCAGCGGCCATATGTCTGTTCCCCGAGGCGGTCTTAGCGGCAGTGCGGTGGGGTCCAAGTTGTATACCTTTGGTGGAGAGGGCAGTCCGACCACACACACGGGGCTGTTCAATCAATCCGAGGTGTTTGATACCGTGTCGCAGCGATGGGAAAGCCTTGCACCCATGGCCGTGCCGCGTCATGGTACTCAGGCTGCTTCGTTGGGCGGTCGGATCTACATTCCGGGCGGTGGACTTCAGCAGGATGGCAAGAATGTCACGATCGATGGAGTGACGGCCATGAATCGCCCTACGTCACATTTTGACGCTTATTGTCCTTAACCCTGGACCACCTGTGAGGATTGTAGGACACCTACATGATGCAGCAAGTTCGCGCTCGTTAGCCAAATCATGAGACTCCTGTATCATGCATCTTCGATCAACAGCATTAGCATTCCAAACACAGAAGATGTTTAATTAATGATTTCAATGACAACCGTGATTTCACTCATTATCAAACATCGACCCTCACGTAGGTAAACAGCAAGCATACCACAACCCTACGCAGCATTCCGCACCACTCCATCTATGATCTAAATAAATTAGTCCATTGCCTCTCCTCATCACGTCTTACCCAAGCCTACTTGCAAAAATCCACATCCCAAGCAACTTCATCAAATTTCTATTATACAAAATGCAAATCGCCTCCCTAATCTTCGGCATCACAGCCCTCTTCGCTACTGCCGCGGTGGCTGATAAAACTTGTACCCCCAGTTTCGATTACTGCGCGAGTGAGCTTTTGGAAAAGAAAGGTAAGCAAACATATGCATGGGACTTCGCCGTGGAGAGAACAACAACATATCGCCCCCAGTGGCCAAAAATCCCAAATCAGGAAAGTAACACAGCCTCCAGGTTTCTCGGAGGATGATCTGAAGACGGCCTTGAAAGGCAGTGAATACGAGAATGAGGATTTCAAGAACATTCTCTTCCATTGTATGAATCCGGGGTATGTGGGACATGCGAAGCTTTGTGCGAGTGGGTGTGAGGCGTCGGAGCAGGAGGGAAGTCGGAAATGTTAAGGAAGATTTTCCTTTCTTTCTCTGGGGACTGGGGGAAACGGAGGCGATTTGATGTTGAGGTGGATTGGGAATGTATACAGTGTATCATGAACATTCTGAACATTCATTGAACGTATAATCAATTGAAGGGAGGTATACTAGTACAGTCTCCGGATATCATGACAATCCCGACACATCATACAGTTTGCCGGTTTTCACATCCATGACTCAAATAAGACATAATAAGGACCACTTTTCTCATTCTCAAATGCCGTCAATCATGCTGCATACCATTCACTCCTCCCGCTTCTTCTCCTCAATCGTCCAGTTATTCAACACCCCGACTCCCACATTCAGGTACGCCGCAAACCCAGTCCACAGGGCATACGGCACCAGCATCAAAGCCGCCGTGCGGTCATTGTTCCACAGGGTCCCAATCAGCGCCGCCACGTTGCCTCCGAGCAGGACGAGATCCGCCAACGCGTAGCTGGGTTTCCGCGCGGAGAAGAACAGCGGCATCCAGAGGTAGTTGAAGACTAGTTGTGTGCTGAACAGAGTCTGCGCGGTAGAGGCCCAGCCCTGCAGGGTGGTCGCGGAGGGGTCGGTCAGGGAAGTGACGGTGCCGGTGACGGTGGCACGGTGGATGGCGTAGCCCATGGTCGCGTACAGGAAGGTCCAGACGGGCGGGAAGACCCAGACAGGGGGGTAGAAGGGAGGTTGGCGCAGGGATCGGTACTTGCGCTTCGTGCTGCCACCGCCTGGATAGGAAATCAGCGAGCGGTTCGATGCCTTTACAGGCGCGTTAATTGGCGGAATGGGGGAACAGACCGTTGACGAGATAGCCGATGAGAGAACCGCCGGCCATCGGGGTCGCGACGGAAATGATGGGCGAGGCGAAGATCGCCTGCGGGAGAGCAATAGACCAGGGCATGACCGAGACTCTACTGGCAGGTCTTGTCTGGGGAATGTGGAGGAATGGAAAGACGCCGGGGATTGCGGTGAACGGTGGGGATCGCGACGCTTTTAACTGCAAGGCAGGTCTGGATTCTAACCGATCGGTCGGCTACGTCATTGCCAAGGTAACCGTAAACAGGTTCAGGGCGGGCCGAAGCCGCTGAAAGATGGGTCAATGTGGATGGTGCTGTAAGCGAGCATTGATGCATTAACCGAGAGAAAGAGAGGAGGATGGATAGTTGAAGACGCAAGATGGAAGGAAGGAAGGAAAGAGAAAGAAGGAAAGGAAAGGATCTTCGTCGGCGAGAGTCTGTGGCACGTGTTCTTCTGTTGGCTGCCTGAAGCCTGAGGCATACAGGTCCCGGCAGTAAGGCAACCAGGCAGTCAGGCAGCAAATGGATCTCTTTGGCTGGAGGCTTTCCTCTCTTTTGATCCTCTTGCTACTTCTCTTTGAAGGCTCTTGGATCTTGAGCTCTAGCATACCCTACCAGTAGTACTCTCAATACATGTGCTGTCGTCTTTGTGCTTTATATTGTACCCCCTGTTTGGCTTCCTGTCCCGTGTCCTTTTATATATTCCGATTCTACTGCCACCTCCCACAGACTTCAAGCAGGGGACTTGCTGTTTCCTTCTCAAAACATAATGTTTTGAGTGTATTGTCAGCAATGGCTTCCTCGCAATTGAATGTGGTAGTGATTTTCAGTTTTTTCCTTCCCTCTGTTATTCTTCTCTGCTAATGCAATTATAGCATGTTTCTCATTCGACCCTACTCTTTAACTACAGGCCTGAATCGTATCATCAACCGATCATTTTTATCCCCCGGTCTCGCCGCAAGCCTCCCACTCGGTAATACCCTTTCATCAGGATACGCCAATTCCATTTCGAACGCCGTCACCAAAGCAGCCACCATAACCCTAAGATTCGCCTTTGCGTACCCCGACCCCATGCAGTTATGCGGCCCATGCAGGAACGTTAGCATGGCATACGTGCTATCAGCGCCTCCTTTCTTGTTTACCTCGCCCGTCGTCTCGTCGATCCATCGCTCCGGCTTGAATTCATTCGCGGTCGGTCCCCACAGATGCGGTGCCCGGTTGATCGCATACGGTGCTATCATCACTCGAGTTCCCTTGGGGACGGGACAGTCAAGGATGGACGTGTCCTGTTTGGCGACACGGGGTGTCAGTGGTATGGAGGGATAAAGACGAAGGGTTTCGTTGCAGACGGCATTGAGAAGGGGAACGCGTTCGAGACGAGTCGTGATGTCGGGACTTTGCATGGCCCATTCTTCGGGCGAGGCGCAGGAGAGTAACTCTTCTCGCAGAACAGTCTGGATGCTAGGATGAGTGGCAAGGAGGTAAACGGACCATCCCAGTGAGCCGGCTATTGTTTCATGTCTTTGCTCTGTGTTAGACCTGCTGTTGATATGATTGACTCTTAGGGACATGGAGTTCACAACTCACCCCGCTGCTAGAAACGCCAGCAATTGCTCCACCAGGTTATCATCCGTGAATTTGTTTGACTCGATGAGCTTGGTCAGGAAGTCCGGGGAGCTTATCCCGTTGCTTTGTTTCTCCCGTCTGCTCTCCTCGATGGACTCCCGACAGAACCGTCTCAGGTAGTCAGTGGCCTGATTGAACCGCTCATCCACCCTCCATGGAATCCAGTCAATCAACCAAGTCAGCCTGCACAACATCGCGACATACAGGAAGCTCTTCCTCCACGTGCCCGTAAACGCCGCCGTATAGGCCTCGTGGAGGGCAACCCGCGAGGTATTGAGCGTCTTGAGATCGCGTCCTAACCCGGCAATTCCAATTATATCCAGCGTTGTGCGCGTAGCCCAGACATTCATATCCACTATACCCGACTTATCTCCTCGGTCCATGGCACTACCGCACTGTGCTTGCGACCCAATCTCGCTTGCAATACCACGGACCAACTCCATGGTCCGACTCCATGACAGCGACGCAAGCTGTCTCGTATGCCTCAGGGTGAAGTTCGGCGTGATGTCTTTGCGCTGGCGCTTGTGGATCTCGCCCTCGACAGTGAGGATGCCGCCTCCTAATATCCGGCTCGTGAATTCGCGCACTTCACTGGGCTTCTCGAACATATATGATTTCTTGGAGAGAACGTCTTGGAGGGCCGCGGTGCTCGTGGGGAGTAGATGATCTGAGTTGAATAGGTCGCGGAAGAGAATGATTCCTTCGTTAGGTACTTCTTCCACGAAACGCAAGTACTCTTCCCCCAAGGGCTGTTTAAATCGGGCTAACGCGTGACCGAGGATCGGGTAGCCACCCTGTCGTCTGTTTGTTAGAGGTGGGAAAACGAAGGGAAAGTCTGTGGGCTTACCTTGGCGCGAGGGAGGGACCTCAGGGGACTGACGAATCGAGGGTATATGAACACATTGTATACAGCCCAGGATGCTATGAACAGACATCCAAGCAGTGCCGATCGAGATACATTGACCAGGAACCCTTCTGATGCTACCTGAGGACCTCCATCCACCTCACTCGAGAGGTTACTCAGAAGGTGCCCCAGTTCCATTGGAATAGACATTTTTAAGGATATGAAGAATAGAATGACTGCTGTCATACTCTCATCGTCCATCTATATCTATTCTCATTTTATCCCTTTCCTTCCCCTTTTTCAGAATATGGCTTGCTGAAAATTCAATAAATCACTGTCAAATATTAGCTGTATCGGAGAGGAATAAAATGTCTTTCTTTCAGACCCACCACCAGCAGCTATACGATTAAGTTACTGTGGAAGAAAAAGAAGATTCTCAATACTGATCACATTTCATGCTAGGGACTTGATCTATTCCCTTGTTTCTGCATGCGCTAGATCGGACATGACAGAAAAGAAGGTGCCGAATATGGCTCGGGATATTATGATATGCGCCCAAATGAATTATAGTCCGCAAATGCAAGGGCGCATCTTGGAATGAACACATGGCAAGGGGCTATCAAACATTTAGAACCTTCTGTATCTGACTGATCACCATTTTCTATCTTGCCATGGGTCTTCTAATAGGGTTCTACGCTCTCGTGCGATCATTCTAGTTAAATCAAAACTTCATACTGTGATCAGCATAGAAGCCTAGGAAGCCACCAAGAGAATGTTAGAGCACTACTATTCATGGATCCAAACTGCCTGCTTTGCCTTACACGCAAGTACGGAGTATTGCTAAGGGGCAACCCGCGGAAATGTCGATTGGGTCCCTGAAAGCCCTTGCAATGAGATGTATCAGATACCCCTGAACATCAATGTGACTCGTCTACCTTCTGAAGTATAATTGAGCTCTACGGAGCACTAGATCGCATCGAGTCAATGAAAAATCTCATTCCAAACATTGCTTGGTATTTAGCAACCGCGCTGTCACGGAATCCGATTTCCAAGGTTCTAATAATAATATCATATACGCTCGGTGTTTCTCATACTTTGACACGCCAGATCCTGATCTCCAGCTTGCCTGTCAATAAGCTCCAGGTACCAACACGAGGGACCTGCATTGACAAGTCCGACTGTCACGTAGAGTCTACATGTTGGGTAGATCGGTTGTCGCACACTATTCCTCCTCATGCCTAATGATGAGTCTCGGATCCAACTTTGTCAAGATGCAGATGGGATGTATGGAGATGGACACCATGCGATCAGATCTTTGGTTTACGATTTCTGTACGGAGTGCATTAGCGATCATGAACAGTGATCTACAAATAGTTCTGATATCAGATGTTCTGCACAAGGCGCATCGGCCGATTCTTCGGAAAAGCGCGAAGAACTAGTATACCCTCTTGACAGCATCTCCAAGGGAACATCCGAAAGCCTAAGATAGGTTCTAGTGCCCTGGATGGAGCCCCTCACAGGGACGAATCTCACTATCGTGCCGCTCGCCTCACGGGTCGGACACTTCTAAGCGGCTAGAGTCTAGACCACTGATAGTTTTGTGCTTACTACCGCATTCGACCTCTATCCATCTAAATGAGATCTAAATAAGACCGGATTACTAGCCCCTGTCAAGCAGAAAGGAGCCAGGGTTATGGTCAATGTTTGCATAGTGGCTCTTCCTGGAATACCTTTGTAGGCCCTCAATCTCAATGAATTTGACTTTGCTTCTGGGTATAATGTTCTATAACGCTGAAAAGGAAAGGAAACAAAAGAAGATGACGTGGCACGTTTGACGCCAGCCATCATGCTGTAGTATAGGTACCTGAGAAATCCATCATCGCCGGGCTGTCTAGTAATAGGAATGATTCGAATCGCAAAACCTCGTTCGTGATTGATGACGAGTTGATTGCCTTGCTGATGTTCTGCGAAGAAGATGCCCATCCATCGAGCAGCTTGCGCCAGTAGCATGCTTCAGCCGCTGGAGTCAGATATCGATCGCGAAAGGTGGCGATGCTGTTGTTGGCAATTCGTTCCGATAGTGCTGGGTCGTCGAGCAGGACTTGCATCTTGTCCGGCAGGTCGGAAAAGTCCCGCTCTACTTCGACGAAGTTCTGGTCTGGGCCGGACGATACGAGAAGGTAGTGGTGATGTTGGATGAATTGGAGTTTGTGTGCGATTACCACGGACTTGCATGCTTGTCGGTACTTCAACGAGGCGGAATACGATCGACCTTTGTCAATGTTAGCCTCCGTTAGGAATTCGACTGTTGCAAAACGTACCTTCGACGTGAGCGATATATCGATACCGACAATGATCCTCCATCGTCATGAAGTTATCCTTCCGGTGCCAATCCACCTCCTTGACATCGCCCCAGGGCTGGTTCCTCGCTGCTTCTAACAAGCCTCGTCGCATCTTGGGCGCAAAACTCAACTTCCCTCGCCACACCAACTTCTTCTCCTTCTCGTCCCAGGGAAATTCATTCTCCTCTCGACGAACGATGCGATCTACCACCAGACCGTACGGCCCGATCGGCATATCCGTGTGGCCGTTATTCCACGACCAGAAGCCGAAATCCGGCATCAGCCAGACAGACTCCTCGTCTGGTTTCCGGGCCAGGATCCAAAGCGGGTGATGAGGTCCAGCCACATCGTCCAGCTTGTCTTCAACAGAAAACACAAATTCTGTTGGTGGAAGCGTTGTGTCGGGACTCGTCACCAGAGCCCGATGAATCGCGCTGAGTGTTGCCAGGATCTTTCGTCGATGATCGTCGTTGTGCGCTCGCGTCGCCTTCACATATAATTGTCCGTCGACGATGACCGCCCGCGCCATGCTATCGACTAGCTCGATGTTGTCCAGGTCCTCCATGCTGATTCCGCCTCGAGTGTTCCATAGCTTTTCGGCGCGATGGATGTCTTCGAACAGGCCTGGGAAGAACCCCTGACATTGCGCATCGCTGAGGGATAGATTATGTGCGTCGTAGACCGGATTATAGTTCCGACTCTCGGTTAGGGAAGACGTGGGCGCTTCCGCCGCGCAGCTGAGACAGGTGTCGCACTTGAAATCCAGCGCGGTTTGACAGGCGCAGTGACCAGCCGGAATCAAATGATTCAACAGCGCCGGGACATTATCACGATCTGAATTGACGCCGAACCAAAGTCCCCAGACAAACAGGCCGACGAGCGCGCAGCAGAAAAGATAAAGAGGGAAAAAAGACCGGACGCGAAACTGGCCGAACATGTTCACTAGGAACGAGTCTGAATCATGTCCTGAATATCAGGTGTACTCCGGAGTAGGTGTCAAGCTGATCGTCCTCGCGGCTCCTTTTTCGTGGTTCTTGTGAATCACCCGCGACGAGGGCATGGCCGATAATTATCGCCTGGTCTTTCATCCTAGCGTGACACGAAACCGCCCTCTTCTCCATGACGCAGCCCCAGCCGAGATCCGCAGAGAGAAGGCTCTGCGATCATCTGTGAAACTAGACCCTACCGGTCGAGATTCGGTGTTTATTGGCGGGCCAAAAGCGATGGACGCGCCGTCCGTCTAGCAGTTTCCCAGGAAGGCAGGGATGGCGCTTGGCAGGGCCAGTTCAAGCCTAATATCCACCCTGATGGGGAATAGATCAGCCTTTTAACGGGCGCACGGGGGTGTTTGATGTGGGCTGCGATCGCCATGTTGGTTGGCTGTGCACTCCGTTGTCCATACCTACAGAGGCTCAGAGCAGGAGACACATGATTTAGTTTGCGGGCGAAGGGCTTAGCATGTTCAAGCTTGCCATGTGTGCAGGCAGCCATTTTCGAAGAGCAGCCAGGGAGGGTCACTCGTATATTGGACCCACTTGATGGCCGGTCCATTCAGGGTCTCTGGTGTAGTGTTGGTTGGGGTCGAACTCCAAACTCCTCGGCAGACTTGCAGTTTGCGTCGGGCGGAATTGTCTGAATAAGCTTAATATTTATTACTGGGGTTATGCTTGAATACGTCGTGTATACGTCGTGAACACTTCGCCTACTCAGAGAGCCATGAATAGAAATCCCCAGGAGAAAATATGTGCTCTATTGACTGTTTCCCTTGTATTTGAGCAGCCTAGAAGCGCAGGAAAACGGCCCCTAGCGCCAAGCCCGCAAGTGCGTTGTTAGGGGCATCAAGCCTTTTGAATCCCCGGGTAGACGGCAGAAAGAGGCACCTGAATAGAAACCTCACTGGCTCCAGCACGCAGACAAGCACCTTGCACAGACACGCCAAGCCCTCTTCCAGTGTTGAATTGTGATGCCTAGCATATACAGGTATTTGATAGGTTCGTGCAGCTCGCATGTCCCAACTTAAAAGATTATTAACGTATCATTGAGGAGAGGTGGGCGGTGGTAAGTGGATCTTCTAGATTAGATTGATCCAGTCGTTGTTGGTTGGTTTTGCGAAAGGGTTCGATAGGTGAGTTTCTGTAACTATGACTTGATATTGACTAACTCTACTGGCTCGATCCTAAGCGCGTCCTGGTCTAGGCAGTAACATATCAACAATATCAATGCATGAAGCTACTTCATATAATGTGCAAGCTCCATTCAATGTCTCAGTCTTAGCCTCGTGCAGAGTTTGGTAGTTTTCTCAAATTCTAGGCAACTATATAGCCAGATAGTAAAGCTTTTACGCCAGGGTGATTGCTTCTGGTTTGGACTATTTGGCATTCCTCGGTTGTTTCCGCCCTTTTGTCCATTCTATTTTCATATCCAATGTGGGTCACTTGAATGAAAGCTTTACCCTTCTGGTAGGAAGACTAGGCAAAATAGTCGACATAATTGGTTAGAAGACTGAGAACAATGTACGGTGTATCCTAGTTTTTCTGAAACCCACACTTGTGTTCCTTTGCTGATTTTGGATTTCAAACTCTGAAAGAGGACATCAACAGTCCTTAAGTGTTATAAGAGTTGCAGATATTGCATCCCTGTGTTTAGAGACAATTCGGTGAACATGGCTCGTGTTCGATAATTTCCAATTTGCTTCTTGACCAGGCTATCGAGGAAAAGTCGAAGTCGCCAAATACTACGGTGTACGTTACCTCGAGCCTCTAGCCCGGAGTAGTATGCGCGGTCTCAACAACTACCGGTAGACCGAGGTCTCGGAAATTTAGGCGACCCATTTCATTTATCCTCATTCATTGTCGCGGGAAAATAGCTCACGCCATCTCTCAAGAGAAATATAGAAGCACATACTAGCATTCGAGCACCAGCAAATCACAATGAGAGTAGTCTTACAATCATCCGCAGGTTCTCCTGCCATGGTTGTAGAAATCCACTGACTCCCGGTTGATCTGCATTGTTGACAACGCCATCGAAATTGTTTTACTAGATAGAAACAACACCATCCGTTGAAGCTTTCAATATTTTGGGGGGTATGGCACACTAGCAGAATACTGGGCAAGTACGCAATTCTGTCAGAACCCGTATCCCTTCTACATTTGGATGTTCTCCAAAATCTCATACTCATTCTCCGAGGTATTCCACCAAAGAACACGTCGTGTCCTTCTAGTGAGCTAGGATATTTGCGGGGATCTGAAGTCAAGATGATCCAAAACTATCACCGAGAACTCCATGATGTTTAAGGCTTCGGATGGTCACTTGCTCAGCGCTGCCTCGGGCATCAACATCATTCCATCTCTTCCGTGAGATTCTCAAACCTTACTTTCAATCGTGTTCCTTCATCTTTTCTCTGGGGTATTACAACGTTATCGACCCTCCATTCTCGCTTCTGCTGTCATTAACTGATAGCACTCTATCTACAAACAGCATCTACCGAGCCGTATATCCCCCGTCCACCGCTACACATGCCCCCGTCATCCAGCTGGCATCCTCGCTCGCCAACACCACCGCCATTTTCGCAATATCGTCCGGCACGCCCGGGCCTTTTAGTGGATGTTTCCTCTGCAGCGCTTCCACGGCCATTAGGTTGCTCGCCGTCACCTCGCGGAATATAGCCGTTTGAGTATCTATGCTGTCAGTCTTATTCGGAACATACCAGAGGCAGGGGAAGGGACGTACATCCAGGGCAGATGGCATTTACGTGGATGCGATCGGCAGCGTAGTCTAGGGCGACTTGGCGAGTTAGGTTGCTGACTGCTCCTTTTGAGGCGCAGTATGATGCTAGTCTACTAATTAGCCCTGGTTCCACAAACAAGACAATGAGTCTTGCGCAAACGTACGAGTATCCAAGGTCCCGATGGTTCCACAGATAGAAGACATGTTGATGATCCAGCCCCGATCGCCAGATTCATGAGGTTCCTGTCGCAACATCTGCGCTGTCGCATACTTGCATCCTAGGAAGACTGATTTCGCGTTCACGCGCATCGTCGTGTCCCACAGGTCTTCGTCGGTTTCGTGAATTTTCCCTGGCCGACGTGTCTCGAGGGCCACGCCGGCGTTGTTCACGATTCTGAGTACAGATATGAGTTATCTATCGTGCCCTCTTGACACGGAGGGTGGAGAGAAACACGAAAGCCTACATATCTAGACGTCCGAATTCCTTCACAGCCGCTTGCACCATTTGCTCGACGGCCACTGCATCGCCGACATCCGTAGCCACGAAGATGGCTCGTCCGCCGGCTCGCTGAATGGCCTCGTGCGTCGTGATTTCAAGCTCCTCGGGAACCTGCGACCGTGCCGTCGGAGACAGGTCCGCGCAAACGACGAGTGCTCCTTCGTTAGAGTATCGGACGGCAATGGCTCGTCCTAGTCCGGAGGAGGAACCGGTGACGATGGCGACTTTCTTATCGAGACGCATGTTGGCTACGAGATGGATGAATCAGGCAGGCTACATGGTCACGTCGGAACGGGGCGGACAAACAGTCTTTATAAGAACAACGACGTGGTCGGCTAATCCTACAAGCTGCAGCTAGGAGACCTGGATCCGAGGTTATGCACGGACAGCGCGCTGTGATACGTCTTCAAATCGCTGCCAATCACTGGGGCTTGAGGAGTGAGGGGAAGGCGGGGTTTATGTACTACTTCTGGGCGTGATGAGGATGCAGTTACTTTTGTTGATAGATTATGAGAATTGATTTTGCTTTAATCCCTCAGTGCAAGTGGCAGACTGCGAAGTGCAGAGTTGACAACGCACGATGGCATGACAACTTTAACCAGTAATTCTAGCTTTGTACATAGTTGGAGAGAGGTACGCTGGATTTCTTGGCATTTTTGTTCGAGTGCCCTCATTATCCTTCTGCCGATCGTCAACACTTGAATTTAAATCTTTCTTATAACTTAAACATCTAACATTGAAACCAGATGTCCTTTGGTTTTCTCGAACGATCGTTTATTCCCTTGGTTATTGTTGTTGTGGGAATGCCGAGAAACATAGTCTTCCCATCCTTTCCGGCAAACCGATACATGCAAGATCACTCTTATAAGATGTAGATCGACAAGACACGATGTATCTTCCGCGATACACACCAAGATCTAGCCTGACACGTGGTTACGAACAGTGCAATGCAACTCTCTCCAACCAGAATGTCAACGTGTACATGTGAAAGTTAAAACTCTACAGCCCGCAGTGACTATATATACTAGCCACTCCCATCCCTTGCATGCCTTCTACTTGTCTCAACACTATCGACTTTCTCACAGCCATTCAACTGTCATATGGCTGATGCCAGGTAGACATCAAAGAGGCCTTCCCGCGACATTGATCGACCTGACTCGATACTTGAGGCTAGAATGTAACGTGGGCACGTTGAGAAGCGGTCAGAGAATAATCTCTGCTGCTTTGTTTCACCGTCGAGTCATGTTTTCAGTCGGTCAAGTGCCATCGATCCTTGTTGGTGGTGAGTTCCAACTACAGAATACTACAGTTGGAACTGCCGACGCGCACTGATGTATAGAGTTGTGCATTGGCAAGTGGCAACACAGCTTTTGTCCCAATTGAACGGTGAACTGATCAACATCCCAGCTACACCGCACGACCGTACGGGGTATAAAACGGCAGCCTTAAACAGGTGGCATCCCACGTTATACCCCAGGACGCGAGCTGCAAGATTTGAAGATCTTGAGAGCTCTCCAAGTCGATGCAACATCAACTCCAGAATGCAGACCCGCAACCGAACGTTGATATCAACACCGATAAAGCAGTCAGACAGAATGAACCAACGCCACTGGTCAGACGCATACACTGACAGAATAAAATCAGTAATGATAGAATAACAGAAACGCAGGAATTCCACCGCGCGGTTTGGGACGATCGGGTGGATGCCTCAGGCCACACGGAAGTCCACCGAGCAGAAACGGACGAGCCAACCAGCGACCAGCCAAGGGACGGTTATCGTCGGATGGCGCGCAAAGCTTTCTGGCGTGGGTCAAATCTGTTACTTAATTGCAACGACTGCTCATTCTCATTGGCGTCGGTGGAGCTTGCAGAGCTTGACTGTTTGGCGTTGGTTCGTCGCCGCAGACAATTTCCATGTGTGATGCATGTAGCCCATCTACGCGGCGTGCTGTCGATCCGACCCTCGCTTCGAGTTCGCGGGGAGGGGATATCGGCATGCGGTATGATGTAGCACGGGGTGGAATATGTACATAGTGATTGCATTTATGTCCGAGGCCGAAATCGCTGTTAGTATCCGAGAGAGAAGAGGCTGGTACACAGTGTGTCTCAATTTCAACGGCCGATCCCCAGATCTTGCCGTTCCAGCATCCCGGCGAGACACAACCGCCACGACCCACTGCGCAGGAATTTTCTACTCAGCGCAGCCCTTCACTCTTCCTCTGTCGTCTCCGTCGTTGTCTCTTGTCCTTTGTCGACCCTTTGCGCCCTCCGTTGACATCGACCTTGACCTTGTTCGACCCGTCACTCCACTTCGCCGGTCTCAAACAAGATGATGTTGGAAGGCGTCAACCCCGTCGGTCCTATCGACAACAAGCAGGCCGAGAAGGGCGGTTTCCCCGAGGACGACCTCAAGGGCCAGGAGGACGCGTCGTATCATGACCCGTTCGGCAATGAAGAGACCGCGGAGGTCAAGTATAAGACGTTGAAGTGGTGGTACGTTTGAGCTGCCTGGTTATGCGATTGAGGCATCATGCGCTAATAACACCGGTGACTAGGCAATGTGGAATGTGTACGTGACGTCGAGATGCGCACATGTCGTATCTGTGTAGCTAATCATCTATAGTCATGATTGCCGAATCCGTCTCCCTCGGTGTCCTTTCGTTGCCATCAACGCTGGCCGCCCTGGGAATCGTCCCGTAAGTCACCAATCGCCGGCTTTCAACTATACCTTCCTTTAACAATTCTCAGTGCCATCATCCTCATCGTTGGACTCGGTATCCTCGCCCTCTACACCGGTTATGTCATCGGTCAATTCCGTCAACGCTACCCCTTCATCCATAACCTGGCCGATGCAGGCGAAATCCTCTTGGGCCGGTTTGGTCGCGAGCTGTTCGGTCTGGGCCAGATCCTGTTCTCGATCTTCATCATGGGCAGTCATATCGTCACCTTCACCGTCATGATGAACACCATCACCGACCACGGCACCTGCTCCATCGTCTTCAGCGTTGTCGGCATGGTTATCTGCATGGTTCTGTCTCTGCCTCGGACCATCAAGAACATGACCTACATCTCCATCGCCTGTATGTCTCACCTCCACCTAATTCCATCATCCATGCGACAGCTCCGGTCAAGTCAACTAACACGACCCAGCCTTCATTAGCATCTTCACCGCCGTCATGATCACCATGATCGGAGTCGGAGTGCAGTACAAGGGTGGTGAGAACATCACCGTCACTAACGAAACGAACCTCTACCACGCTTTTACGGCCGTCACCAACATCGTCTTCGCCTACTGCGCCCACGTCGCCTTCTTCGGTCTTATCGCTGAGATGGAAAACCCCAAGGACTTCCCGAAGGCGCTGTGTCTGCTGCAGGGTTTCGAGATCGTCCTTTACGTTGTTGCCGCCATTGTCATCTACTACTATGTCGGTGATGGGGTGGCTTCTCCGGCACTTGGGTCTGCCGGACCGGTGCTGAAGAAGGTGGCGTATGGAATTGCGATTCCGACGGTATGACCCCCACCTTTCACTCGACTGCAATGCGGTAGAAGCTCACCGGATGCTAATGGGAATAGATCGTCGGAGCCGGTGTCGTCAATGGTCACGTCGGATTGAAATACATCTACGTGCGCATTTTCCGTCGCTCGGGACGCATGCATAAGCGCGATCTCGTCTCCGTCGGATCCTGGGTTGCCATCGGTCTGAGTTGCTGGATCATTGCCTTCATTATTGCGCAGGGTATCCCGACTTTCAACAACATTGTCAGCTTGATTGTATGTCTTCCTTGTTTAAACTTTCCCGCTGCAAAAATATGGATCGCTAATATGTTCAACAGAGTTCGCTATTCGCCAGTTGGTTCACTTGTATGACCTTCCCTTTCTTTTTCTCATGTCCTTCCCAGGATGGAGATCCCCAAACGGTGGGAAACATGCTAACAATGATTCACAGACGGTCTGAGCGGCGTCTACTGGCTCCACATCAACTGGGGCAAATGGTTCTCCTCGCCTCGCAAGATCTTCCTGACCATTCTGAACATGCTCATCGTGTTGGTTGGTGGCGCTATTGTATGTTCTCCCTCTCTTCACTCACCCTCCATGCTTCAGTATGAGATGGTGGATACTAATGATATCTATGTAGTGCGGTCTCGGTCTCTACGTCTCCGGCAAGGCCATCCACGATGACAGCTCCAAGACGAGCTTTTCGTGCGCGAATACGGCTGATTAGAGGCTGACCCTGTTGTTATGGTTCTATAAATATGTTTGTTATGCATGGCATGTGAATGTACTTAGATTTATGATTGTTTATAAACCGGTTCGTTATGTTTGTTGGCGAACTCATGAATAGATCTGTTTTGGGACTTCTTGTTTGCGTGTTTGAGCTTGTATATGATCTTTTATGGTCGGTTAAGGTGCATGGGTAGTTTGAGGGTTTAAAATTCTATGATTCGCATGAGCTAATCGTGAGAATATCTCTTCTCGACTTACCTTTATCTTGTCCTTGGTATCTAATCTTTGATGTTTGTAGATCTCGTAATGCCTGAGATGCACTCTGCCAAACCATACCTATTCGGGTACATAGCTGTCTGAATGATTTCTGTAAAAAAACAAAAAAAAATTTAAAATTCTATGTTCATGAGGGCGCTATTTCATGAATTCCATCGATTAAATCATCGGAATCACCATGTGCTGCATCGGTTCGCTCGCTATTATTATACAGGTTGATACTTTCCGGTGAGAGTTGTGATGAAGGACTCACCATATGATCCCTATAATCCCACTCTGAAGCAGAGTCAAGCTTTGAGGATTCAACTTGATGGTTTGGGACTCAAAAAATATAAACAAGGCCTTGCAATATGACAAAACTAACCTAGACTATCAGCCAGACTCTGTATTCTCCCCAGTAACTGGATAGAACAGCGCGATAGAAGTGAAATACGAAAGATACTTCTTTCAACAATTTCCCAACCGATACACTGGTAATAGATATTTTTTGATAAGAGGTATAAGAAAAAATTTTCTAAATGATTACTCTACTCTCTTTTCATATGGACGAGCGGGTTGCACAGAATGTATGAGCGCATAGCCGGGTAGATGTGGATAAAGGCCTTAGCAATATACAAAGATCTGGAATAATATCGCTCACTACAAGCAAAGAAGAGGAAAGACAAATGCAATCTATAGCTCATGAAATTATTATACTCTCTATATATGTAGATTAAATATTCGACAAAAGAAGATAACAAAAGGAAACCATCACACTTTTATACCCATAACACCATCAACGCTAGCCAAAAAATCACTCATCTAAGCAACCTCCTGCAACACCTTCATCAATCCACCCTGGAGTTCACCACGACGGAGGCTCTCGTAGATCTTCGAGATCCACGAACCAACGGTCTTCTTGTCACGGCCGTCCAGCTCCGTGCTCTCGGGCGTAGGGTGTTCAATGAAGCCCTGGTGGAAGGGGACGCCGAGGTCGTAACGCACGGTCTGGTAGAGGACCTTGGCGCCGTGGCCGAGCAGCTCGGTCGTGTGGGGGTTCGCGATGAAGGCCGCGGAGGTCTCGTCGTAGGTCTCCTGGATAATGGCGGTGGCTTGACGTTGCCATTCGCTGAGGTCGGAGAGGCGGAGGGCCGAGGACGAGGCGGCGGCGTTGACGATGACGGGGATGGCCGTTTGCGCAGTGGTGGAGCAGCGGTCGGCGATGGGGATACGGGTGGTCGTGGGCCACGTCTTGGTGATGGTGGTGAGGACGGAGGCGCAGAGAGAGGTTTGTTCCGTCGTGGGGAGAGAGGCGCCAACGGTGCTGTTGGTGAGGTGCTCCAGACGGGGCGTGACGCGCTCGAGGAAGCGGATGTGCATGGCGCGCAGGTCGAGAGCCTGGCAGGCGATGTAGAGGTAGGCGGAGCTCATCAAGGAAACGAGCTCGACGGCCTGCATGGTGTAGCGGCCGGAGACGAGAGCCAGGGAGTTGACAGCCTGGTTGCGCATCTCGGCGGTCTGGACGTGCGCGCTGACGGGGTGAGCGACGTACGCCAGCTCGGCCATGTAGGCGGCCATGGAGATGTCGACACCCTTCATGGTGAAGGAGAGCGACGGGTCGTCGGCGACGAGGTTGGTGGGCAGACCGTTGTTGTAGTTGGGGTCAACCAGCTCGGTGGCCTGAGCGAAGATGAGCTTACCGATCATCTGCAAGCAGAGACGGGTCTTCTCCATGGCGGAGGTGACGGCCGCGGCCTGGAAGTTGGCACCGCAGTAGATCTCGCTGTTGACGGTGTCGACGAGAGGGTTATCGCAGGACGAATTTAGCTCGACGGAGACCTGGCGGTCGGCGAGCATAAGGTCCTCGAGTTGGGGACCGACCCACTGGGGGACACTGCGCCAGGCATAGCGGTCCTGGATGAGGCCGGAGCGCTTGCGGTCCTTCTCACGCTGGACACCAACGGCGAGCTGCGAGCCCTGGAGAAGGGAGAGAACGTTGCGGGCACACTCGACCTGGCCGTCGTGGGGACGGGTGGCCTGGATGAAGGGGTGGAAACTCTCGGCGGTGCCGGTCATGGCCTCGACACCCATGGCGGAGAGCGCCTGGACGAGGACGGCGAGCTGGTGCGACTCGTGCAGAGCCAAGCTGGCAACACCGGCGGAGACAGCGGTACCGTTGACAAGACCGAGACCCTCCTTGGGACCCATGGTGCGGGCCTCGATACCGGCCTCACGCAGAGCGTCGCGAGCGGTCATGATGCGGGGGTTGGAGGGAGCCTTGGGGTCGGCGACCTGGACGAAGATGTCGGGGCTGCCCTCGACGGCGCCGGCAATGTAGGACAGGGGCATGAGATCTCCGGAGGCGGAGACGGAGCCACGGAGGGGGATGATGGGAGTGATGCGGTGCTTGAGCAGCAGCAGGAGACCCTCGAGCACCTTGATGGTGACGGCGGAGTGGCCACGGGCATTGCTGTTGGCACGGACGGCGATGGACGCGCGCACCCAGGGAGAGGGCATGGAGTGGGCTCCGGGTGAAGCCGTATCTGTGGGCTGGTTCTTGTCGGCAGCGACCAAAACGCCAGCCTGAGTGAGCTGCAGAAGAGCAGCCTGGAGGGAGGTGGCACGGTCCGTACGAGAGTCGGCACTTCCGCCAAATCCGGTGTTGACACCTAAATAGACAGAATCAATCACGTTGTTCTTAGGCTATGTAGACATAGGATGGATGATGACGTACCGTAGACGCAGTATCCGTGGTCCAGGTGGTCCATCAGGACATCAACGCTGGAGGTGATGCTGTCGATGACATTGGGGTCTGACGAGAGTTCGGGAATGCAGTCATGGCTAAAGGTAGATTGTTAGAAAGAACACAGAAGGAACTAAATCCGACCAGTAGGAAACATACTAGGCAACGGCAACCACCGACGCAATGTCGAGACTGTTTCCATCCAGCTGGAGGTCCTTCTTGGCCTTAATGTCCTGCAGACGGTTCCACGTCCGGCAGGTCGTGGCCAAGTGAGTAGGGGTAGATGGAAGGGCAGGCATTGTGGATGATGTGTGAGGAGAGATGGCTGTCAAGAAAGTCCTTGGACAAAGAGGACAGCTGCTGAGCTTTATACGCGGCAGGAGCAGAGGCAGGGGGATGACCTGCTCTATCGGATTTTCCCAGATCTTGCCGAGTCGGGGGTGGGATCCACGACTTGAACCGAGTGGATGTGGATGAGCAAGATTAGCATGGAGGTGAATTGTAAATCCATGGTGTCAGGAATTATCCGCTGTTTCGCTCAGGGGGAAGATCGTGGGACTGGGATACGGTCGTATACGGAGATGCTCGCTGTCACAGGTCTCAGATTTTCAGACGCAGCTCTTTTCTTGTATTCCATTTGAAGTGAAGTTCCACGAGATCTCTATAACAACGTTTAATAGTGAGCTGCGATCCTAGAATTTTGTTCATGACTTCAGGTTCATGCACTGTGAATCCTGAACATTTCGCCAGTATATTCACCGGTGGATCTTAGAAAAATGCATTTCCCAAACAAAACCAACAACTCGGTCGAGATCGCTCCACCGACAAGCAGGAACATGATCATCGATCCAGGTGGACTCGGCATCAGACCGTCGATACCCGCTGACGAACCTTGGCCCGGGAATAGTATCATTTGCAAGTTAGCGTGCAGGTCTCAGCCGTGGATATCTGATAGTGTCGTGGACGGAGTCGAAAAGCACGAGCCGCTAGAAGGAATCTATGCTGTGTGGACGCTCACCGACGCCAATGATCAAGTTGGAAGACAGTGGAGATGCCTTAACTGGACCAGCGATCGAGCAGAAGGAAAAAGAAAAATCACATCTCGTCGATCGGAACAGAACCACTTGGATCAAAGGCTAAATGATTGCCCAGGAGCAGGTTTCAGCTGGAGGAGGAAGCGGGTCACGCTGTGCGGCAAACCCTAACTCACGCCTCTGATTGATTCAGGCGATGGCAAGATGGGCCTGATCCGGCATTTATTTGTTTAGAAGAAAGACTAGCGCAAGGTACTTGTTGGCGCAAGTGGAGCTGAGCATTGTGCCGATCACTCGGTAAAAGCAACAATGGCTAAGCTGTTCTTTTTTCTTTTTTCCACAAGTGGAGCCAGGAATTTGAGCTCAACCACGGGCCTCATCTAGACTACAATCGCATTCGATTGCATTGCATTCGCTGTCAGAAATCGAATTTACCCGTACGAGCTGGTCTCACTTCGTCCTCCCATGTCTTTTGCATTTTCTCACTCTCCCATCAACTCCCATCACAAGCCCATCATGACATCGCCATTTCCTGCCATCGATGTGCCCTCTGTCGACCTCTGGTCCTTTCTCTTCGAACGTGGCGACCGCCCGTATCCCGAGCAGAAGGGTACGTCAACGCTCTGCATACCATCCCTTGATTAATCCCGCTAATCCGATCGCTGCAGCCCTGTTCACCGATGCTGACACCGGTCGCTCCCTGAACTATGGACAGATTCGGCAGCAGGCTTTGACTTTTGGCCACTCGCTGCGCCGCAAATGGAACTGGCAGAATGGCGACGTGCTGGCTGTCTTTGCCCCTAACTCTATTGATTTGCCTCCTCTGATCTGGGGTACCCTGGCTATCGGCGGTGTTGTCTGCCCTATCAACCCCAGCTACCGTGCCGAGGAGCTGCTACACCCGCTGAAAGATGCGAAGGCGAAGGCTCTGGTGACGCAGCGCGCGCAGTACCCCGTGGCCATGGAGGCTGCGAAGAAGGCCGGTCTGCCGGCTGATCGCGTTCTCATCCTCGATGAGCTGCCGCGCGATATGGCTGAGGATGGCGTCACTTACGGACCGCACAAGGCGCCCGTCGCGCGACCGGACACCGACCTGGCCTTTTTGGTCTACTCGTCCGGCACGACGGGTCTGCCCAAGGGTGTGATGCTGTCGCATCGCAACATGGTCGCAAATCTGTTGCAGTCGGCATCCGTCGATCAGGGCGTTCTCGCCTGGAACAAGGGCCTCAATGGCGAGGGGGATCGCGCTCTTGCGCTTCTCCCATTCTTCCATATTTACGGTACGTTCCTCCTGAAATTTGGACGAGAGATCGCATCTGACGTACTCCAGGCCTCACTTATCTCCTCAACCACACTATCTACCTCGGTCTACACACTTTTGTCATGCCGCGCTTCCAATTTGACGCCTTCTGCCGCACCGTGCAAGACCAGCGCATCACCTACGCGTACGTCGTGCCTCCTGTTATCCTGGAACTGGTATCCAACCCCCGTGTGTCGCAATACGACCTACGATCTCTGCGCATGATGCTCTCCGCTGCTGCGCCCCTCGCCACGGAACTCATCCACGCCCTGCGCGAAAAGCTCGACCTCTCGGTCCGCCAGGCCTACGGAATGAGCGAATGCGCCCCGTGCACTCACATGCAGGTACGTTCAATACCCACCATACTCATTCCCTCAGTTTAAATCGATCGCTAACGCTTACACCCTTAGACATGGTCCGAAGCGCGCTCACACCCCGGCTCCGTCGGCCGTCTCCTCCCCAACATGACGGCCAAATACGTCCCCGTGGAAGGCGAAACTGGCCGCTCCGCCGAACTCTGGGTCAAGGGTCCCAACGTGTTCCTCGGATACCTGAACAACCCAAAAGCCGACGCCGAGTCCTTCTCCGAAGACGGATACTACAAGACCGGCGACGTGGGCTACGAAGACAAAGACGGCCACTTCTTCATCACCGACCGCGTGAAGGAACTCATCAAGTATAATGGTTTCCAGGTCGCGCCGGCTGAGCTGGAGGATATTGCATTGGGTCATCTCGGCGTGGCCGATGTTGCCGTGACGGGTATTAAGAGCGGACAGTCTGGGACGGAGTTGCCCAGGGCTTATGTGGTTCCTGCGCCGGGGTATTCGGCTGGTAAGCCGTTGGCGGATGAGATCATTGCGTTTGTGGCGGAGAAGGTTATTAGTTATAAGAAGTTGAGGGGTGGCGTGCATTTTATGGATGCAATTCCTAGGAACCCGTCGGGGAAGATTTTGCGGAGGGAGTTGAAGAAGTTGGATCGGGCTGCGAAGTTGTAGATTTGGTCTTGTTTATTTGATAAAATGGTGTTGTGTATATAGATGTGTATTTTAATTTGAAGAACAATTCTTTAGACCACCGAATATATATTTTCCGAATGCCATATGACTGGCTATTATTCTACTTAGTCCAATACACTATAAGCTTTCCAATTCCGTCATAGATGATTCAATGTAGGAGCACATAAGCAGAACTGCTACCGGAGCCCAATACTAAACCACTTGCACTACGCCAACAAACCGACTTCGCTTCGTACAACAGCAACAACAATAACACCAATGCCTCGTGGATCAGGCATCCAGGGGGAAGAGCCATCAAAGTACGGTAAGTGGTTCCGCCAATCGGAAGACGGGATGCAACCACTTCTAAGCCGTGCTCCACATCCCGTCTTTTAGTATCGGAAGTCTTTCTCCGGTTTTTTTGAGGATTTTCAAATAATCACCAGCGCGAAGGATCACGGACCATGTTGCAGCTTCTGTGTCTTCCCCTGATCTGACCTAATTTAATGCAAGGCGCCAGAGACAGTAGATTGAGTGAATTGCTTCAAGCTTGGACTTTCTCGACTGGATAGATAACTGGTAACAGGCAAGATCTAGGCAGTCCGGTGAGACAGTCGGGTTTACTTTGTTTACATTTCTCCCGTAGAAATTTCCATGTTAAACTTTGCATCTTAGATCTAACCAACTTACCCAGGTCCTGTGCCTTCTTCCCCCGAGCCCATTGGCCACACGGCATTTACCGATTCGACCCAAATGGCACCCATTTCTGGAATTGAAAATCGAGCAAGTCCCGAGTCAGTCCCCACTTGCATCGGCGGGCCATTGACGCTAACATCGTCATCCAAAGTTTACTCCTTAGCGGATTGATGTTCCCCCCTGTGGACCTGGTACTTAGTGTGCTTTCTTTTTTTCATCTGATCCAGTTCGGGTCTCTCTGAGCTGATCTGTATCCACCAAATATCCGGTTTTGTTGATCTTCTCGCCCGGATGTTTCTTCTGCGGATGTTTTCAGGCCGGATATTTGGCCGCCGGGTGTTTTGACCGGGTGTTTTCGTAAGTGCCGAGGACTAGGGGTGTAGATCTTTTTGGAGACACGGGAGATGCAGGATTTTTTTGCTTGCTTTCCGGGTTTGGGATTTGTCAGTCGTACGCCTGAGCGTGCTGGGTCCATGAGGTATTTACTTTTTTCGTTTCCTCGAGGCTGTTTGTAGTTCGCTCTTTTGCTTGGTTCGGTTCGTTTAAATTGCCGTGCAGGCTGAGTACTGCCGGGAATTTGGAGCACGGTTTTTCAGGCTAGCAAATGGATCTGATAACTAGATTTTTCTGAGCTGTTCTTTTTTTGTTATCGTTGTTGTGACGGGGTTTCAAGTTGTCAGTGGCTCTGGGTGAAGGGTTTTCTTTTGCCCCTGATCTGTCCCAGATTTCTTTTCCTTTTCCTTTTTCCAGTCCCCATTTCTTTTCCCTTTGACGAGGCTCTATTGCGTTTGAAATTATTCTGCAAGGTGGTCGAGAAAATCAAAATAAACTAAATATCCGGCCAGCTGTAAATAGCCGTCTTTCGGTCTTCCTTTGTGCCGAGGCATCAATGGACCCCCCGGAGAAGAGGAACAAATACCCGGTTCCCCAACGAAGTAACTCGAGCAGAACATCGGCTGCGTCCAAATAAGGATATAAAGGAACTTGGACATCTCAGTAGCTGTAGTTCGGATTACATCGATGTATGATCATTTTCCATCCTACATGCCGCATTTGTGAAGGGGATCTACTGCGTAGAGCGTCTGCGTTGGATCTGGCGGTTCTATTCAAACCGCGCACGATTTGGGGCAAAGACTCTTTAACAAATTAATTGACCAGGCTCCGCGAGCATTGAGCATTGAGCGCATGGGAGTTGTTTAGAGAATGGGAGGTAAAGATATGGAGTGATGCAATTCTGGTTGAGTAACGTGCTCAAGGGTGGAATGCGATATGTGAAGGAATCTTTATATTTTCACCTTTCCTTTGATTCCTACCAATGTAGCTAATCATCGATGGCTCCAAACTCGAGAAGTAACTTGACAATGTCATCATGGCCACTTGATCTGGCTAAGGATAGTGGAGTTGTGTCCGATACCCCTCCACTCAAATTAACATCAACCCCTCCCGACTCAAGCAGGAGTCTAGTAACATTCTCATACCCATTCCAAGCAGCATAGATCAAGGGAGTACATTGCTCGTCATCTAGCGCATCTACTTGAACTGTAACAGGTAGCAGTGCTTTAACGGCGTCTACACTGTTGTTTTGTACCGCCAGATGCAATGCTGTCGAATCGTCATTCAGCTTTTTGGTATAATCAACCTTGCCTGAATCTATGAAAAGCTGGATGATAGTCACGTTTCTTGTATCAGCAGCACGCAAGAACGCCGTCCAGCCATTGTCGTCGGGTGCATTAGCATCAACTGTTTTGGTGCCTAGCAAAAGCCTTACGATTCCTTCCTGTTCTTCTCTTGTAGCGACAGCCAGAGCCGTTGACCCACCACTTCCGCGGAGATTGAGATTGGCTTTCCCTGAATCAAGTACGAGGTTTACGATCCCCTTATTCCCTATTCGGCAGGCCATAATCAATGGCGTGTCTCCCTTGGGGGATCTGAAGTCAATGTCGCTAACTTTCTCAGAGCACAGCAGCAGTCTGAGAACCTCCTCATCCCCACTTTCAATCGCGCTCTGGAATGGTACAATCAATTCCTTGGGGCCCAAATCGAGCTTTCCGCAATCCAACAGAACCTTGACTGATGCTAGGCCCCCTAACATGACAGCGAAGCTCAATGCTATCAACTCCCAGAAGTCACGACAGTTAACATCGAATTGGTTTGAATCGACCAGGAGTTTGAGGACCGAGTCATGGCCGCCGTGAGCAGCCATTAAAACAGCATTTCTTTCGAATCTATCAACCACATCGTTGACCTCGCCTCGCCGCAGTATCTGCTCTACTGGTGCAGTCATTCCAAACGCGGAGGCTATCCACAAGGTATTGATATGCTCGAGGTCGATGTTTTGCCATGGGTAGGAAAACTGACAGTCTTCCTGCCCTTGATAGTGAGGGATCCAGCGGCCGGCAGTCCCTTCATGAGGGTCGCAGAGCTTTTCCAACCTCGGTGAAAGGCTCCGGTCACGGTTTAGAGACGAGTCACGGGTGTGAGTCGTCCAATTATTGATCGAATAATCAAGAAATTCGGGTTTCTGCTGCGCCAGTTCAAGGAAACCAATACAACTGAATGCAAGAACTGCATGTGCTTCTTGCATAGTGATTGGCCCATCTTGGCCGTCTGCGCAACCGGAAAGCCCTGCCTGGAGCAAGTATTCGCGTGTTGTTTGATGCAGAAGATATACTTTATCTGCGTTGATGGATACCAACAGACCACACCAGTTCCTCAGGGTAATTTCAAAGTCCTCATTGCTTTCGAGGTCATCAAGGTCGGTAGATGACTTGTCGACATGGACAGCTATGTTCATTTCCTGCACATTCAGTGGCCTAGTCGCGGCTAGAATGATACAAAATGCCTTTCGGGCCATGTACCTGTTCTCGGATCTCAAGAGAAGGTTTTCGTATACTGAATTGAGACCCGTTGGAAAGTTGTCGATAATTCTATCGATGCTGGTTGTGCGCTTCTCAAACGAGTGTGTATCCAGGTATTCGAACACAAGGTATACCCACAAGTAGGTCCGATGTGGCATCCTCAGTAATTTCTCTTCCAAGTGATCTTTCAATCTTTGATTCAATCTCTTCTTTACACCCAGTTCATGGACCCGATCTTTGATCACGAGGTTCACTTCTTCCGCAATCCTCTCGGACTCCTTTTCCCCAGGAATCCGAATCTCAGGGAATTCATCCATGAGATCGTAAAAGCTGGACAGAACATTGTCGTTTGGCCTTGTGGTTAAAAGAATGCTGACATGACTCGTTCTTTGCTTTAGCGGAATTCGCGATTTTAGTTCAGTGACAAGACCATTCCAATCCCGCTCTTTGCATTCGTCCATTGCATCCAAGACAAACACCACATGCCCCATTCGGGGGTCCGTCGCCACTTTTGCGAAAATATTCCATAGATCGTGGGTCACATTAATCAGGTTCTCCCCGTTGCTGTCAAAGGCAGGAATAGCATGCTCAATCAACTCCGGTCTGAAGCAAAGCATTTGATGCAGGAAGGCACAGAGTGCTTGTTTCTGGGTATCTTGATCCCGATGTTTGAAGAAGAAATAGCAGACTCTGGCTGACGATTTGGCCTTTTCAAATTCACTATCGATCAGGTATCTGGCGAGGACAGATTTGCCACAACCTGGGTCGGCTGAAACGATAAGCAGCCCTGTCTCCTGCTTCCGCCAGTTCGTATAGTTGGGTTGTGATAAAAACCATTTACATGTTCCTTCTGTCCGCTGTTGAACTCTGTTCTTGTACCATTCGTAGGTGTCGTCTCGATCATCCCTCGCCAGACGGAATGATTGCAGGCATTCCTTCTCTTTATCAGGGAGTCGGTCCAGGATTTGCTTTTGAATCTCTAGTTGATTCACGGTAATTTTGAATTGTCGTCCGGCCACATCCATTTTAATATTCGCGCATTGAATCAATCAGGCCGTCTGAATTTGTTCGAATTTGTTCCAGGTCTTGTCGTGACAGCGAGGCATTAATCTGTTGTGCGTCTCTGTCCACCATCGCTTCCAGCTCCTTGATGCTGGTGATCATTCCTTCCCAGTCTTGAAGGCCAAATATATCCTTTGCAAGGTGCCTACTATGAATTCGGATAACGCTCTCGAATTGGAACTCCAACAGCTTCTTGTACAGCTCAGTCCAGCTGTCTAAGAACTTGATTTCCAATTTCGCAATTTGCTGTTCTTCGCGTCCATCAACAGGCCAGAGAAGATGCTCGAGTTCGAGATAGTAGGCCAGTCGAGAGGTCACGTAGTGGAACCCGGACTTGTTGGCATCCGAAGCGGCTTGGGGATTTGTCAATAAGGGAAGAGCGACACAAACACCTGCCCAGACCAACGAGGCTTCTGGCGATGCCTTGACCGCCGCGTCAACAAACTCCTTGACGGACTGTGCGCATTTCGCAAATTTTGCGACGCCTTCTTTGACGCCAGATTTCTCTGTGTCGAGCTTCTGCAGGCTTCTTTCGATTATAGCGCTCTGCTGTTCCCTGCGATCGGTGATTTTGTCTTCGGGTTCTAATGACACAACTCAGCACCTTGACTATGATTGAATGACTTTGAGTCAGCCCGAAAGACTCACTGAGCTTCTCCCATTCTTCGGAAAGAATCTTTTCATATTGATCTTTTAGGTCTCTGTCAATGAGCTTGTATGCCTGTTCCCAAAGAGACACAACATGTGTATTCTGTTGGTTTCCGACCGGGCTGGCCTGTCCCTCCCTCTGACTCGCTTTGTCTACTGATGTCACGGACCTATTCGGTGTTTATTGATACCTTTCGTCTGGAGCGGATTGAAACAACCTGTGTTTAATTCCTCTGAACCTGTCCGCTGAGAGGCATGGTGCTGGAAAGATTTTTTCCCTTTCGTAGTCAATAATGGCCGGGGAGAGACAGGGAAAAGGTATTTCTCGCTGTTGATGAGCTGGCACGGTGGGGAAAGAACAGGGGTATATGTCTTGGCGCAAAGGGGTGAAGGTGGTTGCAGCTTGCAGGTTGCAAAGAACCATTCAGATGAGTTGCGCGAATCAAAGCTGCTTTAGTATTCTCTAATGCTGTCCACCAAGTTGAGTGCCTCATCCGCAGTAAAGCGACGTGATGGCAGGAACCGCATCAATCCTTGTATCACTTCTAGTAGAGGTTTGAGGGAGGGATCAGGCACTTCTGCAAACTTCCGTTCAAGTTTCGGCGTGTCGCAATCTTTGAGGCCAGTTAGCAAACGCTCATGACCGATCAGTGCCCTTACCTTCTTCGATCTCTAAATCGTGGAGAGAGTTCATCTTCATGGACTTCCATTGAGACTCCCATTCGGTCGGCAACGTCTCCACGAAGTTAATCATTTGGAGAACTAAGTCTTCATCCTTGCCCAGATACCAGAATGGAAAGTTTGTGAGCAGGAAGGAATAAATCTAAACATCAGTAACTTGCTACAAAAAGGTACTTTGACGTACCATGCAACCCGTTCGCCATAAGTCGACGCGATAACCAAACGAATCCGTGAAAATGGTTTCCGGTACTCGCAATATACCCGGCTGAGCCAGCCTTGTAGGCTCTTCCCCTTGGAGAAAACTTTCCCCAAAATCAAGAAGCCGAATGTCTTCATCGTCCTCGTCAATCCAATCCGTCCATTCTGTTGCCTTGACCAGCTGGGATGGTAGACCATTTTCTAAAGGCGTGCCATCAATACGAGCTAGTGGAGCAATTTCCGGGACACCAAGAACTTCGAAAAGTTGCTCCTCTGTCATATTAGATAGTTGGGTGCAGGTAAATGCGATATTCCGACCACTGATGTCTAATGCGAAGTAAGTATAATGATGCTGGATCGCAAACAAATTGCTGGCGCAGCATGATCTCACCTCCGTGGCCCATTCCGGCGCTATGGATGAACCTGACGGCCGTCAAAAGTTGCGTACACATGCGAAGTACGGTTTCCGAGTCGAGCTTGTCGTTGCCCCAACGGTAGTCGGCCAGGACCTTATCAACGGTCGGGCCCAGTAGTTCAGAAACAAGGCATTGGTGGACTCCAATTGGACCTTCGTGGGTAAAGCAATCGAGAAGTTGAACAATATAGTTCGAAGCAAGTGTGCCGCGAGAATGCCTCTGCAGGTGCTCAAGATTTTGCAGCTCCTGAGATGCTTGCGACCGTGACGCCATGATCTTTAAAGAGACCCATTGATCTCGACTGGTCTACTGTTAGCTACGGCCTAGAGGATCCCAAGTGTGTATGCATGGACCAACAGTTTGTCTCTCGCCAGCCATACGGTCGAAAAGCCACCCCATCCTAGCTTATGACGTATTTCGTAGCGACCGTTTTGGAATGTGTCCCCAAGCTTGACTGGATGATAACCCCCAGGTCGATATCTTGATAGTTCTTCTTGTGTGTAAAGAGTATTACTTTGGCAGAATAGTGATAGATCCATGTTGGGAGAAGATGAAGGGGAGATGGTGGAAAATGCTGAGGTGGTGATGCGGCAAGATAAAGCTGGTTTCACCCGTAGCCGCCCGGGCGCATGGATCACCACTTTGTCTTCAAAGAATTGATGAACCCTACCAAAATCATACATGTCAAGTGCTAGTAACAAACGTGAATTTAATCGAGACTTAAATCCACCGCTCAAAAAAAAAGATCCTGGATTTACCAGCTATGTGCTTTCCACATGCAGGGATTTTCTATGTGACGAGCATCGCCTAGATATGGCCAGCGCTCATATGGAGTAAACAATCTCACTAAAATATACAATTCATAGCCCGCATAAACCACCAACTATGGTGAAGGTTGGCTGCTTCGTTCCTCAGGGCACTGGGAAGCAATCCAATAACAAAGCCATTGTGTTCAGATTTTCGTGAGAATTACATAGTCTAGATAGATATAGTCCAGACATAAATCAGACCGTGACCAAAACTTTGGTCTAATCAGACCAATAACCGTAAGACTGAGCTTGTCGACATGATCAGAATGCGGACCTTGCAGAAGAAGCGATAGGCTAAGAATTGTGCCTTCCTCCTTACAACACCAATATAGAAACGGAGTTCATACTAGAACTAGTTCCCATCACCCTAACTCGACGCCACATTTGTGATAAGATATTAAAAGCTTACGTACAACTAGTTAAACCGGAGTAAAGAATCGACAGGTCAGATTCTGTCCGTCACCAGCAACCACAAGTCTTTTGCCGGCAAGAACCGCACATTCTGTTCCCCTTCGCTGGTTGCAACAGTCCACTGTAGGACGAAGTGACGAAGTGTGCGATGATCTAAAATCTCCAATCAGCCTTCAGCCTCGCATATACTAACCATCTGTGGAGTATTACAAGGCCAAGGAAGAATAAGGCCCACGCCACCGTCAGAAATTAGTGTGGCTGAATATCTGACTTTCTTCAGGGTTTCTGACCTGAACAAAATTCTAGACGTGCACGCCAGGGATAGAGGGCAATAGGGCGAGGATGACTGGGCTCGGCCATTTACCTCGTCTCTTGCCTCTTCTTTTTCTTTTGCAGAACAGTCCACAGCCAGCCACTGAGGTGTGGCTGCCCACCATCAAGGCCAGGTTGAACCTTCACCGGTCGGACTAGGATGGCGCCGTGAAGAGACGCCGTCGGTCTTACGTGACTCTTATTACTGTCACTCATAAGTCAGGAAAGTCTGCAGTTTTAGCTGTCCAGCTCATCGACGGCGAAGGGGTGAATGCTGCACAGTTAAGCCTCGGGTCGACAATATGAGGGGCATGAATATGTTGATCATTATGACGCAGTCTTTATGATGCCGCGGATGGCTTGATTACGTTTAGAAGCAATATGAACCGACGCTTCGTCCCCCTCAGTTGAACGTGATTAACCCCTCAGCCAAGGCGTGGTGTAAGCGCTGTCTGCAGCTTCTTCTCATTCAACATGCGTAACCGAGCTAGTAGCCGAGGTTGCATCGCACCACCTGCATGCACCGTTATATTGCCTGCTAGGCGCTGATGCGAGGTCGCTGGAATGTGACTCTCAAAGGCCGCGGTCGCATCGCTTCAGAATGGCTGATACTCGGATTTCACGCAATGTGGGCAACAAGGACTTCACGCAGTCGACGGTGGTGATCATCGGGGCGGGCTTTTCGGGTACGTTGTTTGTTTGTTTGGGAAGCAAGGGGTGGTTGGCTAAATCACGTCAACATAGGCTTGTGTATGGCGATTGATCTTCTCAAGAGAACACCGTGTCGGAACTTCGTGATTCTCGAGAAAGGAAGTCAGGTTGGCGGGACTTGGTTTGATAATAAGTATCCTGGATGCGCGTGCGATGGTAAGCGCCCAACTAAGCCCGCAAGAACTTCGCTAACTCTGCCAGTCTGGAGTACGCTATACAGTTTCTCCTTCGAACAAAAGTCCGACTGGTCGAGAGAACATCCTGGACAGGAAGAGATTCTCGTACATATCCCGATCAACTAATCCTCAGAATACCGACTAATGCTCAACCCAGGAATATCTTATAGGCGTCGCGGAGAAGTACCGTCTCTTCAAATACATCCGGTTTAACTCGGTCGTTCAAGCAGCCCGCTGGGATGACGAGAAACTGCAATGGACGGTAGATGTGGAGGTCGCCGGGGTCAAAGACAGACAATATATAGAGTCCTACCAGATAACCACCGACTTTTTGATCTCCGCCGTGGGCCAGCTGAATATCCCGAAGTGGCCCTCGTACCCAGGTCTAGATGACTTCACAGGGAAACTGATGCACTCGGCACGATGGGATTGGACTTATGATTTCACCGAAAAGCGCGTAGCCGTGATCGGAAATGGTCAGTCCTTTCTCATAGCATCCTCCCCTCCAGGAATGAGAAGCTGACTTGTATCAATTCCACCAGGCCCGACAGCCGTTCAAGTCATCGGCGCAATCGCACCCTCCGTCTCGCACCTCACTGTATATCAACGAACCCCTAACTGGCTCATTGAGCGCAACGACAAACCCGTCTCCGCGGTCCAGAAGTTCCTTCTCTCACGAGTCCCACCCCTCCGGTGGCTCAAGCGCTCCCTTCAAATGCAGTACCGTGAGTTGACGCACATGGGTCTCGCCATCCCCGAGTCCTGGTTCTCGAACTATTTCCGAAGAAACTCTATAGCAGCCATGAAAGCCCAGCTACCCGACAAGCCTGAATTATGGGACAAGCTGGTCCCGGACTACGCGCCGGGTTGTAAGCGAGTTATCATCGTTGACGATTACTATCCCACTTTGAACCAGAAGCACGTGGATCTGGATACCAGACCTATTCATGGGCTAACAGCGTCCGGCGTCCAGACAGAAGATGGCGAGGTCAAGGAGTTCGATATGATTGTCATAGCGACAGGGTTCCGGACCGTCGACTTCTTGTACCCCATTAAGGTTTTCGGAGCAGGCGGTCGTTCTATCTCCGATGTTTGGAAGGATGGACCTAAGGCGTACAAGGGAGCCGTGGTGGAGGATATGCCTAATTTCGGGATGTTGTATGGGCCGAACACGAATCTTGGTGAGTATGCTTCTCTCTATCCTCAGCCTGACCTTGCAAAATGCATTACTGACATGGACAGGCCACAACTCTATCGTTCTCATGATCGAAGCGCAATCCCGTTACTTGTCCACCCTTATCCACGGAGTCATCAAGGCCAAGAAATCGGGCAAATCTCTGGTGATCACACCTCGACCTGACGTCGTCCAAAAATGGGACGATGATGTTCAAGCTCGGCTGGCGAAAAGCAGTTTCGCAGACCCGGCGTGCCATAGCTGGTATAAGGCCGAAAATGGCCGGGTTACACAGAACTGGTCCGGGACAGCAGTGCAGTACCAGAAACAAATGTCCCGGGTCCGTTGGGATGACTACATCGTTGAGGGAACTGGCAAGGAGCTGGTTAAGGGGAGGAATGTGTACATTGGTAGGGTCGTAGAGGAGATACCAATTAGTTATACGGCTTTGGTTCTTGGACTGGTAGGTGCTGTGGCTGGCGGAGTGGGCTACATGAATGGAGTGACTGGGGAGAAGGTTAGGCCATGGATCTGGCATTTGGGATTGCAGCTGAAGGAGAGACTTCTGGGGTGATTCTAACGGAATTTGCCTTGTATTTGATGCCTAATGACAATTTCGTGTACCTTTCATTTCAGATTCAATGTAGCATCCTAACGGGTGGCCAGGTAGGTCAAGACCCCCCTGTAAGCAGACCCCAGAGACTTAACCTGTTCCAACCCTCCTTGGTCTTTGAGTTTGTCTTGCTGACCCATTCTTGGAACGTAGTTCGTGGGGCATACACATCCGTTGCTATTCGCATCTCTGCCTCGCGCTCGGGATAGTCCCCATTGACCGATCGATCATGCGTGTCTTTAATGGTTTGTACACTACAGATAGTCAGATATCTTCATACTTGAATGCACAGATCGGATACCTTGGTGACTTACAGCTTCTGCGTATCAGCATTGACTTTCAACACCAACCATGCAAGATATGGCGAAACATAAAAGCCAATGAGTCCTGCGGTGTGACGATATTGCTCTGCTATTTGGCTGGCTGTTAAGGATTCGGAAATGATGATCAGCTCACGGGATGAGCATTTGGAAAAGTTCTATATGTATAGATGGTGTGGTCAGCATGGGCTCGGACAATGCAAAGCTGGCCAGTTCACCTTGAAGACAGCCGCAACAACACGCCCTATGTCATCTGCAGCCTTCGAACTGTTAGCAATGGCGATTTTGCGTTGAGGTACTGCTAGCTCGATGCTCACGACTAGATCAAGACGTGTCTCGGGCCTGAGACCAATCTGCATTAGGTTCACGGCGAGAGCACCTAGCGCTCCTGAGAAGTTCTCCATGAAGAATCCGGGCTTCACGATCCTATATTTCATTGAGAGGTTAGCTTTTTGGCTGTGCGCGGGGTAAAGGGTTTGCGCACTTACACCCAAGGCAGTCCGATTTCCTTTACATGTCTCTCTATACTGACCTTTGCTTTTCCTGACAGCTTCAACTCGTCATCATACTTTGGGCCCGAACGCAGGGCAGAGGAGTGAACAAATGCCGAGACGCCGTATTCCAGAGCAATGTCCGCCAGCAACTGTGAAGTATTAGTCAATGAACGAATGTGTATTCCAGGAACAGCCAAGGGCTAGAAACGATAAAATCAGAAGAGAGAATCGGTACCTTCCCCTGTGCCTCTTCCCCATCTGCATTCTTCCCCAGTCCCGGAAAGGCGAGTACCATAAACACACCCCAGATGCTGCCCCCCTCCCTGTTCTTTGCGTCCTCAAAGACACGGATTGCGGAGGTGCGATTATTCAAGTCACCCTCAACTACGGTGACATGCTTTTCTTGGGACAAACGGTCGGCTGAAGAGGTGGATTTGCTCCGCGTCAGCGCGAGGACGTGATACTCCGAAGTGGCGTTGGCGTCTTCGCTTGGTCGCAAGGCTGCGATTAGGGATGCGCCTTGCTGACCGGTCGCACCTGTGACAAGTATGTTCTTTGGCATTTGTATGGTATCACCAAAGTGCAGATAGATTGGGATAGGTGGAGAAGAGAAACAGATGGAGTGATGCCAGGGTAGGTCACGATGACCACGATATGGGCGGCAAGCCTGACGATGTCATTGGGTGATGGGTGTCTTGGTCTTGGCAACATCTATAGAGACCACCAGCGGCTTTTCCTGGGGGGTTAACATGCCCACATATCAGTGTCGCATTGTTCAATCCTAATCCTGGTTTCCTGGTAAAGGACTATAGAAATAATTCTCCAGAAGGCAAAAGAAAACTGGTTTGCTGGTTGGATCAGTCTATAGAATGTCTTCTTCGCTCTCTATGTATGTTTTGATCAGAATCCATTCTTAGTTCATGATTATCAGGCATATGTTGAGTGAGAACTGGAGAGGACTGTCCTCTCAGAATCAGCGAGTTCAAGGAGCTCTCGGTGGCAGAAGACGCCTCGATGATCCACTTGCGGCCTGAGGCTGCGACGAACTAGCCGACCACTCAGTTCCCGACCGGGCGCGTTGCTGTGTTACGTGCAGGTACCGAAGATTTTAAATTAATTCCTGCAACTCCAAAACATCCTCGAATGCTATCAGAGCTGGAGATATTGCTTACTAGCCGCTGGTAACCACCCCATAATAGTTTTATACGATTTCGATCGTTTTACGTGGAGCGGGACTGCTGAAAGGGTTTCCACTGATGTACAACCACGCCGACGGTCGCGCCTTCTCGAACTGGTCGAGAGCGCCAACGTGCTGATGCCTCAGGCTTCAATTCTGGCAGGGTGTATCTGTCGCTCTTCGACCACACCTTACAAATGCTGGTTGCCACAACTCTTGTCACACAACGAATAGAAGTTGGATTGCCTCATGATCAATCTTCATTACTCAAATCTGATCTATAAATTAGAGCCACTCTGCTCATGACCGTCTATATAGCCGCAGTGGCGCCAGACAGGGAGAATTGAAGTAAATAGTATACAAGAACCCCTAGGCTGTTCCGTTCCTAAAATCCTCCAACGAACGCAGACCCGAGGACAGCGAGCAGAGAAAGCAAACCGTTGGAGGTCACCAGCGAGCCGCCGTTACTCAGCGGAGGAGTAGAAGTGGACGGAGAAGGGGACGACGAAGGAAAGCCGGACGCAGAAGGCGGCAGCGAAGGCACAGTACCATTACCGTCCGGCTTGGAAACATCATACAGCTTGGCAAATCGCATCTCGTTCTTGCCAAAGTCATAGACAGACAGGATGCTTTTCAAGAAGGAGGCGCCGATGATCTGGATCGTGATCCCCTGGACGGCAACGTTCTGGGAGCTTGAGATAGCAGAGACACAGCCATCACCAGTCTGGTAGATGAGGTCTTCCGGCTCGTGAAAGAAGGTTTGGTTTCCGATCTTCAGGCCGAAGTTAGGCGGCTTCGCAGTGCAGTTGACGCGGTACGCCTTCAATTCGGCATCGAAGACAGCCGGGGGCGAGAAATGCGAGTTCACACCGTCTGCGACTTCTTTCGGCAGGAATGAAAGTTGGTTGCCGATGTCAAAGAACCCCTGGAAGCTGGTCGTGTTGCTTTCCAGGCTGCTGCCGGAGCTGCCGTAGAAGGTTGCGCCGAACGTTGTGGCCCAGTAGGATCGGATCCGCTTGCCAGAGGTGAATTCGAGCGGGACGACGTCGATGATCTCGACGGGCGCAACGGCAAACTGGGAGCTGTGCTTGACGGGTGGGAGTCCGCCGATGGTCAGGTAGCCACCGAACCCAACGGTGGTATTCCGTGGGGTTCGTGCCAGGGCGATGCTGAAGTACGAGTCGGTCAGGCCCTGCTTCCATGCGCTGAACATGACAGGGTCGTAAGGGAGGCGATTATAGTAGAATGTTCCGTTGTCATTCTTGTCCTCTGGGTGGGCTGAGGTGATTGATGGATATGCAAGACCGAGCAATCCGCTGTTAACCCCGTCGCCCATGGGATGAGACACGTTGGCAATGGCCACTTTCTGGCCCTTCACGGTGAGGCCGTTGATTGTAACATCTTCGTATGCCATCACACCACTGGCAATACCCGCTCCGTATTGAATCCCGAACATCTCGCCAGGGACCTCACGGTAAGTGCTGGATTCATGGTATGTATGGTTGGCATAGAGACACTCGGTTCGTGGGATGGTTAAGTTGGTCTCCGGGTTGATACACGTGAAACCATCACGCATGACATAGGTGTCACTGCTGCCGGTATCGATCAGCATCTGAAAGGTTTGATCCCCAATGGTCACCGGGGTATCGAAGACACTGCCGAACTCAGTGGCCGTGACTTTGGACGTGGCGTCGGACGATCGAACCCTCAAGGGCAATGTGCGAGCCCCGACGAGGGACAAACCGCCCACGGTGTAAAGAAATTGAAAGGCTTTCATAGTGGAAGGATGAATTGGGATGAAAGAAGCTGATGCATTGTCAACGTATGCACTTCGAGCAGCTTTTTATATGTCGTTTGCGGCCACCTCGTTAATTTTGATTTTTTGTATAAGCCTTGTGTTTTTGGGATAGACAGCAACATTTTCCAGTAGCCTTAGCTCTAGCAAGAGGTTAATTTGATCTAACGACCTATACTAAATCCTCCTGGCGTTGGAACTGGCTTGTGGTGGATGACACAAGAACCAAACAATTACTATGAGAACAACAATGACTGGGCACAGCCTTGCTGATGTGCAATCCACTGTATGACCCAGTCTCGTAAATTTTAGTGCCCATTTAGCGTCATCCGAGCCCATTTGGGGCATTCCTTTGGACTAGCGGCACCCGGAACCTCATTCCCACAGATGATTAGCTGGGGATCAACTGAGCCTTGGCATATAAGGCTGCCTTACGAGGGACTTGGCGGTGAGCCTCACACAAAAAGCTTAGTTCCAACCAGGTTTTCTATCAAGCGATCCTTCTTGTGGAGTATGGAGTACGGATTAGGTATTCGAACGGCCCGACGAGCTTGAAACCTAAGATTGCATTGGGGGCGGATTTCACTGCGCCGGTCTGATAGTGAGCAACTTGATCGACGTCAGTGTTTCCCTTTTCAACCCAGATTTTTATTTGAATCGGATCCTTTGCATTGATAGCCCCAAGATGAGTTACTAATGGCGTGGACAGTCAAAGCGCCTCCAATGGCGTGCTCCGTCATTTGATTGACAGGACCGGAAGAGCCTCGTATACTTCAGCGTTGTTAACAGTATGTCTCCGTATGAGGGTATTCTTCCACCCGAACTATGATCAAGCTATCTATGCGCTAGCCCTCTGTTACTCGACTTTCACAACTACGGGCTGATACAGTCATCATCGAACCTCTCCTCTTCGATTGTGCGCGACAGTAATGGGACTATAGTTTCTGACTGCCGGTGATATCTAGAAAACCCCTGTTCTCTCGGGCATACGCCTGTCTAACATTAGCATTGGCTTTCTCGGACCGTTCTAGTACATAACCATGTGCAGATTGCTCCTGGATAGAGGGATCGATTCCACACAGCAAGAAGCCCTATGCTAGTTCTAGCAGGTCAGAAGGCGAAAAGTTTCAATTTCCTATTTGTTTTTGGCTCTATTCGCACCATCTTCCTGATGGTCAACCACAAGTCTACAGTTAGCCAATAGAAAAATACCCCATCCTCGTCAGTTTAGAGTGTGTCTTAGGGCACGCATAATTCCTCATTCCCGTATATAGCTGCTGTAGGCCATCGCGGCTCCTGATCTAGAACTTCCGTTATTGATACTGCAAGAATGAAAACCGGGAGCATGGTGGGATAGAGTACGAGAACTATGTACACGTATGCCGAGTTGCTTGGGGGAGAGACAGCTTGAAGGCTTGCCTCTAGAGCTTGTACGAAAACAATATCTCAGCGAACCAGTCAACCATATCCCCCCGTCCTCTTTACGGAAGCCAGGTTAAGAATGAGGTCATTGTTTTACATCTGACAGCAGGCGGAATATATGGCGGTAATTCGAAAGATATTCGTCTTGATAATCCCGTACAGCCAACAGGTTTGCGTTATAATTTCCTCTCTTACACACAGGTCTCCCTGGCTTGCCGCCATGATGCCAGTGATCCCACCGATATTCATCGCCATATTCCGTTATCATCTTATGCAAGATCATCTCATGTAGAAAGTCTCCTGTGCCGTCGATGCGCCGAAGAGAAAATGCTGTACCTTCCTCTCCGCACCAGGGAATCACGACCGCAACTTTAATTGATACATCGTTGGGCAAGGTATCAATAGTTCCCCAGTCACTGGTATCCCAGTCACTTGCTGTCCATCTGCGCACCCGGCCCGTATATTGGCGCACTCCAGCCCAGCGGTCTAGGCCGTATTCTTGCCGATTCTGGCATTCAGCTAGAACGGCCATAACATCACCCATAAGGAGAGGGCCAGCCATGGATGCAATTAGATACCACCTACAACCTATTAGCTGTGGAGCCTTTCAAATGGAACCTTGGGGCTTTCTTACATTGTCTCGTCGCCAGAATAGTCGCCGTAGCACTCGATGCAAATCCGCTGGCAGGGCCCGCGCACAGATAAATCGAAGTCAGTCAGCTGGATTATCCCCGTAGTCTTGTCAGAGATGCCAAAGTCGTTCCGCGAAAGGTAAATTGTGCGACCATCTGAGCAATCCTTCTGTGGTAGAGAATGCTCCCGCTCATCTCTGGCCGACTCCTCCAAGATAGATTGATCCTCGACTTTGATCAAGATATTGTCTGGTTTCAGGTCTAGGGCCAATGAGTTCGAGTGCTTTTTGTTATTCAATTAGAAACTAGAGACATACCAGTGTGAATGACACAACATTCAGAGTGGAGATAGTCAAGTCCATGCAACACCATTTGAAGTAATATCTTCAACACGTCTGAAGGTATCATCACCGATAAACCTCGTGCGGTATATCCATAGGGGCTCTCGCAATGGCTCAAAGACAATGCCAAGGTGTCTTGCCAACCCATTCTCAAGGGTGAATGAATCGAGAGGACGCCTGACGAATTCCCAGTCCTTGTGCCGGGGATTTGCCTCGGCGATGTGTTGTACCATTCATAGTCAACGGTTCGACCGACGCTATCACGTTGAGGACCATGATGGTCGCTGTCAGAGGGAGGGTAGGCGTCGTTGAGGTCGACGAGTCAAGGCCCGACGGTGTGACCACCGTTGTGACGGTGGTAGAAAGAGCAGGCATTTAGTTATGGTTCAAGTTCAAACGGGTCAATGAATATAGTGGTGGATGATGATGAATATAGTGGTGGATGATGATGAATATAGTGGTGGATGATGATGGATAAGTGAATGGTGGGACCAAGGAGAGATGGTGAATGAAATTTGCGAAGGTTGTTGGAAGGACCTCCTCGTAACTTCCTAAAGCGGAGGGCACGACATGGTTGTCTTCAAGGTCAATCGTGAAAGACCAATCTTATTTTCTTTCCTTTTTCTTTCTTTTCCCATTGATTCCAATCTTACCCAAGCGGCTGTCGTTGAACATGGCATGACATGATTACCACTCAGCAAGACATTTTCTTATGTTCAAGGCGTAGAAAGAGAAAACGGCCATGTGGTGGCCATGACAGCCATTTTGCTACCACCAAATTTTCGGGCTACATTCTGCCAAACGTCAAGCCTAACCAATGAGATCAGATTTGTAACTGTGTCCGAGGCATTTATGAGCTCGGATTAAACCTAGGAATACCTCCAGCCATCACGACATATGATTTTCTCGTCGGGCTAATGAACCAATAGGACAGAAAGTATAGAAAGTGCACCTGATGGAACTGTGGATAGCTACGAAAAGGCACTTTCTCCACCATGGTCTAGATGGCAAGCCTGGATGCGACAATGCGTCATTGACATCGCGTTCCACCTATGTGATTGTGACATTTGGGTCCGTTCCACGGAATGCTCGCCTCGGCGCCGCATCCGTATCCACGGCTTATCCCTTGCTAACTTTCCTCGCGAAGTCTACTGCGCCGACGCCCCTCGTCAATTCTTCAGGTTGAAATCTTCAAATGCCCCGGAGATTCTCCAAACAGTCCCAGCATAGCGCAACGTTCAAATTGCCCGGGAAGATGATCTCCCCATGCGGTTCCCCCATGAAGGCGGCACCACCGAGGCCATCTGGGAAGACGGCGACGTTGGTGATGATGTGCAGAAATACGTGATTTCAGTCTTCGCCGCCATAGCTTGGTGCAATTCGCTCGAGCTCATCGTCCTCTGTTTCAGCACCTTCAAGAGATACCGTGGTTGTTATTTTTGGAGTTTGTTGATCTCGTCGGCCAGCCTCATCCCACACTGTCTTGGCTACATATTCTACATCTTTCCTCTCGGCATCTCACCTTATGTCTCGGTGACTTTGATCCTTCTAAGCTGGTGCGTGATGGTAACGGGACACTCGCTCGTCCTGTGGTCGCGCCTCAGTCTTGTCCTCCAAACGCAGAAAGTTCTTAAGGCGATTCTTGCTATGATCATCATCGACGCTATCATCTTACACACACCGACCGTTGTCCTCATGTACGGATCTATCACGCAAGAGCCATTCGCCAAAGGCTACAACGTCATGGAGAGAATTCAGCTTGTCTGGTTCTGTGTCCAGGAAGTGATCATCTCGGGGACATATGTCTGGGAAACGGCAAAGACCTTACGAATTCGTCCCGAAAGCCACCACCATAAAATCCTTGCCCAACTTCTTATCACCAATATCGCCATCCTCATCCTCGATGTCGCCGTTGTCGGAATCGAATATGCCGGATACTACGCTCTTCAGGTTATGTTTAAACCGGTGGCTTATAGCGTCAAGTTCAAACTCGAATACGCGATACTGGGACGACTGATTCAGATAGCCAAGGGGGCTTGTTCGAACGATAGTCCATTGTCCTACACGCCACAAGAGTCGAGTTCGCACCGATCACATCACGGACGCTGGGGTAGCGGTGGCCAGGAGGACGCCATTGATCGGGAGATCCGGGCTTGCATGGAGCCTGTTGAAACAACAGAATGTCGCCGGCGATCATCAGTCATTTGTTGACAGGCGGCAAGCTCTAGTTAGCCACCGTTTGAATTTCCGAAAAGCAAATAGAATTAATTATGATAGATTCCAGTCCTAACTCCTTGGGGGTTACGCTTCGCCTGCGGTGTGGCCTGCTTGTAACAAGCCTCTTTTAGCTATTTACGTACACAGTTTATCTCACTCAAAAGCCATCTCATTAGTAGCAATAAAAAGGTTGAACTGTCTCTATCAGCGACGCCGAGTTAATTGCAGCAATATCTTGTCGGTGCCTCCCCTGTAACTTCAGACCTCGAATGAGAGAGGCGGGTAATCGCTCGCACGCCATCCGTTTCGAATACAACACTCGCACTCATTCGTACAGTGCCCGTAGATTTTCACCTTCTTCTTCACATGTGACTTTCCTGGGAAGTATGAATACTTTAGCAAAAGCTTCTCACAACACCCACAGCCTCGACGACAGCAACCCCCCTCATCAGAACATCTCTCTCGGTCGAGCATCCAGTAATAGCAACGACCGTCATCACCATATTTAGTGTTGAGAAGAGCGATGTCCACCTCGCGACAATCGGGAGTGCTAAGTTCCAACTCGTAGAGACTGGTAATACAATCCTTGTACTCCTGGCGAACTTTGGTGATCGCTTTTTGAATCTCAGCTCTCCGTGTGGCGTCCAACACATGAGGTTCAGCGCCCGCCGTCGACGGCCGAAGTGCTTCATCGTAGGTCGGGAGACTGGGTCCCTCTTCCGTACTGGAGGAATTGTTTGCTTCGGACAAATATCTCTTTAGGCGGTTTTCTCGCTGGAGAATCGCCCACCCTTTTGCTCTTGTGTTCCGGAACGAGATAAGCCACTCGCTGGCAGCCACATCGTTGGATTCCCGATGCCTCCAACGATCCTCGCACCGTTCGAGAGCTGCTTCATAATCTGTCTTGCGTTGGCTTTCGCCTGAATTTCGGTCGGGTATCTTTGTTTTTGTCTCCTTCTGCCCTTGCTTCTTCCTGAAGAACATTGTTGTTAGCCAGGGTGCGTTGCCTGTCCTTCTGTCAGATGTTTGGGAAGATTCGAAAATAGCTGGAATGTAAGGTTCGGAATTTTCTCGAAAGGCATGTACTTGTATGGCTCATATGTCGATTAGGTATTGATGACGAAACTATTTCGCATCATCGTGAGCCTTACTTCCGTAACCTCATTTCTCATTGCACCACAATTTTGCAATGTATCCCGAATGGGAGATTTTCTCGCCGCTCTACGTGTTTCTGGAGACCTTTGTTTGCTTCACTTGGAGATTTGAATTTTGAAAACGAAAAGAAACATATGAAACTTCCCTATACATATGCCCGCTCAAGCACATACTGCCATGCCCTCGGTGACACCCTAACAGCCCTTCCCTTCTCATCAACATCGAATACAAACTCGTCCATTCCAACTCCATTATACTGCATCCCATCCACAGTCACCCACGTGAAGCACGAGCTCGTGAACGGTCCGATGCCAGGTAAATGCTTGCCCGTGTCCTGAACAACAGCACGGAACGAGATCCGTGAGTCCGTCTCCAGACCGGTAGGATACAACCGCACCTCGAGGTCGGCGGGACTCTCGTCTCCGTAGAATTTGCTCAAAGCCTCAAATATTCGGATGTCTCCTTTCGTCCAGTTCGTGACTTTCAGTCCTGGACCGTCGTCTGTGCTTATTGTTATTGTGGAGTTCGTGTCTCTGGCGACGTAGGTTCCGCTGAAGCGCTGGTCTGCAGCGCGTTGGGCGATTTGGTCGAGGGTCGGCAGGATGGAGGTTGCGACGTAGTCGGATAGGTAGGAGACTACTTCGTGGGTCTTTTCGCCTGCGGCTAGGATGTTGAAGCCGACGCCGTGGTCTGGGGAGAGGGCAATCATGGAGGAGTAGGCACCGATATCGCCGGCCTTCGTATAGAGGTCCACGACGCGAGCGTTGGGGAAGGAGAAAATCTCCCAGGGTGAACCGATGGCGAGGGCTAGGGAGGAGGTATGAGAGACGGGCTTTAACCAGCGTCTAGTGATGGCGGGAGGAAGCAGAGTGTTGTTGAGAATGGCGCGACCGACGGCGGAGAGGTCGTTTGGTGAGGCATATACGCCTCCGGCGCTGCTGGTTCGTGAATCAACCGTGTCCAAGATAGGGCATTTGAACTTACGGAGTCTCTTCGCCAATGTTGACACCCCAGGAGCTGGTCGCTGCGTCTCCCGGGATGATTCCATACTTGGCATCTGGTGCACTGTAGCTCGAGTGTGTTAGTTTCAAAGGCTTGATCAGATGTCTCGTAAGAAGATCCTCATAGCTGGTGTTGGTCATCTTCTCCAATGCGTAGCCCAAAATCCGGAACGCTGCGTTAGAGTAGATGGGTGTCGCTCCGGTCGCCACAACCGGACGTTGCTTGAGCAGGCCGTTGAAGAAGTCTGGGCACATTTAGTATCAGTCCATAATCTATACGATGTTTCACCACGTACCAGCCCTATCACAGGCAGCTGTGGCACCGCACGGAGGTAGTTCTTCCTTGGTAAGCTTGGGCAGTCCGGCAGCCTCGGGGTCCTTGAGCTGCAGGGCATAGTCGCCGACGCCATCTATCATAAAGTCAGTAAATAGCCACTGTCGCGCTGATGTGCGAAGCTCACACTGCCTAGAGATTCCAGCTAGGTGGCTAGCCAGCTCCCCAATGGTAACCTCTCCCCAGCGCACATGGTCCACGGTGTTCAGCTCCTGGGTGGCATTGTGCATATCATTGATCGCATCCTCCAGCTCTGGGACGTACTTGATCACAGGCTCATCGAAGATTATGTCACCCTTCTCTATCAGAAGAAGTAACATGGTCCAGAGTTTGGATATACTGCCTATCCGGAAAACTGTATTTCCATCGACCTTGTTGACTCCCAGGCTGGCATTGCGGGCAGAGCTAGCAGTGTAATATGATCCGAATAAAGGCGCGGGCCTATCGGCAGAGAAAATCTGCAAAGCCACGGAGGTAGAATCTGGATTGAGGAACGCCTTCGTGGATGTATCGCCATTAATGCAATCGCTCAGTGCTTCGCTGATATTCTTTGTCGCGGCGCGGAATGCCGGGTCTTGTGAGATATTCTTTGGAGCAGGAAACACCGGACCCAAGAGTGGGCAATATTCAGGAGCACAATATGCAGTAGGGAGACAAGCAAGCCCCAAGAGGGCGAAGAATATTAGATGCATCGGTTTCTAAATCTCGCTGCTCTGGTTTTTGAGAAATCGTGATTATGCACTCATCCTCGGGGCTAAGACAGTTCTTATTAGAGGTTTGTTGTATCCTAGGCAGTTTCCATCAGCCAATGAAGGCTCATTATTACCTAGAGTATACAAGTCCACCCCGACATAAAATAAAGCCCAAGGAACGCTGTAGACTCGATGGGCCAAGAGTCCTTAATTACGACGCAACAAATCACCAATCCGTCCCTTACTTCGGCCTCGTTGGATCATGCATTACAGGGAGGATAGTGCTGTTTCTGCCTCATTATATAATCATCTTGACAATTGCAGTAGAGTCCGTTCACTTTCTGCATCCTAATTAGGTCTTTTGGTATTAGACCCTAGGTAGTTCTGCTATCTTACCTCTCTCTTTTTTATTTTTTTCTACTTGTTACTATGCATGCACCTACTACGATGTGTGCGCCTGATTACTATACGTGTATGTACTGGTATGCGTGCGCTGACTACTTTATGTGGGCATATTCTAAATGTAGGCTAACTAATGCGTGCGCTTACTACTATATGTATACTTAGTAGTATACACAGGCTTGCTACTGAATTGATATTATATATCTGATCCACTAGCTACTTTGAAAGGTAAAAGGCCGCGGATATGCGGTCCCAGATCTTTGTATCTTTTATTCAAAACTGTATTTCAGGCGCATAGTCCTGTCTGTATCACTTTCAAGCGCCCTGGTCCCTTGTTCCCGTTTTCAGCTTCCTTTGTGATATTTGCTCGGTCTCATGAGCATCATTTGTGTAACTGCAAGCCCAACTTATATCCCCTATTGTGTAGTCCATAGTGCGTAGAGTCCTCAGGCTCCCTACTTTCTCCTTGCCCGATAGTGCGCATTCCCGAGCCATTGGTCAAATCACCATCTAGCCCACGCTATACATACAATTTGAATGTTTTTCTTGCTATATCGAACATAATTCCACCTGCTTAGGCTATCTCAAGCCCGGTCCGTTTTCCTCACCGCCAGATGAGCTGTCACAAGGCGGAAGGACAGACCCTAGCTGGTAGGTACTCGGTGCTACGTATAGATTAAATTATCCAACTACGAACCACCACTCATCCTTGTTCCATGTTATTGAATCAACTTTACTGTTGGCATTGCTTTCTATTTAACAAAGACCAGGAAGTTCGGCTCGTTCCGATCAAGAATGGTACTCTAGGCCGGTGCATTACCACTATTTTGCCAAGTAGAGGTTATTCTCTCGTGCTCTTTGCTGGGATCTCTTTGTTTCTGTCTGTGATATTGGTCTCTGCTCATGTCTACCAATGTCTTTCGCCCTTTCTTCTGGCTTTCTCGATTTTGCTATCTTCGTGTATCTCTCTCTTAGAGCAATCATAGGGGCCGCTTACACCGTAGTGAGCAAAGATAATGAAAATGTAGCAACGAAAGGATGCTTTCTTGATCGATACTCAAGAATTGGCTGGTTGATTGGTTGGTACAGGCAGAAACAAGGTTTCCCCGGTGTTAACTATTTAACAGGTGCCCAAGGAGAGGTAAGCAAAGGGAGAAATACTTGGCAGGTTGCCTTAAATATTCAAACGCCAACAACTCTCACGCTCCCTCCCTCTCTTTCCAGCTTTTTTGTTTGTGTTTACTACCCGAAGGTTATATATAGTTTTCCCGCTTAAACAAGGACACGCCATACAGAGACTTGGGAGATGTAATGGGTACAAAAGCATCATACGTATGATGTACTATTCTCTAAGAATAAAAGTAGAAAGTAACAACTACCATGTTCCAGACTGAGAGTCAACACTCGAGCAGAATAATAGTGCCTGAGGCATCCGCATGAGTCAGGTAGGGTACGGCCTGAGGCAGACACACAAATCACGTGCCCCGACCGCCTCCGCGCCCGGAGGGAGAAAACTTGAAAGCGAACGGAAGCAGCAAGGCGGCATTCCAGATTCCACGATCCTGGCCTGACCTGCACCGAGCCAAGCACCGGTGGCGGCTGACGATTCGACGAGCCGACCAATGTTGTGATTGTGCCTTCTCAGGGCGAAAGTCAATTTCCTCCGACTTTCAGGCTAAGAGCCCAAGCGGCCTTCGGTGAGCCGCAGACACCCGATGTTTCTCCCGGTCGCTTTCACCTTTTTGCACCCGTTTCTCTGGCTAACTGGGCTGTCTAACGCAGTCCAGTAAGGAGACGGAGCAGAGGAGAAGCGAAGACAGGACTTTCACATGTCAAGTGTCGCCAGAAGGTCGGAAGAATCCGCCCCCAACAAAAAGCGAGTCCGAACTCCACCGCGCTGTGGAGATACCGGGGCAGGGTTCGATATTGAATGCGACCAGTCCGCGAGCCACGCTTTCACTGGCCACGCGTTGCGACATCTCGGCCGGTTGCTGACTGAGTCCGGATTCATTGGACAAGAATGGGTGGGATAAGATAACCCAATTCAGCAACGCTGCCCCTGCCGACCGCTGGTTGAGGCCGATACTAGACTCAAGCCGGGTCCAATCTCTCTCGCCTCTCCAGTTTCACCCCACTGTCGACGGAGGACAATGGACGGAGCTGCTCTTCCAAGTTCTGGGTCTTTCTGGAACCACATTTCACTATTGTACACTGTAGGCAAGAATGGGTCTGTCAATAGGTGGTCTGGTCTGTCTGCCAGCGCCGTCATGCCGTTTGCTTGGGCTCCAGTCAAGAATCTCGTGTCGTGGCAGTCGGTGAGTCTATTTTACCTTTTTCTTTTCCCCTGCCTTGCTGTTGTCGTTCATTATTCACCGCTGGCGAGGGATTATTATCTTTGTTTCTAACGATTCACTCGTTTCTTGTCTCTAGCACAGCTGTACACCGGAGTAGACCTCGAATCCCTTTCGCACCTACCTTAATTTGGGAGTTCCCAAGCCGATTGCGATCCTCCTCCTCCCCTCCCTTTTGACACGACAGCATTGTTCTCTCCGTGTAACCAGACAATGTCGATAATCGACACCACCAAAGATCTGTCGGCGCTGTTCTCGCGACAAGCAATTGCCACCCCCGATGCCGTCGCTCTAGAAGACAATTCCACAGTCTACACATATGCCGAGCTAGATCGCGAGGTCGAGGCTTTGGCTCGTCGCCTGCGGGCTTACGGAGTTGGTAGAGACCGGTTGGTGGGCGTGCTGTTGCCGCGAACTGCTCACTACGTGATTGCGTGCTTGGCCGCTCTCCGTGCCGGTGGGGCATTCCTCGTGCTCGAGCTGGCTTATCCCCCAGATCTTCTTACTGAGGTCATTGCCGATGGCAACCCCTCCGTCGTGATCACCTACCGTGCGGAGGTCGGCAAGATCCAAAGCAACGCTCCGCTGATCGTGCTGGACGAACCGCCGACCGATAGCAATGGACACACCCAAGAAGCGCCTCCCCTACCGGCCGACGATGATTTGGACCGACTGGCTTTCGTCTCCTACTCGTCTGGAACTACCGGCAAACCCAAAGGCATCGCCAACCCCCACAAGGCCGCCGTGCTTTCATATAACCTGAGATTCGGAGTACAAGATCTTCAACCGGGCGATCGGGTCGCCTGTAATGTCTTCTTCATCTGGGAGATCCTGCGCCCGCTCTTGCGGGGTGCGACCGTCGTGGCCGTGCCGGACGAAGCCAGCTACGATCCGGCCGCGCTCGTCGATCTGCTGGCTTCGAAAAAGATCACGGAAACCCTCATGACCCCTACCCTATTGGCGACCGTTCTGTCCCGTCATCCGCACATCCGAGAGCGCCTGCCTGACCTACGCACGTTGTGGTTCAATGGCGAGGTGGTCACAACAGATCTAGCCCGTCGCGCCATCCAATCGCTGCCCAACACGCGACTGCTCAATTGCTACAGTGCCTGCGAGACACATGAGATTGCCTGCGGAGACATTCGGGAAATGTTCGACGAGGAATCCCTGTACTGCCCCGTGGGCCCGCCGCTCGACCGCAAAAACACCCATATTCTCGACGAGAGCGGACAAAAAGTGGACGTTGGTGTGAGCGGCGAGCTCTTTGTGGCCGGTCCCCTGCTGGCTCGGGGATATTTGAACCTCCCGGAGACGACGGCTAAGGCCTTCACTCCCAATCCCTTTGATTCCCTATCAGACTCACGGCTCTACAAGACCGGCGACCTGGCCCGCATGCTCCCCTCGGGATACCTCGAGATCACCGGTCGCGTCGGTGCCATGATCAAATTGCGCGGATACTCGGTTGTGCCGGCCAAGGTGGAAAGCGAAATCGTCAAGAACCTCGCGGTTCGCCATTGTGCCGTGATTGCCCACGGGGAGGGACTGGAGCGACAGTTGGTGGCGTACATCGTGCCCGACACGGAGGATCCTGCCGGTCGGCCCGCGGTGGAGATCAACGAGTCTGGCCACAGTCCCGCGGCGCGCCGCACTCTGGCCCCGTTCCTGGCGCACTACATGATCCCAGCGTTGTGGGTTCAGCTGAAGGATCTGCCGACCCACGACGTCACTGGCAAGGTTGATCTCTCGCGTCTTCCCTCTCCACGCAGCGACCATGTCAACGGCAATGGTCACAAAGACAAGGACCCGGTCAACATTGACCAAGTCGCCGCGATCTGGGCGGCCGCCTTGAAAACTTCCAAGAACCTGCTGAAGGCCGAAGATAACTTCTTTGATCTGGGTGGGCATTCTCTGTCGCTGGCGGATTTGTCGTCCCGACTATCTCGTCATTTCGGTTTCCGCGTGCCCATCGCTCGTCTTGCGGAGAACTCCACGCTGAAGGGCCATTTGGAGACCGTGCGTGCCATCCGCGACGGACATACCGAAGCAGTCCAGGCAGACCTGCCGGCTGTCCTGCGCGCAGATGCTACTCTCGACGAGGATATCCGCCCGTTGAACGCCACTATTTGCTCCGTGGACAAGGCCGAAACCGTTCTTCTTACGGGTGTCACCGGTTTCCTGGGTGCCTTCCTTCTCAATGACCTGATTGAAAACACCTCCGCTCACATCATCTGTATGGTGCGATTTAACGAACCCGCTGACGACGATCAGCCCGGCGGTGTTGCTCGGGTTCGAAGAAACCTGCTGGACCTGGGACTCTGGAACGACGCGATGATGGAGCGAGTGGAGATCATGCCCGGGAATCTTTCTCGAACGCGCTTTGGACTGTCGCAGGAGGCGTTCGATGAACTGGCTGGCCGTGTCCAGGTTATCGTGCACGCTGCCGCCACCGTCAACCTGGTTTATCCCTATGCTGCGCTGCGTGGCCCCAACGTTGGAGGAACCCGAGAGATCCTACGTCTAGCTTCCAAGGGCGGCGCCACGGTGCAGTATGTCTCGACGAACGGAGTGCTGCCTCCGTCCAATGCAAAGGGATGGCCCGAGGACGCGACGCTGGATGTGAAGGACGTGCCCGACAAGCTGTTGGATGGCTACGGACAAACTAAGTGGGTGGCCGAGCAGCTGGTTCTCGAGGCCGGTCGTCGCGGGCTTCCGGTCAAGATCCATCGTGCGGGTACCATCAGCGGCCACAGTCGAACGGGTGCCGCCAACGCCTGGGATCTGTTGTCTGCGCTGATTGTCGAGTCCATCAAACTTGGCTATGCTCCCGACGTGGATGGCTGGCGCGCCGAGATGACGCCGGTCGATTTCGTCAGCAAGGCCATCATCCACTTATCCACGCAAACTCACGCAGAGCAAACAATTTTCCACCTTGGCGATCCTGATCCGGTCGATACGCGATCGGTATTTGACGCGCTCAACGAACTCGGTTACCCGACTGAGCGCCTCGGGTGGGACGATTGGGTGGCCATGTGGACGAAGAACCGCTCCAGCGTGAAGGGTGGCGACGGTGGCTTTACGGTCGATATTCTTCGCAGTGGTATGCCGACCGTTGATTTCCTCCAGGGCATTGTCGTGCTTGACAACTCCGCGACCCGACCCTTCCGCGCGGTGGTGGAACGTCCCAAGGTGGACCGCGCGTTGCTAGAGACCTACACTCGTCACTGGTTCGCTAGAGGATGGTTGCCTCACGCGCCGATCCGCCATGGTAGCCTTGCTAAATCCCCCGGAGCTATTAAGGGACCCCTCAGCGGTCGTGTGGCCGTTGTCACCGGCGCTTCGTCCGGAATCGGCGCCGCGGTTGCCACCGCCCTCGTTAAAGAAGGCTGCCATGTCGCGTTGGCCGCCCGTCGCCTCGACGCGCTGGAGGCTGTCCGTGCCAAATTTGTTTCTGGCGGCGGCAAGGTCATCATCCGCAAGACGGACGTCACGAAGCGAACCGACGTCGAGTCCCTGCTCAAGGACGCCGCCGAGGAGCTTGGCCCCGTCGACATCCTAGTCTCCTGTGCTGGCGTCATGTACTTCACCATGATGGCCAACTCCCAGACCGATGAATGGGAGCGCACCGTCGATGTCAACTGCAAAGGTCTTTTGCACTGCTTGTCTTCTACCATTCCCGGCATGCTTTCTCGCGGCGCCGGTCACATCGTCGCTATCTCTTCCGACGCCGGCCGCAAGGTCTTCCCCGGCTTGGGTGTCTACTCGGCTAGTAAATTCTTCGTCGAAGCTACACTGCAGTCCCTGCGTCTTGAGACGGCAGGCACCGGTCTCCGTGTGACGAGCATCCAGCCGGGTAACACCGCCACAGACCTTCTGGGCATGTCGACGGATGAAGAGGCGGTTAAGAAGTTCGGGGAGCCCTCGGGTGCGAAGATCCTGGATCCGGAGGATGTTGCGCGCTCGATTGTTTATGCTTTGCGCCAGCCTGAACATGTATCTGTTAACGAGGTTCTTATTGAGCCGAGAGATGAGCCTATCTAAGCTGGGAAGAATTGTGGTAATGCGCCAAGTTGGTAATGAAGTTTAATATTTTCAGATAGAATATGATACGATAATGCATTTTCGGTTTGTTGTTTGTTGGCTTCGTCCATTTGGAATGCTGCAGAAAAATAGGTAAAAACGTCAGTGATAAGGAATAATTACGCCGTCAAATGCATCCCTCGGCCTCGAAGTCTGATTCCATCCGTAGATCCCCACTCTACAAGTTCCAAGCCCTAGGGCAGAAGATCAAAAAACCCCAAAGTTCAACCGATCACTCAATCCACTCCACCAACCTGCGTCACTCCGATCAGCCCCATGATCACTTTCCCAATTCCCATCCTTTTCCGCCCAAGCCTCTTCCCCGTCTAAATACACATTCGAAAGGACCCAGTTCGGCAGTAACGAGCGACACCGTCCTTCGGTTATCCCTGCTTCATCGAATGTAGACGACGAGTAGCCGAAACATGGCAATTTGAGGACCGAGCGGAGGTATCCCTGTAGGCGGAAGGTTTCACAGCAAACGGAAGGTAGTGTTTTGGTGGAGTGGGTTGTTGATGTCAAAATGGATATAGAAGATATGGAGGTGCAGGTCAAGGTGGTTAGGGATTCTGGAGATTGACTGATGGAGTCACCCACAAACGTGTGTGGCGATGAAGAACCAGATAGACGGGCGAGCATGTTATTTATGAGCAGAACCAACGCTGTCCACTCGGATACGAGATACGAGAACTCGTTTGTTGGGAAAGATTTTGGGTCGGAGGTATAAGCGGAGTGTCTCTCTCTAGAGGAGCAGTATGAAGTAGTTTCCTGTTTCTGACTGGGTGTGGAGATGAGAAACTCGGGATGTTCGCATCTCAGCCACGTTGTTCGCCAGTTCCTGAGTTCTTCGTGGAGTTGTTGACAGCGCCATGTTAGATTAAATTTCTCGTCCTCGAGGAGAAGCTGGCATGCTGCCGTTGATGAAAGGCGACAGTAGATGGATGTGAGTTTCGCTGCGATGTCGTATAATTGGTCACGATGGGTCTTTTTGATCTTTTCCCAAGGAATTGTCATCCATTCTGCGTGTGAGAGGAAAGAGCTTTGGCTTGTCGAGAGAAGGTAGAGGATCTGACATCGTTAGTTAGGTCTGTTATCCCTCGAAAGATAGAGAAGGGGGAATACCGCCATCTCCCTCAACTTCCTAAACGCCTCATGCAAAGCTCCAGTCCGAAACGCCCCGGGACCTTGTCTCTCCATTAACGTCAATGCGCCTTTCAAGTGGCCGGCCCATCCAGAGTCATAGATTTGAGTAGGCCGTTGCTGCACGGCCTCGAAGAGCGTGAATACAAGGGAGATCACAACCAGCACGGGCCTTGACTTTGCTGTTGGAGGTGCGTCTTGCAACAATCGTCTGAAGATTTGGATACTAGCATTATACGCACTCAGGCCAAACACTTGATAGCTGTTCTCCTTATGCTCAGGAGACAGTGCTAATCGCATCGTCGCTAGCGCAATGAGCGCTAAATCCAGCGCTCGGTTTTGAAGCCCCACCGAGGAGATTCCTGAGGACCAGACATCCGGGGTGCGTGCGTACAGCGAGTGGAAGTTGCCCCATAGCGTGATGAAATGAGAGCGGAATTCTCCCGCTGACAGGTCCAGTGTGCTTAGTGACAGAGAAAATATCGGGTCTGATTGAATGGTTGGGAAGGCTATATTTTGGCGTTTGCTGGTGGAGATGGCCTTGCTGATGAGTGGCTTCATCGGGGCCTTTAGGTTGCTCGAATCTAGATTTATGAAGACTTGATTGCGTTCGTTATCGTAGCCTAGACATTTGCGGCCGGCGAGCTGGCATGTTTTACAGTGAGGGTGGGTTTTGTCACACTGGAAGATTTAGTTAATAGTTGTCAGGAACGGAGATGCAGAAGATGCGTACAGCTTTCTTGCGGGACCGGCACGTGCGACAGGGTCGTGACATTGTTAGCCCTAGCTTGATAGAATCCGTGAAGATGCAGGATGATGCTGAATACGGAGTACAGCCTTACTCTTGAGCTTACTCTGAATCACTCGATGCCTAGATTCAAGCTTAGACAGCACTAACCTGCTTTAGCATATCGGGCCGTCGGAGTGATTAGTGCAACGCCCGATGCAAGGTCATTGGCCAATTGGTCGTATTGGCACTAGGTGTGCTCCAGGAGTAGTACATTCTGATGCTTGTGGCTTTTATGAATTAGGAAATTGGGATAGCAATTCGTGAACATGCTCCACTACTGATATCCAATACAACGGTCGTGCCATAGAGCGGGTGTGGACGGCATTCGCAATATAAGAGTCGAGATTCACCCGCGGTCATACAAGTCATAGACCTTTCTTCTCCCATCGAAGAAGCCTTTTTACTCTGTTTAGTTCCCAAAAGTACATCTCACAATGTCTACCCCAGCCTATCCCACCCGTACCTTCGCCGGTGTCACTCTCATCGACACCCCGCTGGTCCAAAAAGCTATGGAGTACACCCGTCATCATAACGACACCTTTTCATTCAACCATACCTACCGGTCCTGGATATTCGGCGTCATCATCGCATCCAAAATCCCGGCTTTCTCCGCTATCGACGCCGAAGTCCATGCCGTCTCTGCCCTCCTACACGATCTCGCGTGGGACTGTACCACCAGCCCCTTCGCCACGCCAGACAAGCGTTTCGAAGTCGACAGCGCCAACGCCGCGCGAGACTTCCTTGACCGAGAAGCCCCCAACTTCGACGCTCGAAGGCGTCAACTCATCTGGGATAGTATCGCGCTACACACGACGCCAAGCATTGGGCATCATAAGGAGCCCGAGGTCGCGATCTGTAATATGGGCATCTTTGCGGATTTCAAGGGCCCGCAATTCCCTGGGGGTTTGATCTCTAAGGAAGAATACAATGCCGTGGTGCAGGAATTACCGGCGGATGGGTTCCAGGACGGGGTCAAGAAGCTGATGTGTGGGCTATGTGAGAAAAAGCCGGAGACAACCTACGATAATTGCGTGCGGGACTTTGGGGAAAGGTTTGTGAAGGGATATGCTTTAGGGAATAGGAATGCAGTGGAAATGTTGATGGAGAAGATTGAGCATTGATAGAATCTAATTGTATTTTCGATGGTTTATGACATATGTTCAGGACGTCGTTTTCCTAGCTGGCTCACGGAGACGTAGTTTGATGGGAGGATCCGTGGAGCATTAATCAGTCTTTCCAAGTAGTCCAATGCTCCGGGGGCTTCCAACCATGGTACACGAAGAAAGTACGCGTCTGCCTCGTCGTCCCAAATGCACTTCTCTCCAGGAATCAATCTGTCCTCTATACATTTGCAGGTTGGGGCTTCAGGAAAGCAGCCGTGGAGAATGTAATCCCAGGTGTCACCGCATTCCTCCAGTGTCCTCCTGAACAAGTATCTGATCTGTTGTTGCAAGAGGCGAATTTTGAGCCAATGGCCGTGATAAGCCAGGTCTTGGTCCTTGGCTATGATGTCCGTGGAAGGAACATACGATAAAATGATGGCCAGGAGCTCCTGCGGCAGCTTGCAGCCCACTGCAAATCGCGCTTCGTCAACAGCCTGTAGATCCAGGAGTATTTTGATTTTGATCAATGTCGCCAAAACGGTGTGCTGGCGCGCGTGGAATTCGAAAAGTGAGTGGAGCTCGTCTAACGGACCGATTTCCGCGCAGGTAAAGAACATTTCAGAGTTGTATTTCCCCGCGCGGCGTACCTGATCAAGGTTCCAGTCTCTGATGAGAGCCCATGCATCCCAATCCCTGTTTAGTCGGATTAACATTTCCGGCAGCTTGACATGAGTCCATATTATCTTGTGTTTGGCCCAGATCATGAGATGGTTGGCCTCCTCTTCACGCGCCTCTCGAGTAAAAACGCCTTGCAATAGGATTGTGTAAGTTTCAAACGCATCCCAATAACACGTTGTGGGATCGGGAGAAATGTTGAATCTCCAGGTACTCGCTTCCAACGGGCAAACATCTGGTCCAAGCAGGTCCTGAAGCACCTTCATGTTATTTTCTTTTTCTATGCGCGACTTGGCCATTAACTGACAGTATGCGGCACTGTGGCCTTCATGGTGTCCGCTTTTATGTTTTGGGCAATACCCGGTCACCTTACACGACGGACAGAATTGTAAGTCCTGTGTACTGCTGCATATGTAGCAGCCTGATTCAAGTGTCCAAGCCGAATATCGATAGACCATCTTGTTTGAGTTCATCCCTGAGCAGCAGACGCGTATCGCAGGAGTGGCAATCTCTGTATGTATTTATAATGGCGGCCTGGGAATAATATGGGAATTTCCACCAATTGCGAGAGAAATCTCGGACGTTTCCCGTTGATCAAATCTCGTAACAAGACATGATCGATGGTATCATGATCTGGACTCCCCAAGGCTATTTGTCCCGTTTATCATGTTTACTTTGCTGATTGTTATACTTTGGAGGGCGTATCGACGGACATTGGTGTAGTTGATGCAGATGCTCTGAAAGCACGTGCTGCTTCCAACACGAGATTCTACACGCCGAGAAAGCTACAGAATCTACACTGAAGAGAGAAAGGTAATTATGAAATGACAATGATCTGGAAAACCTAATTTGCTGGGGTACTTGCTGGAATAATTGGAGTGAGTGGAAGAATTGGGAGTTGTAATGAAATGAAAACACGTTCCGTTTACCTATGCTCCTGGAAGAATCTCATCACCGCAGACATATGTATTGGGGGCAAGTTTCGAGATGTACTTCAGAGCCCATGGCCTTTCATGCCAGAAGTCCAACGCGTAATGAGGGCCACATCTGAATGTGGACTGGCAGCCACTGGGAAAGTCGATGTGTTCTGGACAACTATCGCCCCAGCCGGACTTTTTGTACTTGATCACGGAATCCCATACGTTGAATTTCCTTCTCGAAATTGCGGTATACAGTTCCTGGATCTGATCGCGGAGGATCCTGATCTGCTCAGTATGGTCAAGGGAGAGAAACTTGGGGCTGTCCGCAACGGCCGACGTAGTGACAGCAAATGAGACGATGTGGTCAAGGATCTCGCGGGGAACTCTGGATCCGACTGTATCGGTGGCTGTCTCTGCCGCTACCAAATCAAAGAGCATGTCAAGCTTGAGTAGCATTACCAATAGCACAATGTCGACATGGTAGTCAGAGGATATCAGCCATTGGACATCCTCGAATAGATCTGGCGTCTCATCGATTGTTTTCAGCCAATCCTGGAACGTGTATCCGGTCCCAAAGGTGGACAAGACGGATGCAGGAGACTTTGTGGTATGGGTCTTCACGAGATTGTAAAACTCCGCATGCCGACCCAGCCGAAAGTGCAGACATAGTATGTCCATCGCATTTTCAGCATCATTACGATACAAGTGACCGGTCTTCAACATAAGCTCCAATCGTGCTTTCAGTGCTGGCCGAGTGCTCAACTGCTCGATCTCCTGGATCAATAGCATGTGACTTGTGGTGTATTCGAGATTTTCCGAGCGATACCGCCAGCCCTCGTCTTCTGTTGTGTCCAAATCTTGAGGACGTATGACATTCCCATCTTCATCGCGAAGCTGGTATCGCTCGGCCTCCCGACGGATGTCGTCTATTCGGCAGCAGACCCTTTGATGTGCATGCTTATGCTCCTGCATATGCTCTTCGCTACAGTAGGAGACAAGCTGGCAGGTTTCGCATACATAGGGACTAGCGAGTCGATTGCACAGACCGCATCCGTCGATCACTGTGGCGTCAGAGGGCATGGTGGGTATGGTTGTGTCGTATGAAGAAAGATAGGATAAATCTAGAGGCCACCGATGGTACAAAGGCTCCAAGATAGAGAGAGTCCCGTTGGGAAATACTATTTATATTGCCTGCCTTCCTGGAATGAAAGGCGGGAGGATAAACAAAGACGTTAGGCAGCATTTTACCAGGGCGATGTTTACCGCCCTCGGGAGACTCCACTTTCTGCCCCCATCGAGTTATTCTATTTTTATCAAAGAAGGCAGCACAAAAACACAGCCTCCTTTTGTGAATGCGCGACGAACTGAAACACTCTGTTTAGCTGAGAAAAACGCCGCAAAATTCTAAAAGTCACTCCTGTTGACTTGATAAAAGTTCTGAAAGATACACGGACGCCACAAATAGCATTCACCGTCGGCTGGGTTATGGTATGGGCAAGAACTATAAGGCTCCTTCTCCTTGCGCGCCTCTTGAGGGACCAAGGGCCATGTGTTACTATCTCTATGATGAATTATATTAACAAGAAGTGTGACCTGATGCTCCAACCTTCGAATCTGGCCCGATTGATCTCTGCTGTATAGCATCTTTCGATCCTTCCCAATGATAGGAGTGAGTACAATATATTCAAGTACTTGATCAAGGATTTCCGAGGGAACCTTAGGCACAACGCGCTGTGTTGTTTCATGTAGCACTTTTAGCTCGCTTCGTAATTCGGTTTTCATGAACACTACCATCAACAGGATCTCCACGTTAAGTTTGAAAAGCAGTATTTCACCCCAGAAGTTGACATACGCGAATGGATCGCCAGTCTCTTTACCACGAAGCCATTCTTGGACCTCGCGATAATCCATCCGGTGCACACGCAAAGGTGGCAATGGTAACGCGTACCGTTCAGCCAGGTTATAGAATTCAAGAGGTACTAATAACGAGCTACGATTCTTGTAGTTCCTTGTTGTTGACCAAAAGTAACATCTTCATGGGCAAAGGAAGTTGCGCCTGGACATTCATTCGCGCACGCGCAGAGGCTCCTTGAAAATTCGAAAGATTTGCATGCTGCGTGGATCTTTCCACTATGTCTACTGGAATGCGTCGAAAGAAGATCTCTAGTGATATTTCAGCTTCTTGGATAGGGTTCGCACTCTCAACTTCTATTCTCTATGAGGAACCGTTTAACAATTCGATTATATCAACATTACAAGTAGTAAGGAAGAAATATAATTTGCTATTGGGACCGGCTATATTAACCAGCAAACCTTTGCGACGGCTAGAATTAAGATGCACGAGAAAGCACAAGTCTCAGACCCGAGACCAGCGCAGCCACAGTTGATGCAAGTAAGGCAAATAGAACATGGCAATTTGACCCAGTAATTCTCTTCACGGTTACGAGGGCCTGAACCTAGCAATACAAGCCAAGGCGCCTGGGGTCGTCAGCTAAGCCTCTCATGAAACTATCACCTATACAAGGCACATGACGTGAGTTGCCGGGATTAATCGGGGCGTCGTCCGGCGGCCACATCAAGCCCAAACGCATGCAGTAATAATGATGTTGGCCAGAGATGATACATGGCCAGGCAGCCTTGTTATTGTCTTCCATGGCATCATATAAGAACCGAATCTGTTGACAAAGCAGGCCAAGAGAAGGCAAACATACACAGAAAGAACGAATAAAGCGTGAACGGAGCCATGACTTGGAAGCTATCGCTCTGTATAGCTTCATGAATGAACTATGTTTTATTCACCTGTATATCGTTCTAAGTAGCTGGTTATGCCGATATTCCATGAAGATCAGAAAGTTGCTCGAAGATCAATAAAATCGTCGTCACTAACCAAACATGCCGCATCGTGCTTGAAAGCCATTTCAGCAATGTAAGCAAGGGCACCGGGCGATTGCTTCCATGCGTCCTCGATATTAAACCTGGCAATATCCTGGAGATTACAAAAGGTGCACCCAGTATGCCCCATCCGATGATTATGTCGACAACATTCGGGCCGCAGCATCACGCGATGGTCAACCAGGTATGGCCAGATGTATTTACACCGTTGTCGGACCTCCCACCATAGCCTGTCGATTTGAGCTTTGACATGGTAGATTCCGTCTTTGTAGTTGCTCCGTCGTGAGGTACGCGTGTTCGCTAAAATCGGATTGTCATGCAGATGCGACCGTACAAGCTCCAGTAGCTCGAGAGGAAGTCTGTGGCCAATCGAATCTGACACCGCGCCGTCGAATTCATCGAACATTTGCAGTTCTCTGAGCATCCGCAATTTGATAAGGGTTGCGAATAGGAGCACGGTAGTTGGCACGAACGGGCTGTGCAGCAAATCAGTGTCGTTCCACGAATCGCTACTTCTCTCGTTGGTCATTTCTTCGTCACTGAGCCATCCTTTGCTTCTGCAAATGGCAAGCGTATACTGCCGTAGAAAGTCATGGCATTCATCATCCCGATTAGTTCGAATGAGATACGAAGCCACCACACGGGGGCAAGCAAGGTCCAAAGTATCAGGTCGAAGGATTGTATTCCACTTCAAATAGGTTGCACTTTCCTCAAGAGCCTGCCTGGTACGCGCGGCTCTCAAGGCCCGAGCCAGTGCATGTCTGTCTTCCAGACATTTCTCAAACGCCTGGTCTCTGCCCTCCTTCAGGTGGACGGGATCGATCTCTAACACGTTCATTGTGTCAAGGCATTCCGCTTGGCTTGGAGGGAGGGCATTCTTTGCTGCCTCATATTGCTGGCGTGCTTTAATGATCTTCTGGCAGCAGGACCTTTTGTGTGTTTTATGATGTAGCTTTTTATGTGACGGTCCGCAGTAGAAGACTGCTCCACATTCGCAAGGGGAGAGATCTTTAGTTGTATCACATTCAGGACAGCCAGAATGATACTGACCAAACGGTGGAAAGCACATGGTGGCTGCGGTGTAAGCGAGGATGAAGAGCCCGAAGTGGGTGCTGGTTCTGGATATGGGCGTGAAGAGTGGAGGTTGCATCCATTGTCTCAGTATATTTGATCTGGGGATTTATACATTATCGCTACCAATATACCCATACTGGAACCCTCCATTTGCGAAGCGTGAGCAATAAGCAGTCTATGTCCGTTTGCCGGACTCTGTAAGTCACTCAGATATACCGTGAGATTCCTGTAATAAAATCGGTAGGTGTCTTGGAAGCCTGTCGATATCATTCTTTCTCCCTACAATCAATCACCCAGTTAACATGGCCGATTCGGACATCTCAAGTCCTCATCACTTAGATTGCTTCTATTAGTGCAAGCAAGACATACGTTTACATCGTGAGAAAAGCATAATCAATTAATCAAGATTCTATTAGACTGTTAAAGTTTGGTTAATTGAGTATTCGGGTATGAAGGCGCTGAGAAAAGCGCATCCTTGATCCATCTGTAGAGAGATTTCGGTTACGAAGGATGCATATGCATGTGCATATGCTGCTACGCAAATCTGATTGTAACTATCAATTAGGCAACAAAAGAAGAAGATATCATAGGGTTATAGAATAAGCGAGCTAATCAATTTTTATCAACCAACAATATAAATACAATCATTCAGACAGGACCCTCGGATTCCAGAAATGAACAATAGAACCCAGTTGGCAGTATTACCTATCCCAGGTCGGCCACCTTCCTAAATTTCCAACAGTAGAAATTTAGACACAGACGATTTCCGAGCCAAAGTTACTCGTTGCCGGCCATATTCTCCTCAGTCTGACTCGTGCTTCGCCATGGGAATGTCATCCAGCCGGACTTCTTCCCACATATCGGGTTCCACCTTGATTTCGGGGGTCGTCCTCTGACACTCGGCGAGGAAGACTTCACCGAGGAAGCGGTCCACGAGCTGCTCGGCACCGGGAGTCTTCTCAAAAGGTTCACGTAATTGTATACGAATCATAGCGGCTGTTGTGTGAGAGGTCGAGTTCTCCTGAGATTCAAACATGTTAGCAGGGTTGTCCTTGGCCATGAGATAGTCCCAAACCTGGTGATTATACTCATGAACAGCGAAGAACAATATACGGACCTGCTGGATTAGGCGTTCGATAAGGCGCGAACAGCTGGCTTCACTCATGGTGTATCTGTCATCTTCTGCGGTGGCGAGAGCGTTGAAGAACCCGAAATGGGCTTTATCTTTCAACTCCTTTGGCACAATTCGGGTTTTCTTACCGACAATCTGTGGCATATCCTGCAATTGTGCTATCACTCTCAGTTTCAGGATCACAAATGCCACTCGCAGAATCTGCGAACATGGGGTCGCTCGGACCAGCTCAATGTCGCTCAATGCGTTCAGCTTGTTGTAGTCTCTGATGCGGTCTTGAGGCTGTTTATACTTAACCACGAGAACGCCGAGGTATTGCCTCATGAACTTGTAAATTTCTTCATCGGACTTCAGTCGGAACATGAGACCCAACAGAGGCTTCAGACAAGCGTTCACATGTTTGTTGTCCGGAAGCATTATCAGTGCCTTCCTCAGCAACTTGATCCGCTTTTCGGCAGCTTGCCTGCTATGAAGACTTTCCAGAACTCTCGCATAGTTGATTCGAGCCTCGATGTAACTGTTCACATCATATACGTGGTTTCCGAGAATCGTATCATGGTCGATGCTGTCTCCAGATGGGCTTTCCGGAGCAAAAGGTAACTGTGACTTGACCACTTCGTATTTAGTGCGTTCCCTGCAAACGGCACTGCATACTGACATATGGGCAAGAAGGTGAGAAGCCCGATGCTCCTCGTTGCAATAAAAAACAAGTTTGCAACGTTGACAGGGGTAATGGTTGTCCGCGCCAAGGCAGTGAGGGCACCTGCTTTCGAATTGATTTGACTGAGACATAGTAACGGTTATCAAGATGCCAGGTACTCAATCTTTTGAGGAAGGTTTCCTTAGATCCAGATACTGCACGATGCCACTGTGTCGGCCTATTGAATTGCAACAAAAGAGACCTGTCCTTCTAGTCAATTCCTCGGTATTTATATAGCATTTGGCTGTACCAGTAATATTGGGACAGCCCATTACCCCCTTACTCAACCCTTTATCTCCTCATAAAGGACAACAATAACCAAGCCAGGTTCCCGGGCCATACCTAATAGTCATCCCATTTGCAAAGGAATTCGATCAAACAAGGCTATGTATCACACCTCTGGCTGTTGTCTGTTACAGTGGAGTGTCTCGATAGTGGTTTTTCATTCTCGATGTTGGAAGAAGATATGGACTTTCTACAGTTGCTTCATACTGCTCTTCATGGTTTCCGATGGCCCTTTCATTAGAGTGATTAGAGTCAAGACTATCAGACGTAGAGCTCCATAAGGTAGATCTTCAATTATTGCGCCAAATATGGATTCGACCAAACAAAACAAACCTGGCTCCAAACCGGCAGTACATACATGTAATGAAGCCCTCTGGTCCTATCTTGAACAAACTGCTAGGGAGACAGTACTGAGAATCCAGCATGGGTATGTATGCTGCTTCGCTAACTGAGCGCTACCATATCCTCATGATTACGACAAGGCGGCAGCACCATGCGAAGAATCCTCTGAAGATAATCCACCGCACCCGGAGAGCCCCTCCAAGCCAGTTGGCTGTCTCGAATAATTGAGTGCGCCTCATCCTGTTTCATATCAGTATTAATCTCTGTTCCTCCAGGAAGACGATGCTTGAATGGAACTGTGAGCTCTCCGTCCTTGAACATCTCGCCCCACAGATTTCCATTCTCACTGTGAATCTCTTGCACCGAGTGTATGATGTCCTTGTCTAATGCCTGGATCAGTGTATCGTGGTCGTTACTTTCGATAAATCGGCGGTTTTTCCACACCAACGGACTGACCGCGACCTCTTGACGGATTTGGTCCAAGATTTCGGTAGGCACTGCTGATTCAAGGGCTTTCGTGGTCATTCTTAACATTCTCAGGTCCACGGCCACTCTGACTCTCACCAGGATTTTGACGAAGTTGCACCGGGTTTTCATCTTCCAATAATTGCCGGAGATCGTGCTAGTTGTAGAGATCTGGAATTTTGAAATGTCAAGTCCGTCGAGATACTCACGAGCGAGCTCATCGTCCCGGTTGAGGCGTATCAAGAAAGGCGCAATCCGAATGGCTTCACAGGTAGGTTTGTTTCGTGATGGAACATACCAGTTCTTGACGAGGTCCATTTCACTTTCCAGTGCCAGCGTGGTGTGGACAAGTGAAAGACTGCATCGGTAAAACATTTGACTAATCGTGTACTTGAACAGGAAGAGTGAACCAGGGTTTGTCCTTCTGACAAAGGTTTGCCAGTCATCGGTGACATTGGCTTGTCTCATAACACGATCACGCTCCTCTAGATGAGTAGCTCGCGATACACAGATGTCTTCACACTTGCGTCTGTGCTGTGCGTCATGGGCCTCTTGGTGCTCCTGGCTACAGTACAGTACCACCATGCACCCACCCTGACATTGGGTCAGGTTGAATGCTGAGTTGCAATATGCGCAGCCGTTGCGTTCGAGGACCATTATGTGACAGAGAGCTCGAGATCTTGATAGAATCGGTTGGGTATCTATGTATGCCTTCAAGCTGCGGTAGATGTTAGGGGTTTTGTGCGAGCTTGTTCTTCATGTTCAAACGCGGCATGTCCCGATTATCCAAGCCAAACGATCCATTGAGCAACTGCGAAATACCGATATAATGTCTGTTCGATATCTTCCACAGAGACCTCCGCTTTTAGCATTGCGATGCGGAATATTCCAGTTCCTAGTCCAAAATCCTTCATCTCGCTGTTTCCGAACGAACAATCCAGGACTGAAATGTTGCGATCCTCGGGCTCGGAATACCTCCGTACAGACTCTCTATAGAATGCACCTAATATATACCAAGTGTCAAAATTCCATTCTCTCCTTTCTAACTTCTTCTGAGATCTTTCGGCCGGAGACAGCCGGGATCAGCGGCGCTAACCGCGGAGCAGCATCATGCTATGCATTCTGCACTAAACAGGCTAAACGACTAGAAATTGAGAACGACGGCTTTAGCGTTGGCAAGGATCAGCAAGTATGACCTCATCCAAGCTGCTCGTGCATAAACTTACAGCGACTAAACTCTGCACAGTAAAATCCCGAAGCATCCCCGCATCTTCTGCCTGGTGTTCATGCGTGGCCTGTTCTTGCGTTCAGAGAATTTCCTCATGCAATCTCTGTCTTTCGGGATGTATTTAGAGTGGAGGTTATCCCGGCTGGCTTGGTCGGTGGTGACTTGCAGGAAGAGTATCGCATTTCGTCATGTATTTTCTCAATGCTTTGGCCGTTCTGGTCGGCCTGAGTCTTACTCCCCTCGCTGCGTCTATTTCGGACTCGCCCCTTTCAACATCCGGTCGCTGGATCGTTGATTCAGATGGAGCAAACGTCACCTTTGCTGGGGTAAATTGGCCCGGCGCAGCAGATGCGATGCTGCCCGAGGGTCTTCAGTACCAGTCCATCGCGTATATTGTTGGCAAGGTGAAGGAGCTGGGGATGAACTCAATTCGACTGACATTTGCGATCGAAATGATCGATGACATCTATGAACAGGGCGGCGACGTGCCTATCAAAACTTCCCTTATCAACGCTCTTGGTGAGGAGAATGGGACTTCCGTGTATCAGGATATTGTCAGCCACAATGATCAGTTTGGGGAGGATACTACTAGGCTGGATGTATGATAGCTTTGTCATGTATAGAGTCTTCCAGATACTGACTGTTACATATAGGTCTTTGATGCCGTCGCTAAAGAGTGCTACGACCAGGGTGTCTACGTCCACCTTGACAACCACGTCTCCAAGGCCAAGTGGTGTTGTTCCACTGATGATGGAAACTCTTGGTTTGGCGACGAGTTCTTCAACGTGACCAGCTGGCATAGGGGATGGAAGTACATGGCTGATCACGTATGTCGCCGCATGCCCCTGTCGCACATACCGTATCTCACGTAACAATCTACAGGTCAAAGACCTTCCCGCCGTTAAAAGCGTCGGAATGCGCAACGAGTTCCGTCAGCCCGATGATGAATCTACAAGCGAAGAGTATACATGGACTGTCTGGTATAAGAACATGGTTGAGAATGCCAAACAGATCTACGAGGCGAATCCCGATCTCCTGATATTTTTCTCCGGTTTGAACTTCGACACGACCTTGACTCCTATCCCTACTGGGGAGGACCTCGGCGACGGTACTAAGTTCAGTAAGGATGATTTTGCCTTCGCTGATAAGATCGTGCTTGAGCTTCACAACTACGCCAGTGACACTGGGAGCTGTGACAGTTTGAAGTCAAGCCTCTACGGCAGTGGCTACAATGCGTTAGACACGCAGAACTCGAGTATTGTGAATGTTCTGCCGGTGCTATTGACCGAATTTGGATTCTCTCAGGATGACGATTCTTATAACACTGTTTATGCTTCCTGCCTGAAGGAATATTTGCCCGAAGTTCAATCGGGATGGATGGTTTGGGAGCTAGGCGGAAGCTATTACATTCGTGAGGGAGTGCAAGATTTTGATGAATCTTGGGGTGAGTTCTTTTCGGGGGAGACCTAACTCTAGTTACTAACAGCTCCGCAGGGCTTCTTGATCATACCTGGTCTGACTGGAGATCCTCCGATGCGATCAACAAAGGAATGATTCCTATGGTTGAAGCGACTTTGCGAAGTGGGTAGTCGGGCCTGTATTCGATGACGGGGGTTATGCGGACAGCTCTGATGAACTATTTTCATTATTCATTCATGATAGTGCAGTCTCCTGCCTGTTTCCTAGTCTATCTCTCTTTATTCATGCCACATAAGGCGCTTCCAGTCTACAATGCACCATATTTCCGAGGCATGTCATGCGTAATACGTCTTTTCTCTTCCGAGGGAAAGGATACGGACTTCTCTGATTACTTCTTTCCAGCCATGACTGACTCAACCTTCACGTGTAGAACGATCTCCTGTACTTGGGACAAGGACCCACTGACCTGACTGTGGCGAACTACCTTTGATACCATGCAACTTCAAAGGTTAATCCAGTTTCCTTGATAGATCCCTGTTGTGGAACGTCCCGAGTGGTGTTTGGCGGCAATTGCCTGAACCTGCATGGAGCCGAGACATGCTCGACCTGGTTGGCAGATGAAGTGAAGCCCGTCGTACAACTGGGCCCTGGAGGGGAGGATAGGAACGACTGTGTCAATTGGACCGGATCTGCATGCCGTATCCTAAAGTGGTTGAGCAGTCATTCTCTCTGCCAGAAGTATTCGTGGAATCAACGACGTAGGTTTCAATGTCTCGGCTTGCTGCTGCAACTCTATAGCCAATGGACCACGGAGCACCACATATCAGCATCTATATTTAGCAAGATTCTGCCTGTCTAGGCGCTCTCTGGCGGACCACCTCTTTGGCTTCCTCATCCCTGTCGCTCGCCTAATTCAGCCCATCCCTGGGCAAAAGCATCACCGGTCTCGCGGTATTAAACGCATCACCAATATAACCCACCAAGCACTATACCGCGTAACACTCTATACTATCGTTTTCGTTGAAGTTCACGCTGCTTCCTGAATGCCTCCACCACTGGCACGCACCTGGGTCCGGCCTATTTATTTGCCATGGCCTAGGAGAACTAGATCACTTCGCTGGACACTCACTGAATATGACATTACCTAATTATTATAATGACGGGGAGTATTGGCTGAGCTAAAACGCGCATCATGTTAACCAAATTGGTAGCAATTTCAAAGCACCCTACACCTTGTCAGGCATGCTAACCACCAAGCTGCACATCCAGCGTCAACCTTCTCGGTCAGTATTCGAGATCATCCATGTCGAATGCCCGCTCGGCCCAGGAGGTGTTTGACTGAGCTGAAATGAGTGGCGTAGGTTTGCGTTACAGTGCAGCGTTCCTGTGCGATATTATATGTGGGGTGATATACTTCATGGTGAACGGGCCTCCGGCACAATGTAACGTTTCTGTTTGCTCATGATGTGTTGTGTGCGTTTATCGTGGCGATGTCTTGCCTCATGTTGTCAGTTCAAAGAGGTGGGCTGATTTGGATCGCGAGGGCAGGCTTGGGGACAGGTTTAGTGGATGGGATGGGTTGGATGGATATGTTTGATGGTTTATTCGAGAGGAGACATTTTCGTGGTTCATATCTCTAGACAGCATTTTCTACGATGGGCGATCAGTTTAGATACTATCGCTTCAGGAGGCTACATTCTAGGCTGGATAATGGGGGTTAGAATGAGACATTTAGTTCATCATGAGCTCATCAGATTTCCGGGGAACGTGTCTGTGTGGCGTTCTTGTCAGACAGACTAATCTTCGTCTCTCCCAGAACAGGTGAAGAGTCGTTATATCCTAGTGAATCACACAGTAGTTGCCTGTACGACCATATGCAAAACGGAAAGATCATTGCATAAAATTGAGATTACCTGTTCTTCCTACTTCAATTTGACCAATCGTAGCCTCGCAACACACTCCACTAAGCGTGAAGTACCAAATTCTACTCGATAGCAATTTTCCTGATCCTCCTCCATCCTTCCCTCAATCATAGCACCTCAACCCCAGAACGTTACTCAATGGCTAACATGCAAGATCGCCGCATTCCCCGAGTCCTTTGACCAAATCTCAAATCGTCCATCATCGGTGCCAATGTAGACTGAAAACCTGCCTTGGTCGTCCGCCCGGAGACACGCAGGCGTGACGTCCAGCGCTGGGGGGTTGCCATACTCTGGCACATTGAAAGTGGCGAAGACAGGTCCGCACACCGGTGCTGTCTCACCCGTCACGGTGCCTTCGTCCCAGTCGGGGGAGCTGGCCGCGGCGACGGTGATGTTGACCGGGTCCCGGGAAGGGCGGGTGAATGCCGGGAATTGCACGGTGCACTTTATGATGGACGAGGGCAGGACGGGGATTTTGAAGCCCACGAGGGTGCGGGTGAAGTTATGTGCGTCCGCTTTGGCCTCGAGGGTCTCGTGGAAGCCGAGGGTGCATTTCAAACAGTTTTGCTCGGGGCAGGCTGGGCAGCCTGCAGTGGAGCGAAGGATCGTGGAGTCTTTGACGGCGGGTCGGTCGGTGGTTGCGGCGAGAGCGGTTATGATGCTGCTCGCCAGGGCTAGTGCCGACAGCAAGTGCAAGGCAAAGTGCATTTTGTGAAGTGAGGTGAACGTTGAATGAAACTATCCGAAGTCAACGCAAAGGGGAGGTTGAGATTGAATGAAGTAAGGGATAGACAAGTTTTGCTGGGCTGTTTTATACCCAGTAGTGGCAAGAGTGTGGTCTGCTGTATACACCACAGACAGTGTCTGGATCATAATACTACCTTGAGGGATGCTCATCTGGCTTGTCTGATGGCAACCGAACTGATTGGAAGGGTTTCTTGCGTCTTTACGAGCTGGTTGCCTCTCCATATTTAGAACGGCGAGCCTGACGGCAAGGCCCAACGACAGGTCAAATCGGCCACACATGCGCTGACCGCTGCTGCGTTGGCCTGATTGATGCTAAGTATAGCATTGCCGGACCATGAGCTTTTTGTCCTGGGGAAAATGTTCGTCAGATGTTACACGGAGTGTGATTCAGGGCACACAAGCCATGAATGGCATGTGCCGGTCCATTTTGAATTGACCAGATGATGTTTCGGTGTAGGCAGATATGTTGACAAGTTAGTTAACACCTTCATCCTGCCGATACAAGCAATATCAATCTATTCGGTGATCGAGAAGGATCTGCGATTAGCGCCAGAATTGGTCGGCTAAGGTCTAAGGATCAGCCGCGTTTCCACAAATCGGGATGGCTGACGAGTGAGTCACTGGTGAATTGTTCTCTCACTCCTCAGTACTCAACCCTCAATTCCATCAGAATCCACATTGACCATGTACAAACTCGTTATCTTCGATTTCGACGGCACGATCTTCGATACCTACGATGCTATCGAGCACTCCGTTCTCCTGACATTCAGCACTCTCCTCCCCGGGTTCACCGCGCCTCTTGATCAAGTGCGTCGACTTGTTTCCACGGGCGCTCCTCCCGGAAACACGTTCCGAAGTCTTCATCCCGACCCAAATATCTTTGACGAGGATCATTGGGTCAAGACATATCGCGAACTGTACGCTGCCCACGGCCAACAGCGCGCCAAACCATTCCCCGGTGCCGAGCTGGTGCTTCGCTCTTTGCGCGCTCGCGACATTCCCATTGTTATCATCAGCAATAAGGGCGTGGAAGCTTTGAAGTCGGCTTTGACCAAGACTGGCTTGTTGGGATACTTTCCCGAGCCCTTCATCTTGGGCGATGGCATTCCCGGGGTTACGCGGAAGCCCGATCCTTCCAGCTTCACGGACGTGATGTTGCCGAGGTTGAAGGAACTTTATGGGGAGAGAGGGGGCGAGGTTCTCATGGTCGGCGACACCCGGACTGATATTCAATTCGCGCGCAATATCGGAGCAAAGGTTTCCTGGTGTCGATATGGGCAGGGTGACAGCGAAGAGTGTGGTCGCTTAAACCCCGACTTTACCATCGATTCGGTGATTGATCTGCTGGGCATTGTGGGTGTTCCAAAGATAGAGTGATTCCGACCGGTTGCATTATCTTGGTGATTGTTCCTCTAAATCATTTCACTGGTCGTTTTATATAATCCCAAATGGTATCTTCATTCATTCCACGAGGCCTTTTTGCGTGACATTATCGATCTGCGGACAAACCACTGTCCTGGCGACACCTCATTGCTGGGTCTGTCGCATTGTGCGGTCACCTTGCATCATGCGGGGAACAGATGCAAGGAATCACAGGCTATTGCATCTTTGACCAGTGGGTGACGAAAGATCGTGTCGAAGCTGAATAGAGAGCTGGCTCAGCCGCACTGACGAGGGGATTTTGATGCACATCCACGCAGATCCCCTCGGATCAAGTCCCTCTTTGACCCAACATGGCACGAGGAAATTGACATTTCCCCTGATTGATTAAAGAGATCGCCATGATATGCTGGCGGACAGACTATCTTAGTGCGAATCCTGAGGCTAGTCAATTGGCGTATCATCAGAATCCCAGCTGACGTGATAACCTTGCAAAGTAAGGAATGCTCGGCAGGGCAGTACCCTGACTCACTCTCTGGCCCTGGATGAGAGGGGTTACTATTGGACCTACAAAGAAAATTGATATATCCACCAATTGCCCTGGTTTTCATCTACTCAAGCCTCCAGGTTGTGGGTTATAGTGCGATATGCCTGCGGACGAAGAATCTCCTCTCCTCCAGGACCCGACCGGAGAAAGATCGATTGTCCAGGAGCGACAGATCAAACAGAGTGAATATGCCAACCAACTTGTTGTTTATGGCTCATTCATCGGTAAGCATCTCGAGGCAGGTTCAATGCAGCCCTAATGTTGCATCAGGTATCTTTGTTGCCGCAGCGGATGATTCTCTGGTTCTTTCAACATGGAGCACCATATCCTCCCAGTTTCAACGCCTGTCCGAGGGTTCATGGTTGGTTGTTGCGTATAATTTCGGTTTCTGCGTCTCACTTCCTATGGTATGGCCTCTGATGGTGCGTTGTTGCCCACAGCACTGAGTCCTCGCGGTCAGTATGGCACCCTGAGTAGCATGTACGGTCGGAAAAATGTGCTTCTCGGCGCTTATGCACTTTTTGCCGTGGGATGTCTAGCATGGTTTGTCTACTCGTGCTCCAGTATCTCGAGTGTTTACTCACCTTCGTTTAGTGGTCTTAGTGGCTCGTTGGAACAGTTGGTTCTCGCCAGGGTCTTAGCGGGGATCAGTGGTGGAGGAATGATCTCGCTGGTTTCCATCATTATCACAGGTACGTCAGGCATTCTCTGTCAAGGTGTATTCGAACTCATCCCTAGCAGACTTGATTCCCGCCGGCGACGTAGCTCTTTTCCGAAGCTATGCAAATGTTGTCAGTGTCCTTGGCAGAAGTCTCGGTGCGCCGTTGGGAGGACTTCTGATACAGACTATCGGATGGCGATGGTGAGTGCGCCCTGGTCACATCGTAAGTGTTCATTGCTCAGAAAATCAGGTCTTTCCTTGGTCAGCTTCCTCTAGTTATTATCTGCGGCTTAGTGTCGATCCATGGCCTTCCACCCTCGTTGAATAATCGCGAAGTCGAAGAAGACCATCGGAATGCTCCTCCCACCAAGCTGTCGGAGGTCGACTTTGGGGGTCTTTTCTTTCTTGCTCTAGCCACTGTCATTTTGCTTTTCATTCTTCAGAATGCAAGTGTCACGACAGGGGACCATAGTCACTTGATAACATTGCTGGTGCCGTCCCTGGTCGGGGCTGTGACAATATTCATCTTGGTTGAAGCGTTCTGGGCTCGAAGGCCGCTCATTCCGCTTAATCTTATGATAAGATCGTTGGGAGGTTATTCCGTGGGACAGGTGTTGATGAACGCTGCTCGTATGGCGGTGGGTCTGCACTTTCTTGGAATGAATGTCTACTGACTATCGGTCACAGCTTGTGAGCAACCTCGTCCCCTATTTCATTCGGGTTGATCACGCTAGCAACGTCTTCGTTTCGTCCACGTATGTCATCAGCTCCGTGGGGATATCCATCGGAGGTGTTGTAGCCGGCGCCATCATCAAGAGGTACTGTCATCCCGGTGCCACGCGACATGGCTGACATTTCATGCAGAACGAAGCGTTATAAGAGCATGACAGTCACTGCCGGCATCATCGCCATCGCGGTGTATCTCCTCATCTTTGCACGCTGGCGCGATGGCTGCTCCATCCCCGAGATATTCTACTTATTCCCCAACGGCATTGTTGCCGGTGTTTTGTTCTCCACCCAATTCATCGGAATGTCGTTCGGCGCGCCGAAAGGGTGTCTGGAGACCTGCATCACGACCTATTATCTGTTCCAGCAGCTGGGGTTGATCATCGGTCCTGCGTCAGGGGCGGCGGTCGTTCAACGAGTATTCGGGAGTCGTCTCTCACAGAACCTAGAAGGCCTCCTAGAGAAACAGGTATTATTGTGCAGCTTATATAGTGGGTCCTTTGACATCTAATCGTTGGTTTTAGTTCATCGGTCGGATCCTCGACGACGCAAGATTCGCCGAGACGTTGTCGGGCTCCGTGCAGCGGGTTGTTCGCTCGAGCTACCTTTACGCTTTTCAATTTGTGCCACGTAAGTGAGGCGTTTTTCTTCGGGTAGAGGGTGCTAATGAAGCTGGTCAGTCATTTCTGCAGCGTGCTCGATGGTTATGTTGCCCATCATCATATGGCAGAAGGAGGAGAGGATCGAGTAAATTCATGGTCGGCAAGCATTACGGAACTCGGTCACTTTCTTGGGTAGACACCGCGAAGGACATAGACCCCTCGGCTAGAACTGATGTAGCATGCTGTTTGGTATGGAAAAAGTAGCTGCAGGTCAACTGCACGGAGCGCTAGGAGGATGAACAAATATATATCGACAGGTGCCAGCAGGACAGATGAAGATTAGAATTGTGATTCGTGTATCTAGGAATTGTATATTTGCCAAGATCCCTTGATGAATTTCAAGAGTTCTTGATGAATTTAGTTAATGTCCAGTCTTGTTGACGATGAGAGTAGTGTAGCAAGACTCGACAAACGAGGCCTGCCAATTCTCACCGCCCCCGTTTCTGGAGAATTGCCTGTTCGGGTAGGGGCGAAGCACTTGCTGCCTACCGTACTTGATCACCTGACGCACGCCCCCACCTGACGCACGAATTTTACCTCAGCATCCATATAGAAATGAAGCTCTACAACCACACACATTCAATATTATATAGAGATTTTTAGAAGATTGAATAAATGCATTATAATAAAGCTATCTACAGCATTTTTTATTGTCGAAAGCGTTCAAAGAGACGGATCTGCTTATTGCGACGATTCAGCGTTGGAAGGATCTTATCAACAACCTCAGATTCTATAGCAATTCTATCATTTGATTTCTTTGCTTTTGGAGTTGCAGAAACCTTATTCTTGTCTATTTAAACAATATTAAAATCATTTTAAAACTGTATATCAACTTGCTTAACGAGCTAATCATTTCGCTTTTTCTGCTTTTTTGTTTCTACCTCAAGGAATTTCGTCTCTCGATTTAAAGCGCGAATTCGCTTATATTCTTCAATCAAAAGCTTTTGATCTTCCTTCTTTCGTTGCTTATGAAGCTTTTTCTTTTTTTTTGAAATTTTAACAAGCTGTATAATTTTATTTCTTTCTGCTTGAAAATCACGAACTTGCTGAATCTTCTTAGAAAAATAAAACATCGCGTAATTGTCCTCGAAAACTCGAAATTCAGATAAAAGAGATTTGTCTCACTGACACTTTTTTTTTTTAAAAAAAAAGATCTCTTCAAGACTCTGACAGCATAATTTTAAAATAACATTTTCTATAAAAAGATGATGCATCATAAAATTTAATTTTTTGATTTTTTGATCGTATAAATCAATAATTGCGTGTTTAAAAAACCGCTCAATCTTTCTTTAATCCTCTGCATCAAGCACTAAACGAAATAATTTATTAGATGACGATCAATTATCGTCATTTCGATTGAATCGCAATAGAACGATATCAAGATTCAATGGTCAAACGCTTATCGATTTTCACAAAGAAACGATATTTTCAGTAGATAAAGCGTTCTTTCATAACGATCAAAAGAAACGAAAAAAGTCTTTTTTAATAATATGACAAAAATTTTGAAATTTATGAAAAAATCGTTTTAATCTCTTGTTATACGCTGTGAAAAAAGGCCTGAAGATTCCAACGTTAAATAATTGAAATAAATGCGTAGAATGAAACAGATAGATCATTAAAAGAATTTTATTTGTTTCGCAGTATTCGAAAAATTTCATATTAATATGAGACCCGTGATCGTCAAGAATAAAAAATTTTTAACACTGTTTCATTTTTGCTTTTGTTTCTCGATCAAATACATCTTGTAATCACATGTATTTCAGTTCGTCATTTGTCCATTTTGAAAACAAAGATGCAAAAAAACAAAAATAAAAAAAAGAATCGAAATCCTGCAGTTAGGAATCTTGAAGTTTAAAAAAGACAGTTTAATATATAAAATCCAAAAATAACGAAATCTCATTTACGCAGATACAAACGAACGTTGTAATCTATTTTTGATTTCCATTTTAAAGTCGTTGTTTCATTCCATTTTTCTCGTATAATGATTTAGAAAAGATTTTCTTTGTTTTACTAAATACTCCGATTAAGAAGTCTTTCTCGTTCATATTGTAAATATCTTTCTGTTATATATCGTATTTCGAAATCTTGCGAGTCAAAAATTCAAAATATAAAACATAATTTAATGTAGAATCAACCTTTTTTCGAGAGAAATCGATTCCAATTATATAGCAAAAAATAAGATTATCATTATATCGCTTTATAAAACGGCTCGGTCACTGTTTTCCGAAACAATTTCCGAAGATCTCATGAGCTAGATTTCGCAGCATTTCAAATGATATGTAAAGGCCTTTCTCGCTCAATTGATTAATATTAGAAATAAGCACTTTCGCTTGTCGATCATTAAGCAATCATTGATCCTGATATTGTTCATCTTTGGAATGTTGAACGCCGCGGAATCTTCTTGATAACGTTGATCTATGAATTCCATACTTTTTCGCGATAAAAGTAAATGTAGATCTATCTTCAAGCTTCAGGGAGTTTAATTCTGCAATTGCATCATCAATAGGAGCCATATTGATGAAGATATTGAGGTTTAAAAGTGTTCAAAATATCGGTGTAGAATCGATTTTCGTGCGTCAGGTGGGGGCGTGCGTCAGGTGATCAAGTACGGTAAGGCCTGCAATGATCCAATCCATGGATTCATGACACGTGATGTCAAGGTTGCTGCAATCGACACCAGAATTCGCGACCCATTCGATCCTCCACGATACCACCCTTGATGAACTTCTCTAACCCTTGCTTGCAGAACCTTTGACCAGTATTCAACAAAGCGACACTCTTCTTCCCGTGCAACCGGCGACGTGGATGAAGTGCGGGGTTCCCAGCCATCATCCAGGCTAGGAGGTACAGGTTGTACAGATACCACCTGGATAATCCCATTACGCGGTCTGAAAAGGAGGACGTTGCCTTTGACGCGACGTCGCAGTCGCGCAGGGAAGCGCGTCAAAGAAATTTCCTCCCTCAACGCCGCGCTGCCGTCCGGTGGGTAGTACAATGTATATGAATCAAGGGGCTATGCAGTACGCCTGTAGGTACGTTGCAAATTTCGATGGTAAGCAGTAGGTCTACTCAATACGCCTACTCATATCCCTGTTTGGACATTTTGACAGTAGTTAGTATGGAGTAGCTACTGCTTCTACACTCATGTCTACGAGGGTGATTGGGCAGGGGCTTCAATTGGGCCATAACGACAGGTTCGTCGTTGGAATGACAGCCCCCGTATCTCGGGGTCTAGGCAGGGCCTCGTTATCTTCATGCGTTGGACAGAAAGCAGTCTGACTCAGCCGTGTTTGAAATATGGAACTGGCAAGGTCGCACCGCAGGAAAAGATGTGAAGATAAGCGGCAGCGATGGCTCTGGACGGGGGTCAATTATTTGGAAACGGCGAAACTGACACGTCTAATGCAGTCTAGTCCTAGGTTTAGGGTTGGTGGTAAGATGCATCGATCCTTCTAGTGGCAGCCCCCAAACAATATATAATTATAATCATCCTCAGGACCGGTGATGCCGTGAAGGCGGGCGAAGTCGCGAGAGCTTGAGCATACGAGAGATCTAGCCCCAGCAGCCAAGACGAAGTACGCCAAGCTTTGCCATGGTCTCCTCACGTGGTCCGAATTACTTTTTACCCCGCAAAGATCGCTTCTCTTGCCACCGGAAATTGGAGACTCTACGGAGTAGCAAGCTGGGCAACCGTTTCAGCTGTGGAGGATATCTACACTCTTCAGGTGTTAATTGTATACCGTCCAGTGTCCCGATAGTCTCCAAAGGGTAACGTGAAAGAAAGTAAAACAAAGAAAAACTCTGAATACGGAGTTGGTGGCCATGATGGCGTGATTAATCTGCCCGTCGGCGAAACTAGAGAGTCTTAGCGCATGTTCTAAAAGAAAAGTTCTCAAAGAGGCCCCCGTATAGCCACATCCTGGTCTTTGGTTAGCTACCGAGTAAGATGATCGGAGTCTGGTTCGGCGAGGCTGTGAGAAATGACAACGTGGAAGTTGACGGGTGAGATGTACAAGCTACCAGTCCCTGCGGGTTGTCGGTCAAGGCATAAATCCGAGAAGGGAAAGGAAGATCTGAGGAGAGGCGACGTCAGGGCGCAGGACGGCCGATCACGTCGAAGGAAGGGTCCCAACCGGGATGGCGAGCACGCCTCTCGTTGCCTCTTCCGGGACCCCACGTGACCCATGAAGAATGAAGAATGAAGAACGGAAGATGCAGAGGTTCTCCGCAACAAAAGCGACCAAAAAATTTGGATGAGACATTCCCGCTCGGACTGCTGCCTGAATTTTACCCCTTTTCATCCGGAGAGTTAAGACTTAAGCTCGAAATGGAGCCGGGCTTGGCGGTGGCTGACGCTGGAAGGAGGACAGGAAGCTTGCCGCGTGCATCGATGAGAAAGTACATCGATACAGGTTAGGCATCAGGCATTTCTGATTCTTCCTCTCTCTCTCTCTCTCTCTCTCGCTCCGTCCGATCGGAGTCGGTTCACTCCGCCTCCAGCCTGGTTGGGCTGATCTCTCTCCACTACCCGGCGTCTCTGCCTTCTCAGTAGTACACCGGAGTAGTCCCTCTCGCTTTGCGTCTACCGTTCCCAACAATCAAGGCCAGTCACCGTCGTAGTGTTCCATACACCGTACAGAGCACTCCGTCCACAGCCGGAGTAACCTGTCTTTCTCCACATGGAAGCGCTAACGCAATCCCAGGAAAACATGACGGGCGGGTGATGTAACCGTGAGAGGGTAACTTTGGCAAGAAACTAAAAGGAGAAGGCGGGTGGAGAGGGAACTATTTGCCTACTACCATGATAATCCATCGTGTAGTTTATCTAGCTAAGCCTTGGTGCTGAGACAATGTGGGCTGGTTCTTGTTCGCCGACGGCTGGCTAAGGTGCGATAGTGAATCGAGCAGAGGGCCTTCTGGAAGATAATCGGGGAAATGTTGGAGCAGCTATTAATAAATAGGGGAAAATCAGAAAGACTCAGAATGAAACCCTCCGGCAGCGAAAAGAGGGGATGCAGCCACCCACCCAACCAGCGGCCTTCATCCGGCCGAGTGGAGCGGGGCGACCGGGGTCCAGGCCGCGAAGGGAAAGTGATCACTTGCCCGACAGCCTGTCAGGATGGATGGAACGAGATGCTGCAAGAGGTTGCAACGTTGAGATAACTCTCAATCTGTCATCACTCTCGTGCTGCAGGAACCTCGCACCTGTGCCCCATTGCTCAATCCCTGCTTGCATCGAGGAGGGGGGTCACTCCCTCACTTACTGAATTTAGAGGACAACGCCGGACCCCTGTTTCAGTACTGTGTAGAAAACTCGGGTGCTGCGGGCCCCGAATGGAACAGGGTCTGGATAGCCGACAGTTCGGATTGGTTCAAAGGAGGGGGGGAGCCCTGCAGCGTTTGCGTTCTAATTTGGGTAGGAAAAGGGAGAAGAGGCCAATCACGGGGGTGACGGTGGAGCCAAGGGGGCTTAGCTGTACTGTGACGCTGGTCGTACGCTCACAATACACCGTACTGACGGCTGTCAGGAGGGAAAATTGGGACAATGGCCAGGGTCCAGTACCGGCCATTACAGGGTCTCGTGGGGCGGCGTTTCACGGTCTGCGGCTCTCAGTGGCTCGGCTTGACTAACAGACCTTCTGGGCTCAAGCTTATTCCCGTTTTCTTTTTTCTTTTTTCTTTTTTTTTTTTCTTTTTTTCCCTTTTATATGAGTCGCACTGGCTGCTCGACCGGCCTTGGATGATGCTATGAGGTTGGTGATGGTGATGTCGCTCCGTCTGCCGCTCTCGGTCTATCCTTCGTGACTCGTTCATTTTATTTGACTTCTGCCATCTACAACCTTCCTTTCATCCTCCTCCTCCCTCGTCCTTGGATCGTCATCCTCACTACGGAGTAACTTTCCCCCCTTTCGTCATCTCCCGCCTAATCGTCAGAAAGGAATAGCCAAAAAAAAAATCCATCCATCCACCCACCTCATACAAGCCCATTTCAATCACAGCTTCCTCGCCTCTTTCCCTTCCGTCCTGCCATGTCGCTGATCTGACTGATTAATCGTCCGGTCGTGCCGTCATGAAGCTCGCCAACTGTCTCCACGCCGTCGTGCGGCGTATCATTCCTCTGGCCCAGCGACTGCGCGCCTCGCCGGGTCATTTCTTCGATGCTTGCTGGGAGTTTTCCCGTCGCTATTTCTTCACCGTCGCCCTGTTTGCGCTGCTGGGTGCAAAGATCCTCCATCTCTACGCTCATATCTATTCGCTGCCCCCGCCCAAATTCCTGCTCTGGGGAATCACCTTCTTCTTCCAGGATGTCTGCGTCCTCATCCTCATCCGCATCCTGACCCAGCGGATCCCGTGGCGACCGGTCGCCATGGCCTCAGCCTTGCTGGTTATCCCCTTTAGGTATGTTGCTCCCCTTCCTGGAATGATTTGACGGAGTTTCGAAGATGCTAATTTATTGAAAGTCTAATGATGTCAGGAATGGCCGCCGCTAATACCTCCTTCTACGTCGTCACCGGCGCCGAGATTCACTGGCGCCAAGCCAAGACATTCCACCGTGATGCTGCCGCCATTCGCACGCTCCTCACCGGCCTGACGGGCTTCCTGATCGTGGAGGGCATTCTCTTGACGGTCGCATGGTTCACGGCAAACCAGGTGCATCGTGGGGCCGGCGGGGTGCTCAAGGTTCTTGCATGGCCGTTGCGTCAGCTGGGAGGATTGATCCGGAACCTAATTTATCGTGTCCGGGGCCGGCAACCTCCGATGCCTCTCCCCGACCCGCAGGTCTACGAGCAGATCGCCGTCGACGACTATCGTGACGACAAGAGCGACGACGAAGACTCGCTGCCGATGAACGAATCCACCAACGTGGGAGCCTCGCATAAGAAAGACTCGCTTCTGAAACGGGCAGGTGTCCTCGTGCCCTTCACCCTCCTGATGTTTTTGCGCGCCCTACGTCCTTGGGACCCTGCCTTCTGGTTCCTGTCCGGCGCTCTGCCCTTCACGCCCTTCACCGATGGCAGTCATCGCCCTTCGCCCGTCGACACGTTCGGCATGCCCGGCGACTATCGCTGGTTGGAGGGCCGCAGCTCGCTGGCGGAAACTCCCGTCTGGGACTGGATGCCCGAGAAGGCCTACCCCGGTTTCGAAGATTGGGATCACACGGAACGCCCGGAATTCCACTACAACCCCAAAGAGGATCCGCTGCACATCTCCAATCTGGATAACCCGGTCTTGGAGCCCATCCGGAACGCCCTGAAGGGCGAGAAGGGCGCCAAGATCAAGCACGTCTTTCTGTTGAAGCTCGAGAGCACTCGCGGTGACCTGTTCCCCATCCGCAAAGACAGCTTCATGTGGAACCGCATCGCGGAGTCATACAAGGACAAGAAATTGCCCCCGGAGGTGCAGCAGCGCATCGCCAACCTCACCCGGACGGCCGAATTCTTGACTGGGTTCTCCGACGGGTTCCACCACAACGATACACTGCACGCCGGTAAGAAGACGTACGGCGGTATCGCGGCGAGCAACGCTTTCACCACCGGTACCTACACGCTCAAGAGCGTGACGGGTACCGTCTGCGGTATCACGCCGTTGGTCGCCGACTTCAACCGCGAGTACCAATACCACATCTACCAACCTTGCCTGCCGCATATCTTCAACGCGTTGTCCCACCAAGACGACATTACGAACAAGACCGACGATTTCCGCACCTGGCCTTGGCATTCGAAGTGGATGCAGTCGGTCACCGACAGCTACGACAACCAGGACAAGTTGACCCCCGAGCTAGGGTACCACGACATCCTGACCAAGGAGCGCATCGAGGATCCGGAGGCCAAGCACTATCCCCCGGAAGGCAAGGAGGTCAACTACTATGGCTACGCAGACACCAATCTTCGCGAGTACATCCGTGATGCTATCGACGAAGCCGAGAGTAACCATACGCGTCTGTTCCTGACTCACCTCACCGGTACCACCCACCACCCGTGGGGGTTGCCCGACGACGACCTGTTCCAGGAAATCATTGAGTCGTCGTGGACTAGCGGATCCAACGGCGATCTGAATCGGTATCTGAACACAATTCACTTTGTCGATGGGTGGCTTCAGGAAGTCCTGGACATCCTGCAGGAAAAGGGGATCGCCGATGAGACGCTGCTTGTCATGATGGGTGACCAGTAAGTAGAAATGTAAACGGGTGTAGATGACTGGTGCTAACCTGACTTTTTTTTCCAGCGGTTTGTCCCTCCCCAACGACGGCGGATCCACCCCCTATGACAATCCCCACATCGGCAGCTTCCACGTCCCCATCGTCTTCTCGCACCCAAAGCTCCCGCAGGTCGAAATCAAAACCCCCGTTATCTCTCAACAGATCGTCCCCACTATCCTTGACCTGTTGGTCGAGTCCTCGTCGCTGGGACCCAACGGCACGCACGCGGCTAAGGACATTCGGTCACTGTACGAGGGTCAATCGATGATCCGCGAGCTCATTCCCCAGGACGCAAAGGACAAGAAGAAGCAAGATTGGCAGTTCACAGTCATGAACACCGGTGGTTCCTGGCTGGCATTGCGATCGGCGGCCCGTCCCAAATATCGTCTGGTGATCCCGTTGATCGACGATCTCGAGTGGCGCTTTACCGACTTGGAGAAGGACCCTAACGAGAAGAAACCGTACAAGGATTTCAACCTGGTGGATCTGGCTGAAAAGCTGGATAAAGAGTACGGTGAGGACGTTGTGGACTGGCTTCGCGATGCAGCCCATGTGGCGCAATGGTGGGTAGTGGATAATTGGCACCGCTACCGATATCACCCCAAGCCCCCTAAGCACAAAGGTTGAGGGATGATTTTTTTCGCCAAAAACAAGGAAAAAACGAAAAGCCAAAAAAAGCCAGAGAAGGACAGGATATGATCCCTGCCTTCTCCCCTAATTTCCGCCTGCTTTTGGAAAAGAAGCAGTGCTCGTCGTCCGAACCCTGTGGCCCTGCGTTTCTTGGAATCACGCAAACCGGATTCGTCGCACCCGATGCATGTCGCTGGCACCGCATGGGTAAAGGGCTTTCCTCCGGACACGCGCAGGACTCCTCCGAGTCCCTGTACACTATTTCTCCGATCTACCCGTTTCTTGTCTATAGATTACGATTTTTTTGTTGATACTTCCAATGGAATATGGCTGATGATATATCCGGGTTTTTGAATTTTCTTTCTTTTGGGTTAACCGTATTCGACTGGCGGCATCGATCCCTGAGGGACCCCTGAAGCTTTCCATCAGCCCCCCTGTTCTGCCGCTTGACGTAGATTTAGGCGCCATTGCAACTACCGGAGAAGGCGTCCGGCTGTTCAGGGCGGAGAAGACGTGAAACCGCAGGATCCTGGGAGGATGAGTCGGCGTGCATTGGCACTGCGCGGCCATTGGGACCAGTCGGTATGCCAAGACACCTTGTTCATCTCCATCAATCAGCGGCTTGACATCACTAATGCAGGGAACGGGGATAAACCCGACCTGAGGCTATCGTCGATACTTGGCATGTCTCATGCCTCATGATCCTCCGTGTCTCGGGAGGCACGGTTGACGATCACCGTGCCTGACGGGAGATTTGACTCTCTATCCGCGACGCACTAATGCGACGTCTTGGCCCTACCGGGTAATTCGCGCGCCGGCGATAGATAGACAGCTCCAACTATCAAACTCTTCACGGTATCGTCTTGCAAATTTATGGCCTGTCATTGGTCCATGCTAGTTGTGTCACCGGCAGGGTACGCTTTGAAGAAGGAGAAGGCTCGACCAAACCCTCAATTTACCCAGAACCGCTAATGCCGCCCCCAGACGCTATGCTTTTGAAATGGATCCACGGACCGGCGCTCGAGCTGTCTGCTGCGTCGCTTTCGTCCTGGTCATCTGCCTGGCCTCTTTCATATATTTAGGACTCGATGCTGCCGTGGCAGACTTGCAATCCTGTCGTCCGATCACGCCTGGTTCCCTGGTCCTCTTCGCAATGAAGCTGGTGAATCGTGTGCTCGCTGCCTTTTTGGCAGCTAACTCTCGTGCGTTCAACCTTCAACATGAGATGTCGTCGCTATGCAAGCTAATCTCCTCTAGTGCTGCAGACATGTCTCGCCCAGTCGACCGATGCAGAGGTCTATACCGATTCCGAGACAGGCATCACGTTTGATACGTGGACTGTCCCGAAGAGTACGACCGCTGGCGGTCTGACCTTTGGTCTTGCTCTACCCAGCACGGCTCTGGATGAGGACGCGAACGAGTTCTTGGGTTACCTAGTATGCTTGCGTCCTATTGTTCTATGCGGCGATTCTAACCCAACACCCAGTCATGTGCCTCCGGAGACCAAGAAGCCACTGGCTGGTGCGGTGTCTCCATTGGCGGGTCCATGAACAACAACCTCCTCTTGATGGCCTACCCCTACGAAGATAGCGTCTTGACCTCCCTCCGTTTCAGCACGGGCTACGCAACGCCAGACGTCTACGCGGGCGACGCCAACGTCACCCAGGTCACCTCGCGCATCAACGCTACCCACTACACTGTGCTCTTCCGCTGCGAGAACTGCCTTTCTTGGGATCACAACGGCCAGACGGGGAATGTGTCCTCCAGCTCCGGGAAATTCGTGATGGGTTGGGCCCAGGCATCCGACAGCCCCGAAAGCCCGGCCTGTCCGGAGGAGATCTCGCTGAAGCAGCATACCGGCCAGGGCATCTGGGTGGCTACGCTGGACGAGAACGCCGCCAGCGACTCGTACTCGGACTGGGTCAAGAAGGCGAACCAGACGGTGCCTGGCGAGTGCTCCGGCGACGGCGGCGGCGGCAACGAGCCGGAACCCGTTCCCGTGCCTGGCAATGCCACCTACGACTACATCGTTGTCGGGGCCGGCGCAGCTGGCATTCCCCTGGCGGATCGCCTCAGCGAGGCGGGTCACAGCGTCTTGCTCATCGAGAAGGGACCCCCGTCGTCCGGTCGCTGGGGTGGCACCACCAAGCCGGCTTGGTTGGACGGGACGAACCTGACGCGGTTCGACGTGCCGGGTCTCTGCAACCAGATCTGGGTGGACTCTGACGGGATTGCCTGCAACGACATCGACCAGATGGCGGGCTGTGTCTTGGGTGGTGGAACGGCCGTCAACGCCGGACTCTGGTGGCGGGTATGTCTCCATGTTTTATTTTGGACACACGGATACTGACGTCTCTATTTGCAGCCGAACTCCGCCGACTGGGACGAGAACTTCCCCGACGGATGGCAGTCGTCCGACATGCAAGCGCCCGCGGAACGGCTCTTTTCGCGCATCCCGGGATCCGACACTCCGTCTATGGACGGGAAGCTGTACTATCAGCAGGGCCCCAACTTGATCGCCAACGGGCTCGAAAAGGCCGGCTGGCAGTCCACAACGTTCAACGAGGCCCCCGAGAAAAAGAACCGGACGTATGGCCACGCGCCATTCATGTTCGCGAATGGCGAGCGCGGCGGGCCCATGGCAACGTACTTGGTGTCTGCTAGCGGAAGAGACAACTTTGACCTCTGGACGAACACCACCGTCAAGCGGGTTGTCCGCGATGGGGCCCACATTACCGGCGTCGAGGTTGAGGCGTTCATGGATGGTGGCTACAATGGCACAGTCAAGGTGACTGCAAACTCCGGGCGCGTGATCCTCTCGGCCGGGACGTTTGGAAGTCCCCGGATCCTGATGCGCAGTAAGTTGATATCTTGTGGAGTTCGCCGGCATAGGCTAAAGATGGACAGGTGGTATCGGACCGACGGATCAGTTGGAGAAGGTGAAGAATTCGACCGACGGTCCTACCATGATTGCGGAATCCGATTGGATCAAGTTGCCGGTGGGAGAGAACCTGGTCGATCACACCAATGTACGTCAAGTACCTGCTGGGGGTGAAGAAACTTGCTAACTATTCAGACCGATCTTGTGGCGACTCACTCGAAGGTGGTTTGGTATGACTTTTACGGGGCCTACGATGACCCGATTGAGAGCGATGCCTCCAGCTACTTGGGTAGGTTGATTCAAATGATTCCCCGAATAGCCGCTAACGTCTACAGACTCACGAACTGGAATTCTGGCTCAAGCGGCACCTAACATTGGGCCCTTGTAAGTTGTTCATTTACCATTATCTGGATGGAAGAAATTGTTAACAAATCAGGTTCTTTGACCAAATCACCGGCTCCGACGGCAAGGTCCGTCAAATCCAATGGCAAGCGCGAGTTGAAGGCGGCCATGAGACGCCTGATGGCCGTAAGTCCCCTTGACCTGTACACCCGAGGAATCCAAACTGAGTCTTTAGATGCCGTTACAATCAGTCAATACCTTGGCCGTGGTCTGACCTCGCGCGGTCGCATGACGCTTACAACGGGCCTTGACACGGTCGTCTCGACGCTGCCGTATTTGCGTGATCAAGAGGACGTTGACGCAGTCATCCAAGGTATCAAGAACCTGCAGAATGCGTTGAAGGGGACGGGTTTGAACTGGACGTATCCGGCTCCGAACACTACTGTTGAGGAGTTTGTCAACAACGTAAGCCTATATCCCCTCTCTTTTTATCCTGCTCTTGACCATTTCTAACTCGTCACTATCACAGATGCCGATTAACGCTGGAACTCGTCGCGCAAACCACTGGATGGGTATGTATCCTCTTCTTCTATCTCAATCCAGCCTCACTAATAATGATATAACAGGAACCTGCAAGATGGGCACTGACGACGGCCGCAACGACGGCACCTCCGTGGTCGACACGAACACCAAAGTCTACGGCACCGACAACCTTTACGTCGTGGACGCGAGTATCTTCCCTGGTATGATCACGACGAATCCCTCCGCTTACATCGTGACGGTGGCCGAGCATGCGGCGACCAAGATCCTGGGGGGCCAGAGCTCGCAGACGGAGCAGAGAAGGTGGAAGCCTCACGAGCATAGACATGCACTCTAAGAAAGTTGTGTTGTTTCGTGAGGTGATGGGAGAAGGGGATGGGATATGATTTAGTGGCGGTGTTAATCTATACGCTTTTCCTTTCTATACTCTAATCCGCTCTGGTGGTGGGTAGAGTCTTCTTTTAGACTATCAAGGAAATTCTTTCTAAAATAGTTTTGGCTTTCTGACTAAGGTAGAGGAGATGACTGCAGCTCCCAACACCATGAAGGCTCGATGTCTGTGGTGCCATCTGCTAAGATTCTCGTTATATATTTACCTCTCTAGGACAATACCAAGATCCATTCATCCTACAGCAATCATCTTCGTGAGATAGACCAATCATTGATAGCTGTCTGTATTCAAATTGCGTTCAAATTTCTGACTAAGAAAGCCAGCGCAAATGATCCCTTAACAGAAGAGTTGACCATAATCCACATGTGGATCCCATTTCCTACACCTCAAAAGACCCCGTGACCAAACCCTTCCCTGATGCTACGTAAACACCTTTGAGCAAGAGCTTAGCTACTCAAGAAAACGCCGCAAGTGCGCTCTCAAACGCCGCATCCAACTCCACGGTCTTCGACGAAATAGTCGCCTTATCCGCGGCAGTTACCTTTTTCTGCAAGGCGGTTGACAGGGTGTCTGTCTTGGTCTTGAGATTCTGAAGATCGAGTTGCACGATACTGCCGACGCCGGCGGAGACGAAGAGGGATTTCTATATCCTGTTAGTCCGAGCACTGATTTTGACGTTCCCATGAACGGAATAACCCAGATAAAGGAGGGGGCAAATAGGAGGTGGGGGAGGGAAGGAAGTATGGAACGAACCTTCGAAACCAAAGCACCCAACGAAGAATCAATGTTCGGTTCCAAACCAAGCAACGCCGTCGTGATGGCGCTACTCTCGGTGCTCGTGAACGCCGACGCAGCGTTGGTGTCCGTGGTGGCTTTGTCGATGTCATTCTCCACGGCCTGTTCCTTTGTCTGAATTGCCAGCGCCGCGGTCAGGCCGCCAGTAAAACCGTTTACGGCCGTGGTCAGGGTGTTTAAGTCCGTTGCTATTTTGGCAAGGTCGGTTTTGACGGTGGATGCGTCGCGGGTTGCGAGGACGGGGGAGGAGGTGATGACGGGGATGAAGAGGGAGAGGACGAGGAGGGGGAGGTGGGTTGGAATGTACATCTTGGTTGGTTTGGGTTGTTGGTGTATTGTGGTTTGTGTACTGTAGATTGGATGATAGTAATGAGGAAGGGAATTGGAGATGAAGAGGGAAATGGAGGCTTATATAGACATTCTTGAGTTGGTTCAGCGGGATTTCATGGTCTATTGACTCCTCGATCAGCAGCTTCGATCCCCTACAGAGGATGCATGTCCTCGGCAGAGCACTGTAGAGTTCAGGTCTCACTATAACGTCAACGTACATCAATTCTCTCGTATACTCAATCAATTTGAGTATTCATCATCCAGTGGCGAAATGGCATGACCATAATTGGCATGTGAGGACGCGCCTACCTAGGCATCATGCCATAAACTGTAAGAACAAACCTCTTTCCCTGCATACAGAGTGAGGAGCTGCCCGATACAAAAGAGGAGATTAATCTATCGCCATCTAACCCCGGATCGACGTGCCAATCGATCCCCTGATTACCCCACAGGACAAGGTTCTTCACAAACAGCCAAGAACTGTGGCGTGGACGATCGTTGCTGTTATCTGGTTAGTGGAGGACGCGATGTAACCTGGTTTGTATCTTGGACTGTAAGTGTGGCTGCTGCGTCTGAGAACGGAATACGTTGCGGAAAGGATAGGAGTGGTGGGAATTATTGAAGTCGGATTTCCTTTTGTTTAAGTGCGGCATCCGAGGTGAATCTAAGCATGATTGGCATGTGCTTGTGTTAGGTTTGGAGATGATGACGGACATCGGAGATCCACGGAGATCAAGATCAGGTCGAGCAGGGATATTGGGTCTGGACTCTCGTGAATGAAACTCTGTACCCCGGATTTAGCCTGTTTACCTCTGACTCAATTCATTTCAGGCACCCCGAGTATATCTCGTTTCTCCCGAACGGCTGACCTCATTTCCAACTACCCAGTCAAACTGCTCCCAATAGGTGTATCCTTATGTATCTCACACGCTCTGCACCGGGTCCCTCGGCTATTTTTGTCGCTCTGTTCTTTTGCATCTATAGTTCAATCGTTGAGAATAGAGGCGTGATGACTTCTGATCCTTGCGTCCGGTCTTCCAACCCGGGGTGATAAAAACTATCCTTGTTCATTTATCTCTTATTCATGCTTTCTAACAATTCCTGTCGCTCCAGTGTGTTCAGCTGGAGCCAGAACTACTTCTGCGAGTCCACTTTAGTTACCCAGATAACCTACTTTATTACCCTTCCCAAATGAGTTGTGCCCGAACAACCCTCGACATATATTCTGTCTATGACAGCTATGTTATGGTAGGTTTGTAGTTTCAGATGGTTACATAGGAAGTTAATTTGTGTTGAAAGGAGCCGGTGCCGATTTGCTGGGGACTGAAAGGTATGAAGCGAGAAATATGACGAAAGGCAAGGTTTTTAAAGATTCCGATAATGGTATTGAGGACTCGGATCGACGAGGTTGGAAAGAAAGGTCATATTGGCCCAACACCTCCTTCTGGGAGAGTCTTCCCTTTCTTACCCCTTTGTTATCACAAAGACCCTAACCATCCTCCTCAGAGGAATCCCATAGGTCAAGGTGGATTAGGCGATAGATTTGGACACAATGGCGCAGGGCGTTCATAGCGACTCTCAAATCGTAGATTGGGGTTCGATATTAGTTATTCCGTCGTTCAAATCACTACAGTTCCATTTAGCGCTCTATAACTTGGCGTTCTTTATTACCGGCATTGGCATCAGCAGCTTGTGGGTAAGAGTATAGGCTATGGGGCAGAACCGACACATATCTGGATAGTATCGACAGCTTCTCGCAAACCTTTCGACATCACCTGCCTACCCGGTGAATCATATATGGCCTTTTCCACAGTGTTAATGGTGAAATACATTCTAAACCTTTCTCTTTGTCTTTAGACTGGGAAGCTTTCGAATACCCCACCTGCAGGTCCCGTGCATTGAACATGAAACATGGATGCGGTGGACAAAACGGACTTTGCCTGAAAAGGTCAATGACCATATCCCAAAGGCCTTGTCTCCTGCTTTCGAAATGGAATACACCCATGAGTCAAGTCAACATAAATACGTGGTGCAGGTCGCTCGCTAAATGTGCTCAATTTGGGCAGCCCTCGATCAATACCTTGAGTGTCGAACCTCGGATACAATTCTCAGGGACTGTACAAATTCACTGCTACTGTGCGAGTCAAATAGGCTCGTGTCTGTTAAACAGTCCTTGAACTTCCCTACGGCAGCATCTTCAGCTTAATAACAGTCTATTCTCGGTCCTGCAAAAATGGCGAATGAAACCGTTCTTAGTGGCCTTGAGCCGACCGCTTGTGATACCCGGATTCTATCTCTAGTCCTTCAGGACCAGGGACCCACCCAGCCCAAGCATTGGTTGCTCTATGTAGCACTGGCAGATGAGAAAGAACCTGGCGGCCGGTGCTATCAAGTCACAGGCAACCCGCTGTGCATGGTATACTGGGCACCCGACAAACTGATCAACATCAAGAAGTCCAAGTCCTATTTTGATACTGTCGAGTTGACTGTCGTCACTGAAAAAGAGGCAGCGATGGTGCAGGAAATTGCGAGTCAGGAACGACCCCCTCGAGCGCGGGATTGGTCCTCTAGGACGGAGAATTGTCAAGGCTGGACCGTGCGAGTGCTTAACAAACTCAATGAACGCGGAGTTGTTCCTCAGTCCAAAATTCGCTCCGTGGAGTCTATGATGGAGTCACTTTAGAGTTGATTGGTTCCAAGCGCGTTCTATAATCTCCGAGGACGTGAAGATATCTCGCATCGAAAGATTTGGGATTTCGGGATTATCCCCCTCAACAACAAATGATCTTATTCGAGTCTCTCATGCTGTTACATGTAAATAATCTAGTAAACTACTTTAATCGTATGGGTAGATGTCATTAGTAACATACGTACCCCGATATCGCACACGGCCTTTTAGCAGTTTTGTGCCGGACATTTACATGATTGTCATCACTGCGGCGCTTTGAACAAAAGTCGCTCACTGCGTGCGATTTTTAGTTTCATCATGATTGCTAGTTTCCCGTCAAATAATTTCCAATCCCTTCAGTAATGCAGCAAATATGTAAGACTGTTCGAATTAGTAATGGTTCGAGAGAAAGCAAACTATGCCTCGTGTGCGAGTGACAACCCCCGACAAACGGATAGAACCCGAATTAACCGAGGATTGCGAAAGCCAGCAGTCAGCTGGATATCAGAATCTTCTTCTCCAGAAATCCCCACGCACAAGAAGTGGACCGTGCCGCGGAAAACCGAGCAGCAGTCGGGGGTCAGGGCAGGCCAGTCTGGCAAAACTCCGGAAAACCGACTCGGCCCAGAATCCAGAAAATTTGCAGACAGCAAATGGGGCCGACCTGGCCAACTGAATCTGGCTATTCTGAGCTTTGACTGGCAAAATGGCTACTCCGTTGACTATCGAAGGCGTGCATGCCGATCGGAGCCTGAGTCTCCGAAAGGGATAGACATCCCTAGGCCTAATTCCCTCGCAGCAATCTCCGCGTCGTCAACCAGACAGGAACTCCAGAATATCCATTAATAATGGCCCCAGTCAACTCGGTCAATCTCCTATCTCGCGTATTGTGCGGAGTTAACGGACTCCAATTTATGGTGGATGCGGATGCGGCACAGCCAAGCATCGTCCAGAAAAGCTTGATCAACATTTGGTTCCTTCAGCTCCACGTCGACCTCCTTGGGGATTCCTATTGGTAATACGGTGGAGCTCGGTCTTGAACACAGACCCAAATGCCGACCGACGTCATGCTGGCCCTTTGACTAAGCGCGTCCTGTCCTGCTCTCGCCTTCTGTCTCTTCTTCTCCCCGGATTTCAGACTCGGATCCCCAGAAAATACTGTGTTCTGTTCGAAAAAGCCACCATGGAGGAAAGTCACGGTGTCCCGGACGCTGCTTTGGAGCAGAAAATATCCAATTCCTATCGGGAGAACCTCCCGCTGGTCGTTTCGGAGGAAGAGGCATTGTCGCATGCCAGAGCGCGTCCTAACGAAGCCCTGCCCCTGTTGCTCACGTTCGGAGATGGCGACCCTGACAATCCGCGAGCTTGGTCGAAGGTGCGGAAATGGTATATCACTTTGTTCGTTAGCATGCTGAACGTGGTCACGTAAGTCTCTCCGCGATCGCACACATAATCATAGACTAATATGTGAGTGTTCAGATGTTGGTGTGCCGGGAGTATCTCGTCCGGCGCCCCTGCCATTGCCTCGGAATTCGGCGTCTCGTCAGAAGTCACCACGCTGTGTCTTTCGCTATACGTACTCGGATATGCAGTTGGTCCTGTACTGCTGGCTCCTCTATCGGAATACTTCGGTCGGCAACCCGTCTACGTTGTGTCTTGGTTCCTGCTGTGCCTCTTCCAGATGCCCATCGCCCTGGCCCCGAATATCGGCACCGTTCTTGTCTGTCGCTTTCTGGCCGGACTCGCAGGTGGTGCGCCTCTGACCAATACCGGTGGATCGATTAGCGATCTGTGGGAGCGGAATTCCAGTGGTGGCCCGATGGCAGTCTACGGACTGAGCAGCACCTTTGGTCCGCCCACCGCGCTGATTATGAGTGGTTATATCGGTCGCAATGCGGGTTGGCGATGGATATTCTGGACGTTGATGGCCATCACTGGTGGGTTCTGGATCTTGCTGGTGGTGACGGTGCCGGAAACGCGACACACAATCATCCTGCAGCGCAAGACGCGGCGAGTGTCCAAGAAGATGCGCAAGGAGAACCTGAAATCTGCAGAATCAGTCAATGACGCGGCCGCGGGTGGTCGCAAGGGCTTACACGAGCTCTTTGCCATCACTCTTACTCGTCCATTCCGGTTCCTGTTCTCCGAGCCCATCACGCTCTTTTCTGCCCTGTACAAGTATGTCCACGTGATGCTTCGAGCCCTTGTTCGTCACTCTAACATTGACCTGCAGTGGCTTCCTCTACGGCCTCGTCTACCTTTTCAACGAAGCCTTCCCGCTTGTCTTTGGCGATGGCCACGGCTTTGATGTCGGCCAGCAAGGTTTGTCCTTCCTCGGCATGGCCATCGGCCCCATCATCGCCTTCTGCTTCTACCCCCTCCAAGAGCGGTACTACCTGCGCCGCGTCGCCGAGAACGGCGGTCGCGGTGTCCCCGAGGCGCGCATGTGGATGGCACGTCTTGGTGCTATCTTCATCCCTGCCAGTCTCTTCTGGTTCGGCTGGACCAGTTACCCTTCGGTTCACTGGGTCGTTCCCATCGTGGCGTCCTCGTTCTTCGGCGCAGGAATTTACATTGTTATCCTGAGTATTCTCAACTACGTCGTGGATAGCTACCAGACGTATTCCGCCTCTGCGCTGGCCGGTGTGATTCTGGCACGGAATCTGGTCGGTGCCGGATTTCCCTTGTTCGCCACTCAGATGTATAACCGGCTAGGATGGGAATGGGCGTCTAGTCTGTTGGGATTCCTGGCCATTTTGCTTGTACCGATTCCATTTATCTTTTTCTATATGGGTCGGGCGATTAGATTGAGAAGTCCTTGGGCTAGAGAGCATTTCGATCAGGATGAAGATCACCCTCATTAGTGACGTCTTTTTCCTGGCTACGAGACCTATCATGATTATGGAATAGAGCTACCTAGACAATGACGGTGGATATGGCCTGTGTTTAGATTTGTATAGGTTAAACGAACTTGTGTCTTTCTATGGTTATCCGCTACAGTCTTCAAGAGGGGATGGGTGGGTTCAGTCCACTTGCCGAGCTCGGGACGTGGAGATGCAGATCCTCAAGCATCGTCGCTATATTGCCGACAATCCAACGGAGTAACGATTCAAAGAAGGAAAGCAACATCTGCGATGCTCAACCCTGCACATTGCGAGCAGATGTCATGACTAACCTCGAGCGTTGATATGGGCGCTATTTGAAATTATTCCGTCGTGAATCCGACATCCCACGACTCTGGTTATCGAGCTGGAGACAAGGTTAAGAAGGCGATGCAATAACGCTAATGAGCCTGACTCCCCACGACCCGATACCTCGGATTGTGGAGTAACTGACCCCCTCGAACTCCATGGGGAAGAAGGATGCGCCACCAATTTAGAGTCATGTCTTCCTGTCCACTTTCATACCCACCACCCCTCAGAGAATCCACAGCACCATGGCACAAACAGACAAATCTACTGTTGAGTTGGCCGAGGATGTCGAAATCCAGAAGCACGCCACAGACCAAGTTTTGGTTGACAGTGAGGGATGCGTGCAGCAACTTCCTATTCCTAGCACTGATCCCAATGATCCGTTGAATTTTACGTTTTGGGAGAAGCTCGGAGTGATCGTGAGCTGCTGCTGGTTTTGTTGGTTTACCATCTCAAGATTGAGGAGTGGATCTAACGCGGAGTAGCATCGATGTCGCTTTCTGTGGTCGGTGGATTGGGTGCCATTCTGGATGTTTTTATCCAAATGTATACGGCAGATGGGAGGAGTGTGAATGAGGTGGTCTGGTTGTCTACCTTTCCATCGCTATTTGTGGGAATTGGTACGTCTTGCTTCCTCATACCTTCCAAGTCGATCCGGACTTTCCTCTGAGCAATAGCTAATAAGACAGGAAACTTCCTGATTCTCCCTCTCGCATTGGTTTACGGTCGCCGATTCGCAACTCTCCTGTCCACTATCATTCTCCTCACTGCGACAATCGGATGTGCCGTGTCAAATACCTGGGAACAACATCTTGCGTTAAGAATTATTCAAGGTCTGGCAGCCGGTGCTACGGAGTCGGTTCGTATCCCTGTTCCATCATCCCAGAACACGGCTGATTCGGTTAGGTTCTACCCCTTATACTCGCGGAGGTTACCTTCGTGCATCAACACGGTATGGTATATGGAATGTACTGGGCTGCTCAGAATGCCATTACGGGTGTTTTGAATCTTGCCAGTTCGTATGAAGTTGCAGCTCTCGGGTGGCGATGGTATTACTGGGTTTTTACTATCGCGATCGGGATAGGACTCGCCATTGTGGTCTTTGCCGGCTTTGAGACTTCCTTCCATCGAGGTTCACAGTTCATGAATGGCAGATTAGTTCTGACCGACCAGTTCGGAGTGACTCGCATACTCTCTGCACACGAAACCCAAGAGTACATATCCCAAGGCACCGAGGAAGCCAGTTCCAGCCAGAGCAGTCACAAGAAATCATATGTCGAGATGCTCAAGCCTTGGACCCCCCCTTTTCAAGGCCAAACCCTCCTCAAAACTACACCCCGAACATGGCTCCACATCTGCGAAGCTTTCACGTCACCCGGAATTCTCTATGCCACACTGCTATCTTCCGTCGTCCTCGGTGCCTCAGTAGGCATGTCTCTTTCCTACAACACCGTCCTCCTATACAGCTATCACTGGGCACCGGCCAACATTGGCCTCATAAACCTGGGTGGCGTCTTCGGCGGACTCGGCGGCATGCTTTACGGTGGTATCTTCGGCGACAAGTTCGTCCTGTACATGGCAAAACGCGCAGGTGGTATCCATTCCCCCGAGCATCGACTTCCGCTTCTCATCTTCCCTGGGATCCTATGTATTGTAACCCTGCTACTGTACGGCTTCACTGCCGAAGGTGGCACCAATCTCACGTGGGGAGGCCCATACATGGCATGGACATTGTACCAGATAGCATTCGTGTCGGTGTTGATTCTCTCGACGTCGTTTGCGGCAGAGGCGTGGGAGAGGAACCCGGGTCCTGCGCTGGTAGCTGTGGTGGGGACTAAGAACATCGTGGCGTTTGCCTTGAGTTATGGCATTAACCCGATGGTCGAGAAGTATTCATATTCTGTGGCATATGGGATTCTTGCTGCTGTTGTGGGCGGGGTTTTTGTGCTAGGGGCGCCGGTTTATGTCTGGAATCCGAAGGTTAGTGGTCCCATGCTATGCCTAGTTTCGGCCTTCGTTGAAGAGTCATTGAAGCTAACCCGGGGATGGTTCTAGTGGCGACGCTATATGGAAAGGAAAGGTTGAATAGTCAAATAGATGGGCGTCCGGAAATGAAGCTGAAGCTTCCACCCGTCAAGGTAAAGGAAATGAGTTTATCCTGGTCCATCAGCATCTTCAGCCACGACGCTTTGCGACATTCATATCGTGCCAATCTATATCCGGTTATGTTTCCCGGTTTCCCTGATAGAAGACACAGTTTCGTAGCATGTCGGATGTTTAGTCATGGCATTTAGACCAATACTTATCCCATAGTTGATGGGTCAAATTTACATCTCTATATTTTGGTTCTTCATTAGCCCCCTTTTCATTCGCTCCTCGCGTGTCGCGTCAGGCGTTAGGTGACCCTACAAACGACTCCGACCTTTATGAATAGGAATTGTCCGATCGGCCAAACTAGCAATTACCTTCAGAACGTTTTGAGAACTTGTCGCAGAATATACAAGACAAGCAGGCTTGAACAATGCACCCCATTCACCCCATAAGTGAGATGTGAGTGCGGATATGAAATACTGTAAGATGTAAGGGTGTTCTATCATACGCCTCGTGTGTGCTGTGAAAGCGATAAATAATGAGTAGGCACCGGCTATGTACGACGGTGGATACAAGAATGTGATCTGAAGACAGGAAAGTGTGCTGATGTAGTTTGCACAAGGTGATGTACGGAAAGCCGAGATCAATTATAGCTATACAGACCTGCGTCGTCAACTGACCACACTCTCTTGCCGTTTAAATATCGACAGTTTAAGCGCACTTCAAAGCATAGGCCTATCCCGCACCGTAAAACGTCCGTTGAGTTTGAGGTCCCTCGAGCTGGCCCCAACAAACACCTTATATTCGCCCTGCGCAACAGCCCACTTCTGCGCCTTCACATCCCAGTATGATAGATCTCTGCGTCTCAGATTGAAGTTGACTTTCTTACCCTCTCCCGCTTTAATATCGACTCTCTTGAACCCACGCAGCTGGCGAACAGGCTGACCCGCAGCCTCGGGGAAGCCAAGATAGAGTTGAGGCACCTCGGCACCGTCCACAGAGCCGGTGTTATGCACTGTCACCGAGACATTGCCGACTGTGTCCCACAAGTCGCTGTCTCCGCCAACAGAGTGGGCGCCCGTCGGGTATTTGGAGAGAGGCGAGGGATCGTGGACGTTCAGGTTGGAGTAGGAGAAGCTAGTGTAGGACAGACCATGACCGAAGGGGTAGCGGACGGTGACGTTGTTGGCGTCGAAGTAGCGGTAGTCAAGGTAGACACCTAAATTTGTTAGAATTTGATACGACAACGAAGCGGACTGAAATGAAAGGAAATGACATACCTTCGGTATAGTTGCACTGAGATGTATAGCACAGATCGACATTATAGTCGCTTTCATTCTTGACAAGGGAATAGATCAACCGGCCTGATGGGTTCACGTCGCCGTAGAGAACATCCGCGATAGAGTTACCGGACTCTTGGCCGAGAAGAGATCCGTAGAGGACAGCAGTGACGTTTTCATGCTCGATCCACTGGTCGATGAGTCTGGGCCCAACAGTGTTCAGCACGACAACCGTGTTGTTGCAGTTGTCCGCAACTGTGTTGACCATAGTGTCTTGATCGGTGTTGTACAGCTCCGTCCGATCAGCACCTTCACCGGAGAGGGCATTCAGAAAAACCAAGCAGACGTCAGAGCCGCTGGCGTAGTTCTCATATGACGGTGAAACGGCCGTGCTATCGGTCGATTCGGGGATTAGCGACGATCCGCCGCTAGAAGTGTACGTGTCGTTCAGAATCCAACGTAGCATAGTTCCGTCCTCAACGCCTCTGTTTGTCAGGGCAATGTGCGGCGTAATCAGGTAAGGATAAGAGGACTGGGCCGACCCAGTACCCGTGGCCAGGTGTCCCTGGTACGTAGGTCCGGATCCGTTAATATCCATGGCGGTGTTGGGGCCACCAGTAATGGCGCCGGCGTGGGCGCCAAAAACACTCATGACGCGAGGCTTGTTAAGCGGGAGGCCACCGTTGTTCTTGAGAAGAGCTAAGGACTTTGCGCCGTTTTGGCGGATCAATTTGGAGTGGTTCGTTCGCACATCGACGTATGCATCTTGATCCTGTACACTAGGCTGTTTGCCGTTATCCAGTCCAACGTGGAAGTATCCGATGACATTACGAATCGCCATGTCGTTGAACCGAGCCTGAGTCAGAGTGCCATTGGATAGGAGAGTCTCGATCGTCGAGTTGGACCAGATGCTGCTGGATCCGTAGTCCTCTCCGTTCAAGGCCGAGAGTGTTGCGCTGTCTTGGGCGTTGGCGTCTGGCCAGACGAGACCAGGGAAACCCAGCTCGGTCTTGAGATGCTTCATGAGTAGATCGGAGTTCTGGCAGGCCATAGTACCGTTAACCTTGATCATGGCACACATGACGGCGCCCATGCCGTTCCGGACAGCATCGTAGAAGGGCCAGAGGTAGGTTTCATGAAGCGTTTTGTCGTCGGTGTTAGAGGAGTAAGGCGCAGATGAAGCAGAGCTGGAGCCGGGCTCAGTGGCGCCGCCACCGGACGGAGGGCCACCAGATGATGCACCCCCAGACGGTTGAGGGGTTCCAGAGGCGGATGCAGCTGAGGATGCAGTTGACCCCGTCGACATCCCCGGTGGAGATCCTCCAGGGCCTCCACCACCACCGCCGCCGCCGCCGCCAGTTCGGTTGGTTTCTTGCTCATAGAGTAAAAAGTGCTATTCTTGTGTCAGTGAGTGTTCGTCTAGGTTAAAAAAAGAAGTAAATACCTTAGCACCCGGAATGACTCCAGCATCAGCATAGCCCTTGGTGCTTAATCCAGTAACCAATCCGTTCAAGTATGGATCGGGCCCACATCCCTCAACGCCTCTTCCTCCCCAGGGAGTTCTTCCCAATGGCTGACTGGTCGGACCAGACAGGACCTGCACACCTTTACTATAGAACTCGAAGCCAACGGCCTTAGCCTGGGCATATATAGCCTCCTCATCCCAGGTCATGGCAATCGCGTTGGCTTGACCGAAAGCAGATACGTAGAAGTAGTTCTGAAGACCCATCTCCCCGTCCAGGAAGGTAAGGGCGTCGAAGGTGCCATCGGTAGTGTTAACGTTAGAGCCGGTGATTAAAGAAAGCTTTTGGGCTGGGGTAAGCGATTCCACAAAGTCAGAAGCCTTCTCGTAGGCAATTTCCCAGCTGCCCAAGGCCACTATTCGTATAATCTTAGTCAGAAATTCCCAAGTGGTCGTTCAGGCAAGGGACATACCGCCATTAGACTTGAGGACGCCGATGGATTCAGCGCCTGCCAGGCCAAGAAGACCCGACGCTATAATAAAGGACAGTGATTTCATGATTTAATATGCAAAGAAAAGAAAGAGTGACCGTTTATTTGAGAGGAACGAAATCAGCGCTCAACCGGTCGCACATCTCCCTATATACCTTTAGTATCCTGAGGTGGCTACCACGCGTATATTGCCTCTCTTGAAACGGTTCATTTCTTCACCGGGCTAATTCAACGATGCCGAAACGAACTATTCACGGCTTAAGCGTTGACTAGGACATGTTAAGCTATGTTAATTCGTGGCCCATACCCACACCGGCTTTCCCGGGTCGGAATTTCCGAGTATTGAAGCTAGATAGGCAGCAAAATAAGCATTGGATAGAGTTTAGAGCCAATATTTAAACTATTATCAGATAATAGTGATCGTCAGTTTGTTTGGTGACGCGTCTAACTGCCGGAATGACTCCGGACGATCATTTTGTTCGTCCTGTTCTCAGAAGAAACATGGTTTACAGTTAAACAAAAGCCAATATCATCGAAACATAAGGAGGCTCTAGACTTCCTGGGGACATGTGTCGGCATGAACGGTGTTAATTTTAGAATTGCCTTGTTTGAGACCTGAATCGTTGGTGTGACCTCGCGAAGCTATCCCGACGAACGGTTCTGCTGTCGCGTCCAGTGGATCCAGAGTGGGTCTAGCAACCAGCTTTTTCCTTGATGCCAGTCCGTCCGATAATTAGAGAGAATCATAGCATTCAGTTGGAGTTGTGTGTTTAGCAGGCATATGTTTAGGACAGGTTAACAGATATCGTATGATCGCTGCCAAATGATAGGTATAAGTTGTGACCCATTTTGTCAGTCAAACATTAGGTCCATTATTGCAAATTCTATATGCCCGCCCTTTTAAAGCATGCGAGAATTCCAACCTTCCTTCGTATGTATTAGCGATTTCTTAAATGACAGTATAATAACACCCGAGGGTACTGAAGATCACAGGAAGTGCTATTCTCCTACACATGACGCCTAGCTTCCATTCTTCGAAGGGGTTGCTATACATTCAGACTCATGCACGCATCACGCATCCAATTACAATTTTTCGTAGTGGATCCAGCTCATTATAAGTCCATTTATATTGGTAAGTCATCAAGTTCGAGGTATTCTATCATAGTCCTCTCGAGCTCGAGCCCAGTGATTTCTTCTGGCCTATGGTCTCACCGATTCACATTTAAAAGCAACACCCTATGATCTAGTAAACAAGCTCAATCGACATGCGCTGAAATGTGAAGGGAGTATCTGCAGGTGGCCGACACCTTTCCAGATGGTCCTGCAGCACCTCAAACTCCTCCTCCCGCGTGGTATTCTGTAAGGTGATTAGGAAACGTGAATAGCCCTGAGGAGTCGGCCCTACTGGATAGTACCAGGTTCCGCTGCGAACACGCTCCTGAGCTTGAGCAAGGATTTGATCGAGGATGTTCAAGGCCGGAGAATTGGCTACTGAGTCGGGTAGATCGAACACAACAATGGTCTCATTCCAAATACTTTCATCATACTGACTGTCGCTGTCGGTGGCCGCTTCAACATCATTGATCGGAGTGTACGTACTTCTTTTCTTGCAAAAGAACGAACAGAATGACCACTTGCAAAACATCGTAATTCGCCCTAATTCAACTACTTTTTGCAACATTGCGTCAAAATCTGTGGACCTTGCGGAGGTCGTGGGCTCTGTAGGATGAGAAATTATGCTGGGTGTGCTATTGAATTAAGAGGAATGACCAGTTGTATATATACACTGTCTGTGGTTTTCCCTTTGTACAATTAAGGCAAGTATAATGGACCCATTCAGTTAACACGGTTCTTTGCATCTGTATGCTTTGTCAATGACATGCAAGAATATGTATTCTTTGGCGAGACAATGGCATAACCCAATGAAGCAAAGACAATATCACGGAACAAGCACAAAGAAAGGGCAGAACAAAGATTGTCTTGGTCTGGAATTCTCACCAAAGCTGGGAATGCATGTAGGGATATTATGGAATCCCTTGCGTGCTACAGCGGGTGAGGGGATGATAAGACCTTTTAATTGGACAGGCTATGGTTTACTCAATCGGCTACCAAGAATATCACTATATGAGGAAATCCTCATCGACCTGCTGTTATACATTCAGCTGGATTTGTACAATGAAAGATGTCCAAACCAACGCAGCCAGTTCTTTAACAATCAGTGGTTTAGCTCTGTCATTGTGCAGAAATGGTGACCTTGTCATGGTCGTATTGACATTAGTCCCGGTTCTTTACTCCTCCACTTAGCTTGATTATGTATTTTGCTGATGTCTGCATGAACAATAGTAATTTGCAAATCACACATCTGACACTTGGCCGATTGGGGTAAATCTTGGCGTACTATTGGCTAAGCCCCTTTGGGCATGTGTACATTCACTAATTTTTTTATTCAGGACCGCCCGTAGTCCAATAGTCTCATTCATCATGCATATGAAGTCGAACATGCAGATGTGTTCCCTGTTAGGGTTCCTCCGCGTCTGTGAACAACGAACCAAGAAGCAGCGATTCAACCCAAGAGATTCACTTTTATTCGACTCTCATACATACGTATATCTATCAAGGATGCAATTTGCACCCGACACATGGTGCTGGCGGCTCCTCGCTCCCATAAACATCGGGCCTCTGCTTCCCTGTCACATTCAGATATCCCACGCATCCTTTATCCAGTCGGAATATAGCATGGTCAACAAGGGTGTATGTTCCGGGAACAATCATTTGCAAATCGGTTATCGTCGCACCACCTGGGGGAACCGACACAGTCGACAGGATATCGGCCGGAGGGCTGACCACTCCACCATCGCGGTACACCTTTCGGAAATGACTTCCGATGACATGGAACGAGCTTGTGAGGTTAGGGCCGGCATTTCCGAAAAACAGTCGAATAGTCTCGCCGGTCTTTGCGGTCAACGGATTTTTCGTAAGGGCTGTGTCGCTTCCGTTAAAAACAACCACGTTGGGTTCTTCGCGCATGGCATTCGGGTAAGAAAATTCAACTGTGTTGATCGGACGACCGTCATCTCCAATCTCGGGTGGCTCGTGATAGAACTCGCTTTGGAGGACGTAGTATTCCTTGTCGACGGGAGGTAGGTCCTTCTCGGGCTGGACATAGATCAGTCCGTACATGCCTTCGGCAATGTGAACCGGTACCGGATTGGCAGCACAATGGTACACGAATAGCCCCGGGCTAACGAGTCGGAACCTTGCTTTCTTGACGCCATCCGACTCGGTCGTTGTCAGGGCTGCGCCACCGCCGGGTCCCGTGAAAGCATGGGAGTCGATGTTGTGTTGTCGTCCACTTTTGTCTTTGTTGAAGAATGTGAGCTCTATGAAGTCACCAACTCGGGCGCGAATGAAGGGGCCCGGGACCGTATCGTTGAATGTCCACCCTTCATACTTGTATTGACTAGTCAGCTGGAATGTCTTTTCCGTCGATGTCAGGTCAACTTCGAGGCGGACGGGGTGGTTGCGGGTGATCGGCGGCGGGACGTTAGGAGCAGAAGTGAGGACGGCTTTTTCTACTGGGAGCTGCGAGATCTGCTCTTCAGACATTTCGGCTGGGAAGGGGTACGGGTCATCGGAGCTGGTCTGATTACCAGACTGAACGGTCGCTGCCGCAGACTTATGACGCCGGCTGTAGAGGATTGAACCAATACCGAGCGCTGTGAGGCCGGCTAGAATGGCGGCATGGTTACCCCGACTAGGGCCAGCGGGCTTGTTCGTCTCGGTCGATAGCTTCCTAATCGTGAACGGGGGTCGTTGGAAAGACGGACGCCATGGTCTAGCCTTCCCGGCCGATGCGGCCAGCCGCAACGAGGTTCGTGTCTGCGGACGGAATACCACCGATGTACTCATCGTGAAGTCTCGTTCTCCACCTCTCGATGGTACTGAAAATGAATTCACTTGGGAGCTCAAGGCCGTACGCCTGTTTGGAATGTGAGGACAATCTCGTATAAATGATGTCACCACTGCGTCGGTGGCATCAGCATTGTTCACTAATCCTCATACAACAAGCTGACGAGACCAGCCTTATATACCAAGTCTCGAGACTCTCAGCCCTGGGCGTGTTTGCTGTGGGATGCAGCCAAGCGTCCCCCTTGCGCGCATGAGATCAGATTGCATGTCTCACCGCCACCAGTCCACCCAGTCGAGTCGACATATCAGTCTCACAACCCCACAGCCCAGACATGCAGCTATAGTGCTCGTTGCTGCATACATCATGAGGTCACGGAAATGAGCTGAATATGAGCAGGCATGTCGAGGACTACTGGGTCTGATAGACTTATCAAGAGCGTTAAGTAGCGTTTCACGTTTGGGCACAATTGCTCATGAAAGCGGGAAGCTGGGACAAGAAATGGAACTGAAAGCAACGGAAATTCTACCGCCACTCTGCCCCTTACTGCTAGTCAGCTACGGATCTTCTCTACCTCTGTCTCTGGCACGCAGATCAAAGTCGCCGGAACTCAAGACACGAGCAACTATAGACTATGCAGGTCCAAGACCAAACCCAATTGCGGTTAGTCCTGTAGCTGCCAAGGTCCGCCCAAGAATGCCAAGAATGCCATCCCAGTTTGCCTGTCCTACGCGACTATGAATTGACTCTGGTTCTATGCAAAGTGCATTGCACTGTCTCCACCCCCGTGTCACACCTGGCTTGGTTCAGAATTGACCAATCCTACTATTGAAACCCGCCGGAAGTGATATTGGTCTTTTAGGGGTATGGTTGGTAGAAGTTGGTTCAAACAATCCTCCCGGCCCCATCAGAGCTCTGGACCAGTCTGAAGATATACCGCGGCAAGAGCGGTTGCATATTTGCTCACGAAATGTCCAGACTCATGATAAAAATCGTGTCTCACATCCTGAACGTCAGGCTACAGAAGACACATTATTTCCGGCATACTTTCGGCATACCTTGTTGAGGAGAGACGTAAAGGTTTCCGTCATTGCGAGCTGCACATTTTAATGTGAACTATCCATAGTGTCATGTCTGCCAAAAAGTCACTGGATGACAAGTTTAATGTCCTTAGCATGATATATGCAGCCTCGCAGCCCCTTTCCTACATCAGGCTACCATGGATATACACCATCTTTATGAACAACTCTGCCCACATCCGCATCACGCTTTCCTTCGACAATGCTCAGCGCTGTGTTTCCAGCAACCTCCGCATCCCCGGCCTTGCCCCATCCGCTCCGCGCTTCCTCGCTACAACCTCGGAGGTTTGACCGCACGAACCCAGGACACATCATAAAAATCTTCAGCGGATGACCTTCATCCTGCACCTCGGCCCACTCTTGTAGGGCTACCATGTTCAAGGCCGACTTGCTCGACCGGTAGGCCTCTCCCTTCTTCGGCCCGCGATATGGCGAGTTCGGGTCCGCCGCGAGCGTGAGGGATCCAACTCCGCTTGTTACGTAGATTGAGTAGGGGTTGAGGGATTTCAGAAGCAGAGGACGAAATGTCTCAGAGACAATTTTCGGCCCGATAACGTTTGTTTCCAGACATAGTCGCATTCGTCGGGCTGTGTTGTCGACGGCGCCAAGTCCGCTGACGCCTGCGTTGTTGATCAGCACGTCGAGTCGTCCAAATTGTTGTTCAACAGTTGACGCGGCTTGAGAGATTGATTCATGATCTGTCACGTCAAGTTGGACTGTTGATAGAGTGTTCTTGATAGCAGGCTCCTTCTTGATCTCGGACTTGGCTACGTTGGCCTTGTCGAGTGAACGACAGGCCATGATTATATGGAAGTCGGTAGGTGCCTGGGCAAAGACTTTGCTCATTGCGTAACCAACACCGGAGTTGGCTCCTATAAACATATTAGAAAGCGCCTTTGGAACATATGTGAAAAGGGCATACCAGTAATCAGGACGATTCTTTGGTCCATGGCACATATGATGCGGTAAATTGTTCGGGATACTGAGGCAAAATCTTTCGAAACTAAAATCAAAACCTGCTGGTTGTCGCTCTGGGTTCGTTGAGTGTGATAAGACTATCCTTTATATGCGAAAGCCGTGTGTCTTATGTCTTGAGCATCCGTGCGGAGTTAATTCTTTTGACCGCTCGACGGACTTAATGACGGAGTATATATCTCCGAATCGGGGGATACCCGCGAAGCATCTGAACTGCGAGACTTGAAAGCATTTTGGTCCGTACACCTGTTCTTGGGACACCAAGTCTAGCAGACAAAGGTTTATTCGATCTAACATCTGCTAAACTCTCCCCATAGCTGTTCCAATCCAGGAGATAGGAGTTAGGAGGAGATAAACAGCTCCCATCGAGACGTAGATCCATCACGCTAGTCCGCATCGGGAGAAACCCGCGAGATGTTTGCGAGGGAATTCTGAATCGCTTCATCGTTGGTTATCGTTGGATTTATAATGCAACCTCAACTAGATGAAGTCTTGTAAAATAGCTGGGCTCCAATATGTATAAATAGGCTTGATTGTGCTGGGGGTGCATTATCACCATCACTATCATCCTCAAGATCTGCCTTGCATCCTCATTTGAAAACATCGCATTATACTACCGACCGCGAATCGACCATGACTTCTGAAACCCAACCAATCACTCTCTGGGGCAAGTCCGGCCCTAACCCTCTCAAAGTCGAGATCCTCATTCGAGAATTGGGTCTCGCATTTGCTGTCAACCCCATCCAGTTCTCCGACATCAAGAAACCGGAATATCTAGCCGTGAATCCGAACGGCCGACTTCCTTCTATCCAGGACCCGAACACGGGTCTCACGCTCTGGGAGTCCGGCGCAATTATTGAGTACCTCATCGAGAGGTATGACAAAGAGCATCGCCTGGGTTTCCAACCCGGGACGTCACAGTTCTACCACGCCAAGCAGTGGCTGTACTTTCAAACGACTGGTCAAGGGCCGTACTATGGCCAGATGACTTGGTTCAAAAAGTTCCATCCGGAGAAGGTGCCCAGTGCCGTGGAGAGGTATGTCGGCGAGATCAAGCGTGTGACTGGTGTACTGGAGAGTCATTTGCAGAAGCAGAAGGACGAATTCGGCGAGGAGGGGGCTTGGTTGGTGGGAGGAAAGTTGTCCTTTGCGGACCTGGCCTTTATCCCGTGGCAGAGGATGGTAGGGATGTTCTTGACTAAGGAGGAGTTTGATGATGAGCAGTTTCCGCTTGTGAAGGAGTGGATGAAGAGAATGGTGGAGAGGGAAGTGGTGAAGAAGACGTTGCAGGATAATAACTTTTAGACTCCGTGGTGTTTGCGTGAAAGCATTCTGCATGTGATTTAACCTTAGAGATCAAACCACTTCTCCGTCTCTGCGCACTCAAGCACTCCGACACCAACTACTCTCCCGATCCGAGCGACTGCCGATCTGAACCATGACCGCTGATCTGGTTTCAGACGGCTGATGCCTGATGCCATGGTCAGAGGCCACGCGATCAGTGTGGCATTGTAAGGCTTGATATCTTCCGTATTGAATGAGATGCCATCCGTAGGTGAGCATGCAAGCTTAAATCGCTCCAAGGCGAATGGCACCGTTGAGGCGAGGTCATTGGCGAAGCTTTCTAGGCACGCCAAACTGTCTGATGTCTGGTCGGATGCTTCCGCGGTTGGAAGATGGGTTGGACTCAGACTAATGCGTATATTTTCAACAAGCATCTTGGTGGCGTAGTACTTGGCCCATACCCCTGCATAAGTAGGACTAGGGTAGCTGTAGACGGTTCGAGAATAATTGAAGTCCTGAGGATCGAGACCCAAGGGTTCAGAAAGTTCGTGGCGACGGAAGTTCCACTTCTTGGGAAATGCGGATCTCCACTCATCCAATGCCCGATGTAGTGCCGAAATCTCTATTATAAGCTCCTCTGTCGATGTCATGTCTTGGGCAAGCTGTCGGAGCTCCAGTATGCGTACCATAATCCTGTCGTAAGCCAACTCTAAACCGCATTCACCGAATTCACTGCCGTCTCGCATCCAATCGGGCAATGCTCGAGTTCTTAGTAGCGCAGACCGAGTCATGCCACGTCTCGTATGTTTTATGACATCGCTGGGTGGGTGGCTAGGGCTAAATCTCTCCTTCCACATTTTCAAAACTGCGGACGCGCCATCATGATGAGAAAAACTGGGGAGATCAGAACTAGTGCGACTCTGGGGAGCCGACGTGGCCTGGCGATGCACGAGATCTTCATACCGACTCATAAAGAAGATAACCAAGAGGCAAACATCTACATTACCTGAGTCAAGAGACTGAATGGCTGACTGTGCATTACGCAGAACCTGCTCGTAGGCCTTGAACGCCTGGACCTCCGCCTCGGCATGCCGATGCGTCCTTGCAAACGTGCCGAGAGCCATAGCCGAGACGGCCGTATTAAGTAGCTGCGATGATGCAAACGATTCTCGACCAGCCATATAATCATCGGCCAGGGACTGGATGAGGTCCGGTGTCTCTTTCGGTGCCTGTAGAAAATTTTGGAAATAGAATGCCATTGCTCGCGCTTTGGTATCATCCGAGTCATGGTGGTGACTAGGAAGGTTACGTCTGGATCGAGGTCCCCTGGGTCGTTTGACCTTCCCATCGGCAAAGTCATTCTCGCTGTGTACAAAGGCCAAAGACTTTGCGTCTCGCATGCCATAGCATTCTCGACGAGATTTGATGCAGCGCTGGCAAACAGGAAGGGTTCCGTCGCACTGCGCCCCATGGTGGTTAGCGATGGAACCGGAGATCAGGCCGTGGATTTAATTCCGGACCTTGATGCGCCGAGACTTGCAGGTCTGGCAGCCAGCACTAGGGAAGGGCATTGTGGTTTGCCTGGGTGGACTGCAATTGATGAAGTCCGACAGCAACGGAGTCACGGAGACGACGCGAGACTGCCGCCTCAGGCATCTTGCCGGTCTCGCCTAATCGGGGCTAGCTTGAGTTGGCACATCACGTGACCGACTTGTCCAGAAGGGGTGGTTTGGTATGATCTCTTCTACAACAACCAAGGGAGGGATACAAACAGGCGAAATTTCCTTCCTTTGCGAGCGATATGCTGGCAGTAGAATGGTGCAGATACTTGCGAATCTATCTCTGTCTTGATCTCGACTGTCAAGAATGAGAATTCTCAATCGTCCTGTCACTCCCATCCGCCAGACGTGGATCAGCAGAATGCCGACCGGGCGCAGGATTTCTCGCGTTCAGCACGCTCATTTGCTGCTTCGTATCGCTGTCTGAGGCGAAGGAATGTTTTGTCCCACCGAGCCAACAAATCCCCGCATCAGTGGACAAATTGATTATCGGCCCCGAAGCGTGGCGCAGTCGAGGCAAAACACGCTGGAATGTCGTCACTTGTCTTCTTGGCCTTTTCGCTGAAACTCGTCCTTGGGGAATGTTCTTGATATCGTTCAAGAGAGCCAGATTCACGTGAAGACTCTTCCATCAGGACCAGGGCGCCATGAATGTTCCAGAGTCTTGGGATAGCCCGGATGGGGATGGTGGGCCTACCCCAGGCAGAGCGGCTTACGCGTATGTTCTTGTCCACCCCCCATTCGATAGAGAGGATATCTAAAGGCTAATTTAAGTAGGCAATACTTATCACCCAAGAGCGACCATGGTGATCGAGAGCGATGTCCCGACTCAACTCAAGTTGACTTTTCAAATGAAGCGCAGACTCAGGCTGGAGTAACAGGTAGCCACCTTCAGTCATTCCTGCAGTCAGTGTTTCGCATCGAATAATTGACTGACAATACATAGATGATGGGCGGGTCGATATTATTCTTGACGAAAAGGCAAACAATTTGGCGAATTTCTTTATTCCCGCCCAGGCGCAGCAGTTTGCGGAGAGACCGCCCGCCTCGCAATCCCAACGAGGCGAGACGACCCCCATATCACTAAATGTTGTGATCCAAGTCGTGGGATCAAGAGGAGATGTGCAGCCGTTTGTAGCGTTGGGCAAGGTGCTCCGCGATCGGCATGGGCATCGCGTTCGAATTGCGACGCACGCCAAGTTTCAAGCATTAGTCGAGTCCAGCGCGCTTGAGTTCTTTAGTATTGGAGGGGATCCAGAGCAGTTAATGGCGTTCATGGTGAAGAATCCTAGTCTGGTGCCGGACCTGAGCGTTTCCAGTGTGACCGATGTTCGACGGAGAAGGAGGGAGATGGGTCTCATCTTAGATGGGTGTTGGAGGTCATGCTTTGAGCCAGGAAATGGTCTAGACGCCGCAGAGGGTGAGAGCGACAACGAAGGGGAAGCAAGCATACGTCCATTCATTGCCGACGCGATCATTGCCAACCCACCAAGCTTTGCGCATATTCATTGTGCCGAGAAGCTGGGTGTACCACTGCATATCATGTTCACGTTCGTTCATCCTCAACCCCCTATCTCTTTGATACATCTGACCTTTTCAGAATGCCGTGGTCTCCTACGTCGTCTTTCGCACACCCACTGGCCAACATCCGCTCTTCAGACATCAGTTCCGCAACCTCCAACTTCGTCAGTTACTCGCTAGTGGAAATGCTCACTTGGCAAGGGCTCGGCGATGTGGTCAACAACTTCCGCGAATACACCCTTGGTCTAGGACCGCTGTCCACGCTTACCGCTACCGGGCTGCTAGCTCGTTTAAAAGTCCCGCAGACGTACTGCTGGTCTCCGGCACTCATCCCCAAACCTACAGATTGGGCCGATCACATTTCCATAACCGGGTTCTGCTTCATGGCGGCGGGAGAGTCGTATGAGCCCGAGCCCGGATTGAAAGCTTTTCTTGAAGCGGGATCCATGCCGATATACATCGGATTCGGGAGTATTGTGGTTGACGACCCGGTAGGTATGACGAGGTTGCTGTTTGAGGCGGTAGCACGGACCGGTCAACGAGCTATCATTTCCAAGGGATGGGGCGGCCTAGGTGATGATAGTGTTGTCGATGTACCCCACGGTATTTACTTACTGGGAAACTGTCCGCATGACTGGCTCTTCCAAAGGGTCTCATGTGTCGTCCACCATGGCGGTGCTGGTACAACTGCGGCGGGAATTGCTTTAGGGAAGTCGACGGTAATCATACCATTCTTTGGAGATCAACATTTCTGGGGAGAGATGGTTGCCAAAGCTGGAGCTGGACCGAGTCCTATTAATCACAAAACACTAACAGTGGAAAACCTCGCCGATGCGATATCTACAGCGCTTCGCCCAGATGTCCGACAACGGGCTCAAGAGCTCGGACGCCTGATCAACGAGGAGAATGGAGACCAAGCAACGGCGAACTCCTTCCAGGACCGTCTTGACATGGACAGCATGCGGTGCAGTATGTTTCCATCCGAGAAAGCCGTGTGGAAGGTCAAGCGGAGTCCGTTCAAATTGAGCGCGACAGCTGCAATGGTCCTCGCGCACGAGGGTTTAATTGACCTGGGTCACCTACGCCCGTGGGTATTATGCTCGCTGACCACTGGATTGCTATGCTAACCGATATAGAGTTCGGACACATGAGTACCAGACCACGGGTGATCCGGTCGATCCATTGACAGGAGGAGCAAATGCCTTGATAGGCTCGATAGGGAGTATTGGGGTCGCCATTGTCGACATGCCGCGGCAGGTGGTCAAGTCAATTGTCGACTCAGATAGGTCGAGTAAAACCTCCAAAAGGGCAGCGAGGCCGAATGAGGCACCACCTTTATCGTCGTCCAGCTCCGAAAGGGCGAGCCTCTCCACCAAGGATCTTCGAGAGGGATACACAGAGCCTGTGGATCGCGGTACCACTGATCATGGACAGGGAAATCAAGGATTCTTTACCTCGACAATCCGTGATCCGGCAAATCTTGTTGTCGACGACCCGCGACAGGAAGGCGTCGAAAGACTGCGTGGCGGCAAGAAATCATCAAGCAAGGTATTTTGTCTTCTATCCCCCTATATTCTAGTCTAAGCAGCCTCTAACCCCTCGAAATAACGAAGACATTCAAATATGGGATGTTCAAAGAGACTTCGGGGAAAGACGACATCGCAGCGCACCGTTCTAAAGCCTCGGAGGCCATTTACAGACAAGCCCCAGAACCCCGTGACTCGGTCTTGTCTGATGCTGCTAAGGGCGCAGGGAAAAGTATGGGTCGCATTCTCGGAAGAGGATTCCGTAGTCCTTTGGACTTCACTATGGGTATCTCTAAGGGATTTCGAAACATTCCCAGAGCGTATGGTGATACCACGCGCGAGGTGGACCGAATAACGGGGTTCCATAGTGGAATAAGAACTGCCAGCAAGGTTTGTAATCCCAGCTCTATGTTATATTGTGGTCTCTTGGATGGCTAACGCCTCGCACTCCTAGGAACTCGGTCTGGGATTCTATGATGGTATCACCGGAATCGTCACACAGCCGATTCGGGGTTTGAGACAGGAGGGGTTAAGCGGCTTTGTAAAAGGGGTAGGCAGGGGAATTGGTGGTGTTGTGTTTAAACCAGGCGCTGGTAATTAGCCACTGGCATTCCCCCCGCGCTTATTTTACCCTGCAGTTTGCTAATATACCCAATTAGCAATATGGGCCGTCCCAGCATACACTTTCCAGGGTGTCTACGAAGAAGTGCAGAAATACTTCGGCAGTGGACTATCGAGCTACATAGCTACTACACGGTATATGGAGGGTAAGCTAGGGTCTGACAAGCTTACCGAAGATCAACGCAAAGAGATTGTCGAACGATGGCTGGGTCGCGAGCAAAGAGAGCATGATCTTATTGAGTGGTGGCGGGCCTCACAAAGGCGACGTAGGGAAAAGATATCTAGAGGGCATTCTGTATCGACGTCGTCCTCTACTGATCTCAATGCAGGCCTTGCTGCGCGGACACACTCAGAACTACGAGGAACAAGTGACGATAGCGGACCTGTCGAGATTATGGGCCGACCTGTGGGAACGGAAAGGGACCGAATTCACACGCCGGAGTTGGATGGGACCCCTGTTTTGTCGGGGCTATCGATTCACGATGGGCGGGTAGACACAAATACCTCCAGCACCCAGAATCTCTCCTCTGTAGGATTTCCAGTCGGACACGCTAAGATCGATGGGATGCCGGTAGTCGCTACATCATCGTCAAGTCCGCAGGAGGATCTACGAAACCATTACATGGAGAAACCTCCAGCTCCAACTTACCGTGAGTTTGACTCTCAAGCACCACCAGCGTATGAGCAGGGCATCCCAAGCCCAGACGGAGGCGAGCTTGATCACACCTCGGAGGAAGAGCAGATCAGAAAGGCTCTGGCACTTTCTCTGGAATCCGAGACCGAGCGACAAACGCAGCTAGAGCAAAGCCGGAGGGAAGAGGAAATTGTGATGGAGTACATCAAAAGGACCAGTCTAGCCGAGGCTAAAATGAAGCAGAGGATGAACCCTGATATTTAGGTAGCTGTGTCCCAGACTAGAATGAGAGATCATTAATGTAATATTCACAGTAGTCTAGATGCGTGTCACCAAAACATTATCATACATGGGCAATTATACATGGTCTATAAATCCGTCTATCCTAAACTCAATAATCGCATTCGTGGTGGTTGAGCCTCCAGCATGGCATCCCACCATCCTTGTTGTATTACACCGTCAAAGGGGTGGTTGTTGATCCACCCGAATAGACTGGACAGGCATGACAAAACAGGGCAAATATTCTAGATATCGTTAGTATTGAAGCAGGAGATACGATGGAGCGATGGACAAACATACCCCTTTATTACGTTTTCGAATATTGTTCAACCTTTCGTATAGCTTTTCCGTCTTATCTCGATATCCGGAGGTCAACGCAGCGATGAAACAACACCAGAGGGGGTATGCTGCTGTATATAACGGTCCTTCGATTGGAAGGCGCATGATTATGTCGAAAAGCTTGGTTTGGATACTGATGACTTGAGAATGCAATGGTGTGGCACTAACACATCGTTAATCAAAAGCTCAGAAGCTTAAAATGGGGAGAGAACGTACCCAAGAACACGACAAAGAAGGTACAAGCGCGCAGCCAATTGATACGCCTGTGCCGTTTGCAGAGCCACCTCAAGTGACTCCCCTGGTGTCTGAAAGCACCACTGGTTCATCATGACGATCTCATCATCGAGAGCCTCTGCCGCCGTGATTCGCTCCTCCTCTGGCATCGGTAGGGTGGCGAGCGTTGTGATACGGGAGATCATGCTGAGCATGCGCCGCGACATTCCCAGAAGACCGCAGACTCGCTGCGACTCGCGTGGCGGACATTGTAACAACCAGTCCGAGGAACCGAAGTGGCGACTTTGAATCTGTGAGGTTGTTTGAGCAGTCAACGCCAGCGTTAATTGGTATGTCATGAATAGAGCTGGTTCTGACGTCGGATCGAAGCCATTTCCAGCTCCCTGAAACCCCCCTAGCATCTGTACGTGCCATGACCAGCACATGTCGGTTTCGCTCTCATTAATGACTCCGTGGTGAACTAGCAACATCCCAGCTGCCAAACAGCTCTCGATGGTTGCATTTCCCTCGCTCAGGTCGCGTTGCAGCGCCTGCGCCGCTAGCACCATGTAGTTGTGGTTCATATATCCGTATTTCATTGCGTCTGATAGTGCGTAGTCTCGCATATAGGAAGCACTGACACTGAAAAGCGCATTGCGTGTACTTTCGGAATGTAGTGCGATAGGGAGAAGGGCTAGGTAGGCGTTTTCTTCGGCAAATAACGTTTGACCAGGCGCAAACATATTAATATCTGATGCCGATGAATGTCAGCCCTTAGCCCTCTCGCGCCTGTGTCGTCTATGTGGATTACTCACAAAAGTCTAGAAGATCTCGTTCCATTTCGTTGCTCCATAACCCGCGGTAGTTTATTGTCGCGGGTCTAAGTTTAATCAACCCATTGTACGACAGCAGGGGATCCCACGACAACGGTTCTGACGAAGTGCTCGCCGTGTCAGAGATCACCGAGCCACAACCAGCAGAGTAAGGGCGTTCGATTTCGGATGCAGCGGACGAAGCATCAGACTGAGGAGTTTCGAGCGAAAAGCCTATGCACGAAACCATGTTAGCCATGTACTCCACTAACCAGGTTGACAAGAAGACCTACCAACGAGGCTCGCGCGTAGGTCCATGCAGGCTTTCTCCTTGTGCAAACGGACCCGCTCCAAACGTTGCAACACCAATTGAGTCGAGGAAGGATCATAGATCAGAGCGTGGTACCGAGGTTGATTGTGGAGCTCGGCCCGCAAACACTCCAACTGTTCGCTGTTCATATCCACCACCCGCCAGAGCAGTTGGCCCAGGATTTCTAGTAGTGCAACTCCGGGCCCATCTTCCACCATCCAGTGTCGAATCACCGCAATACCCCGGCGTCCGTTCTTCTGCTTGCCTTGAGACGGTGGTTCGACCACCGCGGACAGTAGCCGGTCAACGTATGTGAAGTCTAACGATTGCGACCCAGATGCGGGTCTGGCAAGATATCCTAGGGCGTCGATGGCTGCACCAAGAGCCCGTTGAACCTTGTCTGGGCGGGCAGCATCTGTTTTTCGACTCATACTGTGGTGATGTCCTTGTGCGTCACTGTTGAGGAGTGATATGGGGTAAGAGAAAAAAGACAAAATGGTCGAAAATCTAACGTGCGATTCACCAATGTTTAAATATGATGACGGGGCTCGATCACCCCCCCCCCCTGCTGGCGTAGAGGCTGGTCGTCAAAGATAAAAATAAAAATAAAAGAACATATGCAAGGCTACATCGGGGGACCCTAGTATGACCATGCAGGAACTAGATGGCTTAGGACGCTAGAAGCCATAAAGAAGGAAGTATCATCCTATCGAGCCGTCAGTGAGCACGCCGGCTGTATGACGGATTGGCAAATCCACGTGTGAGATGCACGCCCGATGCTACTAGAGGAAGGTGAGTTGCTGCGCGATCGGGGAGAACATGGGCTAAAGCGTCATCCTATGCACCTCTTCATCATGGCTGCAGTTACTATTCAGGGATTTGTCAATCAATCCGAGTCGATCACGGAACCTCAGTGGTGGAATAGACCCTAGTATCAGGCCCGCTGCCACGAGGGATTCGCTTTTATGCATGCTCCTCAAGCTAAGCAGGGAACAGACAGAATAGGCGAAGCAAACGGGCAGTTGGGACGTCCTGAAACATAGTTTGGCCCCCTCCTGCCATCGGCAATCCGAAGCAGACATGAAACCAACCCCCTCCTCTACCATCTGGCAGCAGGTCGCTTACTGCATACGATGTACCCACGGAGACACCTTCTGTTTGGCGGACGAGACGCTACTAGCAGCAGTCATGGCCCAGGATTGTTTTTGAGGTCCCCTAGTACCCACGATGTTCATGATTCATGACGGACAGGTTGACAATCGAATCTTTTTTTGGCCCCTCCCTTGCTGAACTGTTCTTTGTTCTTTTCATCATGACTTCTCTTCCCTTTCCGTGCGTCAGACTTGAAACGCAGCAGCAATGCGTATCTTGCCGAAAATAGGGAGGTGGGCAGACGGCGCCGTCAAGGGGGAGGATTAGCGTCTTTAGCTTCGCTAGCCCTATCGCCCCCAACCACCCGTTGTCCTGAACCGGCTCCACTGACTCCATATTGGCGCTTTGGAGCGCATCTCATTTGACAGCTCTATATTGCGCGTATGGAACCTGCAGACGCAGATGACCATGCCACTTTCTTTTCTGGGGGCCGAATCTCAGTTTCCTATTGGAGACGAGGCCGTCATGTATTAGTCCCTTCGTGGTCTGCGCGAGTCCCGGATTGATAGATAGTGCTGATGTGATGTGGAATAATGATTAATGGTTCTTGGTCTTACTGTTCCTAGTTCCTGTCAACCTGTTCACTAATCCACGTTTCGAGGGTTCACGCGATAATGTCATAGGCGTTGTCCCGTTCAGCCGTACGAACTAGGCGAAAAACTCGAATCAGCCACACAATAGATAAAGTATCATCGGCTTAGCTTAGATGGCTTTTTATTTACAGAAACGAATCAGAGGAATTTCTTGAAAAGAAAATCAAGACAGGAGAGTTGCGCTCGCACGTCCATCTGATATCAGCTGCATGTTGCCACAGTCCTAAGGCAAACACCGGCAGACGGCGTTTGGACTTGTCGATATACTGATATTGCTATCCAAGACATTCAGGCCTCCAGGTCCTCTACTCTCCATCATAGAGAAGGGGTTGGTACCGATTCTCCTAGGTCCGAGGTTGCGGCGTCTCCGGTCACACATACCAGGTGAAACAATATCGCGTCAACGCATTCCTTCTTCCAAATCCTTCCTGTCAATCTTCAAATTCATTGTAACGTAGTGTCAAGGAGATATGAAACGGGGATCCCAGATCGTCGAATTTCAGCATGTAGGTGGGTGTCAGTGACAAGGATTTAGAGACCGACGGGGGTCTCGACAGCGATGGTATTCCGGGAGAAGCTCCCTCAAACCAGGCTGTGCTAACTGCTGTACCTTAATTTTGTCTGGGGCTGTGTGTAGCTTTGATCGCCCAGGCTGGTGCTAAGGGGAATGTTGCAAGGGGAAAGCCTGCAGCTGGCAGGAGCTGGCGCGCAAAGCCCATTACAGCTAACAAATATACGAGCGTTGCCATATGGCTATTAGGCTGACTCGTTCCTCAGTGTCGCTACGACAATCCATGAAGAAAATCCGGTGGGGGACAAAATGTGGGCGCCGCTTGCTGACTTGGTTCTGTCTTGACCGACTTGCTGATCGATCGCCTGTCGAAGAAGAATCCTTCCTGTTTCATCATGTTCTAGTGCGTTCCACGCATTGACTGGCGCATTCCATCTATCTGGAGATCAGCTATTCTTCGACTTCACCGGACGTAGCGGAGTCCGTTCTGACTCCTGACGTGATAGCGGCACTGTGCCGCTAGCAGGACGTTATTCCCAGTCCCACCCAGCTGAAGGCCAAGAAACGGTCATTTTCCGAGCAGATCGACCTGTCCGTCTCCTTGGGAAAGACCCCAGGGAACTTGGCCTTTCCAGCTGCCAGATTTATCGGGCGCTCCATGCTTCCTTGTTTGGCGTTCTTGGAAAGGCCGGCCATGCCAACTATTGCTGCCAAGATTGTCACCGGGGGTGCAGCTAATTGGTGGAATTTCACGAATCTCGACCAACGAAGCAGTGGTGTCATGTGGAATAATAGTTCTTTTATACCTCATTTTACCTAGTACCTGGTCCACAAGTCCTCAACTGAGCTCAACGGCCGTTATTTTTTGGTTCTTGCAGGCTTTGAGTGGGCCCAGAAGCAGAACACGCTACCTTTCAACTCACACTCTCCAGTGTGACAAAGGAATCACGAAGATGATAGAGCTCTGGTTGTAGAGAGGTCCGAGTTCCGAACATGAGCGTCCAAGGAAGCCAGGTGCCGTTAGAAGCACTCTCGGTTGTAACAAGGCATTTTCAGTTCGAGGTGATAGGAGCCGCTGCGCGATTTGACATTGTGGCTAGCGCCGAGCTGTGGGCCTGAGACATGGATTAAACCGCGTGCAACAATACATACTCCGTAGTGCAATTTTATTGTGATCGCATGATTAGTGAGGCTTAAGACTGCGACCGTGTTTGACTGTCATGTCGTTCTGAAGGGCTCTGCATATAACAAAATTATGTTTCGCCGAATTAGCACCGGAAGCAAGCCGATATCTATGAGACATATTGGCATGTAGCCAGAAAGTTTCATGCCATCAAAGCGTCCTCAAAGCCCTGCAGGGATACGTGGGAAATGCTCTGGACTCTAATCTAACAACCCAGGTCTCAGGGACTGATAGAAACAAATATGAGTGTATAGCAAATGATAGCTACTGAAATTCTAATCAAAGTCGGTGCTGGGGTCTTTTGCCTCCCTGAAGCATGTCTCGTTGCCTCCGTACGCGCCAAAAAGTCAGCATGAGTCCAAGAAAAGAATGTAAGCATTCTCTCTCGCCTACCAACATGGCGGTGTTATCTTTACTATGAAAGGAAAGCGCAAGACGCAATCCAAAGCCTTGTTCTCTCGAGCTCTAATAACTCACTATGCATGTAAGATTCCCTCTATTGAAAGAAAAGCCATATGAAGAAGAGATGACAAGCAGATAGATGAGATATGAGAGAAAGGAAAGAATTATGCTGCCAAAACTGGAAAGAAGTCAAGTAATTCTGAAGAGAAATCAGTCTTCACAGCACATCAATAGTAGAATTTTGCTTCACTGAGAAGGATTGACAATATTCAGCGAAGTGGCCAAACTGAATAGCAAGTGACCTGACAACCTCTTATCGTCAATTTTTTCGTGTGGAGCTTTGTGCCACTCCGAGTCTCTCTAAGCCTTTCAAAATACCTTTTTTGTTCTTGCCATGTACATTCAGCCTGGGTTTTGAAACTCTCCACATGGATGTACTGTTGCGAAGTGAACAAGGAAGGGCCGAAATGCCTTGGTGGTCTACTTTGCCTCGTTGACAAAAGTCCAACATAACCAGCTTGAAACAAAGAACACACTTTTGGTCTCATACATGCATGTAGCACTGGGAATGTCAACCATTTGATTTCGGTATATGGTTGGGCGTAGGCTGGGAAGGATGCATCATTATCGACGTGCTATCTCCTTCATAGTCTATCAAACCAAATGGAGGCACTCCTTGATTGGTCTGTTTAATATGCTTGTGGCAGCCCATGAGGCCGATAGGATACTTGGTTGGCTGTCTCATAATCCCCTTCGGAACCAAGAGAAAAGGTATCTATTTCAAGCAAATTGCGATTTCATCCGATCTCGGTGATGGTTGATTTACGAATTGTCCAAGAAATTTTCGAGGGCACTCAGTCCGTCTACACCGCCTGTGCAAATAGAAGCTTCAGTTTTGGATCACATCGTACTGTTTGTGGAATATCTCAGTATCATACCAAGGGACTTCGGCTCAAGCATAGGCTGGCCATTTGAATGTCACTGATCATTACTGTCCTGCCATAGTCAGTAATCTCTAGCGTTCAAGAATGCTACGTTATCTCTGGTGCTCTTGACATCATGCTTGAGCATCCAAGTACCGCAGTCATCACAATGGGTAGTCACAGTAAAGTACCGAATGATGTCGAAAGCATCTCAGACTAACTCCCATGAAGGGTTCCAGACCCATAGGGCAGAGTGAACTTTTAGCTCCATCTTCCGAGTTGTAGAGCGACAATGGAAAAATCCATTCCTCCCCAACTGTGCATCTCTGCGTGTGGCCTTCTCTGAGTGTTGCTAATCACTTTGTCCCGCGGTAGTTTGGAAATCCAGGGTTTTTAGCTACCTGACTCGGATCAGCCTTGCGTACTCCACAGTCCTTTGCAGTGCAGCAGCACCGTATATGTCTGAATAATATTGGACATACGGTACCAGCAGCAAAAGGTGCTGCTGACGATCAGAGCAATGGTCGGGTCGCTATTCTTGTTAGAAAAAGAGCAGCCTTCAATAGAGACTGTGCTCCAGTCCGTAGTCAACTCGTATAGGGATACTCTCCTGTGCGCTGCTCCCACTCGATAGCTTTTTTTCAGTGGCCTGTGCCATCCATGGATGACCAGACTCTTTTGGTTATATAGCCCCCTTTGCTTTCTGCTGGACGAATATTGAATAAAGCCTGACTTACTTCTTTGGCCACTAATGAAATTAGGCGAGGCATACCAATGCAAGAACTGAAAGTTCTGTCCCGGTCAAAATGTAACCCTATCTCTCCCAGAGGCTGCCCGCGACGCCTCCTGCCAAGATTCAGATGAACCTCGGCGGGTAAAGAAACGGCGCCTTCATCTTCATCCAAAGCTTTGCCGAAAGGGATATACCAAGCACAGCACCGATCTCCGCTGCCGACAAAAGCCGACAATGGGGTATATGGATGTTAGCCGGGTTGTTTGATTTGTGGAGGCTATGCACCAGCACTAACCGAAGCACGTTTCGAATTCACATCACCCATAATTCCAGGAAATATCATTGTGGCTCAAAAGAGAACAGAATCCATGCAAGGCGCTTTTGCCAATGTTGAGTGCTTTGGGAATCGTTCCTTTCAGTCGCCATTGGATGATCGCAGACGTATACCATTTGGTAGGTATTCCGACTCAATGTATGCCAGTTGAAAGGCTATGAGTGGGCGTTGGTATGTTTCATCTGCCACTCTATGCGGACGGTTGGATTTGGGCTATCAGAGCAGTAGTTCAATTTCCTTTCCAGGTTGTTTCTGACTTGCAGGGTGCCTAGAGCAGCTAATATCCGCCATCTTCCAGCAAAAAATCCACGTGATTATGATCGCATGTCTTGTTGGTTGAAATGGGAAGTGTGACCAGTGCAGAAAACAGCTTCTGAGAAGCTCTTTTCCAACGGCAGCGTGAAGCTCATAAGTGTCGAAAGAGCCCAGCTACAACAGCAGTTGTAATGAGAAATGTTTCAACCTCCATACGGTAAGCCTTTTCCGTTGTGTTGCTACCCCTGTTACATGGTTGTCGATAACGTCATTCGCGCTTTGCATGACAAGAATGAGCAGCCATACGCTGGGGTCAATAGAAAGACCATAATCACGGATGCAATGCTGGGGCCAGTAGCAAGCTGTGTGGGTGGTGACGTGTAGAACAGAGAAAGGAACGCATGTGCATTGGGGTGTTTCATAATATAAGACGTTGCATATCATGGCAACCACAGCCACGAAAGGGCAGCATAAGATAGTCAGATTGCTCGCGCCACCCAATGAGATCACAAATTTAACCTCGTTATCCAGCGCACCGACCCTAAGTGTCAGGGTTGTTCAGAATGGGGCCAATAGGGCAAGCCCAAGGCAGTTAGCCCCCAGAATACACAGGGCTGACCAGCTCAGCCATCACACCGGGCACCACCCGGTGCCCCTAAGTTAACCGCCGAATGTTTTGGCAGAAGCAACTATATGAAACGAACACTGGATGCCTTTAAAAGCCAAAGGATTCTGGTGTGGGGGAAAAGTATCACCCATCTGGACAAATCGTCCGAGCTCCTAATCACTGTCAAAATCATCATCAACATGGCTGTCCTGACTACGCCGCCACCGGTAACATCAGTAGGTTTGTACTCCCTTTTCCAGCTCCTGTCATCAATAAATCGAAGTTGACCAGGCTGGGCAGATTGGACCAATTTGGACTTAGTTGTAGTGGAAGGTGATAAACAACCTCATCCTTGCCACAGGCCAATTTCATGCTTACATCATTTACAAGTCAATGGTCATATCGAGTCCCGCTACAATGCTGAGACCGACGAGTGGTCAATTCCGGAATTTGTCCATGGTCACGATTCACGGGTTAATGGGCTCGAGCCGTTGTTGAGCTATGGTCAGTGAAGCACGGATGACAGGTAGATTAATTTTCTGCTAACCATGTTCGTAACAGGTCAGCAAGCCTATGAAGGCATCAAAGGTAGAGACCGGCCGGCGACTGGTATAAGGAAGCCTATTGTTAATCAATATTGTGTCGACAGCCTGTCGGGATCCTCAAGGCGCAATCCGAGTATTTCGCCCGGACTTTCATGCCGATCGGTTTCAGCACACATGTTGCGTCATGTCAGTTCCGTCCATGTCGCAAGGTCATTTCACTCGTTGTGTCGAACTAGCTGTCTCTCGTAATGCCGAATACGTTCCCCCGCATGACAGCGACGCGATGCTGTATATCAGACCCACCGTTTTCGGATCTGGAAGTCATAACAGCAGCAGCAGGTCATCTCACTTCCTGTTAAGTGTGGCGGTTTGCCCCGGAAGAGATTGTCATCTCACTCGGCCATTAGATGCCTTGGTCATGGACGACCTCAAAGGAGCCACAGCTGACAGCGCCACCCCGGTCAATGGTGACGAGCAAGTACGAACGAAGAAATATGGCCTCGCGCTTCATGTAGATGCTCGGACGCACACAGAGATTATAGGATTCTCACGCGCATCATTTATTGGCTTCATGGGCGGAGGCGAGGACGGGGGCATTCGTGTCATTCTCCCGGAACAATGCAATACTCTGGACAGTGCTACTAGCGATAGCTGTATCGCCCTAGCACGGTCGCTAGGTTGGGTTGTAGAGAAGCGCGGAGTAAGTCTTCTCTCTCGTCAGGACAGAGGCTCATGGGCTGACACGGGGCCGTACATAGATCCACGTCGCGTCCTTGTCGGAATTCAGCGAAGTCGTTGCAGTCGGAGCCACTGCCGACCTGACTCCCGTCAAGTCGATCACTCATCTTCACGATAACAGTCGAGTTCAGGTCACGTATGACGCGACTGCCGAAGGTAAGCCAGGGCCGGTCGCGACGGAGTTGTGTCAACGTCTCAAGGACATCAAGAAGGGAAGAGCGCCGGATGACTTTGGATGGTGTTACAAGGTGCAGCTATTGTAGGCTGTGCTGTCTGACCGATGACTTTCTTCTATTGTATTAATAGATCCTCCGGCTTTCTGCGGTATAGCCTCCTCAATGTCGATTGTGTTTGTTTTGTTTTATTTTTAGAACAAACACCGCTATGCAATGACTCAGCTGGCCGCAGATGTGACGTCACGCGTACATGGGGGGTGGTAACTATGTGCCTCGACCCGGACATGCTGCTGGTTCTGCTGGCTCTGCTAACTCAAGATGGATTTGCAGGCCAGCTTCACCGTATACTTAAGTTGAACTCTAATTTAAAAACTGTATGAGATGATACCTTCGTGGAGAAGATTAGGTTACGTCTTAAATATCATACACTGTATATATCCGGTAAACATGATAATATATATTGCGTAGTTTGACAGCCTCTGTCGCAATCTTATCAGCAATCCATGGACTTCCAACCGAAGGATGAAAACTGGTCGATCTGAAAGTGTACTGTGTTGGCATGTCAGGTACTGCGAGGACCGACCATCGCCCACCATGGAGGTAGATGACCTTCCGACATTCTCATACCCCCCTGGTGTTTCATTTTTCCGCAGACAATATTTCAACCGCTGTATCCAACAAGCCACATACAAACCTTGTTTGGTTTACTACTATGTCATGGCGGAGGGGGAGCAAAGTCGTGCTCCCTTCACAGTCTGGAGTGAGCATACATGTATGATTATAGACTGACACAGTCATAATTTACAGTCCGTAGCCAGCAAGATTCCAGCATTGAGAAGAACCTGCAAGACTGCCCACGCAGCATCTACGATTAAACTCGCCACAATTGAGATGGAACTCCAATGTTTGTGATGATAATGAGAGAGAGCCAGCTTAGCTTGATACAAAAAGAACGTATATTGTACCTTGCGGAAGTGGCAGGCTCAGGTCAACGACCTGCCGTTACATTCCATAGCCGAAATGTATAAAGATTTTCGGCCCATTCCCCGCTTCCTTCGGTTTTTCTAGTTTCTGTAGACGGACCGACTAGGTCGATTCCCACGGAGTCAACTTACTCCGTTGTCTCCCGCCGTCGACAAGATTGTTTCAGGAGTTATTTAGCAGCGAACGATGAAAGCTGAAGATTTCGAGACATGTGATCGGCCAAGCCCTGTCCTTCTCGAACACGCACTAGAACATCCTTCTCCCGAAGCAGTAGGGACGAACAATGCCTGTAGTCCCTAACCACAAGAGGACAATGCACATCGACTATGACAATGACCTGGACTTTTAGCTAGTAGTCCGAAGGTCCAGAGTTTAGCCCCCACACGGCGATGACGATCGCTCACCGCGAGAGGTCAACTGTTGGGTGGTACGGGTTGCTGCGAGGAACTTGATTCCGCGCGATGTGGCATGACCCACTGTTCGTTTATTTCTCTCTCTCTGTCTTGTTTCTTACACCGTACGGTGTACAGTCCATAAACCAATTTTGCGTGGTGGAGGAATGATGTGAGGGCGGGAAAACAGCGAACGTGATATGCATGTCAGATTGACGAAGCCGCGGGGTTCGGCGTAACGAATTCATCCATAAACCCTACTTGCTGATTTTATGCAGCTAACAGTCGGGGCTCGGGGCAATAGGAATAACGGGTTTGTGGTAAGCCAGAAGTGACGGGAAGTTTTAGTCGTTCTTGAGCCGTGTTGTATAGTTACTCATGAATTACTGGATGGAGAACGATAACAAGCGCAGCAAGGAAGACCGCGAATGGGGAGTGGTGGATGAGCGTTCCTGGACTGATATGAATGTCTACGGTGTAGAGCATATTCTGTTTTTGATCGTCCAGCCGAGAAGTTCGCAATTGCGATCGACAAAGGATACACACTACATAGCCTTATATGCTCAGACTCCGCCGTGTAGATCAACAGTCAATGTATTCCCATAAATCAAGGCGGTATCTCCAAAGTCTATTAAAACAGCGATCTCCACCTCGGACGTTCAGTCGGCAGCCGGAGATCGATTGAATTCCGATCATGCCCAAGGACCATGGCCCGAGGCGAGATCATTGTTTCAATGGCGAAGATGAAATTCAAGAAAGAGACTTTGGACTGCCGATCATGTGTGTCTACGCTACGCTCTACACGCTCATGACGCACAGCAGTTGATCAATCCTGTTCCGGAATCTCCGGGGACTAAGACTTGCCGGCCAAGACAACGAATACCATCGTTTTCGCTGATTGGCGATAAGCCTGCAGGGTAAGGATACAATTCGTAGGAATCTGGCGTACCTTGCCACAAAATTGTTCCGGGAGGCACTGCCCTACAACAAATGGCAATGCCGTGTCCTTTGAACAGAGTCGTTTCAGATTGTATGAGCGGGTCGAACCGCATTGATACCACGTTTAACACCCCAATGTATGAGTATCCGGAGTAAAAAGTCCGACTCATTTGACACGTGGTATACATGTCTTGCTAGGTCCTTGAGAACCAATAAGCTAAAGCTACACCATAGTGGAGACGCGTCGGTCGTCACATCTTGCCGATGTGCGACCGAGCTCAGTGCATAGCAACAACGGAGAACGCCGCCAGAAGCATGTCTCGTAAACACTGGTCGGCCCCTGTTGGGTATGAGAACAATTGTTCTATTTTGCCGCAGCCGCCATTACAAGTCTCCACAGTGGAAGAGATTTCATTCCTACGATATGCTATCATGCCACATTGTTGGAAGCCTTAATTGTTCTAGGCTTCATAGGGAAGGACAGGCTTTAATTACGCACATGGACAGGCAAGACAAGGAAAAGAAGCGGGTCTTGGAAGCCCTGCGGTTGGGGCCAAAAGCGTGCCACGCTGCCTCTAGAAGCTCCGAGTCCAGCCAACTGTTGGATGGCGCTGCAATTTGGGGGCGTGGAAATAGATTAAGAAAGAAAGTCATTATTTCGTGACTTGTGGGTCTCTAGCTTCAATATTATAGTCTCTATATACAAAGATGTGCCGAGGCTCTTTCAGAGCCCATTCGTGGCGTCTATACAGTTTTTTGTGAGCCTCGCACTCGCCCACTCTAGGATATCGTAATATCACTCCGCACCACAATCCCCATATTGGGTGGTTGAAGGAAGTTTTCTCCAGGCAACGGCAGTTGTGGTGACGCCCTGTGAGCAGAAACCGTGCTTTCGGCGGATGTCGTAGTGAACGAGCACTTTTGCGGCCGATCCAAAGATTTGGTGTCTAGTTCCGTCTCTTCATCTCGACCCATTCGACTAAAGTATGATCGTCCGATATCTGAGTCCCCGATCCTCGATTTTGGGTGCGGTGGAAAGCTTTGGCCCATTACGGACCGGAATCCTTCGTGATGTATGCGCCGACTGAAAACGAAGATGCTGGGTAGGCACACGCTGACGACGGAGATGGCGATTTCAGAAAGTAGCCAGTAGACGGGTTGCACGAACTCCCCTGGGCATGGTTAAAACGATGTTCGTACTTTCCGTCAGTCCAGACAACTCACAAGTAAAGTCGCTCTCAAGATTCTTCCCAACCTCGATAATTGCGACTAATCGCCCGATCGATACCACGACAACCCTATCGGACACACGTTAGAACTGCTAGCGATGGATGTCGTCGCAATTGGACAAGGCTTACAAGTAACCGCAGAGAAAGACCCCGATAATCAGCAGTTTTCGGATAATCTTCATTTGCAGTCTCCAAAGTAAAGGCAGTGGGAGAACCAAGATCATGACGTTAATTATCAGACTGGGAATACCACTGCCTAGGAACAAGGTGCGAACGTCGATACATCGCCCTGGAAGAAGTCGATTCCAGACTTTCTCTGTAGGAGTGCACTGTAGCGCGACAACGACGTGCATGCCGATCATCCAGGCGATGTTCATGGCATGAACCAACCACAGGGCATATCGGAATCGCGATTGAATCTGATCGAAGACTCGAGAGTAAAACAGAAGCGCAGAGGCTCTGGCGATAGATGTGCCTGTGTCGAAAATGAAGTATTCCACCCAAAGCAGCTTCATGATCAGCGGGAAATTCTCCGGTGCCACCTGAACATGCTGCCCTACTCCTAGGTCAGCCAGTTTAAGGCCGATCCCACACATTACTACATTGATCATCTGCAAATACTTAGATCAAACTACTCTTGAAAGAACGAAGGCGTGGAATAGGGCGCACAAACCGCAGCTAGAAGAGCAGTCCAATCATCCCACCAAAATCTAACGGGTGTACTCGAAAACCCAGGTAACATCGCTCTGGACCAAAATCGTAGGATAACAGCAAATATCGGCGTAATCAGCATAACGATCAATAATGCACGGAGCGCTGGACGCTGATCATCATTGAGATTGACGCCCGTAGGCGGTAATGAGGACATGGCGTGTTGGGTGATGGAGGGAAGTGGTGAGGAAAGGAAGGCGTTGAAGAACCATCAGAGGCCAAAAGATCCTGAACGAGACTGCTTGCGGAGGATGGCTGGTTCTCATGGTATCTAAAGAATACGGCGGAACATCCCTGCGGGTCAGATTTGGGGTTCATTGAAGGAAAATCCGCAGGTGCAGGGAATCGTTCAAGGGGGCCATGAGGAATTGACGGCCCGACTGAGCTAAGCCATGAACAAAATGCGTGGAGCGTAATGGATAACAATTAATAAGGTACGGGAATTAAAAGTATTCATTTAATAAAAATATGGGCCGAGATTACGGCCTGGTGACTGAAGGGGAGGGCTACAGATCAGGTTGTGTGTGCGTAGTGTGTGTGCAGACTGCATAGCCATCCTCGGGGAAGACCATTTCCTGTTTTCACTTGCCAGGCTGATTCGGGATAGTGTTCTTGGTATGCAGAGTTTAGTCCCGGTTAGCTTCACATCGTGCAGGTCGAAAGGCTGAGGGAGCCACCTGTTAGGTAGTTTAGGTCCATTTCCCGGCCCCAGTTCTTACCTCAGCCCACTGCGCGTCAGCGTGGCCTGGGGGCGGCGGACTGACACACACGTTGTGGTAATTGGGCTACTACTTTAGCCCATGACATGGAAGCCGATCCATGGCACCTGGGAGCAAAAAATCAACTGTTCGTGCTCATTTACCCTTCCACGAGCTGTCGGAACCAAAAAGCTGTCTGGCTGCCGATAGTAAGGTGACATTTGGTCATTTGTTATCGTATTCATCGGCCGCCAAAAAAAGCCCTAATTGAATCGAGGTTTAAGCTATCGCGAGCTAAGTTAGCTTCCCTTACGCCAATGTCTGCACGCTTTATTCAAAGTCCCTCGGCGTTCAAGAAAACACCGAAGGCTTTTCTTTCCATCGTCGTCTTGAGACTGCAATCGGCCACTTTGGCCAGTGCTTCCCCGTTTCTGCACTAAAAGTCAATCTTGACAAGGATTGACACCATGTTCAACAATGTTAACATAACGCTTGGACCTACCTGCTCGGGATCTTTTCCGTGAAGAGTGAGAGGCACACGTTACTTTTAGTGGGGTAAAAAAAAAAGAGGAAGAGAAATGAAAAAGGACCCCAACCGGGCATCGGACGAACACACCTGTCCGAGGATCATCGTAACGGGTCAAAATGATTCTAGACTGGGAGGACTGCAATGCACGTGGGAGGCCTGCCTAAACGTGGCAAAGCTTAATATGCTTGAAAGCCGAAGGGCCTTAAATCTCATGGTGGAACATGTCAATTATGCCTGACGGTCAGCTTATCTATTTACACTCCCTCTGTGTTTCAGAAAGAGGATACCATCTCCCTCGCGCTCATGCCACCATTCCCGGGTGCCTTGCGGTCTGACTCGTGTTGCTCATGCTCGAGTGGAATAGTCTCTCCGGTGAAGGCGTCCGGCGAAAATAAAATGACCACGTCCAGCCATCATGATCAGTCCCTGTTCTAATAATCAATTGCCCCTAATTTGAATTAGTCCTTCCTCTTTCGTAAGACCCAAACAGCTTCTCCGAGCCTACCAATCCGTAGCTAATAAGGGACTCCAAATTATGATTGCACTCTTGATATAACTCGCCAATCTTGAACTATAGTGTAGTCATGACGTGGAAATTCAGTTTACCAGGCACTAGGCTGATTGGTATGCGGCTCAAGATTGGACAGCGGTAATCTTTATTCATTGAATCACTCCCTCTGCTTGCTTGATAGACGGATCTGTTGTCGGGTCTTTTGGGCAGAAGATCGCGAGACTCTGACCTTCCATGTTTACTAGGAGTTTGAGGTGCAGATGCTATTTATGGCAACATGCTTACAAAGAGATTCCCTTGAAGGAACATGATTATGCTGGCTTCTTTATGAACGATCCTGAAAGCTATCGTTACGATCCCGGTTCAACTGCGCGCGTTTCAATTCCGTGCCGGCGTGGACACTGGTCATGTAGTTGCGGAATGCGCGGCTCATCTGCATCACTTGCTTGAAATGCTCCGTCACCACAATCACTGGATCGTCGTCGGAGTGTCCCTCCTCCTTGCTGGCTTCGTACTCTGCAAGGGCGACCGCCGTCTGTAATGTGTTTCGAATTTCGCGACCACTCCATTGCACCTCACTTCCTTCCTTTCGCTGGAGGATAAATCGCTTCGCCTGGGAATGAATAATAAACTTGCCTTTCATGTCGCGTTGGAGCTTGGCAAAGAATGCCTCCCAGATACGATTGCTCATATCTCCATCCAAGCTCTTGTATTCCAGAACAACGTGGACCCGGGAGAGAAACGCATCATCGATATGTCCCACCCGGTTGGTAGTGAGGAAAAGAATTCCACGAAAATATTCCATCTGTCGCAGGAACACTAACTTATAGTCAGCTGCTGGTTTCGAGTGTATCCAGTTTCTTTAATCAATTGCTCACCCGAAACTATGCCATTCCGTGCCAGATCATAATTGCTTCTTCGTTCTAGGAAAATATCCGCTTCATCTATCAGAAGAATAGCGTTCCATGTTTCGGCAAAATAGAACCATTTCATCAGCTCTCCTTCGATACTGTGCTCCTCCGTCCCAATGTCCGCAATGGTAAGCGAGAGCAAAGGTCGGCTAGTGGTCATTGCAATCCATTCTACGGAGGGTCAGTTGTCCTGAAAATCACATCTGCGGGATAAGGGCATCGGTCTTACCGACGGTATAAGTTTTCCCTACTCCCGGAGGCCCATGTAGCAGGATTATCTGACCTTCGCCCTTGTCTTGGATAAAGTCAGGTCTCCACGCTTTTTGCATGTTCTCTTGGCGATAAGCAAGGGCCTCGATCACTTCAATGTCGCCCTGTGGAAGGATAGGCTTCTGCAACTCCTCCCGCTGAATCTCCCGGAAGCACTCAACTTCAAACACACCTAGTCACTGTAAGCCCCTTTCTGCTATATGCGAGCAAGAGGGGAGTGCTGCTCATGAAAGCGGACTGACCCCATGTTTTATCTTTCAGTCCGAAAGCCGCCATAACGGGGCTTGCCAACACATAATGATCATCAGTGAGGTTTTCGAATTGATCGGGGGCAATGTTGTCAAAGCTCTCCCATTGAGATACTGTTCCTGACTCTGCAGATGGATTCTCTCCGATAAAATTCTGATCCTTGCACTCGCCATCAAAGTACCAACCGTACACGTCACCCACTTTGCCCAATGTCAGCGCGGAAGCCGGATCAATAATCACCAGACCTCTGTACTATATTTTTACTTCAGCCAAATGCCTATACTGGCCTTTCACCGACTGAAGGGGCACTTACGTATTTATCGCGCTCAAATCGAGCTTGATCTCCGGGCCTTGGGGGAACAGGACTCAAGGAGAGATTGGGGACATAGCCTTCATACATCACCTGTTTGTATTTGGAGGACACCAACCAAAGAACTTCTTCCCTCTCTCTACAAGCCTTCTTCTCTTCTCTCCACCATCGATTGCGCTCATGTATTCGAGTGGCACGGAGGCCAGCGAAGTGATTGCCTTTTCGCCCTCAAAGCGCTGGATATTGCTGTATCCGCCGTTTCTGCCCACTTTATCTTGGGTTGCCACTATATTCCAAGCATATAACTCCCAGGCAGGCCTTCCTTTGTTGTCCCCATCCTCCATTGTTATCTCTTGCATTGATATAACGCAATGTACGATCGGCTTGCTTTTGTAGGTTTCGTAGACGAATGTGCCTGGCTTGAACAAGAGCCAGAGATTGTCGAATGTGGCGGCAGGGGTCGGCTTCTTGTATCGTCGTTCTTCCGGTGCTATGACTCGGTCGATGAAAGGGTCTAGGAATTCGAAAAGAAGCCGGATATGCTTGGACCTTACATCCTCCGGTGACTCTTCTGCTGCTTGGAGAGCCCGCAGTTCATGGCGATGATGAATCAGCACAGGGTATGGCTGGTGAATTGTAACAACATCGCCAGCCAGATTCTGTCTTCCATGCTGTCAGACTAGGAAGCTCTTTGGCAGGCGAGAAGGGACTCACCCCGGGTAGTAGGAAACAACGCTCCGAATGGCCTCTAGTAAGACTTGAGAGTAGATCTCAATTCTAGTCTTGAGAATCTCCTTCACTTCGAGTTTCCCAACGTCTTCTCCCAACTCCCATTGAGAGAAGGCTTCCATGCGCGACTTGTTTCCCCCTCCCACCACGTCTGTGACGACCTCGAACACGGTCTGCTCTTCGCCCTCCTCGTTCCCTATATTCGCTCGTCGTTTGGCTTCAAACGGGGGTGGGCGATCGCTTTTAAATGTTATAGGCAAGTCACTGGCGTTCTCAAAGACTTGAACCGAGTATAAAATGCTGGCTTGTTTTAGAGAACGACCAGGACCGCTTCGCTCGCTCGCAACGTCGCCATCATCTTCTGTTTGCCCTCCCCCGGTTTCGTCCAAAAGCTCTTGGGGTATGGTGCTCTTTGGTGAATTCGCATCGCTGGCATTCGCTGGCATATGCTCTTCTTTGGCCTCTTGAGTCGACATGTTCAAAACAGGCGTCTCAAGCGCGTTGCTCCCGGCTTTGAAATCTCAGTTCCGTGTACACGGGATTCCAGTAATCAAGTAGGTAACTCACTTGCAATGATCGTTGCCATTCCGTGCGCTCCGAACAAGACTCCAGTTGATGAATCTCACAATGTCCCGTGGTGATAAGTTCGGAGGGTGCTCTAGTTCCCGGGCGTCGAACAGTGGGAAATCCACCAGAAATAAGCGCCAGGACGTCCCAGGGATTACGTGACAAAGTTCCCCTCTCAGAATCGGGAATGAGAGTGGGAAGCCACGCGCCGTATGTAGATGTTGGCACCCGATTGACCGTGAAACACTCCGTATGCATGCAGTCATCTCCCCGACGCCAATGGCTTATCGCCAGATTGAGGAAGAGCGCGAGGCAGTCTGTTTGCCGCCGGCATCGGCCATAAGCCAATCGTGTCGTGCTGACGACGGACTTTCATGCAACTAAATGCGAAGGATCAGAATGTTTGCGCCGCAGCCTCGCCCAAGGTTCTGTGGCCCAATCAAATATGATGCTATTTCCCGTGAGTGCCACACAGACCGACACCAGCCTCGTCCTGCAGTCTTGCGGACTCCGTCATTGCGGCGTGTCCCGCTAGGCACGCCGATATAATCCCATCATACTGTTATCAAAACGTAGAAACCTATGATTCAAGTCATCAAAACATGATGCCTATCAAAGCCAGATTTCAAGAAGCAAAATGGCATGTTCGAGGGTTCAGTAAGCAGCTGGCCGAGGAGGACTCGACCGAGCCGCTAGAGCGAGCCATCATTCGCAGAGAGACGTTGGATGAGGAAGAAGAGAACAGGAAGACTTCGCTTGTAAGACAATGGCAAGGCCTTTTCCACACTGATTCAGCTGAGGATCTCGAGTAGGTCGTCTTGCTTCACATCCAGTTCATCTCGTACCTAACGGCAAGTCCAGGCATCTACATCACGAGGAGCGGAGGCTAGAGACAGCAGCTCGTGAGCTTGCCAAAGCATGGTCCGACTTTCAAAGCGTTCTACCGCCAGAGCATCGCTCGCGTGTTGACACTCCTCCTGATATCACCGTGGTTTGGAAAGCCGTTCTCGTGGCGGAGGAGAGCTTCCAAGAGCAAAAGGAGACCCGGATGGGCAAAGCGAAGCAGGCAGTCTTCAAAGCGTGCGAGAGTCTCGAGGACCACAAAGAGTTGTTTCACATCTTCCCGACCGGAGACAAATACGTCTCGCTTGTGACGGGGAGTATCTCGGCGATCGTCAAGGTAAGATGGTATCTCGCAGTCCTATAGATGTTGTTGTTGCTGATACCGACAGGCCGCTGTGAACCACCAAGCCGTCGCCACCGGCGTGTCCAAGATTCTCGCAGACATTTGGGATGACATCAAACATCTCCGAGGGCTTATTTCTGGCCCTTTCAACAATGACCCCGTTCGACCTTATGTCGCCGTCTTCTACACTGAGGTTTTCAAAGTCCTTGTGGACATTCTCGTTCACTGGCACCAATCTCGGCTGCGCCGCGCTCTTCACAGCTTCAACTTCGGCTACGTCGAGAAGCTGGTGGGCAAAGCAAGATCGACCATGAAGGAGCTAATGACAAAGGTTGAACGGCAGATGCAGCTGGAAAGATGGAACAAGATAGCCAGTAAAGATGACTTGCTTCCGATCGGGGAAAAGCTCCAACTCCTTCTGCGGGAGCAGGCTCGCATGAACCAAAGCCTACAGATGTTTACTGTTGAGTCAAACCCCCAAGGTTCGTTATCACTTGATGTCGACGAGACCAAGCTTTTGCCTGTGCAGTCAGATTGTTCGTCTCTGTCACCTCCCGGCCGGACAATGTCAGATTTCAAAGACTCGGCTGAACACCTCAGATCGTATCTTCAAGACGTTTATTATGCGAGTTTGAAGGATCAAACCCATGACCTGTTGGTCAACTTCGAGGTCTTGAACACAGTGCGAAAATGGGTCACTACACCGAAGTCTTCCTGCCTCTGGGTTGACGGGCCTTTTAACGCCGCCGTCCCTTCCCAGAACACCCTCATGAGCAGCTCTATTCTCGATACGATCCGGTCCATGGATCTCCCAGTCATTTCATACTCCACTCTGAATAGCTGGGAGTACGAAACGGACCCACCGGGAGATTCCGAGTTTGTGAGAATGGTATCCTCGCTGCTATATCAGCTTCTCCAACATATCCCCGACTCGTTACAAGCTCCTGCCACACTCGACTATTTAGATATTTCCTCGCTAGATGGATAGACAGAGTCTCTATCAACTGCCCTTGCGATTCTTGAAAATCTGTTACTAATTGCACCCCGAACATTATTCTGTCTCATTAATGGCATCCAGCTGCTCGATGATGGTACGATGAGCAAAGCAGAGGAGCGGTATTTAGAGCGACTAATCAAACTATTCTGCTCGCCTAGGGAGACTCCACCTCTGTTCAATGTTCTATTCACGACCGATGGCTTCACGTCTCTTTTGAGCTTGCCCACCTGTCTGGACCAAATTGAAAGATGCACATATGATCAGCCCATGAGGCACAAGCGGAAGTCTAATGGTAATGTCAGCCTGATGACTACTTTACAACAAGCGGTTGAAGAAGAGTCCGATATCTGAGAACCAGATCAGGTCTGACTACAGTAGTCTCCTTGTTATAGAATTCATCCTGTGTTTATTTCTATTGCTGAGTTTTGGTTTTTCTCTCTCTCTCTCTCTCTGTGTGTGTGTCTCTCTGTCTCTCTCTGTCTCTCTCTGTCTCTCTCTCTCTTTTCATTTCTTTTTTTTTTTTTTTTTTTTTTTTCCCTTTGGTACGGAGTAGTTATTGTTGTTGTCTGTCTACTGTCAATTTCGTAGAGGGCTAGACGCGACACCATGTTAAATATTCCATGGGTGTTTTTACCAGGCATGTAGCAATCACGTTCTCTTCTTGAGAGGTTAGATCGGACTGTAGACCTGCTGTCACATAAATATATCTTCCGTGGCTATATGACATACCAATGATGAACTCCGAGCAAAGCACATAACTCCTCGATTGTACTTCAATGCTATTCCTGCATCTAATCTTGACTCGTAATCTAATCAAGACTATCACAAATGTTAAACTGAAAGTTGAGAGGAAGGGCTCATTCCGTTATTCCGAATAGTCCGAGCTCCGATGTCAGCCGTGCCAAGCCCCGGAAAATCGGAATCAAATCGGAATCAAATCGGGATCAAATCGGGATCAAATCGGGATCGGAATGCGCGAATGCCGACATATAATCGAGGTTATTCCGCGGCCTTCTCCCGGCGTCACTCTTTCCTGACTCTGCGCCGATCTGCTTCATTCACCGCCCCTTCCTGGGACTTTCACTTTTGACTTGGTCGGAATAGGGTATGAAGTCCCACGTAATTCGAGACGGCTCAGTCCGCAGGAACGGAAAGCCCACGTCCTGTGAGCCATGTCGCATCTCCAAGATCCGCTGCGATCATGCTCGGCCTACATGTGGTCGGTGTGCCCAAAGGAAGCTCACCTCAAAGGTACACAAATTTAATCATACCCCCCACTGTAATAGAGGATACCCTTGGCTGACTATCCTAGTGTTTTTACCATCCGGCCCCCTTGACGCGACCACGTGGTAGCAAAGCCCGTTCAGGGCCAAGACAGCCCGAATCCACTCCGTCTAGGCCCAGGACAGAAAGAAGCCATGACGCACAGGTTCAAAATAGTCCTGCAGTCCTATCTCAACTACACACGCCGGGTGGGTCTTCCGGGATAGTTGAGAGTGAGCCCTCCACCGCAGGACGAGGAAACTACCTGGGCCCGTCCAGTTTCCTATCCGTGTTTCAGGACGTTAGTCCCAACCTCGAGGTCTCGACATATAATCGATCCTCCGGCTCGTGGGGTCGTTGGACCAGTGCCTCGACCACTTTCGCGCGTCGACTGGTACAACTTCTTCGTCCGTTGGCGACGTACGAAGAGATGATCACCCGAAACTTCGAAGAATGCCTATTTAACACCATCCCGGAACCTCTGGCACTGCAGCCACTGAGGCTGCTTCGGACCCAGATCGAGAGCGGAAAGTGGTTTGACGATGAAGAAGCTTTAGCTTCTATGATTACCCGCAACACGGCCGAGAAATCGATTGTTATCACGCCTAACATGACGCCAGACGAGTTCTACGCCACCTTCACTGGGGAGAACCTGAGATGGGAGTTTGTCGGGATTATCTTCACTTTGGCAGGGCTGGCGACTACAACCGTATGGTATCAGTCCGACTCTTTTTTAAGCGAGACGGATAAGGATGCTTTTACGGAGGAGATGGCTGCTGCAAGTAACGCGTGCATTGAGATCTGCAACCAGCATGACAATGTGAACGATTTGTTGGTCTGGTTGTACCATACACACTTCACGCTGGTGGCCGATGCCATGGAAGAGCTTAGTATGAGTACCTGGAATGCGTCTGAATTCGTCCGCTTACGAAACTTAGGTGACTACGTGTTTCGAGTCTTCGGGGATTTGATATCGCACATGTATTCCCTTGGCCTGCATCGACTCCAAGCATCTAACGCAGAAATACCCTTTTTTCTTTCGGAGACACGGAAGCGAGTATTTACCTCGTGCTATCGCACCGACAAGAACATCGCGATGTTTCTCGGGAGACCGCCCCGACTGCCGGATCATTATTGCGATACAGATCTGCCGCTAGATCTCGAGGATGAAAGTCTAGTCCTAGACTCGGAGTCTCTCAAACAGGTCTTGCGCGGGATTTCTGCAGACGGCTGGAGTGATTCACCGTTTTCTCCGAATGGGAACATCCGACCGGCAACAGCCGTACGAGTGAGATATAGGATAGCGAAATTACGAGAACGAGTGGTGGCTTTGTTTCTTGGTAAGAAGACAAAGGCCTTTGACGACGAGTTGCAGTAAGATTTTCCACACCCCGCAACCTAGGAAAACATTGCTAATAAGCACCTAGGGCGGTCCATCTCGACCTGAAACAAATGTGGGAGAGCATCCCAGCCCCATTTCACTATCACGCTGCCGGGTTCGGAGACAAGAACCCGGCCAACGCGTCCGTTCGGGTCATTACTTGTATGGAGTATCTGCAGGCGGTTTCGCAAATAGAGCGAATTCGATGTCGCCAAACTCCAGATGCCATGCATAGCTTACTGGACTCATCGATGCGAATCGTTACCGCGTTGATTGATTTTATTAAAGCGCGGAAGCAGGGTGGAAATATCCAAAAGGGGTACATGGGAGTGGTGAGCTACTGTGCCTCCAAATAGTTATTAATTCTATAGCGGGTATTAATTCTTTCTAGTTCCTTCTTTACGGTCTCCCAGCCGCGGGCGTGCTCGCGATTGAGCTTCATCGATGCACCGTGCAGGGGATGCCGCTTCCCTCCCCTATTCCACGCTCTACTATAATTCGTAACCTGAGCCTGTTGGTTTCATGGTTCGAAGACGCCAATAATATCATGAGCATCACGCAGAAAAACTGCGTGCAGGTGAGTGAGGTTATAACGAGACTTCTTGACGAGACTTTGAACCATCAAGTCGGAGAAGGTGTACGAACGACGGAACAAGTCCAGCATCGATCGGGGACCGGAGGATGCGAAGGGCCAGTGAATGATAGTATTACAGCTATTTGCCCAACAGCCGACCATCTCCTGTTACCGGATGACAATGCCCTCAATGTGAATTCATTTGGAACGAGCGTTGAGTTTCTCGATTGGTGGGATGAATTCTGGGTCGATGGGTCCATTCCAGATGTTGTCCTATAAATCACTAAAGCCTCAGGGCGGGATAATGAACTTATGAAGGGTTGAAGATGATCCAAATGCATGAAAAGATCATGTTTTCTATAGATACAGCTCTAAGGCTAACAGACATGTGAGTCAAGTCAATATCCATACATGAAGTATTAAATACAATTAGAGCTGGGCCAAACATGTAGTGGGGGATAGACATCTGGCCCAGTGATGAAGTTAATTAGTGATACTGGTCATCCTGGGAAATGAGTTGGATACTCGAGGTGGGCGCAGGATAGGCAGGAAAGACTTAAATGCCCATGGCAACCGCAACGAGGGATCCAACAACGACGCCGACCCACAGGTTACCCTGAGCGCTGGTTGCGGAGTTTGAGAGAGGAATATCCGAGGAAGAAGCGCTGGCGGTCTATTGAACATGTCAGCAATTAGCAGCATAAAGCTTGAGACAGGAGAAAAGACGCACAGCCTGTCCGGTAGGGGTACCCGATCCAGACACGGGAGTCGACTTAGACCCAGTTGGGATTACCGGATGAGAAGATCGTGGAGCCGAGGCGGTGGTAGTGAAGCTCTGAGTAGCAGACGGAGCGGTGGTGCCAGGGGCCGTGGTGGTCTCCTCATTTTCAGTGGAGGTAGTTGCCGCCTCGGTGGGAGCCTCGGTGGCAGTGACACTGGATCCAGCGCTGGTGGTAGGAGCAGGTCCCACAGTAGTGGAAGCGCTGTCACCATCATCATTACCCGCGTCCTCAGGAGTGGAATCCAAGCCACAGGACTCAGCGGCCTTAGACACTGAATTGCCGTAGTATTTCCAGATGTCAAACTCATTGGCACACTTCAAGCAGTCAGACAGCTGAGACTTGAAGGTGCTCGAGTCACAGAAGTCGTCAGACCGGGAAGACGTGATCACGCCACCTTCAAATTGTTATTGATGGTTTTGGACAATGGAGTGGTGAATTGATATCGTACCGCAGTTGGCATGGCATTCATATGCAGGGGTACCGGGGTCCTGGCGACGGTGAAGGGGAACGAATTCAGGGTAATCAAAGGCACTGGCGCTCATAACCAGGCAGGTAAAGGCGGCAAGAGTGGAAAAATGCATGATGAAGACAGCAGCGAGTGAACCTGTCAAGGCAATGGAAACACCGAAATCTGGGACAAGTGGGTAAAGAACGACACTGAATGAGAGAGCGGTGTCTCGGAAGCAGCTCAAGAGCTCTTACTTATAGGCCTGCAAAAGAGCAGAAAATTGCCATTGCATCCTCACGAACGCTTCATTTCCCAGTTCCCGTCCGATCCATCGTACGTGTGCTCGGAATACCAGCATCCTGTCGGGTCTCATTGCCAATTCGAGTCGGTGTCTCACTCGAGTCACGCAGCCTAGACCTAAAGGGGCTTTCCGAGGGCTCTCTCCACCGCGATCCATGTTCACCAGGGCTGGTCAGGGAGCAAACGATGTAACGGTCGCTCGCTTATGGCGGTCAGAGTGGGTCCCTGGCCCACGGCCATCTTATCTGATTGATCTAATCTGATCCCCTGTAGCCAGTCTTCTCCCGTCGCCGAGGCCCCTCGATATTAACAGCCCCGCTGGGCCCTATGAGAAGACGAGCTGTACTGGTCCGAGCGGTTTTCTCCGACTGATAAGTTCATCTATTCGGTCTTGGCGGTGTGCTCGGGCTTGCAGTAATGTCACGGACTGAGTTGCTAAAATGTCACTCCACAACCTGCAGGGAAGCGAGAACATCCGGTTGGTTTGTTATTTGCACCAACAGAAAATCTCTGATAGTGGCCCTGATGGTGCCTGTTAATTCTTGGTTTAGGACATGGTTCATGGGAAAACATTGGAAGCTATGACACATTTGCCGCCGAGAGTGGTTCGGGCATTCGGCGCCCTTGCGTTCAGCGCCGACTCGAAGAAGCGGCGGGGGTATAAAGAGGGGTGATCGGGTCCAATATAGGTAAAAGACATAGTAACCTCCATCCATCCTGTCGAGAACTTTTCCTCTTGTCTGTCCGGCTATACTCTGCCCATCATGAAGAGCTCTATCTTGTCCCTTCTCGCTATTTCCGCCATCGGCGTTTGGGCTCATGGAGAAGATGCCGCGAAGGAGATGGGCGCGGTGGCATTCATGTGGCCGCCAGACCGAAGATGGGGGGAGAAGTTTGATAGCAACGCGCCCTGCGGCTCGTCTACTGGACCAGTCAACAGAACGGACTTCCCCTTGAGTAGGTTACGGTTTCCCTCCAGCCAATTACAGTCTAACAATGGAATATAGTCAACGGAAAGCTAGCCCTCGTTGTGCAAGATGAGTCATGGAACGTCCAGGTCTCCATCTCTCACAAGAACAGTATGCACCATCTTGCTCTTCTTCACCAGAAAATGACTAACTCCCAGTAGACCCCACCAGCAACGACGACTTCGAAGCCTTCATCGAGAAGTCTGATGTTTCTGAAATCAAACCCGGCCACGAATGTTACTCTGTCCCGAACCCTGCTGTCGATGCCGAAGCAGGGCAAAACGCAACCTTCCAGATCAAGTACACCAGTGATATGGAGACCGACAAAAACGAGACCTACTATGCCTGTGCCGATGTGACCTACGTCCCTACCAGCAAGTTCACATACTCCGTTCCTTGCTTCAACGTGACGTCGGATGAGTTCACCGCGGTGAGTACTACAACGGCGGGAGCGGGATCCACCGCCACGGCTGGGTCGTCGAAGGGTTCCGATGACAAAAGCAAAGCGGACTCGGAGTCGGACTCTAGCAGTGGCGGTGGGAGCTCCGGTCTTTCGGGCGGTGCTATCGCGGGTATCGTGATCGGCGCAGTGGCAGGTGTGGCCATCGGCATTGCGTTGCTGTTTGGATACCGAAGACTGCTGCAGAAGTATCGCTCGGCGAGGAACCAGGCATCTGTCAGGAATGTGGATTGGGCGGAAAGCGCCAAGGGAGAAGTTGATCACACTCCGTTGGGGTTGCGGAAGATTAGGTGATTGTCTAAGATCATGGTCATGTCATGTAATCGTTGCAGAATCGATGGCATGGAGATGAGGAGAGGTGGGTAAGAGGCAGGCTAGCTGGTGGATGTGGTATGATAATGCGATGTATGCTTCATGTTTATGTTAATGTCTTTCAACCGAGATAATCAAAGTTTCTCCTCTATGAATGACTATGGAACCTACTTATTTCGATTCACTTCGCCAGGTGGCGTGTTTGTATAACCTTTTGTGGGGGAACATTATCATTGTCTAGAATTTGCCGTCATATCATAGCTCTTCGAGTACACAAAGCCTTCACTGAAGGAATGAATACCTCCATATCTTTATTGAACTCATGATTCTATACTACGGATACGAAGGTTCCACTACCAAGCAAGTAGCCATGATATGAAGAGCTTTTCAGCCAGCTCGCCAAATACCGAAAACAACACTCGCCCCTCCCACCCTACGTCTAGACTCGCCTCCAACCAAGAATACCAGGTACACAACAAATCAACCGTTCACTCTCCAGGTAGCAACGCATCCTTCCACCCCCTCCCATCACCAACCCCAGGCTCGCTGCCATCCTCTCGAATCCCCTCCCACTCGGTCATATTCACCCACCCAATCAACGCCCTATCGCCGAAGCCCCCCACCCAGAACACCTGGCGAACGACCATCCTAGCCCAGAATCCTGCATGCGCCGCGCCCTCCCGGCCAGGCAGCCAAGCCCTCGCATCCGGATGAGCGTCCAGAAAACACCGTTCCAGACCCACTCTCGTCTCGGGGTCCACGGGGCTTGGGTAGGGTTCTAGGTACCCTATCAGCACGGCGCGCGGTAGCGCCATGCGACTGTCGGATAGGTCTCGGAGGGGGACATCCGTGTCAGAAGCGATGTGGTCCCACCAGTCGAGGGAGAGGGAGACGTTGGACCCGAAGGCAGCGTTTTTGAAAGTGGTGCCGAGGTGGAGACCTAGGATAGTCGGATTTCCATCCGGGTGACACGAGGCAACGTATTCCGGCAGGGTGATAGGGAGCCCCGAAACCATTCCTGGCGGATTGTAGTGGTGTACAGGATCGGGGATGATGGGTGATGGGAAAGTGGTGGAGATACGGCCGACGCTGGACTTTTGCAGGAGGCGCCGTGCTTGAAGGGTAGATGTGTACCAGGTCGGGAGAGTGTGATGCTCCCAGGAAGGCTTCGGGGTCTGGTGCTCTGTGTTCAGGACTCTCTGGGCGTTGTCCTGTGCTGGAAGACTATTCGATCCCAGTGATTGCAGGAAAGAAAGTGGCGATAATCCTAGCGCCAGAGGGCTGACAAGGAGCAGGATGGCTGGCAGTAGTTGCATGTTAGGCAGTGGGGATTAGCGACAATTCATCTAACATGAGATGGGCTTGTGTGATCCGAAGGGAAGTTGGTTGTGGAATGATGAAGCCTTTATACTTCGCTGGCAGTTCAAGTGGATCACGGCGATTCGAGTCGCTTTTTACGGCAGTGACTAGTATGCCCACCGTTCCATTGGGAACCACAGACCCAACGATGAACCTCGGAAGGAAGGGATCCGAGATTGCCCATCAGAACCTGCTCCGATTGCTGGACTTGAAGTAGGCCGATATTTGGTTCGATGGGGGGAAAGATAGCGATGTGAAAACTGCAGCAACGCATGAAGATTCCGCCCATCTGTCATTCAAAACCGATCGACTGAACCGTTCTACTGAGTGTCCAAAGCTATCAGATTCTCCGAGTCAGGCATGCCTGCTCTCTTTCCCCTTGTTGCACCTGCAGTAGCGATTTGACGCGGCCCTCGATATCCCGGCATGAATCCTGCGCACACGTACGTGGCAACCGCTAGCATTTCCATGACCACGGCCATGACAATAAACACGAGCAGACAGCCCTTAAACCAGTGGAACTCCATATTGTCGAAGAACACGCACAGCGCCGAGTAAACGACGCGCACGAGCAGGAAGGGCAGAGAAACCGCGGCCGCGATCAATAGACGCTTTTCCGCTGACGAGATGCATTGGGTGTAGAAGCACAACGACCCCGTGCAGACAGCGAGGGATGAAAATACAATCAGAGCGAGGATCACGCTTGCAACGAGGGCAGACGGAACTTTTGTGGTTGTGAATCCCGCAAAGTCGGAGTCAGGCACCGACGTCGCTCCGACGATACCCAGAATGAATGCCGCGACAAGAAGTACAGCTTGAACGTGGATGACGTATGATCGGACAATCGTCTGGCATCTCTTGTGCACACTGTCGCGAACCACCAGTACGAGGCCCAGCAATGTACAGAAAAGGAGAGGAAGTCCAGCATGCGCCAGAGTCGCAGGTCCCCGGTACAGAGAGAAGTTCAGCGGCGCCGCGAGGGTTCCCAGTTGCATTGCGGCGCCGAGAATCCGGACGGTCGCAAAAGCGATTAATGAGGGCCAACATGGTTGCTTGCGCCATCTGAGAAGGGGATCTGATTAGAACTGGTTTTCCAGTCGTTGAAGGTGCGCAGGGACTTACCCATGTCGCACTGTCAGCGCGACCGCCAGGGATAACGCGACCGTATAACAGACCACTTCAGCGGTCGCCATTGCGTTTTCGTAGGACAGCTTCATTGTACTGGCTGAATTTTCACCTTTTTTTTTTAATTCATTCTCTCCCATCCCGTCTGTGATGACTGTGGTGAGCGTCGCTCTGGATTTTAACCATGAATTTGTGTTGCCTGGAGGCAAGAGGCGCAGGCATCAACAATCTGGAGGTCCGCATTACGTATGCCTCCTGCGTGAGCCCAAACTAACAACAACAAACTGAAAATAGTAAACTAGAATGGAATATAATTAAAAGGGTAAGACGAATGCCGCATGAGGGAGGGCATAAAGAAAGTAACGCAGAAACTAAGGGCCATCAGCAAGAACAACACGAAGGCACCATCCATGAGTCCTACGATGGGCCCGAACATACATTAACATTTCAGTGCCTACTCTAATATCAGAGCGACACGATCTGCATTAGTTTTTCTATATCAACTTCATCATCTGAGAGCTCCATCGGATGCTTCCATTCCAGGTTTGACTCGTCCTCCTTCGTCCATCGTCCTCTGGCACCTTTCAAAAAGAGTTTCCGCCTCGCCATCAAGGAATCTATAACGGCATCAATCCGATCATCATAGGAGATCGATTGAGGAATCGGTGACGGCACGAAAGGAGTATCGAAAAGTTTAAGCCGTTGGAGTCGAGATTGATCCCACATGACGTATCCCCATCGTCGCACATCTCGTGCCTCAAGGTCGCAAATAAAAAAGGGCCACGGGGAGTGTAAGTGAACATAGCGCCAGGCCTCTAGTGGACCGGGGTCTGGCTCAGGCGCATCTGGGATTAAGTACGGCTGAATCTGTTCTTGACTATAGTCCTCGAGGGGAAGGGTCTCATCTATATCACTTGTCATCATAGAGGCAAGGTCACAAGGCAAGAAGGTGAGTATCGACGGCGCTACAGGAGTAAGAAGCCGATAACGCTCCTCATATGTCTCCGCTATCATTACTTTGTGTAGGAAAGCGAGCCCTTGCGAGAGCTAATAGCTTCGTGTTAGTGCGTTGATTGAATTATCCTGCAAGAAATAGACAATACTGACAATGTTTGCTATATGTGAGGCCCATTCGTAGTCCCAGGCTTCGAACAGCGGATAGGCGATACCCCGAAATCCCCATTATATGTCGTGTTCGGCAATGTCGTTAAATGCTATGCACCGGTCAGTGATACTCACTGGATAAGTGCTCAAGCGGTAATATGAAACTCACGAATTGCGATCACTCTAAATAAATATTCACCGACGGTGGCAATTTGTTCAAGTTCCCAGGCACCAAATTTTTGTAGTAGGCGTCCCAAATTTCCACATATTCGAAGTCTGCTTTCGTATATCTCCCTCTAAATAGATTTCGGTATATCTCAAAGCTATAAAAGCTGCGGGCGACCCGGCACCATTCGAGTCTCGAAGGGGGCTGATCAGCCACGCTTAAACCGAGGCATTCCGTGGATGCTGCAGAGACAAAGACCTTTGTCATGAATTTTATGTGATCATGGAGAGTTTGCAACTGGCTAGCGGTGTGAAACGTCCAACGGAAGGACGAAGGGATGCGTCGTGGTGCCCGACGATGCTCGTCGAGTATCGCAAAGACCTTGGCTCTTGTCCAGGGCTCCACGTTCAATCGCGACGAAATTGTCGCCAATACGGCGTCCGGCAAAAGCTCGGGAGATATGAGTTGTAGGACGACACGGCGTAGAATGGCGGTTTGGCTGGAAACATAGGCGGCGTAGAGGGAGGGATGGGTAAGAATAATAGCTCTAAGTGCATGAAGGTCGGGTAGATGGCAGAGGATTGCTTGTCTACACTCCAGAGGTAGAGTGCAAATTGATATTCTGGACGGCGGGTGATTCAGCGTAGCCATCCTAATGAATTGGAGATGTGATGAGAAAGTGGTTGAGATCAGAGGTAAGGGAGGGAACCCAAGATAAGCGCCGGGCCTACGGGGGGCTCGAGCCGCCATTCCCGGCCGTACGGCCCTCTGAGCGTGCCATTCGTTCTAAGAACACTAGACGTATCAATCTAGTCAGCTTCAAACTCCTGTATTATATAGAGCCATAGGTCCATACCATCGGTTCGGGGTGTTCTTGCGAGATCAAGGTGCCCTGCAAAGGTACGCTGGGACCCCAAAACAGATGGCCAATGCTAGCCCCGTTAACATTGCAGGCCATGCTGCGGTCGCAGTGGCGGCTGGTGTGTTACCGGTCCCCACGGGGGGCATGACCGCGATTGGGAAGGTAGGAGTTCGTACGTCGTAGCTCGGCTGCAGCTTGAGCGTAGACGTTTCTTTGTGGGAGGCGAATGGATGGTGTTCCGTAATGAGTTGCGAGTTTCTATGGACCGGGGGAGGTGAAAGGATGCTGATGGGAGTATGTTGGTGAGTGTCATAGTTCCTGTCCCAGCAGTGCCCATCCTGAGAGACGTTATTCTTGTCCCCTGCCTTAATATGGAAGGGGCGATACGGAGACACGGCGAAGCACCCCATTACCGCGCCATTATGTCCGTCTTGAACTAGAGCAATGCCGTTTTATGGCAAACCGCGCGGTATAAACAACCAAGACCGCGGTAGGAATTGTTTGTTTCTTACGGCGAATTGCCGTAGGCTCCCCGGTGAGAGTGCCTTGCTCGTTTTCGATTGATTTGAGAAATTCGGTGAGCTCGTATGGGTTCTGTTCAGCACGGCTTTTGCCCTTAGGGCCCTTCATTTCTCCCGTATTCGGTCTTGTGCCTATGTCTTCACGTGTCCGATATATCCCAGGAGATTCCGGTGCCGTAATGTCACTTTTGCATTTATGGCCATTGTCTCTCGAGGAAGTATGGCCGGTTGCCGAGCAGCGGGCTGTTCATCGGGGAGGATCTTGAGCGGCAGGGGATACTCGTCTAAATGGGTTAGTTTGGTCAACCTCAAACTTGTGGACAGGGGCCATACACTCGCATCGAGCAGTACGGCTCAAGTAGACAAAATCATTAACGGAGCTGGACTTGAAAGGTTCCAATGGCGCGGGGAGGCGTCTCTGGTGACTGGTAGCACTCTTCAGTCAACCGTAATGAAGCCAAAAGATTTATGGCGTCCTCGGAACTCACTCCCTGTCAATAACTAGTCGCAGCCAGTAGCAAAAGAGAAGTAGTAGACTAGTGAAAACAGTCATCCCGAGACCGATAAATACCGACTGAACAGTGGTGAATCCAGCGTAGCTGGGCTTCCCAGGGTCTCCGATCGATGTGGCCGTAAGAGTAGAGCTAGCGGTGCGGGCTGCCAATACCAGTCCGGTTGGGGCCATTTTGGCGGGCGAGAGGTATGGTGAATAGCGAACTGTATATCAGTAATATGACTAACAGTGATATGGATGGGCGGTGGTGATGATATTGTGGTATGGACCTTGCAACCGTGCCGCGCCTAGAAGAATACCTATGGCTCGTAGCCTATTGCTCGATAAAGAAAGAGCGGAGCGCTGCCTGTGGGTGCTTAACGATCTTTCTCAACGTCCAGTATTTCATGCTGCAGAAACGGAGGCGAGCTGCATAAATCATGGTCCTTTCGAAACAGGAGAAGATGTGTACATATTCACCTCTTTGAAGTCGTGTTCCTTGGGAACCAACATCTCCTTCTTGTCCGCAAATTCAATCGCATCAGCAGCGGGAACGGCATCATCAAGATGGTCAAATCTGTCCGGATATTGATGCCCGCAGTGACAAAGTAGGTAACAGATAGGTTGTTGCATCCCTCGGGGAACATTCGGTCCCACGCGCGCCAAGGTTGAGTATGGCATTCAAAGACCTGCATACCTAATCAGTCTCTTGTTGCCTCTTTGCGTACAGCCTGGGAAATCACGTTGACAAAGACCACGATTATAGTGTATATTAAGACGAATTTTGCCACGCCTACAACCACATGCCGGAAATTCGGTTTGACGAAGATGCGGTGATACTGGGCCAAGATACTGAAGTTGGCGAGGCCAATGGCCACCGGGTAGACGATCTGGAAGGCGTACCAGTGCTTCAAGGTGGGAACGAGGATCTCATGTAGAGGAAGGTCATTCACGTGTCGACTAAATTCACATTGTCAGTAGCGTCTGAGCAGGGAGTGACTTCACTTACCCCGTTCCGAAGCTGACGTTGAATACACTCATAATGCCCATCGCAACGGTGACAGCCAACGCCAAAGCGATAAGATGGTCATCCGCTCCGAGCTTCAGAACATGGAAGGCACGACAGTACCATCGTAGGGCTACGCTAATGCATGACAGCAGCAGGAGGACGCCGGTCACTATCAGGAACACTGGCTGCCGCGAGCCGTTGATTGGGGAGAAGTACGACATGACCGGGCTGTTGGTCGTGTATCGAACTGACAGGACAGGGTTTCTTTCAATCAAGATGACCTGAGCGCCATCCGGGGAAATCCAAAAAGTCTCTCCTTTAACCAGACGTGCTATTAACCAACTCAAGGCTGGCCGCCCCGAGTCAGCCATACATGCTACATGCCAATTCTACGTTGATAATTACAGAATCCACTTTTGTCCCAGGGAGATGAGGCATTTTCCATCCAATTTCTTTGTGCGGACGGGATCTCGTCTACGCACTATTTAGATGCTATCCATGGCGCTGGGACAGAGCACCACCCTGAATCCCAGTCCAGGAGGCCAAGACGAGCCAGTCCGATCCCTGCGGCCACCATACTCGATGTAGTTAGAGCCCGGGGAGATCTTCACGGCGGATAAGGCTTACTGAGTATATCTCGGAGGTGCCGGACAGGGCCGCAGCAGTCGGTCTGTCGGGGTTTTCCCCCTCTCCGAGCTCATAAATCGTCCGATTTCCCCTGTCCGGGGTCTGAAGTTCCCGTATGTTCCCTTACACACAATGCGTTTGGTCAAGCTCCTCTGGTTGGGCGCCCTGGGGTTGGCGGGTGAATGTGCCGCTGTCTGTACGGACCCTCCCCAACGCAAGGAATGGTATGCGCCACGGCTCTCATCTCCGGACCGTCGTCGGTGAGTCTCTTAACAAATCTGAAGGAGACAGTTGGATCGCTCCGAACGTCGCGAGTACCTGGACGCGGTGATCTGTTTGACCAAGCTGCCCGCCGTGCCGGGGATCAATGGCACCGTGAACCACTATGACGACTTCCAGGCCGTGCACTCGGCCCAAATCCCGGAGATTCACTGGGTGGTACGTACATGCTATAGTTTATTCTTGGCTTCTGCCGATCGTGCTGACTGAAAGGTCTAGGGCCACTTTATCCTCTGGCACCGATACTTTGTCGCCGCGTACGAGAAAGCCCTGCGAGAGGAATGCGGATACAAAGGCGCTCAGCCGTGGGTTTCCTCCAGTCCCTCGCCCTTTCTACCATGTACTGACGATGTAGATACTGGAACTGGTCCCTCGATGCCTCGCCGAGCCGCACATCTACCGCCATCTACGAGACCGAGATTTTCGACGAAGAATACGGCTTTGGCGGCAACGGTGACTACCTCTCTGCTCCGCCCTCGAAGAACCCCTTCAATGTAACCGGTCGCACGGGCGGAGGATGCGTACATGGCGGCGCTTTTGCCCCGGATAAATTCCTGCTCAACTACCCTCAACCGGGCTGTTTGCATCGCGACTTCATTCCCTGGGTCATGAACTCCTTCTCTCGACAGAGCTTGGTCGACATTGTGACGAGTCAGCCGGACTATACGAGCTTTGCGCGCGCAATCGAGAACATCCCTTCGTTCGAGGAGCCGAATATCCATGGCGGCGCGCATTTTGGTGTCGGTGGCATCTTGGGGACGTTGGGCGATCCAGCGGAAAGTCCTGGTGGTCAGCTCTACCTTTGCAGTGATATTCTTTGGAAATTCCCCGATACTAACGAGTCCAACAGATCCTCTGTTCTTCCTCCATCATGGAAACCTTGACCGTGTCTTGTGGGAGTGGCAGCGTAAGGAACTTCCGGCGCGCTATCACGATGTCGGCGGTCCGATCATTCCGATGGACTATGGTGGTGTCAACGTGACACTGGAATTTGAGGTTAACATTGGCAAGTTGGCACCCAATGCCACTCTGGAGCAGTTGCTGGGGATACAGGGCGATGTATTGTGTTATGATTATTAGACTATCTCCAAAGAGTCGACCCGACATAGATTTTAGCAGGCTGACATTGGGTTCGGGCGCTGCAAACAGAGCTGTGATCTCGCAGGCGAGCCCAACACTCGATATTACATGTGGTGTCAGGCCCAAAGACATTGATTGAATTCGAGTGTAGTATACATATCAGTACATTATCCCTTATTCAACCCCTTCCTTTCGATTCGTATCTCATTCAAACGAGCCTTACTACGACTCAGGCACGCCATCTCCCACTTGTCCGCCGGTCGGATACTTTCCGAAGCAGGCGAACTGGTACTGAGCATTCTTCTTCAACTGATCGACACTGCCCAAGAACCCATCCAGAGGGCAGAACCCATTCTTGGCGTCCTTGCAGCCAACAAGGCCGTCCGTCGGCAACGGAGCATCATTCAGCACAAATCGAATATGCTGCTTCGTATTCTTCTTCTCCAGTCTCGGGTTGACGTAGAGGATAGGATCAAGCGACTGGAAGGAAGTGTTGCTGGGGCAGGTCCAGATCTCAGACATGAAGCGCGCTCCGAACGGCGTCAGGTCACTCAGCGTGAAGGTCCGTTTCGCGGGCGCGTGGTCCACGTCATTTGGCAGCCCCTTGGGACCTTGGTTGAAATGTTCCAGCCCGAGAGCCGTGATGACGGAAAGAAGGATGTCGTCGTGGGACATGTCCATATAGAATGGCTGGTTGAATGGGAACTTCTTTTCATTGTTGTCGTAGGTGTAGTTGATGCTGGTGTCACTGGAGTGGATCAGCTTACCCTCCAGTCGAGCCGCCAGCTCAAGGACATAGCCGATCCCCTGGGCGCGACCGGTGGGAGAGCCAAAGGCAAAGTTTCCGTAGTACTGGATGTCCACGTTGTAGGCAAAGTCCTTCCATTCCTGTTCGGTGAACAGGGAGCAGAACGAAGAGCCGCCCAGGCTGGTATGTTCGTAGACGCACAGGTTTTGCATCGCCAGCACGTCAACAGAGGTTAGGTTGAAGTCGGAGGAGAAATAGCTCGACAGCCGACTAATAGCGTTTTTAGTGTATTTTTGGATGAACACCTCAGCAGACCGGTCCCTGACACGGTTAGTAGGGTCCCCTCAGAACAGAAGTGGAAGACACTCACCCAGCGGTCTGGTCACCTGGGCAGGAGTCGTAGGATGCCAGAGTATTGTTGAAGAAGCCGTTGCCCTCGGGGATTACGACCAGATCATACTGATCCTCCGAGTTATGCGCGCTGCTGTTGCCGAAGAATCCGCCTAAAGAGAGTGATTAGCATCACGATCTTGGGTTTTTCCTCAGTGAACCTACTGAGCCACCACTTTGCACTCTCGAAAATGCGTCCCTGCGACGTGGTCCGAAAGACTGGCTTGGGTCGAGCGGTTCCGTTCTTGTAGACGTTCAGCGACTCATTCCACGCGGCCACCGTATCCCGATCGGCGCGATACAGCAGCCGACCGTACTTGACCCAGAAGTTGGCCCCCGAAGTATCCTCGGTAGCGGCACCGTTCTCCATGAGGGTGTCTTCGCCCACGACGTATTCCCAGTTGTTCAGGAATTTGAGTGGTCCGCTGGCCACGTCCTTAGAGTGTTCCTTGGTGTAGTTGGCCAATTTCGACGCGAAGTCACTCATGCCCTTGCCATCAAGCGGGTTGCTGGTCGGGAACCGCTCTGCATGGCGGTGCAAGACATGGACTTGGGATAGTTCGCACCCTTGGGGTACCCCCTTTGGCACACCGAAGCTCTCCGCGTTTTTGTACGGGGATAGGTTGGCCCAGCTCTTGGTCATGTCAAATCCGGAAGCAAAGCTCGTGCCCGTCGGAGCTGCTACTGCGGACGTAGACGAGCCTTGAGGGGCCGCGATGCCCACCCCAGCCAGAGCCAGACACACAACGAAGTTCTTCATGATGGAGGTGTGTGCTTGGAAGGAAAGTTTGGGAGGACCGCGGCAAGACGTCGTTTATATGTCAGTGTTTGACAAGGTTTAGCGACATGACGTTGAACGGGGACGCGCGCCGATCACGACCGGATTCAAATATCCCGCATTTCCATTAATCACCCCGTGACTAATGAATTCAGGATAGGGCCGACTGCGTGGACAATGACTACGGAGTAGTACTTTCTTCAGTCCGGTGAGAGTCGGTTGATTGTGAGTCCAATAGGTACGTCGGATGATAGCCGTTTCGCTGGGAAATTGCTAACATCGTCGCGGTTCATGCTGAGCTACATACTGCGCAGCAAAGGGATGTTAACAGCCTGCCACCTTTGCTTCAACGGATCGCCGGCAATTGATCAGCTCAATTGTTGGCACTAAGCCCTAGAGGCTGCAATTCCCCGAGGACAACCGCCGACTCCACGGGGAATACCAGGCAACGATGTCACTCGGGTCAGAAATGCTATGTATTGGAGACGAAAAGGACAAGACTGTTCTGTCTTTTCCACGATAACCCGCATGTGAAGGGCACAGAGTTTGCCTAACAGATTAGCGAGGAATTAGCGTGTGGGATATCGAGGGTATTGGACCAACGAGAGAAGATCGGAACAACGCTAAAGAAAAGCACGCAGTTACATTGAGACTGGGGCGACACTAACGCATCCTTCGGTAGAAAAGCAAACAAACAAGTGCTGCATCCTGTGTCGACGTTGGTTGCGGCCGGCTTTGAAAGTCGTCCGCTGCGATCGTGACCAGAAGTTTTCCGGGCAGGGAACAAAAGTATTGACGGCCCAAAACATCAGAATATTTACATAACGCGATGCGACAATCCAACTCTCGACCTGTTTTCAGGATTCCCCCAAAATCGGACTGCTCACTGGTAGCTCGAGGGGACCAGAGAGTTTGCCCACACTTCCAAATTGGTATACCCACTGCTGTGCAACTCCATCGAATCCGCCGTGTTAGGATCCGTGCCCAGCTCTTCCTCGGCCTCGTCGGGAATACCATCGCCATCGGTGTCCTTCGGCGACGAGCCTCCGTCGAGCTCGCCGGCGCCACCCATGGTCGCTTCGTCCGAGATCAACTCACCCTTGGTGCCGTAGGATTTGACCTGTGCGATCAATTGCGTATCGACATCATCGCGGACCTTGGAGGCACCGCCGGCTACTCTTCGTTAGTTGCGTTCGTTGCTGAGAGCAGAGTGGAGACACGTTACATTCAAGGATATAAGCAACGGCCTCCTCGGGGGTAAGTTGCTTGGCCACAGCTGGGTAGTCGTACTTGGTCGACACAATATCCATTCCTCCGTAACTAGACGCGGACTCGCCCAACTTATTCCCGTTCAAGGTGCCATCCTGATCGGGGTCGTAGAAGTTATTCTCGACGTAGCCGTGGAAGTTCTCGTTGCCGCGCGTGAAAGCCGTCACGCTGGTCGAAGGACCACTGATGAAGTAATTGCCGATGATGTTCGCACCTACGGAGTCAAGCCCATGGAAGTTAGTCATATACATCCATAGCTCTCGGGGTAACAAGGATAACATACGAGATTCGCTGCTAGATCCGCCGGCAATGTAGCCTCCACCGCCACCCCAGTTGTAGACGACGTTGTTGGTGAACTCGTTGACCCCCTTCACCTTGGGATTGCGCGTCTTGTTGTCAATATACAGGTTGCGGAAGATGGAGAGTCCTCCATCAGTCTCCATCAGTCCACCGCAGGAATGGGTCTGCAGCCCCTGCGCGATAATGCTGTTCTGCACGGTGACGTTCTGGGCGGTGCCGCTGATCGAGAAGGTCTCGTCGCGACCCCAGGAGACCGACAAATGGTCGAAGATCATGCGCTTGCCCTCGGCGATGGTGATGGCGTCCTTTCCAGAATCCCCGCCTTTGCCCATGCGACTGCCTTCCCGTTAGCTCCAGAGACAACTCGACGCGACCGAGCCAAACTTACACACGGATATATCGCACGATGGCGTCGTCTGCGTTGGAGAACGACCAGCCATTCCCATATACCGTAATGCCGTCACCCGGGGCCGTCTGGCCCAAGATGCTCACTCGCTTGGACACCACGATGCGGTCGTCGATTTCAATGACGCCGCCGACCGAGAATACGACGATGCGGTCCGTCTTCGAGACGGCATCACGCAGCGACCCTTCGCCAGAGTCGTTGAGATTGGACACCACGTAGACTTCGCCCTTTCGGCCGCCGACCGCGTTGGCGCCAAAGCCCTCTGCGCCGGGGAAGGCGACCAGGCCGCACACGGGTTGCAGCAGAGCAAGCAGGCCGAGGAGCAGCATTGTTGTGTTTCGCAAGCTGACGGACAAACGTCTACCACGATGCAATCACCCGTCGCACGTACTTCAAGGGGACTTTATACGGAGCGCCATGTTCGCGGGCCAAGACGGACGGTGATTGCTGCAGAAATGCTGGTTCCGAGTAGATTAAAAGCCACTGTCGATCACGTCGCAGGCGCATCTCCACCTATCAGACAAGTTCTGCAACTGGCGGACACCTGCGTTTCGCGACGCCGGAGGATTGCCTAACTCAGCCGGCATGCATCCAACGCTCGTCGCAGCTGTCTGACTTGATCCTCTCGTACCTCGTCCTCGGATGGCAGCAGGGCGGCGGAATGAAACGCCGGCGCTTGCGTCCTCTCGCACAGCCAAGTGACATTGGACGGTCGCACTCCCCCTCCCACGATTATGTCCAGCCCATGCCTCCTTGCCCATGGGACTAATCGCTCCCCGAGGGGTGTCACGCAGTCCGTAGCATTTCGTCCGGAGGGTCCCCCGCTTGTCAGGACGGAGGTGAACCCACACTTGGCAATATCCGTCAAGGCCCCTTCCCAGTCGGACTCGGGGATCAAGTCAAAGGCGCGATGGAAAGTGCACGGTCGGCCCTCTGCTCGCGCCACGAGCGCCTGGTTTCGCTCGACATCGATGGCGACCGAGTCTGAATCCAATAATATGCCGAAGACAAAACCGTCAACACCTGCCCGTTTCAAATCCTCCATGCTGGATTCCATCGCGGCGTAGTCGGTCGCATCGTAGCCGAAGGAACGTGCGTGCGGTCGGATCATGGCGTAGACGGGGATCGAGAGCTGGGATTTCACGGTCGCAACGGCGTCCAAGGAAGGGGTGAGGCCGCCCAAGGCGTAATCATGGCAAAGTCTGCGAGGAAGCAACCGAAATGAGACTCTGGGTCCATAGTCGCGGATTCTTTCGACTGGAGGTTGAACTCACTCGATACGGTCGGCCCCTCCATGGGCTGCCGTGATAGCTGATTGGGGAGTAAAGCAGGCAATTTCGAGGATGGTCATGCTGTCGTTGAATCCGATCGAGTTTTGCCCGGGAAATTAATCTGCCGATGGTTCAGGGGTCGACCTGGTGGCAGGGGAAGGCGTGCTGGTGCAAAGAGTGCAGGAAGAGAAATATATATTGGGGGAGTTGCCGTCCGAACTTCATCTTCAACTATGAACGGGCGGCCGGTCGGGAGTCTCCAAGTCACCACCGCAGAACCCCCCACACCTCCTTTCGCTACACTTTATTCTGGAGAAACAGAAAAACAATATACCAAGACTACAGGAGTAGATTGGTTTACTGGATCTGACATCAACGCGAAGTGCCCTTGAGATGCTCCGACAAACCGCGTCACGACATGTCAACAATCAACATGCACTTTCAACATACGAAGTTGGGACGAAGGCAACGCCAAATGAAAGGGGATTCAAGAGTAATTGATATATCTTACTATCCATTCTTCGCTGGTAACTTTGTTTCTGTTGCAAATTATGATGGCAGCATAAGGGATTGCTGAAATCAAAACAAAATGACCGCGCAGGATGCTCCTGGTTACGCCGCCCAAAGTACCACCACAACGCCTCGCATGCAGAACTAGACGAAAGAAAAAACATCAAGAAGGACTACCCGGGAGTCTGCAACAGCCACGCCGTGCGCAGTCGGGCTTCGACGCTCTCGGTCGGAAACGCATGCTCGCGACGCATCACCCCCAACACGTCCAGGAGGGCCGTCTGTTCGCGCGCGTCGTCAAAGTACTCGCCGCAAGTGATGATGCCCATGAGGGCCTCGAAGAAGGTTGACGGCGAGTGACGGTTACTCAACGCCACGCCGCATAGCCGACGCACGATGACTCGGACCGACTGCATCGTCTCTCGCCGTCGCGCCGCCGATCCGGGGCCCAGCGGCGGTCGCGTCGGATCGCAAACCAACAGCAGCAAGCGAGCGAGGTCGCCATGGTTGGTGCCCGTGACGTGACAGCGGTCCAGATGCCAGATTTCCGGGAAGATCTGGTCGGCGCGAGGGTCGGCATCGCGGCAGTAGAGCGCGTCGAAGGAAGGCGGCCGCGACGCATGCAGCTCCTCCTGGTACGTCACCAGCGCCTGCCAGCGTTGAGCGGAGGCATCGCGACGGCCGTAACAGCACTCCAGCACGTCGGCACAGAAGATGACCATGCGATTGGCCCAGACGGCGTCGGGGGCGGGCGAAAGCGACCGGACGTCCTGGCAGTGCGCCAAGGGGAAGTCGACGGCGCGCTGTTTCATGAAAGAACTCAACACTTCTTGGCGCAGGGCCACCCAGAAGGCCGCCTGACGTAGACCGTCGGCCGGTGAGGACCAGCGCGACTCGACGCAGTGCACCTGCGCCGAGATAAAGACGTTGAGCATGCGCAGGAACACCTCCTGGTCCTCAGCCTCCTCCCGCAAGGGCGCGTCCATCTCCTCGTCGGTGCGCAGGATGATGGCGGCGGCCAGCAGATTCTCATTGTGGACCTGCTCCGGGTCCATGCTGAGGGCCAGCAGGTCGCGTATGCAGGTCGTGTGGTAATCCAGGGCCGACTCCTCCGTCAGCTCCGGCAACCGATGCCCCTGCCACTCGACCTCGCCGGAGCTATTCCGATGCCTCGGCAATCGAACCAGATGCCGCGCCGATGTTGTCAGGATGGCCATGCGCAACGGCGTCGACGAGCGGGCACGATGCGGCACGACCCGAGCAAAGTGGCTCTGGGGGTCACAGAGGTCGAATCGGGCTGCGAGCTCGTCGACATAATACCGCAGTAGAATGGCCGCCTGCCGTTCGGGATCCGAGACCAGATGACGGATGTGCGGGCGCAACGGAGAAGCAGCAGCAGCAGCAGCAACAGGTAACGATGGCGATGAAGCCGCAGGACGGGATGGCTCTATCGGCGCTGCATCATCACCCGAGTCGATCGTCGCCTCGTCCTCCCACCAGCTGTTGGCGATGACGTCGGCCGTCTCGTCGACAAAGCGCCAACGTCGCGGACGAGAGATTATCCATACTTGATCCGGCTCGAACCGACTGGAAACCGGGCGAAACTGAACGCGGGGAGAGCGTAAACAGGGTAATCGGAGCGACTGGCAACGCTCGCACGGCACGGAGGCATTGCATTTCAAATGCCGGGCTGTGCACAAGGTTAACGAGGATCGGAGGGGGGAAATCGACACGATGCAAACGACTTATCTGCAGGATAAACATGGGGCAAGCCGGGGCATGACCACGGACAGTCGCCGAAAATTGCGCCTTTGGGAAAACCGGCAGGCAAGATCGGCGGGGAGAAGGAAATGGCGTCGTTTGCCCGGAATTCAATGCGGACTAAATCGCTTTATACCTCGCGATGGAGTCTTTCCCCGCGTCTCCACTTCGTCTGGGCGCCAATCACGCTGGCCTCTAACCTAAGCATCGTGAATGGAATGACGATATCAGTCAGATTCAGACGAGGGGGTGTTGGAGGGGCGTTGGAGGGCATCATGGAATTGCAGAGATAAATACCCTGGCGATTGTGCAGGGTCGTCAGCTGTCCTCGAATGGTTGATATCCATCACACTCACCATCATGGCTAAACCAGACGCTTCCGCCGATCACATCGAACAGGTCCCAGACCAACCCGCCAAACACCTCGCCAGTGACCAGGACGAGGTCAATGCCTTGCCGATCAGTCTGTTCGTCTATGTCGTGGCAGCCACGGCCTCGATTGCGGGTTTGCTGTTCGGATACGACACCGGGATCATCTCGGCGGTGCTGGTCTACATCAACGATGATCTGAACAACCGCACCCTGACGCACAGCGAGAAGGAGATGATTACCTCGCTTTGCTCCGGCGGTGCCTTCTTTGGCGCCATTGCTGCGGGTTTATTAGCAGACAAGGTATGTGCAATCGCATGGCCGATGCCTCCAACCGAGTCCCCGCTGACCCCTGGTGCAGTTTGGCCGTAAAACGTGTATCTATGTCGGATGCTCGCTATTCACCGTCGGGGCCGTGCTGCAAGGCGCCGCATATACTATCGCTCAGATGACCGTCGGCCGGTTCGTTGTCGGCTTGGGAGTGGGATCGGCTGCCATGGTGGTGCCCCTGTATGTGGCCGAACTGGCACCGGCCAAAGCACGCGGTCGGCTGATCGGGCTGAACAACATCTCCATTACGCTGGGCCAGGTCATCTCGTATGCCCTGGGAGCAGCCTTTGCCTCCGTCCCCAACGGCTGGCGCTATATGGTCGGACTCGGCGGTGTGCCGTCCGTGATGCTGGCCTGTATGCTGCCGTGGTGCCCGGAATCGCCACGTCATCTCATCTACCAAGGGCGGCACGAAGAGGCACGGCTGGTTCTCTACCGCATCTACAGCCAGGCCTCCGAAGCCCAAATCGATTTTCTGGCCGACTCCATCGCATCGGCTTGTGACGATGCGCGCCGCAATAACGAGAATGAGAGCCGCTGGAACAAGATTAAGCAGCTGCACACCGTGCCAGCCAATATGCGCGCGTTGTTCAGCGCCTGCGGTCTCATGGTGATCTCCCAGATGTCAGGATTCAACACCCTCATGTACTACTCCTCGACTTTGTTTGCCATGGTCGGGTTCACGAACCCCACGGCGGTGGGACTGGTCGTGGCCGCTCCCAACCTGGTCATGACATTCGTCAACATGGTTCTAGTCGATCGACTGGGTCGACGTCGCCTTCTGCTGTGCACAGTCTGGGGCATGTCTGCCGGCTTGATCGCCGTGGCCGTGGCCTTTCGATTCCTGCCCGTCGACACGGAAACGCTCGAGGTACCCGAGAGCTCGTCTGCATCGGGTCCGGCCATCGTCGTTTTGGTTTTTGTACTATGGTTTGTCATTTTCTACGGCGTGTCGGTCGGAAATACCGCCTGGATGAGTGCCGATTTCTTCCCTCTGGAGGTCCGTGCCATGGGGACGATGTGGCTGACCTGCTCGAACTGGGCAAGCAATGTGATTGTTTCCAGTACGTTTCTCTCCATGATGCATGGCATGACGCCCTCCGGAACCTTTGGCTTCTATGCTGGCATCTGCGGCCTGGGCTATTTGTGGATCTATTTCTTCTACCCCGAGGTGTCCGGACTGCCGCTGGAGGAGATCCGCCAGGTATTTGAGAACGGTTACGGCTCTAAGATGAACCGGAAGAGAGGAGGAGGCCAGAACTGATCTGGACGGGCGGGTGCACTTGGTGTGTATATTAGTCCGATAGATTCTTTCTTTGATGACTGCATGGAGCGAATGTGTAACATCGTGGGCGTTCGGACTGCATCGGATTTGCGTGATATTATCAGTGTATAGGATTGCAGTTAGATGTCAGTACAGATAGTGAACTTGGTTGATTTTCTTGACATTCTCGCGCACACTGGAATATGAATGAGTATATCGAGAATGGAAGTGGTGGGCTCGTGGTCCCTCCGCCCTTTTCTCTTCTCTTCTTCTCTTCTTCCCGTCACTCTCACCTCCGAAGTCGTCTTCTCGACAAAGTTCCCTGTGTCTCTCCACCCTGGTGTCAAAGCTCACAATTGTTGCCACTCGCCCAGAGTCGCTAGACCATGAATCACGGCCCCCCTAAGAGGACGTAAATCGACATTACAAGTGACCACAAGATGCAGTTCAACTTCTGCCTCAACGAGGAGTGACAAGAGTGCATGATCGAATGATGTGCGTTTCCCTTCCCTTTGGCTAGAAATTGTACTGGCCATGATAACCCAGGACCAATAATGGTGGAATGATCAACGGGTTTCAGACACCTCATTACTGTCTCATTCTCCAGTGCTCTCTATATCGGATGGATGATCTGGTCTTCACTGCAACCTACCTACTGCGCCCCGTTTGTCGCGTGGCAATCGGCAACCTCCCAAGGCTCCACCGGCAGAGCCTTTCTTCGGGCGCTCCATATTTGTTTAGGACCAATGGGTATAGTGATCAGACGTGAGTTATTCCAGTCTAAATAAGCATGAAATAGATACAAGCGTAGGTTTGCGATCGTCGTGGCTGCTGTTCTCGTGTTCAGGTTCACGGCGGTCCTAGTGGATACATTCGAAAAGAACATTCTTCGCGAGACTCGGGCAAGACACGCAGAGACGAGCCTGGACAAAAAAGACCTACCCCGAAACATCGCATTCCGACATCGGTGAATTATTTCTCGTCTATGCAGACTCTCTCGCCATTGACTGGTGAAGAAAACATTGGTTTTGTTCCGGATCGGTTCTGAGAACACCTAGTCTCTAGGTCACAGAGTAAGCGGCACATTAACCCCAAGCCTGCATGATCTTAACCGAGTTAACTTGTTTTGATCCTTTAGACTAAGCCATCGCTTAAGCATGCTGGTTGCAGTAGTGCCAGAACGGCATCAACTAAATCGAATGGATCAGTACGGAGTAAGTCGATCTGTGACCGGTGGACACACGCGGCGGGTATCTGATATGCCAATAGATCAGCAGTTACCCAATCTCATATACAGCATTGAACATCAAAGTTCCTCTCGTTCCCTTCATCTTCCCCTGTCCTAGAAGTGTGAGAAGTCGGAGAACAGAAGCATTCAGCGGAATCGATCCCACATCCCTCCCACGGCCTACGAGTGGAGACCGCATCATCTCGCCGATTGCATCATCAGCGCTATGTTGTCGCGACTGGCACCACGGCAGCTCGCCGACAAGCTCGCCATTCAACGACAACTAATTGAATCGCTTGTCGAAATGCAAAACTCATATCTGCTAGCCTTCATTGGAGCGTCCAATGTCTTGATGTGTGGGGATTGCGTGCGTTTTCGACACGCGGTAAATTTATTTTCATCGAGCCTGCCTGTCCAGCAGGCGTATTAAAGGGAAGCAAGATGTCCATTGAATAAGTATTCCCTCCCTCAAAGTCTTCACGTGCACCAGCAAGGACAACAATATGACCGTGAGCAAACCGGGAGTGTCGTCTGGCATCTCGGAGAAAGACGCTGCCATTGCCGACGTCAATGATTCGGTCTCTGGTGATCATGACTTGGACGTTGTGAAGGACTGGTCTGATTCAGAAGAAGCTTCAGTGCGAAGACGGTATGGATCGACATAGCTATTTTTGCATCACTGGTAGCTGATAACTCTCGCAGAACCGACCTCATTCTCATCCCCATCCTGGGTTTGGCGTTCTTTGCCCTGCAGATCGATCGCGGAAATATCGCGAGCGCATTGACATCGACCATCACCGAAGACTTGAACATAACGACCAACCAGATCAATGTCGGCACGCAATTGCTATCGGCAGGAATCGTAGTGTCGGAGATCCCTTCCAACGTCTTACTGCAGATTGTCGGCCCGCAACGCTGGCTGTCGGCCCAACTGTTTGCCTGGGGCTTCGTAGCCACCTTTCAGGCGTTCATCACGACCTACCCTGCCTACCTGGTTACACGTCTACTTCTGGGTCTGCTAGAAGGTGGCTTTATTCCTGGTAATAATTTCCAAATTCTCTTTCCGAATCTCCAGACTGACCTGACAGGCGCCCTTTATTATCTGTCCCAATGGTACAAGAAGGGAGAGACGAGTCTTCGGACGAGTCTGTTCTTCTTCGGCCAGATGTTTGCTTCCGCAACGTCAAACTTGATATCCGCAGGATTGTTGCAGTTATCTGGAAGGAGCGGCCTTGCCGGATGGCAATGGATCTTCCTTGGTATGGTCTCGTTGGCATTCGAAGCTCAAGCATATTCCATACTGACTGACTCTTACAGTGGAAGGCCTTATCACGATCTTTGCCGGCATCGTGTTTGTTCTCCTGGTCCCACGCCACGCCGGAGACGGCAAGCCTCTGTTGAGTCGCATCAGTGGAGGACGCTGGAGCTACTTCAGTGAGCGTGAGTCCCGGATAATTCGCCAGCGTGTGCTCCTCGACGACCCCTTGAAAAGCCAGGGACATGTAAAAATCACTGGCCGAAACATTTGGGACACCATCCGCCAGCCACGTATCATCCAGCATTTCTTTATCACCTTGCTTTCCATTTGCACTCTACAAGGTCTGGGCACTTACGTCCCATCGATGATCAAGGGTTTTGGATTTAGCGCAGTCCAGGCAAATGCACTGGCATCGGTTTCGGTGTATTGTGGCATGATTTTGCTACTGGCTCTGTCCTTCGCTGCGTAAGTCATGATTTCATGCATGGCCCTCCGCACCAACAGGCCTTCCACTGACAAATTCCAATAGTGATAAAACTGGTCATAGAGGGCCCTTCGTTCTCTTTGCTATAACATGGAATGTGATTGCCTTTCCTTGTTTGAGGACACTCCCCCAAAGCTCTGGCAAGTGGCACAAGTATGGTGCCCTTGCGGTCAGTTACGTGTCATACGCTAGTACACAGTGAGTATCCACCCTCTTCCTAAAGAGCTGATCAGGGCTGACACCGACACAGCGTGTTGAATATTGGATGGCTTTCTGTGAACTGCAAGTCCCCCCAGGAGAGAAGCGTGGCAATGGCGTAAGTGTTCTTCAGCGCTCACAGCTAACATCGCTAATTTGCATCCAGGCTTATAATTATGGCTGCAAATGCGGCCGGCATTGCTGGCTCACAAATATTTCGCACGGAAGATAAGCCCCTCTATCATCGGGGCCTTACGGCAATTTGTGCAATTGCCGCTGCCTGCTGGTGCTTAACGGTCGTTCTCAACGTCCAGTATTTCATGTTGCAGAACCGGAGGCGAGCTGCATAAATTATGGTCCTTTCAAAAGATGTGTACATATCTACAAGCACCTCAAGTCCACTAACGTATAGACACGAGTATTCATATTACACTTGACTTTTGATACACCACTGCTCAAGCTAATGTCCGCCTGTTCGTTCAATTAACACCTCGCAGAGATGGAACTGCTTCGACTTCGCCTGTCCGGGCAAGAGACTTGCCATTCTTGTCAAAGCCTCTGCGAAGAACTGGAAAGAGGAATTGGTGGGTTTGGGCGTCTGCCAGACCAAAGAACTCTCAAACGACCTCCTATCCACCTCCCCAATTTCAGACTTGTTACCACCACTGACACGGTAGAATTTCCACCTGCTTGTCCTGGTATCTCCATTCCACGACACGTATAATGTGATCGACGTGGTAGACTTGACCGCGATAATAGCCGGATCTTCCCTAGGGGTGCCTGTCCAGCTGCTTGCAAAGGCTCGATAGCTCACACCGTTCTGGATGAAAGCATGGTACAAAACCTCATTGGCGGGGCCGAACTCCGTATATGCCCCTTCGGAGCCCCAGCCGACAAAAAGATGGTCGTTTGGCAGCAACTGCGTATTTCCGGCGGAGCCAACAGACAAGCCATACGGCGCTTGCGCCTTGCGCTGACTAGTAGCTGTGTTATTCGTGTGGTCCAACTGCACAATCACGGCACTTGAGACCTTGTTGTAATGAACTGCTCCACCGGCCGAGTTGTCGAAAAATGAGAATCGCTCGATTGCGTTTCCACCCTCGTGAGGCAACCAACGGGCATCATGCTGGAAGCCGAATGTCCAGTTACCGACTTGGTTAAACGTGGAGTTATTACCGCCCAGCCTCCAGATAATCGAGCCGTCGGTGCCGTTGATCTTGTAGATCGTACTGGTATGGTGGCCTGACACCAGATAGTTCCCGTCGGCATCTTTGTCCACACTGTTGAGATGGACGTAGTCCCAGGACGTGGCAGGTGCCAGGCCGGCGCTAGGTCCGGATGATTCCAGAGTGACGAGGCTGTCTGTCAAAGGGGTCAATCGGCATCCTAACATCCCATCGGATGGGAATGGATCAAGAGGAAGAAGTGACACTCACCAGCCGGATCAATATGATCGAGGGCACTCCATTCAAAAATTACATCACCAGTCTCAATGTCAAAGTCTGGAAAGTCACCAATCAGAATGATGTTGTAAAGTATTCTCTGGCAAAGACGCACCTTGGACAATTCCATCTCCAATCCACTGCTGAGACGAATTGCCACCATACGGAGTCAGATTAGCGGGTGTCGGCTGAAAAATCTCCACCAACGCAGTTCGCCCATCGATCACATTGAACTCATGTAGGCATGCGATTCGATGATTCCCCGGAATGGCAGTCACGACGTGCTCGTAGCTCTGGTCCAACAGAACATGCTGTCCGTATCCGGTTCCGGGGACCGTGTTCATGGCGCCCTGGAAAGCTTGCAGGACTGGTTTTCCATGGTACTCGGTGGGTTGAAAATTGCCTACAGTCGCGGTGTAGTAGCCGGTGCCAGCCCAAACAAGGTCGCCATCTTTGCGATAGATGTACGCACCGGGTCTCTCGAGGGAGGGTTGGAAGGGTGTAATGAACACATACTCTGTCCCATTTGCATCTGGTGCCTTAACGGTGATGTTTCACCTCGGGGGAGCCAGGTCCGGACGTGATTGAAACTGTGTATCGGCGGCAGAGATGGGCAGAGATGCCGTAGTGACGAGAAACACCAGGAGTAATTGATTAAGGACAATCATCTTGCAGGAGGGATGACTGTAGGGTTCTGGGGACCTCAGATACGAGCACACCCGCTCCAAAGGGGTCTATATATGAGCCATGATGCATGCCATAGGACAATGGCGAGGAAGAATCACGCGATCTTTCTACAGCACCTCGCTTATATCGATGGCGACAATCCAATGCCTCTTCTGAGCTGGATAGCTAATGTCCTGCATGCTGCCTTCTAGCCACGATGGTATTTACCGATGATGGAATGGTAAAGTCAGTCTGCTATTTTTGCCGTGGTAGAGCAATTGTGGCACGAACTCCAATTGGATGTGATATGGCAATGGCCTGCCTCAAAGGAAAGTGTGAAGATCATCAGATATACACAGAAACTGTTCTCCCGTAGATTTGTTCGGGCTAGTTCTATGCTGACCATGGGTCAAGCCTCGTGTCGATCGCGTTGGCCACCTGCACCTCGTATTGATTGTGTTCAACCGCCACTGCATCATTGATTCGATCATATCAATCGATCCAGGGCTTTATATACGAGATGACATCCGTCTAAGCCGTTCTAGGCCGAGTGCAGACCTGCATAATATCCAAGATCATGATTTTTATGCATGCAAAATGTCCATATAGTACTCCGTAGTACCATATCGGAGGCCTGAGGTATCAAGGTATGCACAACTTATCCCACGGCTAATGCATTGCTGACATAACAATTTCATATCTCTGCCGGAGCGAGTTTGGCCGATCTCCGAGGCGGTTGTTGTTTTCTCCCTCGACAGAGAAGAAGCCGCCGTTTGTCACGCCTCGACAAACCTCCAGTCGCTCATGAGCTAGAATTTCATCTCCACGCTGTTGTATCATGTCGACTCGGCCGATCTTCCTCCTCTCATCGCGAAATGCTCCCTCGCAACGTGCCCATTTTGGCATATTTGTTCCGCTCGCAGTGGACCCTCATAGAGGCACGCTGATCAACGTGGTTGGGGCCCCGATGATGGGATACGGATTGATTTTCCAGAGAAACTATATGCCGGCGACCACTGGTCATGATGAGTTGGTTCCAATTGGAAGCGTTGCATGCGATCACATCGTGGACACGTCTGCCTCGGGAACGGCATCCGAAGACTCCACGCCCCGAGGAACACTGGAGATCTTGGCTGCTCAAGTGCCGCCTCCCCGAATCAGTGAGAATTTTATGGCTCCCGTAAACGATGTAAGCTTCTCGTAGCTATCGTGAGGGCGATCCAACTAAGCTCTTCATCGCAGACCACCAATAAACGATGCCAAGAATGGACAATGGAATATCTCCGTCATCTGGTCAAGAAAGGCATCATCGGCGCTGGTGCAATTGAGGTCGTACAGTCGAAGCGAGACTCGCCAACCCATGGGATCGGATTGCAATCGGTGTTGAATCGGGTGGAGTTGTAGACTTGCAGGTCTTGGGGTGGGACAGCCATGCTGGGGGTACTGCATTCAAATAGACGCCTGATAAGCCTTCATCAGAGCATCCGGAGCACCGAGCAACACGAGCAGGCCAGGCCCACCCACCGCCGTCTAGAACGTGAGATGAAGGTGGGAGTTGATAAGAATGCATCAATGATATTGGTCTGCCAAGGGAGAAAACCGGGGCCAGAATCCGCTCCCCGGCTTCGGCTCGCTCGCCGATTGCTCGCCCGCACTTAATCACGTCGTGAATAATCTGATGGATCATCCTGGCTGCTATCGTTGCCCCTCATGTCTAGCTGTTCGATCGCCATGACTCATTCCGACCATTATATTGCTCGCTGGCCCGCTCGAAGGGCGTTCTTGTCTCTACCCTCTGGCTTTTGTCTTTAGACTGCACCTACAATGGCTTCGGACTCAATCCCGATGGAGCCGATGGATCGGTCGTACAACAAGAATTCCTGTGTGCGAGATGAAGAAGTCCCCCCAGAGTCGGCCTTTTCCGTCGTTGAACCACCGCCAGACTTGTCAACGATCACTTCCCATACTCATATTCCGCTGGCGACGGATGAGACATTCCCCGATGGTGGCAAACAGGCATGGTCCGTCATCATGGGCTCGTTCTGCCTGTTGATGGCATCATACGGCCTGATGAACTCAGTTGGAGTCCTGCAGAACTACTTCGCCAATCATCAGCTGTCTCACTACTCAGCGAGTGATGTCGGATGGATCTCTGGATTATTCGTCTTCCTGGGACTCAGTCTAGGCGTCCAGGTGGGACCTATCTTCGATCGATATGGACCGACAGGAGTCGTCAGTGCGGGAACGTGCTGTTACGTTGTCGCCCTGGTCCTGCTGGCAGAGTGCACACAGTACTGGCACTTTGTCCTCACGCTCGGCATCCTTGGCGGTTGCAGTGCTGCTCTGCTAGCGACGCCGGCCATGAGCACCGTGGCGCATTGGTTTCAACGCCGCGTGGGGCTGGCCATGGGAATCGCTATGGCCGGAGCCGCTTGTGGCGGAGTCATGTTCCCGCTCGTCCTCCGTGCTGCCTTCGCACGGTTTGGGTACAAATGGGCGATTCGTCTCCTCGCCTTGATGGTCTTCATGATCTGCGGGCTAGGGGTGGCCTTGCTGCGATCGCGTTTACCTCGGGGAAGAAGCAAATCGGTCATCAACGTGCGATGCTTCAAGGATTCCCGATTCAATTGGCTTACGCTAGGAATTTTCAGTAGGTCTACATTCATTTCAGTTGCATGATCCGTAACTGATAGACAAAAGGCCTTGAATTGGTTGTCTTCGCAGGACTAGGTCTGTACCCAACATACGTCATGATGCAGGGCTATAGCGCAAATACCAGCGCCATTCTCTTGTCAATTCTCAACGTGTGCGTTAACAAATCCCGCCTGGTTTAATAAACACACATCTTCTAACCTTCCCACCGTCTAGGGCGTCATTCGTCGGCCGACTCACTGCCGGTGCTGTGGCCGATACGTACGGTCGTTTGAATACACAAATATCCCTCATCGGCATGGGTAGCATCATTATTTTCGCTGTCTGGCTTCCATTTGGCAGCTCACTGGCCGGACTGTACGTTTTCAGCGTGTTGTTCGGCCTGGCCTCGGGCTCGTTTCTCAGTTTAGCTCCGGTCTGCATTGGTCAGATCTCCCCGGCGAGTGAAATTGGAGGGCGTTTTGGAACGTGCTATTCGATTGTGAGCTTGGCGTACGTTCTACTCCCCGTCTTCCACCTTGACACCAGCGCTCACTCTTCCTGACCTAGGACTTTGATCTGTATTCCCATTGGTGGTGAGATGCTCGAAAAGGTCGGCAAGCAGGCGATGGTGGCATATCTAGGCAGCATGCTGATTCTTGCCCTGGGTCTCTTTGTCATGGCACGATGGGCTTGCTTGAATTATCGTTGGAGCTGGGTAGCCAAGCTCTAGCCTTGACTCAATTCCCCGTCGTGCCCCGTTCGGGGCTTCTCATGGTCTTTGCAGGATACTAGACGTCGACATTATGGAATATTTGACAACAAATGTTGCTTAGGGCAACTCCCAGGATAAGGGACTGAAATGGTAAAGCTGTCAGCTATTTTGGGCTTCATACCGGGGTTTCAGCCCGGCAACGAAAAGTTAAAATCGATTTACAGAATTCGAATCTATCAAATGGTCTGCTTATACAACTCTATATACGAGTGCGGCTTCGACTAGCATCCAGTAGGTGTATAGATTATGACAACGAATCGGCCCCCTTGAAGATCCCCACTCCCACCGTTCTCTCCCACTCACTGCCCTCGCTGTCCGAGATATTGACGGTAAAGTGATCGACACCAGCATCCCCACTCGACGTGTAGGTTGCCAGTCCCCCAGATATCTTCACAGACCCCAACCTGCTGCCGGAGACCTTGAACGACGGGGTTTTGAAACCGGCGGCGAGCTTCCTCAAGTTGAACTTGACCGATCCTCCCGGAGTGACGAACACGTGCGGCTCAGCCATGAAGTGAAGATAGCCCTCGATGGCTGTGTATCCGTCGCCGCCGGTCGAGCCGTCCCACCAGTCGGCGATTCCGTCGTTGTCGGCATCCCAGGTCTCCGGCCACGAGGCCTTGGGATAGTCTTCCAAGCCGCCGGCATCCGCTTCATTGTCGATCAGGCCCTTCTTACCAGATTTCGACCCGCGGTAGGTGTAGCTGCCGTTGAGCGTCTCGTGAATGATGCGCATGTCGTGGTCGTCCAGAACTGGCTGACTGGCGCCGCTGTCGGAGAGGACACGCTTGTATGCTTCGGTTGAAGTCTGCTCTTTGATGTAGGACGGGAAAAACCTATTCAATTGTCAGTTTGCATAGCGCACATACCGGATGGCCTCGGTACTCACGGCTCGTCGAAGAACTTCTGGTATTCAGGAGCTGGGTCGATGCTGACGTCGGCGAAGCAGGCAATCTTGGGGTTCTTTGAGGTGCCATCCCCGGACGGGTACTGCTCAGAATCCTGGTCGAAAACGCCGGGCATTGAGTTTCCAGCGCAATAGTACTGTTGCTTCCCTGGCATATTGTCCTCGTACTGCGCTCTCAGAGCGTAGGTGAGCTCGCTGGCCGGGCCCTGTTTATAAAGGTTTCCGACGAAGTTGACTTCCATCGCACCACCGTCCGTCACACGAGATCCTGTTCTTGTCAGTCAAGGCTTATCGTGGGTGGGAGACCCGGGTGAGCATACCGAAGTTGTACACAACGTTGTTGCGAATATCCAGTCGCCCGGCGAATGTCGAATTGTCATCCACTCCTCCGCCCATACTCCAGCTGCGACCTTCGGCGTGAGCGATGAGATTGTGATGGATCGAGCTGATATCACCTCCAATGGTCGCGGCATATCCGTGTTCAGTGCCCGCGGGATAGTTCTTATGACCAGCCACGTTGAGTGGCTCAGAGATCATGTTACGCTGGAACGTGATGTTCTTCGCATTCCTTGACGAAAAGGATTCGTCGATCGACCAGCCCATCGAGCAATGATCCAGGATGCAGTAGTTGGATCCCGCCATCCCCATCCCGTCCACAGTCTCGTTGGAGCTGGTGCCCGGACGGGTGCGGATGTGTCGCAGAATCACGTCGGACGCGCCGGAGAGTCCGAAGGGCTGACCTTGCACAATAATCCCTTTACCGGGCGCGGTTTCTCCCGCGACGGTGATGTAACTGTCAGTGATTGACAGGCGTGACTTGATCGTGATGACTCCGCCAACATCAAACACCACGATTCTGGGCCCGGTTACATTGGTCAGGGCATGCCGGAGAGTTCCCGGGGCTTCGCTGTCTTCGAGAGTAGTAACTTTGACGACCTTGCCACCACGACCACCGCGAGCAAAGCGACTGCATGGATCAGCTATGTCATCCTGGAGCAGTAGGAGCGACTTACCCATATCCCTCTGCACCGGGGAATGCCAAATGCGCAAGCCGGAAGGTGAACGTACGGCCAGTGTATGTTCTTCCACCGGACAACACGTCAACTCTCCAGTAGAATGTGTCCATGGTGTTAAGTCCTGTGAGTAATCAGCACGGGTTGCGCGGGCTTCAGGTATAACCGACTAACCGGACAGGCTGGTCTCCGTCTTGTTCAGGCCCTTGGCTGTCAACTTCAGCTCATCTGTCGCAGTCCCTTGGTAGACATTATACGTAGCGCCCTTGGCAGATGATGGCGCCCGCCACGATGCGATAATACCATTTCCATTCTCTGGCTGGATCCGCTCGTCGCGGTGGTTCGGTGATGGGAAGGATATCTGGTTTCCGATCGCGGGCGTGTCGATCTCGAATCCGTTCAGGACTACGCCCACATCCTCAGAGTTGCCGGACGGTGCGTAGCTGAACTTTACTTCCTCGTTTTCCGAGTTCACACTGAAGGTGACATACGAGGTTGCGGCCTCCCAGATGTTATCCACGCGCACGGATTGTTTGGCCTGTGTCGTTGGTTAGAGAAAGATTTCGGGGACGAACACTCAACGAACCGAGGTTTTCTTCACGCCATTCACAGAAACAGACACCGACCCGATCGAATCAACAGCGTCCCAGGCGTTGTGCCAGGCGAGAAGCGTGTGCTCCCCTTTGGACAGTCCTTTGATGGACAGAACGATATCCCCAGACTCGTCACCTGCCGTTATCCCTTGGTTGACGACACGCTCTCCAAGGTGCGAAATGGTTCGCGTGTACTGATATTTGAAGTAATTGCCCTCTAGTTGCGAGTCGGCAGATAATCCAAACGAGACGTTATCAACAGTGGTTGACGCATTCTGGCTTTCGCTCTCGATTGTCCAGGTGTGAAAATCAGGCTCCGCCAAGGAGCGCACGTTAGATGGATTCAGACGAACCCTGATCTGGGCCGATGCAGCGGTTAGCAGCGCCGCAGTGACAGCTGCTATCGACAACAATCTCCCCATTCTGTTGCTGAGAGCTTCAATCCCTGGGATTTAGCGGTGGGTGATAACAGCCAAGTTTGCCCCATCTTATACGATGGACCCTGACTCAGGCATTATTGCGAACTGCACGAATCCACCGGATTGCAGAGTAACGCCGTTGGTCCCTGTTTCAGCTTATGCATCAACGGGCGTCCTATCTGGGATTTCTTCCACAAATGGAGGCCATGCCATGCGGTTTTAGATAGCGATCGGCATGCCCAGAGTGTCTGATATGGCAAGATCTGCACTTAGTTCGGGCTTTCACGCAACATCGGTGGGACCCTGGCAAGAATAAAAACGTTCGTGAGGGCTTTTAATATCAGATTGGTCGTGGACTGTTTCCAATTAGAATATCCGAGATGCAACTCTGCCACACCGGAACATGGTCGTATGTCGCGCGACGTGTCGTGCTGGTCCAGTGCCTCGGACCACGGCAGCCTTGACTGTTAACACCCCTGCAAAGGGCGAAGAACCCCGTTGGACCGCAAGGATTATTGTGGTAGAGCCATTCGAGGGGTTTTCGAGGAGGATAAGACAGAATCATCCGACAAGATCCATCCATTGATTTACCCGCAACGCCGTGACGATCAGATCCGAACGATATTAAGCCCCCGTTTTAAGTGAAATCGGGGCAGCCTGTCCAATGATTAGGGTTCTCCTCGGGTTCTACTAACTTTCAGGCTGGCCTTCCGCGGGTTCTTTGCCTGGAAGACTTCTTCCAGTTCCTCTAGCGTGCGATCTTTCGTCTCCACGAAGAAGAAGTAAATGAAGGCGAACTCGAAGCAATCCCAAAAGACGAAGAAGACATAAAACCAATACCCAATCTATGAGATCCCAATCATGAGTCAATTTCTCCATTTCTAAACGGGAAGCCAAGCACATGCACTTACGTTCGTTAAGGCCACCGGCGCCGCGAAAGTGTTCACGAAGCCCGCCGCACCGGCCGTGAGCTTGAATGTCCCCATACCCTTGGCTCGCATATCATTAGACATGACTTCTCCGGGATAGATTGGTTGCATAGAAGTGAATGCGAACGCAAAAACAACCCCGAAGATATAAATAAAGACGATTGCCGCCGTAGAGGCCGCAGTATCTTCCGACTGCACGAATACCGCCGTTGTGGCAGCCGTGATAGCCAGGCAAATCACCATACCTCCAGTTGAGCCGAGGAACATCTTTCGGCGACCGACAACATCATGGAAGCGAGTCCCGGCCGTAGCTGCAATCCATCCAGTCAACGCGTAGATGATATTGAGGAGAAGGTGAGTGTTTGTGTTGGTGATCCCGACGTTTTTCAACAAGGTTGGAAGGTAATACGAGATCACACTAAGGCGCAGGAGCCCTCGTCAGCGTCTATTGCTAAAGTCCAGGATACCAAATAACGTACTTATTCCCTGAGAATTGCCCAAACCAACTAAAAGCAAGGTTCAACATCAACCGGTAGCGACGCGACCGGGACTTGACGAGGACAGACAGATCAACGATGTTGCGCCAGCCGGTGACCCCTTGGAGCTGTAGATTTTCGGTCATTTCTCTCATTTCTAGCGCCACCAGAGGATGTGTAGCGTCACCGTTGGCGTGGCACTCGATAATGAAGGCCTCGGCCTGGGCGTGTCGGTCTTTCGAAATCAGCCTGTGGGTGTCAGCAAGTCGGTGTGATCGAGACGGTAACTGCGAGAAAGAGAAAGGTCTCACCAGCGAGGGGACTCGGGGCAGCACCAGATCCCCAGGCAGACAATTCCCGGGCATGCCATCTGGAGCCACAGAGGTAATCGCCAGTCGAGTTGGCCGATGTGGCTTAGGTGCAAATGAGCGCCATAGACGGCCGACGTAGCTACGATCGAGCCCTTTGTCACAGTTAATATTAGCTAAAGTAGGCAAATTCGGTAGCAAAACATACCGCATAATAGAGTGTGTTGTACATTCCCGCCAGGGTCCCTCGGTAGTGCGGAGGTGCCAATTCCACGAGAAGCAAGGGGGAGGCTGTATGCGCGCAGGTCGCAAAGAAAGAGAGCAAGAATCGCCCTGCAATAAAGACCGACAATGTTGGCGCGGTGCTCGTTACGATGGTTGCCACGCAGACCCCAAGGCATCCCATAAATATATGAGCACGTCGGCCAAGCCAGTCTGCCATCCAGATGAACAGGGCGCCGGCCATTTGACCTATCTGAGCATTTTTCAGCTTGTAGTCCACCAGGTCGCAGATACGACCATAGAATGCATACCTGAAAGATGGCGAACACGATGCCTGTGCTCACGTTCCCATCCTCGGGGAGATTGTAGTATTTCGTATAGTTGGGAAGTGCGTTGATGGAGCCCATTAAGCTGCTGTCAAATCCTAAAGCGAAGGTATCAGTGGGCAAGTGCAGTTACTGGGGCTATTCAGAAGCACACCATTCATTGTGGAACATAAGAAAATCAACGATGCCATGAGGTACAATTTGCGATATCCGGCGCCGCGTGGATCGACTGGGTGTGTCTCGATGAGTTCTTTGAGGGACATGTGCGGCAAACTACGAGCCTTTGTCTCACTGCTAGGCTTTGAATCCATTTTTAGTTGTTCTTGGCGCTTAATTGTCGCGAGTAAGCAACGAAACCCACACGAAAAGAAGAGATTCGGAGTCCAAATATATACCCCGGATGCAACCCCATAGAGAAGCTGCGGCAGGTCGATCCGCAAGGAGGATGGGACGCGCCGCCAGTACTAGCCTGGTACTAGTCATTACAGGCCTGGGGTGCTTCGGCCTTATATCCCTGCTCTGCTCTGTCCGGGTTGAGCGCCATGCATCAGAACGATTCGTTCATAATGGAAAAACGCATCGCGTTGAGAGAATGTACGCAACGTGATTCCCAGTCTTCGTCGCGCGACACTAATATCCTCTAAATTCAGTACAGCGACACGCCTCCTTAGAGAGCTGCTGGGTTTCCTTGTACGGCCGGGTCTACGATGTTTGTGTCTCCAGCGTTGCATGCAGTTTGCGAGCTAACGAGGTGAAGATCACTGGCTTTTTAGACAAACATCCCGGTGGCTCGTCCATCCTGTTAGGTCTCGCGGGACAAGATGCGACAAAGGAGTATGACTCGATCCATCCTCCAGGTATCCTTGACGAATACCTCTCATCATGTTGCCTCGGGGCACTCAGGAGTGGCTCTTTGACTTCAAGAGACAAGCATCCCAAGTCAGATTCAAGCGGATCAGTCGTACAAGACTCCGTATCCCAGGCACTCAACCTTCATGAGATTGAAGCTTTGGCAAGGAAATTATTGCCTCATAGATCTTGGGCGTACTATGTCTCCGCAACAGACGACAATCTAACCAAGGCCTGGAACAATTCGGTCTATCAATCCATTCTCCTACGGCCACGGGTCTTTGTCGACTGCAGTCAATGTGACCTGAGCACGACGGTACTGGGCCATCAACTTGGGCTACCGGTCTATGTATCTCCAGCGGCGATGGCGCGATTGGCTCATCCTTCGGGCGAGGCTGGAATTGCCAATGCATGTGCGAAGTTCGGTGCCCTGCAGATCATCTCGCACAACGCATCGTTGGACCCTGTTGACATAGTACGTGACTCTACAGAGAATCAGGTCTTTGGCTGGCAGCTGTACTGTCTCAAGGACGTGCGAAAAAGTGAGCGAAGGATCCAGAAAATCAATCAGATCAAGCAGATCAAGTTCATCGTTCTGACGCTTGATGCTCCTTTCCCTGGGAAGCGCGAGGTCGAGGTCCGGTCCAAGATGGACTTTTCGCAGCCGAATTTACCACCTCAGGTCTGGGGAACGGATGCTTCGTTGACCTGGGAGAAGACTCTACGCTGGCTGCGCAAGCATACCCATCTTCCAATTGTTCTTAAAGGCGTACAGACATACGAAGACGCTATTCTTGCCGCTCGGTACGCCCCAGATGTCCGAGGAATCATCATCTCCAATCATGGCGGACGAGCGCTAGACACTGCGTCGACGCCCATACACACCTTACTCGAGATCCATCGTCATTGTCCGGAGGTCTTCACGAAGTTGGAAGTCATGGTAGACGGGGGCATCAAGCGAGGGACGGACATCGTCAAGGCCCTTGCGCTGGGTGCCAAAGCTGTCGGTATCGGTCGAGCGCCGCTTTGGGGACTGGCCGCTGGTGGTCCGGCCGGTGTGGAGAGAGTACTCGAAGGTGAGTTTAGAGATACTCGGCTGGGCTTTCAGATCAGTTCAGACTAATGGAGGGACCTGGCAGTTTTGTCCGAGGAAACAGCGACGGCAATGCGATTACTGGGAGTTTCGGATGTAAGCCAGCTCTCCCAGCAGCACGTAAGTCAGCAGTCTGCGGCCATCGCGTTCGTACCTTTTACTCACGGGGACAGGTCAATACGCGTGCTCTCGAGGCTGGGGGGTTCTGGAAAGCAAGGAACAGTGGTGGACGAATTGAGTCGAAAATGTAGGAACTCTGTATCCAAGCATACCTACCTATCAATCGAATGAAAAGTCCTGGTAAACGCGTGTTCCGTCGGGAGTACAAAGTAGAGGCTTCAGAGGGAAGAAGCTGTTGAGTGTAGACCACGTGCTCCGTCTGCACAGCTCCGAATCCGGCGAAATGCCAAGGCTGAGCAACAGGCCAAATACCGCTAGTAACAGTACTAGTTGTACTATTCAGGCATCCCTGAAAGTGCGTGCCTGATGGGGTTTAGCCTGACCGGTTAGGCCACCACAGACTAGACCTCTTTGGGCACGGAGCTGTCAAATGGCGGACCCAAAGGGGAGGAAGCCTTGTATGCTTGGCTGTGTTGGAGTGAGGAGAGAAGGCCATTATTATGCGTGGCCTAAGTCATATTTGATAGTGGGGGTTGGAAACGCTGGCGGGGTTGTTGACTATAGGGGCTTCCTCCCATGTCAGAAATATATAGTTGCTATCCGTGCAGCCATAGCAGTCTAGCAGTAGCCACTCAACTCGCGACACTCGGGTGAATTCAGATTCAGAGCCAGACGCAACGCGTGAATTGAATTATCAAGATGACTCACTTGAGGTCGGAAGAGTTATCCCATGGGTGGAGGGTTCGAGAAGTGTCGGACACGAACCCAGAAGCGTGGCATGCCGTTGCCACCGTACCCACGGTGATACATCTCGACCTCCTCCAGAACGGGGTGATTCCTGACCCCTTCGTCGGATTGAACGAGGAAAAGATTCAATGGGTTGCGGAGCGCGACTGGCTCTACCGGACGACCTTTGAGACTCCATCTGTCGGCCCGCGAACCCGACACAGTTTAGTCTTTGAGGGTCTGGATACGTTTGCAACGGTCACTTTGAATGGCGTGGTGATCCTGCGCAGCGACAATATGTTCATTCCCTATCGCATCGATATCACAGATATACTGACCAAGAGCTCCTCGGAAACCAACACGCTGGAAATCCTCTTCGAATCTGCCCTGTTACGCGGTCGCGAGGTGGTCAAAAACCACCCCGAATATCGGCACATCGCTCACCAAACTGAGGTGGGCCGATTGGGCGCACGCAAAGCTGCGTACCATTGGGGATGGGATTGGGGCCCTATTTTGGTTACAGCTGGCCCGTGGAGACCCGTCAGACTGGAGTCCTTCGTTGACCGGATTGACGACCTGTGGATTGAAAATACCGTGGCCGACGATCTCCGATCCTGCTCAGGAAAGATTCACGTACGCACAAAGGGTCGCGGAGCAGACCGAGCGCATATTGCCTTGTGGCACGAGGGCAGAGTGGCCATTGAAGCTGATATAGAGGTCGACATGAATGGAGAGGCAGACGTCTCGTTTGGCATCGATGACCCGGCTCTCTGGTTTCCTCATGGATACGGGCCACAGAGCCTCTACGAAGTCCGGGCTCAGTTATTCTCACAGGACGAGCTGCTGCACGTCACCTCGAAACGAACAGGTTTCAGACGGGCAGAGCTGATACAGGAGAAGGACGAACACGGTCAATCCTTCTACTTTCGAATCAACAACATAGACGTCTTTGCGAGTGGGTCGTGTTGGATTCCCGGGGACAGCTTTCTTCCTCGAATATCGGATGCTAGATACCAAAGCTGGCTGCGATTGATGGTTGAGGGTAATCAGAACATGATCCGGTAGGTTGGTCTTCGTTTAAAATGGTAGCATGCGCGCTGATCCGGGGTTCACAGTATCTGGGGCGGTGGCATCTTTGAGCCGGGGGTTTTCTATGAGACCTGCGACGAATTAGGAATACTTGTCTGGCAAGACTTCCTCTTTGCCTGCGCATCGTATCCAACGTACACGGATTATCTCAAGTCGCTTGAAGAAGAGGCGCGAACTAACGTCCGACGTCTTCGACACCATCCTTCGATCGTCATATACGCTGGGAATAACGAGGATTACCAGATTCAACAAAAGTACAATCTGAAATATGACTACGACGGAGACAAAGACCCTGCTTCTTGGCTGCAGTCGTCATTCCCAGCTCGCTACATTTATGAGTACCTATTGCCGAAGGTAGTTGAGGAAGAAAATCCCGGAATGGCATACCATCCCAGCAGCCCGTGGGGCGGTGGTAAGCACACAACTGACCCAACCATCGGAGATATCCATCAGTGGGATGGTGAGTTTGATTAGCTTGAAGTATCAATTGTGCGCTAATAATCGATGCAGTGTGGCATGGAGCTATGGAGCCCTACCAAAGACTCAGTTCAATGGGAGGCCGGTTCAACAGTGAATTTGGCATGGAGGCATTTCCTCACATACATACAGTCGATTCGTTCCTTGATGATCCCGAAGACCGCTATCATCAGTCATTGACGATGGACTTTCACAACAAGGCATCTGGCCACGAGAGACGACTGGGGACGTACATATTGGAGAACTTTAAAGTAAAGCAGGATTTGGAGGTATGTCCTTGATCCTTACTGGAAATCCACCGCGTTCACGACGTCGTTACCCTAACGAGCTGCAGCCATACATTCATCTATCTCAGATCGCTCAATCAGAGACCATGGCCTTCGCCTATCGCAGCTGGCGGCGGGAATGGGGCCAAAGCCGGCGGTGTGGAGGAGTGCTCGTCTGGCAGCTCAACGATTGTTGGCCGACAATTTCATGGGCCATTGTCGATTACTTCCTTGTTAAGAAGCCGGCATTTTATGCCATCGCACGCGCGTCGCAACCCCTAGCCGTTGGCGTATGTCGACGCCACAAAGAGTGGACATCGGGCCATGCGCGGCCGCCTCGCTCCCTGGAATTCGACGTATGGGCTGTGAGCAGCAGGACAGTAAAAGTGAGTGCCGTGGTGGCTGTCCGCTACATATCTGTCGAAAATGGGCACGACCTCCTTCCAGCTTCCGTCCACAACGTGGAGATCGTTCCGAATGGGTCCACGGACATTTTGAGCAACACAGTGGATCTTACTAGAGACAGTCCGACTGGAGAACAGGATACACCACCTTTCGTCATTTTTGCCACCTTGCGTGTGGATGGTGTTATTGTGAGTCGAGATTTTGACTGGCCCCAACCACTGAAATATCTCAACTTCAAGGAAAGGGGAGTAAAGGTGGACTTATTGAAGGACCACAGCGCTGTCAGGGTTGTAGCGTCTAAGCCCACGAAAGGGCTCGTGTTTGAGGAAAGACCTGGAATTTGGTTTGGGGATAATGGAGTTGACCTTGTGCCCGGCGATGAGCAGATCATCCCAGTCAGGGGAATTGATGGAGACAATGAAATTCCCAGCTGGACCTATATCGGGAACTAATGATCTTAATGGTGGCAAGTAGAAGAATTGACAGAGGACCGCGGGGTTCATATCGTGTCAACTTCCGGTTAAACCATCCTGCCCGTATCTGTCCAAGTCATTCATCATATTGTAGTTTAGTAGGAAGTCAAAGTCTAGGCCCACATTGTTCAAGTCCCAGAACCCATTGACATCCATGTTTAGCAGGTCAAAATCAGGATTATCCACTAGATCGCCACCCGATGCTAAGTTCAGGGTTGCCTCAAGGATACTTTTCACGATGCTGTGAGATCTTTGAGCGGCCGGCGTCCAAGGAATGAGGGCCTCAAACGCCACAAGGGCGTCCTGAATCTTTGACCTGCACTTTCCGGCTTCAATGTGTTGTGGATCAGTGGCCATGATGAACAGCGGAACCATACACGCTTGATAGAGATACCACGTGCTATTCCAGGCCCAGACGGTGTTGGGCATAACAGAGTCGGCGATGTTGGCGATTGCCTCAAAACTGAGTTCGCGGCACGTAACAATAGCCATCGCTATGGTATCTGACCGGGCCGTGACTGACTGTGAGAGCTGCAAAAGGAAAGGGCGATAAAGCAGGATCCGCAAGTTCAAGTATCGGTTTCTCAGATAGGCCTGAGCTATGGCGATGTTTGTTAAGCCGCCATGAGACTGGTTGACAATTGCCGGAAGCGCTTTGTACCAATCTTGCACGCGTTGATCAAAATGGAACATCTCTTCCGTCGTTACTGGAATAGCCTGGGCAAAGCGTTCTTGAACTTCGGTGGCGACCAGACAGAATTCGACACTAGCCCTTAGGATAGACACCGCAGGATCGTGGTGGTGTTCACCAGGCAAATTTGTATCCATCATCGATCCGTCCCAGCGGCCAAAGGTAGGTCGCCCTAGCGTCATCGAGGCCCAGGTGTCCAGGCAGAAAAGGCTCCACCATGATCTTCGTCTCATTTCAGCCTCTGACTGATCCGATGGGGTTTGCCTAATAGAGTGCGTGATAATAGACTCCTTGTGTAGTCCCATGGCCGCTGCCATTCGAAACGCGGCGCCGAGAACGGCATTGGCCATGTTGGGAGTACTGCGGAAATGCAGATAGTAGCCACCCAAAAGGCACAGAGCTTGTAGACTTTCAATTTGGACCGAACCCAGAAGCTCCATATTCATGAAGCGTCTAGCTTGGTGGAAGGAGTTCCGAATCAACTCGCTTTTCCATTGGCCCATAGCGACGGCCCCCATCACTACGACCATATTCAGCAGAGCTTGCCAGGGACCGTCGTCCGCATTGTTCTCTCGGACCCGGCGTCGGAACTCAGCCTCGTCGAGCATCGGCGTAATGGCATGGACATGTGCGAAGTAGGCGTCGATACAAACCTCACTGGTAAGGAGCATTTCCCCACTCGAGGGTGTGGTTCCATCGTCCGGAGCAATAGATAGATGAGAGGCGTGAGCTTGCAGGTCGTGTGCCAGTTTGGTTTGGATTTTAGGGGAGACCTCAAGAATGCTGTGGAGCATGATGCCGACCGAGGAAAAACCGAGGTAAGAATGCGACCGGTCAAAGGTGAGCGAGAGGTTGTTTACCTCGTCATAGGCCGAGGAATGCTGCATGAGCTTATCTGCCTCGTCCCATGCCTCGTCATCTTCGCTCTCGTCTCGGATGTGAGCAGCCTCTTGAACTTCCGTTGACGTTTCCTCCACCCCGGGGCCCTGGCGTTCAATTAGCTGCCGCAGGGCCTCTCGTGACAGGCCGCGGAGCGACTCCGGGGATACTGTGGGGAAGAGCTGCTCGAGGATGGCGTCGCGGATTTCTAGCGACCGGGATAGTTCCTGGTGGGACCTGCCATGACGATACAGTATATCAATGATCGAACATGCGCGAGGGACAACAGGGGTTCTCCTTACAGGCGTGACTTCGTCCTCCTCTTGGATCGCGCCGGAAAGATACATCGCTGGGGGACGCCGTACCAGTGGCAGCTGCTGCATGGATGACCCCCATCACAACGAATTCGCCGGCGGCGGCATTCCACACATGATTTGTTCTTCTTTGGTGCCTGCGAAGGCTGAGAAGAGGAGCCTGATTGCTGGGTTGGGAGCGCCCAATCCGTGATGGTATGGAACATCGTGCGGGGGCTGGACTAGATAGTTGAGCTGAGCTGTGGGGGAGAAAGTGGAAGAGGAAGCAGAAGAAACGAGCGAAGGATTGCCCGATCGAGTTCGCGTGCGGTCACGAGTTTAGCGCCCCAGGCAGGAATCGACCTACCTATAAAACCACTCGTCACCTCCTGAAGGTCTCCGTACTTTTCCTCAGCTGAAATCAACTGGGAGCGATTGCGCAGCCTACCTATCTGTCCGTTCATTTGATTTGACAGAGACATTCAAGCCCTTGATACTAACCACGCAGTAGTATCTACTAGCTCTGCAGGAACACCTCCACCACAACCCCTCTGGCCCTCGCCACCGGACATGGTGGATTGTAACGACTATAAAGAGCGACTGATAATCGCAGGCTTGAAGACCCCAGAGCACATAGTCCAATTTGCCCTTTGGTTCACTATCCGTCGGCGCAACTCCCATTCCTCAGTATGCTCCCCATACTCCACCAACGGCAATGAATATAGCGACGTGACCATGTTGATTGTCACCTATCGCACCAAGGCAGATCATGTCCGTCCCTTTGTGCCGGATGTGCTGGAGCTGGAAGACGAGCCCTTGGTGACTGCAATGCTGTTAAGTCATGGCATGAGCACTTTCGGCACGTACCAAGGAGTACGTTCACGCGGTCGAAGTCACATACAAAGAAGAAAGGTTCGACTACAATCTGTCAGTCATTCTGGAGAACGAGGCGGCGGTCTTCTGTGGCCGCGAGCAACTGGGGTATCCCAAGAAATTTGGCCCCGTCTCCCTGGCGCTGCAAACGGGATCCAGTGTGATCAAGGGCCATGCCGAGTATCCTGCAGGTCAGAGAGTGGTGCAGTTCAACTACAGCCCTCTTCGAAGGCTCGAGGAGGTGGTCTTCCCGGCAAAGCGATCCTTGAATCTACGTGTCATTCCGTCGGCCATACCGGATCAGTCCCCTTCGGTAAAGGAGTTTATTCCATTCGTGGCGGACTTTGCGTCTGATGAGGCCTGGGAGGGTGCTGGGTCAATCTCTTTCCATGAGCCGTCTGGATTTCATCTGTTACATCGCGTGGAGGTTCTGCGATACGAATCCGCTATTCTGGTTCGACGTGGGACGTGTGCTATCCGTTCTGCGACGGAGGTGTTCCCTCTCTAGGCATAAAGGAGGTACTAGTGAGGATATCAGTCGGGACTCTCATCAGCTGCATATAATTGCCAAGCCCTCTTTGTAAATTATCTCTCATGACGTTGATCATTTGTTTGGATACACAAAGTTACAACAACGCATATCTCTACCGGACATACAGCTATGTGCCTAGACCCACCTTCAAACCGCGATAAACCCTTCCCAGTCCTGTAGCGCCTGTTGACAGATATCTCGATATGTCACCAGCCCGGCAGGATAGTTCATCGATTCTCGTTTCTTACCGGGGATGTTAGCCCCCATATACCACGAATCTGCCCTGGAAAGGAAGGTTGTGTTAATCAGTTGCGTGATATGGCTTTTCCACCTCATCTCGGCGTCTATGGTCGGCTCGACGTACAGCAGCCCCTGGCCTTCGATCTTCTGAATGGCATCAATGATCCATCGGCCTTGGATCTCAATGGAGGAGGGCCCGTTACTGAATCCTGTAGGGCCATGAGCACCGTACACCCAGAACATGTTTGGGTAACCATGACTCGACATGCCAAGGTATGTGTGGATGCCTTCTCCCCACTGCTTGGCGAGCGGCTCGCCCTCGCTATCGCAGATTCCCATGCTAGTCATGCCGCCAGTAACTGAATCAAATCCTGTGGCGAGCGCAATGACATCAAGCTGGTGAAAAACGCCGTCACTAGTGGCGATGCCCTCGGTTTCAATGGCCGCAATTTCCACGTCTCGGAGATTGACTATCTCGACATTTGGCCGGTTGAACTGCTCGAAATAGTCGTCTTCGAGGGAAGGCCGCTTTGCGCCAATCGGGTGAACTGGGTCTATGGGAACCAGAACATCTTTCGTCTTTGGATCATGAATTCGAGCACGAGTCTTGCATGCCCAGAAGTCGTAGGCCGCGCGATTTGCCTTCTCATCGGAAAGAAGGTCCATATAATTTCCGGCCATGAATGCAAAACTCCCCATCTGCCAGAGCGATTCAAAGAAAGCCTCGCGCTCTTCTGACGACGCATCGAGCGCCTTCTGAGGCTTGACATCTTGCAGATAACCTGTAAATGTGCTCTCGCGGAGTTGGAATAGTTCGGGTAATGCGGACTGAATATCAGCTTGGTCCCGCTTCGATCGAGCATTCTGTTGCATGGGAAGAGCGATATTAGGCGTTCGTTGGAATACAGTCAGGTTTTCTGCTTGCTTTGCCCATTCCTGGACAATCTGCACTCCGGTGCATCCGGTACCAATCACCGCGACTCTTTTCCCCCTGATATCAATTCCATCCTTGGGCCACGCCGACGAATGACAGATGGCGCCCTGGAAGGTGTTCAATCCGGGGATATCAGGCAAGTATTTCTTTGCTGCAAACCCAACACACGGCAAAAAGAAGCGAGCCAAAGTGAGCCGTCCGTCGTCGGTCCGGATCTCCCATCGAGCCCGCTGACGATTGTATTGCGCGCCGATGACCTTCTTACAAAACCTGACGTCCTGCTTAATGCGAAGCACATGGTCGAGATGCTGGAAGTATTGCAGGATCTCCTCGCGATCTGGGTATCGCTGAGACCAATTCCATTCCTTCCACGCCTCGGGCATCGACAACTGGTAAATTTCACTGGAGGAATCAACACGAGCCCCGGGATAGCAATTCCAGTGCCAAACTCCGCCAAGCTCGCTGGCTGCTTCGTAGATCTTGCACCGGTACCCTAGCAGTCGCAGATGATGCAAAAGGTAGATCCCTCCAAATCCCGCGCCTACAATGAGGACGTCGTAGTCCAAGTTCTGAATATCCTTTGCTGTCATGATGTGCGACTGACTCGGATAATGGGCCACAAGGTATGAGAAACCCTGGGATGAGCCGGAACTTATGAAGGCCTCGTCCCCATCAAACTTCCAGCTGCCCTAAACGGGTAGGAGACGACGCATCATACAGGCTTCTCGGATACGGCCGCAAAGCTCTAGATATGACTAGAAACCCGATTGACTTTGTTGCAAACCAGCTTGAGCAAACGTTTAACGCGTAAAGGCTCGCATTCCGCTACGATCCGAAAGTCAAATAAGCCACATGGAAGCTTGCAACCCTTTTATTTAGTCACGTTCGAGCTGGAGTCGATGATGTCGATTACAATTCAGAATGCCTTGGCTCAAAGCTGCCAGCTCAAGGGATCTTGCGCAAAACTCACAAAACCCTGGACTAGGAACGGCTTGCACTCCCTGTAAATTATGGTTTGCATTTCATCCCTCTCCGAATGAAAGAAGCTACTACACATTAAGGAGTCCACGAACGAGATCGTAAACCCTACTTTGAAGTCTGTCTGCTTGAGGTAGTTGCGTAAATATCTAGGTTTCATCGAAAGGAGTTACACCGTTCGAAAAACGCACTCTACGCGGCAAATTCACGAAATTAAGGTATGTGGAAGTCATTCACATCATAAATGCGCTGAATAGTCGGGAAAACAGACAAGTCGTCGTGTATGCAGGAATCGCAAGTCACCCGATGATAATAGCCAAATGGTGTATCTAGACCTTAACGGAGCAATCCATACTCTTCGCATTGAACCCAAAGTTCGCACCACGCTCATCAAAGCTCTTTCTCTTGCCCTTAATCCAGGGGCAGCCCTTCTGGGAGTAAACGGTGCAGATGCATCCACCGTCAGCCGAGCCGGAGATAAACGGCTTTCCGTTCGAAGAGACAAGGTTCTTGCACCGTCCGTTAGACTTGACATGATAGCAGGTCTTCTTGTTCTTCTTCTTGCAAACTCGGCCGCCGCTATCGAAGATTCCGCGCTCGTCCAGGTGGCTGGTGGTTACCTCATCCTCTTCTGCGGCTCCGTTAGTGTCATTCATTCAAGTGGTGAAATGAGAAAGGCGTGCCCTCTGCATCCTCCAGGTCGAGAATGTCGTCGTCCTCATCACCCTCCGATGTCAACCTAGCAGGGCCACGTCTGCCCAACTCTGTACATTTCGTCAGAGTGAGCATATTGCGGTGATTTGGGATCATCAATCTTACCAGTCGGATCGTCAATCGGGACGAGCTCGGCATTCTCCGCGGGTGTTTGAGGAACCGCGGAGGCCAGAACAGTGGCAGCTAACAGTGTGGAGATAAAGTAGGCCGCGCGCATCTTGTGACGATGAGGACTCCAAAATCTGAAGAAGTATTGTAAAGTCTGTGATCGTGGTGATTGTGTTTATTCGATGGGTGCCATTACGGCGGAGGATCGTGGCCCTTTTATCCCCAAGTTCCGGCTCGTAATAGACAATGCCATGACGAGGCATATCGTAAAGGGATGCCCGCGGAGTGCCAGTGAGAATTATCAACGCTCTTGGCACCAGGTGAAGTCAAAGCAAGCGTCCAGGCACTATATTGCTCTTAAGACGTGAGGCTAACCATTTCGAGGTGGATCTCGCGAGAATTGCTCTGGTTGGTCCTTGGCATGGATAAAGCGATTTATGAATACGAGTTTGCTGTGCTTCATTCCTGGGTCCATCGATAACACATGTTGAATTCGTCTCCTGCGGGGGGCTCCTTGGCCGTGTTTGTTGCCATGTGGTATGGGGTAAAGCAATTGTGGAGGCTCTATTGAGAGGGAGGCAAGAATGGACCAGCTAGGCTGTCGACTTGAAGAGGAAAGGCTAGCGCGTCGTATTTCCCCGTCACGATGCTACCTTTCGTATTCCTGAGGAGCGTGTCTGTTCCGAGTGTTTATTTATAGTCCGCCGTCGGCGATGGATGACCTCATTTCCCCGTGATCCGCTAACCGATTCAAGCCTAGCTCCCATCCGTGGATTTCTCCCTCGTTTCCCCCTTTGGAGACTCCCTTATGCAACTCTTCTGCAAACCTGCAACCCACGCCGGTACTCACCTTCCTGCGACGAATCATGCCTTCCAAATCATACTCCGATGTGCTCGATTTCTGGTTCGGCCCCAAAGCCTCCCCAGACTATCTGAAAGAAAAGTCTTTCTGGTACGGCAGCCCCGCCGACGATGCCTACGTGCGCACCCACCTCGAGGATTCCCACCAGGCTGCCAAAGACGGTCAGCTCGACGGATGGGCACGAGAGGGCAAGGGGACTGGGGCGTTGGCTCTAATTCTGCTACTGGATCAGGTGCCTCGCAATATTTTCCGCAATACACCCCAGGCCTACGCGACGGATTCGAAAGCGGTGGAGGTGGCTCGGTGCGCAGTGGACAATGGTTGGGATCGAGACATGCCGGTCATTCAGAGACGCTACCTGTACTCGCCGTTCAATCACTCGGAGGATATACGGGACCAGGAACTTTCGCTGAAACTCTTCACGGACCTTGGCGATAATTATCATCTACACTGGGCTAGAAGTTTCTACGAACAAATCAAGAGGGATGGGCGGTTTACTCATCGGGACAAGGTGCTGGGCCGGTAAAGAAGTCTTCAGGTCTCCACACTGTTGAATCAATTACTCGTGGGCCTTCCTCCTATACATCACGTCGGTCCGCGCCGTATACTTCACGCCGCGGAACACGTCGTCCCCGCCATGGAACAGATTCCTCTGCTGGAAAATGAGAGCTGACCCTGTCTTCGGAAACACGCGAACCGCGTCCTTGCTCCGGTAGCCATCTGTGAACGAAGTCGCGCCCCCAAGAAGTGGTTCTTGATCATGGCCGCCTCCCACGTCTGGACCAGCCCTGGCGCCGTCTGAGCTCCCATCCGCCGGTGACGCTGTGAGGCTGCCGTTGTGACCATCATGCGACGCAATCCTGCCCAGATCAACCTCCCCGTCCTCCTTAAATGGACTCGTCTTCCGCTCCGACTCCTCGATTCGTCTCTCCAGCTCTTCCATGTCTTGTTCGCCTGTTCCGTTAAGGTATAGATGCACTGTAAAAAGAGACATTTCACTCCCCTTCTCTGCGACGTAGTTCCCATCACAGTGCGGTCGGAAATACTCTCCCCCTTCGTATCGCAGAAATCGAATGCGCTCGTTGAGCCGGGATAGTTCGAACGTCTCCCCGCGCTTGGCTGGTCCACGCCCTGTCACGAGCGGCTGATTGCGAATCGTCTCGATTCCGCATTCTTCCAAGAACGGTCTCAGACGGACTTTTTCGTCGGCGATCTCAGGAGTATTTCACAGGATGCGTCCGCAGTTCCGCGTGTCGATCAACATGGTCTGTTGGCCGTTGCCCACGTTCACCATTGCGCGGTCCCATATCGGCGCGGTCGATCTTTTGTTCGTCTGGACGGTCGATTCTTTCGCCAGTCGAAGCAGATCCCGGCATTCGTTTGCTGTAAGAAGATTGTCCACCGTCGCGGCAAAGTGGTCTTTGAAGGCTGGGATGGGCGGCGACGTCTGGGTGAAGTACAAACGGCGAAGACAGGCCTTAGGACACTCGCCCCTCAAGAAGTCCGACGGAATTTTAAAGGACGTCATTGTAATTGTAGTCGATGAAATTGTCAGCGTTTCTACGGAGAGAAAGCTGCGATTTGATTTATCTGCTTTTTCAAGATTGAGTCATCGGGAGGCGGTGTTGGCTGATGGTCGAGTCAGGGCATCAGCCCTTGGGATTGGGGCCATTTCTGGCAGCTCCTGCTCAGCCTATTATGTCATCTACTCTCTGTAAATGCAAGGAAATCCTTGCGATAGTCATATTGTTGGTCGTTTCTGCAAAATGTTCTGAGCGGCATATTGGAGGTTATTCCACAATATATATTGTCGCCAGGAATTGCGCGATCAGGTGGTTGGATTTTTTTACGCAAACTGCTAGTGGGATGAGCCTGCCTTGGTTGGACTACACTTTTCTTAACGGTAGTGTAGCGCGAATTTACTAGCAAATGCTGGATGAGATTGATCTACCAGGCATCTCCTGAGGGTTGGCGATTTTATGCCTGAGGCAAGATGCCGAATACTCCTTCAAGCCTGAGTGCCTGAGTGCCTGAGAGCCGACGGAACAACCCGGCGGGACGGAACGCGATAAGATGTAAACCAATCAAACCTCTTTAGGCTGTGGGTCCCGGAACAAAACGGACGGCACTCTGATTGGCCGATTGACAGCGCCGCCAAATCGCGTCCTCAGGCTGCCAGGCTGCCACAGCGGCACATCCCTCATAACTACAACTACTCGACAAGACTGGCTGGCTGCTTTATATTCGACAATATGTTCCAGAGATTTGATATTAATCTCGATTATTTTTAGCTGGTTACGGGTGTATCAGATGATTGACTATAATGAGCCATGCGGCTAACATTGGCCAGAAATATGGTATACTGATTGGCGCTGATAGATTGCTACGTCTTAGTACAGATGGACGATTGGGATGAACACCGAAAACCATTTAGTGTGTTCTAAACTCACACCACGCTTGAACCTTGTATTTGCCCAATTTCTTCAGGCACTCCTCTGACGAACAAGGCTTAGAAAAGATCTTTTCCCACGCCAGAATGCACGACGACAGGCACAAGTTCAGTGGGCGCGGAGTGGCATTGTAGAGACAATCTTAGTCTACTCTACTCTGTCGCTGGTCATTAATCACACTGGAAGGCAAGGTTTCTTCTTCGCGTTCACGTTTCACTGAAATCGGGCTCGGTGAACCCTCTGTCTCTTGGAACCTAGCAATTTGAGGCAAATGCCTCAACGGCTCTGTGATGATCTCCTCGACCTCATGCTCAATTCAAAACTTCATACATCCTGCAGATGCCATCATGCGCAGTGCCGTGATCCACTGTGCATAACAATGCACCTCCAGGTCCGTGTCTTTTCCCTCGTACCGTACAGTGCACAGGACGCGATCATTGTTGCTGTTGCCACACTGCGCCCCAATAACGGCCAACCATGGATGATAGTCTAAATCGACGCAATACACACGTCCATCTGGACTATATCAGTGGATGTTTCTCTTGGAGCAATGAAGCTCAAAGATACCAAGGCGGTGCGACTTGTTGACGTGATAGACGGAAACAAGCCAGTTGGGAAGTGCTCCGACTGGCAAGCTGATACTGCGAGGGCTGTTATCCCATCTTGTTCCCATGGTGGCCCCGGGAGCCGACTGTGATGGCATCAGGGCACGGAGTCAAGTTGAATTGAACTGGCAGCAAAGGTGACGATCGAAAAAAAGACCGCTAGGGGAGATTAGTTGCCTTGAAGAATGGTAGATGCATTATTGTCTCTTATACTCGTGCCACCCCGATAGGCCACGTCAATCAAACAGCTGAGTTCTCTCAGGATGGCGTCTTAATAACGGGAACTGTTCGTTTACTTTGTCCCAGTCGCCTAACATTTAATGGAACATGTCACCTGATGCATACTTCGAGTGAAAGCCAAATTCAACCTTGGAGGATCCCGCCACTTGCCAGTATTAATTCCCTCATCCACTTGCGAACCCATCCATCCTGTATTCCAGGGACCATAGACAGTAGGGCACTTCTGCACGCGGTTTCGTTGGTCTTCGGGAATGCAGGATTATCCTGACCCCCCAAGAGGGTTTGGTAGAAGTGAGCTAGTCGACCAAGTCGGTCGCCAATGTCATTTCCTGGGCCATGGCCATGGCGGTCTCGTGCCAAAAGCTGCTCTTGTCTACGAACTAATTCGAGCCATTGATGCAATGGTATCACTTGGATATCGCTGAAGGATGCTCGGTGACACTCCTCCAATATGAGAGGTAGCATCGATTCCCAGCTCGATGGCTGGAGATTGACCGGGTGATGAACAATGGGCGTGTCGCCGTTTGCGATCTTACCATCCAAGCAGAGTTCTGCCAAGACAGGTGATAGGAGGTCGGCTGGGATCCAGTCAATATGGCTCATTCGAGGGCCGAGCGAGTCTGGGAGGGCTCCAAGATGGAAAGACCCTACAATCAGGCTTGGAAGCCATTCGTTGAAATCCCAGCACGATGGGAGCTGTGTCGATCCGGGGACATAGGTCAGGCGTGCAATGGATGTGCAGATACCTAGTCTTTTAGTTGCATGGTGCAATAGGTGCTCAGCGATGTATCGGCTCTCTGCGTAACCATTGATGGCAGGTTTGTTCAGGTCGATAACCCGCTCCGGAACTTCCCGATTGGGGTCTTGATACCCTAGAGATGCACCGATTGAGGACACGAAAACCATCTTCGAAAGTGCGACCGTTGATGAACAGAAACGAATGAGATTTACCAAACCCTGAAGCTGGGTGGAGAAAGCGGCCAGGGGCCTATTCAGATTGATGAACCACTCATTATGAACAACCAAGGTGACCTTTTCGCGGAGTTCTTGTATGACATTGCATTCAAGTCCCATGCTCTCTTGAGATAGATCAGCTTGCAGAAAGGTGACATGCCGGGAATCTAGGTCAGATCCCAAACCATGCTGTCTGATCTCCTGGCTTTGCGCTGCGCAGCCGCCGCTGATACCCACGACGCAGTAGACGTGTTGCACTGCAGGCGATTGAAGGAACTCATGAAGGAGATAGATACCAAGCGAGCCCGTGCCCTGTGTAAGAAGAACACATTGTCCAGTGGTGGTCGGTCGGTTTCTAGGTGGGAAAGGGATGCGAGCAATAATGTCTCGGTACAAATCCAGGGTGGCCCTGCGCTTCGAAAGTAGGTCGCCTTCGCTAGAGGGATCAGGCCGTACTCCAGCGTCGTTGTTTTGATGTACCAAGACTCGACAAAGAGCAGTGACGTTAGGATGGCGGTAAATCAAAGACGACGGCAATTCCTCGATACCGAGACCGTGTTTCAACGCTCGTGCAATATTCAATGCTTGTAGCGAGTCCATTCCACGGTCGAAGAAATCGTCGCCCAAGCTCAAACCCTCCCATCCGGTATTCAGCTTGATGGCGCTGAGAATAAATAACGAGACCCGCTGAGAATCATGTGCTTCCTGCCGAGTAAGCACAGGACCCCTAACGGCGTCGGCGTCGTTATACATCCTGTTGATTGCCTCTGCGTACAGCTCTGTCGTGGCACCACGCTGGATTGTGCCCTTCCCCGATCGTCTCATAGGAGCGGAGGGGTCCGTGAAGAGGATGTGTGACTTGGCGATCTGAGCATGCGCCGGACAATCTTTGTTAGCCGCTTCAACGCGTGGCCAAACCTCCTCTGTGAACGCATTCGGATCGAAGTGAGCTTGTTCTGCGTTTACCTCTAGTAATAGAGCCGGCTGTAACCGATGAACACCAACAACCAAAGCACCGCTGATTTGCGGGTGTTGCATGATCTGTTTCTCCGTTGAAAGGGGGTTAGTTTTCTCCCCATTCAGCAAAACTAGGATGTCATCACTGCGAGCGACCCATTTCCAGCGCCAGGGATCGCTTGGATGAGGTACAAACAAGTCGCCCGTGGGGTATGCGGCAGTCCGGGTGTACTCAGGGTATGTAAACGTCAACTGCTGTCTCTCAAGCCGAGTGTTTCGAATTGCATATAACTCATATTGTTTACCCAGCACTGGTCGCATTTCTAGCCCCAGGTCAGGATGGAACTCTAGATAGCTCCAGTCACCGGATCTACGAGGTGTCTGGGACATTAATAATGGCACCAAGCCGAGCTCTGTCGATCCGAACTGGTTATACAGCGGTATCTTCGTGGCTACATGATCCCCGATGTGCTGGGGCAGATCCCCACCAGCATATAGTATACACTCCAGCCGTTGAGCGCAGATTTTTAGAAGGTCCGGGGCCTTTGCTAACTCCTCAATAATCGAGGGAGCAAGAATGGCGACATCGACTTTTGTCTTCTCCAATGCCCGAGCCAGTCCGGCTGCCGACGGGATACCGGAGGCAATTGGAGCGATCATAACCGTTTCAAACGGCACTGCATTCATTAAATGGCATGCAAGATAGGCGCCCTGCGGAGCTCGTCAGAATTCATTTAGCAGGGTAATGTCAGAACATCTGGTCACGAACATACATGGAAGGGAGGCAGCATGGAGTACAGACGCCTTCCGGTCATCAGATGATTCTGTCCTCTGCGCCCCTTCGGCGGGCTTAACGCAAACATTCTCATCCCAGCCAGAACTGAGGCGTGAGTGAGAGTTACTGGCTTAGGCAGTCCCGTGGACCCCGAGGTGTGGATAGTCAGCAATGGTTCCATCAAGGCTTGCGACAGTGTTCTTTCGTATCGGACGGGCGCGGTATTTGCCTGTAAGAGGTCTTCCACATCAGGGACATTCAAAACGCGCAGCCCGCTGTCTTGCAAAACGGCGTGAGCGGCTCTCGGACAAGGCGTGGGCGTTATCATAATTTCGCACTGCAGCTCATCCAAGAGTTTCGCATGCGCGGTAGCACTGTTCCTCGGTGAGGGAAAGAACATCTTAGGACGCAGTTAACTGACTAGCCTAGGATTCCTTAGGAAAGGCATCTGAGCCACCAACCATATAGCCGGCTTTAGCAGCCGCCAAAGCTAGCGCGATGTATCGAACATCGTTAGGACCGATGTACGCCAGTGCGTCGAACGAGCATCCATGCCCGATGCTTCCAATCAACCACCGGGCGAGGGCATTGACCAACTTGGCTAGCTCTTGGTATGTGATCTTGTGATAGCCCTGGTCATAGTCTCTTGAGCATCGTGGGAATTCGGCATATATCGCGTCGGGTTTGGAGGCCGCATAGTGGTCCACGATATGAGGCAAGAGGTGCTCTGTTGGATCGAAATGATCATATGTACTCTCAGTCGACATTATTGATTTTTTCTACGGTTAACAGAACACAGGCAGTTCGTGTGAGAGAAATTTCCCAAAGGGTAATACACAAGATTAAAGCGGGTAGGCATTCCAAACAATTTCCTATGCGCCCGGACGACCGCTTTGAATCTACGTCCATACTAAGGGCGAAGGGATATACAGCAGACATTGGAGCCAGAGGAAACCAATGTGTCGCTATGCAGAACCCCCCTGTGGTGCACAAACGTAAAGTTCTCTTTTGGGTTTCTCAGAGCAAGAAATCGGGAAGTTAGAAATCCCTCGTACGTCATCTACTGGAACATTCCTACGGATGGAGTGGAAACTGGGCTGTGGCTTACAAACATCCCTTGCCGACAGCCATGGCAGTCCTTCATCCCGATCCCCGGGGTTTGCCCCTTTCGGCGAGGACTGCATTGCCTGCGTCGAGGTTTCTCGCATCCCTTGGGCGAGTGAGGGCTGCCTGGGGCAACAACACAGCCAGCGAGCTTCACCGCACAAACCGCAAAGTTCTCCCATTGAGTCTCCGACGAAAGGCAAAAGGAAATATAGTTGTATGTTGTGCGTGCCCCAAAGACACACGCGAGAATGGCAGGTCCAACGGTAGTCATAGTTGGTAAGTCATACTACCGCTACAGCTGCGTGGCCAAGTTTAATACCTAGCAGGTGCTGGAGCAGGGGGGATCGCGGCTGCCACGCAGCTTGCTCGACAAGGCTTCAAAGTGCAAGTGCTGGAACGCTATGACAGTTTCGGTGGTCGTTGCTCGCTTCTCTATAAGGACGGATTTGTGAGTATTGCCGGTAGCCACCCATCCGACTTCCAGTCGCTCACGCAAGCAGCGATTTGACCAAGGACCGTCGCTGGTGCTGATGCCCGAACTATTCCGGAGAGCCTTTGAAGATCTCGGAACATCAATGAAGAACGAGGGTGTCTCTATGCTGCGATGCGAGCCCAACTACTGTATCTGGTTCCCGGATCATGATTCGATCGAGCTCTCAAGAGATATGCCACGCCTAAAGGCCGAGATTGAGCGCTATGAAGGACCAGGGGGCTTCTACCGCTTCTGTGCCTTCATGGCAGCGGCTGGATATCAATACGAAATGTCAATGCAAAGTGTCTTTAACCAAAGCTTTCCCACGTTGTGGAGCATGATACAGGTCTCCTTGATCAAGGCCGTACTGGCTCTCCGACCGTCTACCAGCTTCTACCAGCAGGCTGCCACGTTCTTTCGCTCGGAAAAAATGCGACACGCATGGAGTTTTACCAGCATGTATCTGGGCATGAGTCCATACCGTGCGCCCGGAACCTATTGTATGCTGCCCTATGCCGAGATCAGCGACGGCATTTGGTATCCGAAAGGAGGCTTCCAGAAAGTAGGTGTCCCATTCCTTAGGATTGCCCCACATTAGTTGATATCCGTGGATTAGGTCCTTCAAGCACTCGGCGAGGTCGGGACGCGTCTCGGGGTTCAATATCGTTTCAATGCTCTAGTTAAAAAGGTGCAACTCTCAACAGACGGTCTCACGGCGACAGGAGTTCAGCTCACGTCAGGAGAGGTCGTCGCGGCGGACCTGGTAGTGATCAACGCTGATCTTGTGTATGCATGCAATCATCTCCTACCACCCTCTTCCCATGCCCGCCGTCTGCAGGACCGATCGACCTCTTGTAGTAGTATCTCTTTTTACTGGTCATTCAGCGAGAGGATCCCTGAGCTCAAACCCCACAATGTGTTTCTAGCCGACGAATACCGCAAGAGCTTCGACACTATCTTTGACGAGCAGGGCATACCGGAGGATCCGTCATTCTACGTGAATGTTCCAAGTCGAGTAGATCAGTCGGCTGCACCGACAGGGAAAGACGCAGTCATGGTGTTGGTGCCAGTGGGTCATCTGCCAAAAAGCACAATCACCGACGCTGAACGAGAACAAGCAAGATGGGAGTCCTTGGTAGCCCGGACAAGAGACACGGTGATTAGAATCATCGAGGAACGCACCGGAGTACGAGAGCTCCGATCCAAGCTCTTGAATGAGCAGGTCAACACCCCCTTGACATGGCGTGACAAATTTAATTTAGATCGCGGCGCAATTCTTGGGCTGTCGCATTCTTTTGACAATGTGGGATGTTTCCGTCCGCACGTAAAACATCCTCAGGTACAAGGATTGTACTTTGCCGGGTGCAGCACACAGCCAGGAGCTGGAGTTCCGGCATGCTTGGTCAGTGGCAGGCTTGCCTCTGAGCAGATTGTGAAGGATTGGCAAAAGAGAGACGAATTCCAACCGTTCCCTCGGTGGGCGTTCCTGACTGGCCTTGCCATACTGGGTATACTGACAGCAGTATCGACGTCTTTGCGCCGTCTGGCTGAGTATCCAAACGAGAAAGGTTAAGGTCCGTGCACGATGAAACAGGCTAGATATTGTAACAGATGAGATTCAGGTACCCGATGGGTTTCTTTCCCGAACTATTTATTCCACATGCTGCAGACTCACAACACCGTTAAGCGATTTCTAAGGAACGTAGTCATACTATATGCGTTCCTAACTCAGAGCTTGACTCTTGACTTAGAAGTCGACCGCGTGAGAGGAGGAGCGTGCTTCATCCACAAATTGTCGACTATCATCTTTTTTATCTTGCTTTTCTTGTCCCCCGCCGCCCTGAATTGACGATTTCGTACCTGCCATCGCTCCAACTCCAGCGCATCAGAGTACAATGCAGTCCGCACATTCATTAACCGCCTCCTGTTGCAGCAGGTGACCAAACGGTGGCAGCAGCGCTTCGCGGACTCGCCCTGCAGGGACACCACCGCTACCTCCAACCCCGTTCCCCGTCATAGTCAGCTTGTCCGCCCGCAGTTCGGGTTGCTCATCACGCATTTACCCCCAAACACGCACAGAACGCTCTATCGGAGATGGGCAAGCTGCTCGGAGATCATGGGCATCTCGGGCCGGTAGAAGGGGAAGTCGCTCAGCAACAGTGGGTCCATGTCAGGATGGGTGACACGCGTGCCGGGCTGGTCTGTCTCGTCATACACAGGCCGCGAGAATGTGAGAACCTCTTGATGGGGCGTAGTAGTCAGAGTGACCAGATATCTCTTACCATTAAGAGTATTTAACTCGTTTTTGCTTAACGGATACAGGGCTGTTGGGAGTTCTCGTAGTCCGTGCTGGATCCATTTCTCCAACACGCGAGGATCCCCGGCTTGATGGAATGAAGATCTCGTGAATGACTCAGCTGTGGCCTGCCTAGACGGCCAAAGGTCCCGTCGATAAGTAGAGAGTTGCGTGTTTTCTCGCATCGTGTGCTTTTTTTCGAATTTCCCGCCGTTGTCTAGCTGCGTTACCTCTGGATGATGGGGTCCAGTAGCACGATGCTATGGAGCAGACGCGGGTGAATCAGGCCCAGACTGACTCTAGGAATCTAGTAGAAAGGTTCAACAGGTTGATGCGTCTCGCTCACAAGTGAGCGCCTCCCATGCTGTGTCCAACCCCGACAATGGGCTGCGGCATCTCGGCACGTTTGAGGTTCACTAGATGCAATAGATCTCGTGGATGGTCAAACCAGCTGGCTGGCAAATGATTCATATTAATGATGAAGTACCTCTGTGAAGCTAGCATGCACTCACGGTCATTTCCAAGCATCCCCTCATTGATCACCCCGCTCTGTCCCTGGTGGGTAGCGTCGGCAATCCAGATTCCGCGGATCCGGATACAATTGGCCTTCCAACGGCTGTATATCTCTTCCCACAAGGGTTCGTACGTTTCCTACTCGCGAGTAGAGCGCTTAACGTACTAAGTCTGAATCAAAGGGATTCGCCTCCGGTAGCCCATTGGCATGCGCTGCCAGAATGATTACAACCCCGTGGGGTCTATATTGTCACGAGGAATGTACTGTTGATATTCTCCCACATGTTGACAGGCCACAACATGCAGCGAAAGGCAGTGGCGTTGCTGGGTAGCATGCTTTTACTAGCGACCAAATGTTAGTGTATTTCTGGAGCTGCAACCCTTTTGCCTTCTACTCATAGACTCCCATTGTTGGGCTTTTCAGACACCTTTCAGGTAATTCACAGCGGCAGATCAGACTTCAGCGATTGTGGGGCCTCTGTTACTGTTCAGCCCTATAGGTTAAGCTCTGGGATTATCAATCCGTTCTTGATAGAGTAATTGTGAAAGAACTGACATAGATCTCTAGTCACCTTCCAGGAAACAGGTTTGCCGCTTCGATATGCTTTCAAGCAGCTTTGTTACGGTTTGATAATCTCCGAGCAAGTCTCTCGGTGGCAGCCTGGCTTGTGGAAAGTTCTGTAAGGGATATTAGGGGGTTACCTCGAAGGTCCTATACTTCTTCGGGCAGATTCGCGATGCAAGTGAACAAAAGAGGCAATGAACCCGAAACTTGGTCCGGATAGTCAATGGCAAATCCAAACCGTCTTTGGTAACTCTGGTCTCGTTGCCATTGTCATCGCTGACGGTTGAAATTTCAATGATGTTTCTTGAGACCGATCTTGAACATTGCATACCCCTCATAATGTAATGACTGCCCAGTTAACATGCCCCACTCCGTCAGACCATACTACCACTTTTCGGACATACATGTTAGTATTCGGCATTTGGATTAACGTTTTCCGGCCGATCCGGCCAATATCTAATGCAAGGGCACCTACAGCTGACCGCTAACAGGATTCTTGGTCTGGATAATCATACCTGAATTGCGTAGTTCCAAAAGCCGTGAGCAAGGTTCAACGGTTGGGCAACCACGCACGTCATTCACCAGCAGGCCTCGATTAGATGGACAATGGATATCCGTGGCCTCCGGGATCCTGCGGTCCACCCACCACCAAAAAGGTGGTGGGTGGACCGCAGGATCCCGGAGGCCACGGATAACTTAATTGCCGTTGGCGACTCTTGCCCATTTTCAGCGTATTGCGGCTGCAAGGGGAGAGAAGGGGGTCTGCTGTATTTTCAGGGCGGCAAATCCCGGGAATATGCACCGGATTCAACTGCAATAGACCTGAACAAGCAACCCAACCAACTTGAAGCCAGTTTTGATGCATACATTCTGCTCTGCGACCTGCCTAGACTGCACATGTTGGCTGAGGGTTGCTCTCACCATGGACTCAGCACTTGCGCTCTGCTTGCTTTACAAGCACCAGAGAGAGTTCAGCCTTCATTCCTCTGTTGTTTGGCCGGTTGGATGGATGGTATTCGAAGCTACCACGCCAAATGACTTCGATGTAACGGTCTGGCGACTTCATCATCGCGCTCTCTTATTCGCATCTCGATCTTCCTTTCTCTTAGATGTTCGAACCACCTTGAGCTCATTCCAAGTCAACAATGGCCGGCCCATCAGTTATTGTAATTGGTAGGCAGGATCCATGCGCCGGTAGTTGCCCCTATTCTAACTATTCCAGGCGCCGGGGCCGGAGGGCTCGCGGCGGCAGCTCGGCTTGCCCGGCTGGGAGCCAAAGTGAAGGTAATAGAGAAGAATGACTCTGTTGGGGGGCGGTGCTCCATCATCCGTGATAATGGCTTTGTACGTGGCAGTCGAGGAATTGGAAGTCGCTCACTAATAACTGCAGCGTTTTGATCAAGGCCCCTCACTCGTTCTCATGCCTGAGATCTTTGTCGAGACTTTTCAGGATCTCGGAACTTCAATGACCGAAGAAGGCCTGGATATGCTAAAATGCGACCCGAATTATCGCATCTGGTTTGCCGACGCTGACACGGTCGAACTGTCATCTAATCTGTCTCAGCTCAAGCAAGAGATCCAGCGTCACGAAGGCCCGGACAGTTTTCCTAGAGTATGCGCGTTTATATCGGAGGCAGGGATATACTATGACTCGGCTCTCAAGTATGTTCTCCACCGAAACTTTCCGTCCATACTGAGTCTGCTGCAGCCCAGGGTTCTTCTGGGATTGCTGCGCATGCGACCGTGGACCACAGTCTACGGTAGGGCCTCTCAGTATTTCCATTCTGATAAGATGCGAAGGGCATGGACATTTGGATCAATGTACTTGGGTATGAGCCCCTACGAAGCGCCCGGTACCTATGCTTTATTGCAATATACAGAGACGGTTGACGGGATCTGGTATCCGCGAGGGGGGTTTCAAGCTGTGGGTTCCCTTCACTGTTGAGCGTAACGTGTCGCACGTATTCAAACAAGCACCAGCCATAACATTTCTTTAGATTCTTCAAGCCCTCGCCGATGTTGGCAGCAGATTTGGCGTTCAGTATCGGCTAAACAGCACGGTCGAGTCAATCATTGTCTCCAAAGACCACCCAAAGTCGGCCCAAGGGGTACGCCTTGCATCTGGCGATGAGTTATACGCCGATATAGTTCTGGCAAACGCAGATTTAGTATATGCTTATAATGAACTTCTTCCTCTCTCGCCTGAAGCCTGTGCCCTCAAACCCCGGTTGGCCTCGTGCAGCAGTGTCTCATTCTTCTGGGCTATAAACCGCAAGCTGCCACATTTGAACGCGCACAACGTCTTTCTCGCGAACAAGTACAAGGAGAGTTCTGATGCCATTTTCAAACACCACAGCATTCCCAAAGAGCCCTCCTTTTATATGAATGTCCCTAGTCGTGTCGACCCTACAGCTGCGCCGGCTGGGAAAGAATCCGTGGTTATCTTGGTTCCAGTGGGCCATCTCACCAGTACGTTGGCCGATGAAACGCAGTCATGGGAGCAAAGAATCTCAGCCATCAGGGACTTTGTGTTGGAGACTCTCAAGCTGCGAGCAGGACTAGAGGACTTAAGATCCGACATCCTATTCGAGAGATACGAGACCCCGGCTTCATGGCAGTCTAAATTCAATTTGGACCGCGGTGCAATCCTTGGGCTGTCACATAGCTTCCTGAATGTTCTCAGCTTCCGTCCAAAGACCAAGTACCCGGACATAGAGAATCTCTATTTCGTCGGCGCAAGTACGCATCCCGGCACCGGGGTTCCGATCTGTTTAGCAGGGGGGAAGCTGGTTGCACAGCAGATAATAGTGAATTACGACAAGGCCGAGAAGGGTTGGAATTCATCAAGCTTTCCAATCATCATGGCCCTACTTACTGTCCTAGCTGTCACCATATCGCTCCTGGCGAATCATTTGTGTGGCAGCAGCTTGTCCATATACTTGCCTGAACACTAGTATCTGTTTCTCATGGTCTCATCCCTGGGCTTTACGTTGCTCTTTGTCGGTCTTGTTCTGAGGCTTATAGTAACACAAATATCATTCAATCTGCTATCTCCTGAGTCAGACATCAATTCCCAAAAAAGGCACATCGCATTCACTGGGTCCGCAATTCTCTATATCCTCGTTGGCTTTTGATCTGATCTTCCGGAAACCAATTCCCGTGCATCCCGTACGGCACTCTCTGGGGCAAAACGATTCTAGCCACGACATCTTTCATTGACCGTGCATCGATAATCCACAGCTCGCTGCAGGCGTCTGGCTTTGGTTGCCTATACTCGTCAAGCTGGGACTCGTCAAATACGTACGTCACCACCCACCCGTCGTCCTCGCTATGACCTTCATGGCGCGGTACGAAAGAGCATTCCTGTGCATACCAACCACTCGGGAACTTGAAGACTTGAATCACGTCATCTGGGTCGGTCGATTCTATAATCTGGTGTATAGATCTGGTATCCACTGCGCCATGGATCTGAGGGGGTGGGTCCGTTTTGCCCTGTTGGATCAGCGCCTTTGCGTTGACCTTTACCAAGCAGTCGATTCTGATCCCAGCAATGTAGGCAGATGAGAAGTTTCCCTCCGTCATTGAACATCCGTAGATAAACTGGGCTGCTCTCATCTCGCGATGCCGGGGGACGTGGGGAAATTCGAAAGGAATTACCGACAGAGCCCACTGCTGGGTAATCGCATGCGAGATCTCATAATAATAGAGGCGAGACTCCGGTTCGGCGGCGCACACGTTTTCGGGGGGCGTCAAACATCCCATGGTGTACAACGGTGCAAGACTGTTCTCGCGGCAGAGCAAAAGATTAATGCGTGGGCCATCGGGACAGTCTTCGTCCCAGGTATTGGCAGTGTGTATGACAATGCACGGTGAAGTGTCATGCCACCGGACCCGATCGGGGGCATGTCGAGGGAACACCCCTAGTCTTGTTCGTCCTTGCGGGTTGTATTCAACAGCCGACTCATTATTACGGACTTTTAACGGGTCTAGAGAAACCGGGCAGTCGATGAGCACCGTGTAGTGTGAAGAGACACCAAAATCGTGCATCAGCTTTCCCGACGCAACCCCCGGAACCGGCTGGTTGAGACGGATCGCCGAAGGCGACATGCCAGCAGGGACGATGGAATATTGAATGAACGGGGGCAGGAACGTGGAGTGGAAAAGAACCATCTCCCCTGTTTCGTGGTCCACACGCGGCTGGGAGGACAATGCTCCATCAGTCTCGGCTTTCTGCTACTAAATCATGCATGTCATACTAACATGTGCCGTGGTCATTTCCTTGTAGAAACCCTCGATGCCCTTTCCTCCAAAGTAGGGCTCGCATGCGCTGTCATCTGCGAACTTTCCTTCGCCTTCTGCACAAGAGCCCGTGAACCATCCAACTGTCTCTAGCGACGGCAGAAGGACCCTCATTGGAGGCCCGATCTCATTCGTTGCCAGCACTCGCCCATCATGATGAACGATATTGGTATTCGCGGCTCCTACCCTCTTTATTGGGCGAGCGATCAACTTCAGAAGAGACGCAAACACAATTACATAGGTACGGAGCATCTCAAACATTATTTGGAACCGAGATGGATTGGGGTCGACCAACGTCGCCATGCTCGGTATAATAGGGTAAAGGGCTTGGTTCTTTCTCGTGGCACAGTAGACATCGGTCAGAACATATTGGTTGGTAAATAGCGGTCGCGCTCTCTGGCAGCCAGCGATCCGTTGAAAGAAAACACCCGTCAACATTCCGTCTCCATCAAACCAGTGGAGATCGCCGTGACTGTTGTCATCTGCCAGTGGATTGCTGCCGTTGCGGACATATTGACCACCGATGAACTCGTCAGGGATCGACCCTTGGAATTTACAAGGGACAGAGGAGAGGGTGGTTCTTATCGGGGCATAATTGCCTTCTAGATACCTAATATTTGTCAGTATAGAGCATAATGGATCCTATCAACCAGCTCGTACGGGTGTCTTTCACTGCGTTTAGGCATGCTGTGTATAGTGTTTCCTAACGGACGTCAGAGTAAGTGCTAGACAGAAACATAAGTTTCGAAAAGCATAATAGAAAGGGATCAAGGAGGATAGCAGTTAAGATATATGAATGCTCCATGATGATTCCTTGCATCTAATGGAACCCTATGGTAACCTGCAGAGTTTAGAATTACTGGTTTGCGGTGGATCGCCTAGCAATGGCTCCATCGGGGAATCGAAGCAGGTTCTGCTCTGCGTATGTCGTCAGTTATGCTGGAGACAAGAATGTGTATGAATTAGAATTTCGAGGATCCCATGGGACGCGCAATTCAAATGCCGGAGACCCAAAATGGCCATGACACTATGCACGCCAGACCCCCTTGTCCAGTTCGCCCAGAAACGAGGGCTTAGAGAAGGTCGGCAGCCCAGCCTTGAATTTATCCGGCCTTGCTGAGAAAATGAGGAAGGCGTTGCAGTATGTCAACGTGGCTCGGGATTGTTAATGGCCACGACACAGCAATTAACCGGGTCTATCTGCCGACTAGTTGGTTGGAAGAAGTCGGCCTCTATCCCGCCGATGTTATTTTTTGTTCTTCAGACCCTAATGTAAACCCGAACACGTTATTGCATCGTGTGATAATGACTGGAGTACGGAATGACTGGTAATTGGACTATAAGATCATCTCTGCCGCAGCCTTACTGGCGGCATACAGATTGGTCGTATACAGCAGTTGGTCTTCCGTGAACGCTGGTAAGTCGTGTAGCATGGTTCTCCCCGTAGACCTCGTCTGTGGAGACGTGGACGAACCGACGAATCCGGTTCCATTGTCGCGCCGCTTCGACGAGGACATGGGTTCCCATTGCGTTGGTCTGTCTAAATGACAAAGGATCATCGAAGGATCTGCCGACATGGGATTAGCAGCACAGTGAACAATAGCATCAATCTCGCAGCTCTGCAGAGCTCGTTATTAGAGCAGTTCATGGTCCCGGGTCTCTTCGGGCACTTCGGCCCTCGAAAGGGCCGCCATACTCGCAGGCATGCGGCCGGGAGACGAGTTCATCGTACCCAGCTACACCTACGTCTCTACGGTGACTTCCTTCGTGCTGCGAGGGGCCGAGCCGGTGTTTGTAGATCTCGACAACGCCACGATGAACATGGACGCCGGGCTCATCGAAGCGGCCATCACACCGAAGACGTGGGTCATTGTGCCGGTGCACTACGGCGGTGTGGCCTGCAACATGGATGCGATTATGGCCATCGCTCGGCGGCACCAGCTCATCGTCTGCGAGGATGCCGCCATGGCGTGCACATCCACCTACCACGGTCGCGGTGAGGTGGATCGCTATCAGTGGCTCGATCTGGGGCCCAATGCCACCCTGTCGGAGGTCCAGGCAGCGTTCCTCTTCGCCCAGCTGCAAGCCGTCGAGACCATCAACGGTCGGAGGCGCCAGATCTGGCAGGAATATCACACGCGACTCGCCCCGTTGGTCGACAAGGGACACCTGTCCCTACCTCCGGCGGGCACCACCCACAATCCCAACATGTTTTACGTCCAGCTCGCGGATGCCTCGCAGCCCCCGGCCATGATCGAACACCTACGCGAGGCCAGCTTCCATGCCCATGCCCAGTTTATGCCGCTGCATTCCTCCCCCGACGGTCGGGCTCATGGTCGATTCTCGGGAGCGGATCGTGTTATCACGCTGGCGAGCGCCCAGCTGCTGTTGCTGCCCATTTATCACTCCTTGTCGGATGAGGAGCTGGACGTCGTCGATCGAGCGGCATTTGCTTTCTGGGGGGGAGGAAGCTTCAGATGGGGTTTTCTGACGGAGAAAGGCAGACCTATGTCTGATTAGCTCGAACTCCATACAGCACAAGATCATCCGCTGATGACACTACGTACCCAGTGGTGGTTGATTCCCTTGAGTTGGGAGTGGAGAAGTGGACAAGTTGAAGTTGGGAAGTTGGAAAGGCCCTGCACAACAATGCAGAGATACCTGATTATGCATGATGAGTCATCTATGCTCCGGTCTGGTCTCTCCCACCCCAGTACGAACCCAAGTAATTATTAGGGAGTAAGAGCTTCAGTCGCTCTCGGCCTGCGCCTGGATCACAATTTCTAGTTGCTAGCACCTGCCCACCTGCATTGAAATGGCTTTGAAAAGCGATAGGCCACTGCTCTTTCCTCGCATCTTCTCCTTGTCCGAGAGAATATATATCGTTCCACACTTCAACTTCCAGATCTTGGGCAACGACTATAACACCAGCTGTTGAAGGTGAGTGTAGCCGAAGGAGTCCAGCAGGAGTTGAGCTTGAGCAGAACGCCAAACATCTGCTATTGGGTATATAAGTATAGTATGCTCCGTGATGCTGTTTCGATGCCTGATTGCGCAGGCACCGAGGCACCCAGGCACACCCGCCCTCATTTCTTCGCCCCCAAAAATGGCGCAGTTCTTCCCTCTACTCTCTACTCTCTACTCTCTACTCTGGACTCTCCTTGGCCTCCCGATTCCTCACTCCTTCCCATCCGCCTTCGCCTTGTCATTCCAGGCAATGGGTTTACATTAATTGATCCTGCCCTTAGGGTTGCTCTACCAGGCCGCCATGTTGGTGGGGCGCTCCGAATCCCTCGATGACTCGATCCGACCCCTGAGATCCAGACGGGGTTGTACAACCTGCAAGTAAGTGTCCCCGTCTGTGTGTCTAGCCCCTGGCCAGCCGTTCTGATCGCAGAGTAGGACCCGCCGGGTGAAATGTGGCCAGGAAAAGCCGACGTGCGTGCGATGCAGCCGCACCGGTCGCCGCTGCGAGTACAGCCGCCCGACCGCGTCCTTTGCTTCGGCCCCGGCCACGCGGACGGTGCTCGACCATCCCCTGTCATCCTCGCCCAACACCGTGTGGCGGGAGCGTCGCGCCTTTGCCTACTATTTTCACGAGGCGGCCGTGTCTGTGGGCGGTGTGCTGGACGTCGACTTCTGGCGTACGATCATTCCGCAGGTGTGCCGGAATGAGCCGGCCGTGTGGGATGCCATGATCGCGCTCAGTGCGCTGCTGGAGAGCCCCGACCTCTCTCCGGACGTGATCACCTTCCGCCGGCATCATAGTCTCGCTCTCAACGAGAGTCAACGAGACGCGCTGGGCTGGTACTCCCGCTCGGTAGAGGCCGTTCGTCGGCACATTGAGCGGGGCGGCGTCGACCTCTTCGTCGGCCTGGTGACCTGCGTCTTGTTCATCTGCATCGAAGCTCTGATGGGTGGTATGCGGGAGGCCGCGCAGCTCTATGACCAGGGCGTCCAGCTCATTCTCACGTTGCGCAGCCAAGTCGCCGGTGGCGTGGTGACAGGGGACCAGGCTTCCTTGCTGGAAGACACCATAGTTCCCATATTCGTTCGGCTCGGAATGCTGTCGACGCACATCATCGCCCTCCCCGTGCACGCTCTCCTGACTGCCGCCGGGCATCCAACGGCGACCCGCTTTCCGTCTCTCAAGGCGGCCCGGGAGGCGATCGTTCTACTGGCCGCCGAGGTCCAGGCCTTCGAGCAGACCTGCAATGATTATCTCCTCATGTCGCGGGCATCCCGGGTTACGGACGAGCTAATGCAGCGACAGCAGAGTCTATCTACGAGACTGGAAGCCTGGTATTCAGCCTTTACCGCGTTGACGGAAACCCCATTGAGCCCCGGTCCTTCGTCATGCCCGCTGTTCAGCACCGGTGCTTTGCTCCTGACGTATTATGACATGTCCGTTGTGATCCTCGCAGTCTGTGTCACGCAGTCACGGATCGGCCATGATGCGTGCTTACAGAACTTCCGAAATATCGTCGAGCAATCACGCATCGTCATACATGACCTGTCGCCCGAGGACGGGGCGCCGCCGCTGTTTACCTGCGAGATCAGCGTTGGCTTTCCCCTCTGGTTCACTTGCCTTCGCTGTAGCGATCCAACCACCCGGCGCGCGGCGCTCGCCCTACTACGGCGAGCGCACAAGGTGCAAGGATTTAGTAACCGTGACCACGGGGCGACGGTGGGGGAATGGGTGATTTTGCTGGAGGAAACGTACGGCATGGCGCTCAGTGCAGGCCAAACCACGTGCGGGACGGCAGCAGTGGAGGCACAGAATGCCGTTGTCGGGCGTTCTTCCCACACTCGTGATATGGACGACATCAGCCACCTCCTGAGCACCTTGGATCTCCAATTGGCGAGCAGCCCTAGCCCCTCATTTTCGGAGATTGAGCCCATAGCGCCGTCGGCAGAGCTCATCCCAGAAGAGGCACGCATCCGGCCGCACGGTGTGTTTCGTCCGCGAGATGGCTTTCCCCTGGGGACCCCCGAGGCCGACCTCACCAAGTGGAGCCGAAGCTCGGATCAAACGTACTTGCAGTTTTCGAGAACGGAGCGTGATCGGTCTAACGACACTTGGCGGGTAATCTACAGCTATATACCCATTGATCTTTAGCCATGATGAAACGGATTCCTCTGCTCATCCGGCTGGGCCGAGCAGGCACGAGGCAATATCTTGGATTGGATGAACGCCTTCGCGAGCCGCTGACATGAGTTACTGCCAAGCGCGAGATGTTCTGGTGTCTTCCGATCCAGCGGCTCTTTAGGCGTTCCCGAGAATTCTCAACCTTCGATCAAGCCCCAGCTGACGGCCGGCAAAGCTCACCCGTAGAAAGACCCTAGATTGGCGAGAGTGGCGACACGGGAGCGATGAAACGATGAAACGCCTCCCTGTGGTTCCGGCCCCTTGGCGAAAGCCCCTGCCACCGGGTCGCGGATTCAGATGCCTCGCGGGTTCACCATCAAAATGCCGAATTGGCCCCAAATGGGATCATTACGCTCGGGGCCAAGCTTAATCCGGGGTTGAACCAACTATACCAGAGGACCATCAGCCTGCCAGATTACTGAGAGTATATTGAAATTAGAGGGTCGTAACTAGCTATATGCATAAGAATTAATGATAATTATTAGTGACACCTTGAAAATTGATCGCATTAGTCGTTAAGTGGAGACTCTTTCCATCAGGATCCCCCCACTTCTTCCTGGCTCCTTCCATCCCCCTAGCAGCTATACTCCACCCACCAGCCCGTCTCCTCGTTTTGCTCCAGGAAGACCTGATCGTTGAGGACCATCGCCAGCCGCAGCGACAAGTTCTCTTTGCAGTCCACGGCGGCCACCAGGTTGGAGCGCGGGCCCGGCGTTTCCGGCCAGAAGGAAAAGTCGGCCGATCCCAAACGTTCGTCGTCCTCGTTATCGAACACCGTCACTCGCGCCGTGTGTCCGGCCGAGAAGTTTCGTTCCTCGGGGATGCTCCATCCCACGGAACAGTCCTTGGCCTCGGAGGGCAGCGTCCACGAGGCAATCTGCTGGCGTTCGGTCGTATTCGATTTACTGAGGTCAAAGTTCTCTGCGGGGATCGGGTGGTCCGTGTCGGGGAGAATGAGTGTCTGCATCTGAGGCTGGAAGAGCCTGGTCTTCTCGCCCTTCTCCGGGCAAGACCCGAGAGGAGGCTGGGAGTCGTCGTCGGTCTTATCGGGGCAGCCATCTTGCAGGGCGCACGGGTCGACCGAGCAGCAGCCGCGGAAGTTGTTGAGCTTGCAGACGTAGAAGGCCGTGCCTGCCTCGCATTGCGTGTCGTCGCGAGAGGTCAGAGTCAGACCGGAGTTGGTGATCGTAGGCAGGGCCGCGGCGAGAGGCACACCGATCAGGCTGGCTGCCATACAGAGGGGGGATGCGCGGAACAGCATGGTGAATTATGCGTAGATGGAGAAATTAAGTTGGGACGAGGGTGGAAGAAGACGAGGAGAGTGTAAGCCGCGGAGGAGATAATTATAAAATTAAATGAGTTGCTAGTGATAGAAACACGGGTTGACTGTGGAGGATGTATTGGCAGCTCAGTGCGAGGGTGGCCTGCTTTATATCCTCGCAACAGAGGCTGTTTCCCGAAGTCCAGATGAAGGTGAAGGATCAATGGATCATCGCCCAAAATTCGGACGGACAGAAACGCGGCTCGCGGCCTAACCTCCAGTCTCCAGTCTCCCCAGATGAATTAATTTCCTCCCTAGTCAGGCCATACCAAGATCGCAAGGCGCAGATCCCAATCCCCTTCCAGGGATACGAGGGCCGGCGTTGGGACAGTGCCAAGATCGGCTAATGTACGGCCAGACTGATAGTTCTGTAAGTTTCTGCGGCTTTTCTTCCAAGTCCTGACTCCTGAGTCCTGAGTCTTGAGTCTTGACTCGTCCCAGCAAGCCAAGACGTGACGGCGGAGTAGGGCTGTGCTGATCACGCCCAACCCCCCTATGGGATGTCCTGGAAGCTCCCCGCTCGCTCCACCCGGGAGCTATTATTATCAATCCGAATTGATAACACAACATGTGTTTGCACTTGGCTGATTATCGTCCGGAGGATCGCTCAGCCTGCTGTACACCGTTACACCGATCAAATAAGCCGGTATGACATCGGGACGTGCGGCTGCCACCCCAACCTCCCGCCGCGCAAAGCCAACACGGTCTATGGAGTACGTCGTGTCTAAGGTAAGACACGCTGGCCAGGGCTCTAAAATTAAATCCCGCTCTCAGTAGATCGCGATCGGAGGCTGTGCTGCGACAACATCATGATTGTTACCGTCGATAGAGCAGCCAGCGAGGCATTTCTGTGCCAGTAAGCGACGCACAAAACAATGGCATAATGTGCCATCAATAGATTCACCGGTTGATGGAAAGAAGAGGCTATTGCTCTACCGTGGACTAGTTCTGTGCTCTATTCTTCGGGTTCATGGACACATGAGCCGTCGCAACATCACCATCATCATCATCAATCTCCTCCGATGTCAGACCCAGCGAGGTTAAGGTACGATAAACAAAATCCCCGTTGATCAGAATTGCTGAATTTTCCGATCGTCAGTGCCCGTTGGCCATGCATTTGCTGGATTGGGAGACATATCAACTTCGGGATATTATCTAAGCCTGTGTTCACGTTACTCATACTCCGGCATGGTCTGTTAGCGTAGACCGCAACAAGGGCGGTTCATTGCGTCGACCCAGACTTATGCAAGGGCTTGAACCAAGGGTTCATCTCGGGGAAGCAGATCGCACCGGTGTTGCTCGTATGGGACTCAAGGCTCTACTAGGCAGTATTTGGGCGCAGGTAGCAAGGGGGAGTTTGCCACCGCAATTACGTGTAGTGACTCCCGGGTTTTAAACCACCGACGGTCAGCGGAATTCAAATAGTGGTGCCTTCGCCCACGCGACTGCAATCTCCGCGATATAGATAGGCTTGGGTGGGGTTCATCTAATCTTGACAGGATCAGGTATCGAACGAGCTTATGTGCTGGGAGACGACGATAGGGTGGGTGACTAGTAACACGTCTACCACTCTAGATGACCAGATTTTCAGACGGCCATTCGGCCGACGAATCTGCCTTTGGGAAGCTCACAATGCAAACTTCAAGACTCCTATATCATGCTTCTTATATACATACGTACATGGGCCATACCCCAATCAAGCTATTCTTACCACACATCACTTCAACAGAGTCGCCGTGGCCTTCGCCCGGAAATCCCGACTACTGAAGCCGGCTTTAAAGGTAAAAGCGCCCGTTGGAATGCGCCAGTCCTGAGCGACAACATCCCAATAACTGAGGTCCCGACGCATCAGGTCAAACGTAACCGTCTTGGTCTCCCCTGCCCGCAGCCAGACCTTGTCGAAGCCACGCAGCTGGTTCGGCGGCGTACCGGAGGGGGTGGAGGGTGGGAATTGCACGTAGAGCTGGGAAATGGCGAATCCGTCGACCCGGCCCACGTTGGACACCCGCGCGGACAGGGAGTATACCTTGTCCCAGAGCGCTGGATTGCCGCCTGGCTGGACAGGACGGGCCTCGGGCAGAGCGGTCAGGTTAGATGGAACCGAGGTCTTGGACGAGAGCGTCGTCAGGTTGAAGGTCGTGTAGCTAAGCCCGAAGCCAAACTCGTAGCGAACGGGGATATCGTGGGCGTCGAAGTAACGATAGCCAACCTCCAACTTCTCGCCAAACCAGCTCTGCCAGTCGTAGGTGCCGTTTGTAGCGGAGCCGGTGGTCAGCGGCGCGTTGTAGTCAGACTCGTTGTAGGCGATCACGTAGGGAAGCTTGGCCGACGGATTTACGTCGCCGTAGAGGAGGTCTGTGATCGCATTACCGGCCTGCTCGCCGGGATAGTGCGCGGCCAGAATGGCGGTGACGTTTGGATGGTCTGCAAAGGGGAAGACGTTGACGCCGGCGGAATGGGTGACGACGACGGTGTTATTGCAGTCTTTGGCGACCGATTCGACGACTTCGTTGCCGTTCCAGTCAAACTTCAACGTCTGACGGTCCTCGCCCTCCTGGCCGTACGACTTGAGAAAGACGAGGCAGACATCAGGGGACTGGACGGTGAGTAGGGACGGGAGCGAGTTCTCGGCCACCAGGGTGTTGTTCAGATAGGGCTGCACGATGCCACCATGTCGGCGAGCGCGAGCCGTGATGGCCTCGAGAGGCGTCGACAAGGTGGTCAATCGGCAAGACCCCGACGAGCCGGAGTTCACCAGTACTCCGTACTCGGCGTTGGACCGCGTGGTGGCGGCATCGATGATCGGACCTGCGTCGTTTCCAGCAATAACGATATTGCGAGGCTTCCGCAGCGGCAGGGCGTTTCGCTCGTTCTTGAGGAGCACGGTCGATGCAGCACCGTGCTCGCGAATCAGGGCACTGTGATTGCCCCGGACGTCGCGGTTGCTTGAGCCCGTGAACTTCCAGTCATACAGCCAGTCCTTGATGGGGGAGTCGACGTTGAGCAGAGCCACCTGAGAGTCCACGCTGGGGTATGACGGCTTGTCCTGACCGAGCCAGTAGTAGGGGGTCATGATGCGCACAATCATGTCGTCAATCCGATCAGAGCTGACGGTGCCGTTGTTGATCGCCTCCGTCAGGTTTTTCCCGAAGAAGGATCCTTCCGTCCACAGCTCGCCGTACACCGTGAACCCTCCAGGCATCGTCATGTCCATACCACTCTCAATTGACGCCACACCGCTATGGGTCGCACCCCAGTCCGACATGACGTAGCCCTGGAATCCTAGCTCGCCCTTGAGCAAATGGTTCAGCAGGTACGAGTTCTGGCAGGCGTGCGAGCCATTCACCCGGTTGTAGGAACACATGAAGCTGGCCACGCGTGCCTTGGCCGCGTTGGCAAACGGCCACATGTAGATCTCGTGCAGAGTGCGATCGTCCACGTTGGCAGATACCGAGTCTTGAATGTAGGTGGTTTCGTTGGCGTCGGGGCGGTAGGTCGGGTTGCGTTGAGTCTCCTGCTCGTTGGCAATGAAGTGCTTCGCGTTCGCCTGCACCCCGGCGTCCTGCATTCCCAGGATGGACTTCTCCATGCAGACTCCCGTGAGGTACGGGTCGGCGGCGAATCCTTCCCATGCGCGTCCCCCGTGGGCGCTGCGACCCAGCGGACCGGCCACGGGACCCAGGATGACATGGGAGCCTTTCTGTTTATGCTCCTGCGCCTGGGCGTAGGCTCGATCATAGAGCAATTTCCGGTCCCAGCTGGCGGCGGCAGACACGCCGCTCACGAACACGCTGGAGTAGTCGCCCTGCTGGACGCACTGGGGACCGTTTTGTAGACACAGACCCGTGAAGTTGAGCCGAGGGATGGGCAGCACGTTGCCCACGCAGGGACCCGGTTGACCCGTGGCCATCCACGCCTTCTCGTCGACGGTCAGCTGAGAGACAAAGTGATTGGCTTGTTTCACGGCCTTTTCCCATCCTCCAATTCCCGTCGTTTTTGCTAGGACCTTGGTGTTAGCGTGATTCACGGGCCAGACTGGGTGATGGGCGATTCACTCACGCGACGGATGCACGGCTGGAGATTCGCCGTAGGGGGTTAGGACGGTTGTGTTTTCCGGGGGAATATAGCTGAAGGGCGTCCCAGTAAATGGGCCAGAGGGGTGGCATGTGTTGGCATCGACGGCTGCTAGCCAGAACGTCGACAGGAGCGCGCCCGTCACCTTCATCTTGGAATCGGGTTGATCTGGGTTGTTGATTCTACCTTTCTTGCTTTGAGCACAAGAAACATAGCCTGCTTTATATAATAGTCTCCACGTTCAAGGTACGAGAAGGGGTTTTCCACTTTAGGCAGGCAGAAGCACTCACCCAGCACTGCAGGCCTGAATCCCCAACTCCATCCCCACAAGTCCCCGGCTCGGGCGCTACAGACCGAATGGAAGCCGGGGATAGCCTCGTGTCGAGCTTTCCCCATGCCAGCCGAACCGATGTAGAGAGCCGTTTCCCAGAGAATGACCTCATCTCGTCGGTTGACGAAGATCCGAAGTTATGCCGGGACGGTCAGATCAAGTGGATGGTCCCCACATGTTTACCCCGCGGGTGAAGGCTTCGTCGTGGAGGTTTCAACTTCCGGCATTTTCAGGGCGGCCGACATCCGAGCTGGAGAAATGACGGTGGAGACCGCAGGCCGTAGGGGAAGGAAATCGGCCCCGTCGGCCTGCGAGGGATTTACGGTGTCATCTTATTGATCAATGCTCGGATTGACCTTGCGATTCAGAGTTCACCACAGGCCAGGATGGCGGACCGCCATGATGTCAGCATCTAGGGATTTTTCTTGTCTTTTTCCATTTTTCCTTTATAGTTGTATTGTCAGTATCCGTAGTTGCTATCCTATTTCCCTCGCTACAGCAAGAGCTAGCTAGGTAGGACTCGGCTCGAGGGACCGAGTTCGGACGGCATCCGCAGGGAAAGAAAAACAGGGAAATCGGAGACCATTTTGGAGATTACTACTGTTTAAGGACTAGTTGGTAGTGTACTCCGGTGTATATGGTAGTACCTACGAGGGATTCCCCACTACGCGAATACCTGCCCCCCTTACTTCCGATATTGGACTTGTCAGTGGGAGTCGGACGACCCTGATCGAGTTGCAGTCACCGACAATATTCTGTGGCCTGAACAAACACATGGGACTCGGTTTGGCCTCGGGCTTGACGGCCTTCGGTCGTCGCGACGTAACCTTTCCGGGCGGGAGCCACTTCAACCTGCGAGGCTCCTTCTTGCCGTATCCGGGGCAGGGGATGCCCGCCGTGGCGCATCGCTTGCACTGGGGACGAGCAAAGTCGCAGACCAGAGGTCGTCGAAGGCACTCCCAGCAGTGTTGCTTGCGAGGCTCGGTCATACTGGTGTCGCTAGAGCGAGAGGTGTGCTGCAGGATGTGTGCCAGGAGTGCTCACTGCTCAGATGAAAGGGACGTTCCTCTCCGTATGAGCGAGCGCATGTGGAACCCTGGCATATACCCTAATCCCATTGAATCAGATGGTTATCGGTTCCCCAAACTGCGCGATGTTCCTGGGCAAGAGACCTCTACGCAAGCTGTATCTCCATCACCAGAACATATGGGCTTTGGGTTCGGGCGTCATGCTTGTCCAGGTCGGTTTTACGCCATCAAGGAGGTCAAGTTTGCATTGTGCCATATCTTGTTGAAACACGAATTTAAGTTGCCTGATGGGTCGGTGTCCCATATAAGGAGGATCAGTATCACATTAAACTCGGACCCGACCACGAAATTCAAGATTAGACGGCGACAAGAGGAAAGTGTTCTCTGATTGTGAGGCATATTCAGAGTGGCCGTTTGGGGGCTTAGGGGCTTTCCATCTGACTAGTACAAAAATCGTGCGGTTCCTTAGGTTCATTGGTATCCCGAATGAGGAAGATATGCAAGGCGCTCATTCCCTTCGATATGTATATGGTCGTCCGTCCTCTGTTGTCGCAATGCATCGTTCAGTTTTCGGATACACAAACTGATGACGAGCTCGTGCTAAAAATAGAATAGAAAGTTATAACCATGCCCCTAAAGAAGTATCTGTACGTGGCATTCAGATAGTGGGAGATTGAGTCGATTTGTTGATTCCTAGTGTGGTGGTCTGTTCGTAGTACACTTTGAATCGATATATCATATCACATTAGATGATATGGTGAGGTAGGTAGAGCATGTCCGGGGGACTAGTAATATCTACCGCAGGAGTTTCTATCGTATGAACAATGTCCTAAGGCTGGTGAGAAGTTCTTGATAGAGGGATGGGATCCTATCGATCCCCTGGTCATATGAGATAATTTATTTTGCGCGTTGTCACTGGCTCCTATCCCAAACTTTCTTGGAAATTAACAGTAAAATGGCTATATATTCAGTTGTTACCGTACCTGATCACCTGACGAACATCCCCACCTGACGAACGTCTTTTCCCATACAAAATAACTCGAAATGCTTATCTTTAAAGAGCTACAGTTCAACCAAAAAAAGAGATATTACATTTATATTTTATATTCAGATAAAGAGGAATATTTTATTTACTTTATATATTAAAACTTTAGTCTTTATAAGAAGTTTTATATATTTTTATTTAAGTTAAAATATAGCTTTTTTAGAAATACATTAAAGGACTAAATTAATTATAATATATTAATAAAATTGATAATAATTATTGTTTAATATTACCTTATCCTTAAATTTAGATATTATCTTAAAAAAAATTCAGAAAGGTATTAAAAAGGTATTAAATTACGATAAAATTAAAAAAATAAATATAAAAAATTAAAAAATTAATAATTTATATAAATTTAAATCTATAATAGAAACTTAAATATTAACTAAAGTATTTATAATATAAATACTATAATTATAGTATAAAAATTATATTATATCTTCTTTATTAGTTATATATATTTAAAAAAGAATTAAATATTTTATAATACTTTTAATTAAATTAAATCAACATATTAATAGATTTAAAAATAAAATAAAAATATAAAGAATTCAAACTTATAATTCTTAATATCTTCTTTTTAAATAAACTTTAGAATAGTATTTATTTATTTTATTATTTTAAAAATACAATTTAAAATACCCACTAGTAATATATAGATAAAATTATAATTAATTAGTAATTTTTATTTTTTTAAGTTTAAATAAATATAATAGAAATAAAATTTATTCTTTATCATTTTTAAACTTTTAAAAATAATTATTATAAGACAGTATTTAAAACTTTAAAAATAAAGATAGCTTTTAAAAAAAAAGCATAAAAAAAGGTAAAAATATTATTAAATCTAAAAGATTTTTAATATTTTTTTGAATAGTATATAAAAGAAATATATAAACCTTAAAGCTAGTATTTTATTTAATATTATTAATCATGAATTATAGTAGAATTCGGGTCCTTAAATATAATTATTGAAGTTTAATTGATCAAAAAAAACAGCCTTTAAATAGAGGATTAGAAAAAAACTTTTCTTTATCTAATATTATTTTCTATTTAGCTTTATAATAATATATTTTTTATATAAATATCTACTAATACTATAATATTATAATATAAAAATTATAAATTTTGATTATTTAAAAACGTTGCTTTTATATATGTACTTATAAAGCTATGTTTATATATTTTTTATTATAAATATATAGAACTATCCTTATAAATTCCCCCTATAAGATATATTTTAAATATTCCTTATTTTGGTTGAACTGTAGCTCTTTAAAGATGAGAATTTTGAGTTATTTTGTATGGGAAAATACGTTCGTCAGGTGGGGATGTTCGTCAGGTGTAGACCTCTTCAACTCCCACGGGACCGGTCCCATGGGACTAGTCCCACGGGACTATATGGGAGTGCATTGGGACCAAAGGTTAGTCCCACCAGTGGGACTAAGACCCCTATGGGACTCCCATGGGACTAATGGGAATTCCCATGGGACTGATTTATAAGCAAAATCGTCTTGCTCGAGACTTGCATAATTTATATAGTTTTTGGCTGTATTTTTCTGTATCTGGATTACAGTTACATTGTCTACAAGAAATATTCCATAATTAAGAAAAATAGCAGAGTCAATATATTCATTAAAAGTATTTACAAGCCCAGTATCTAGGTATAATAAGCAAAGACGTCATCCTCTCGTCTTGGACGCTTTGCTCTACCAGACACCCGTATCTGAGTATTACTTTCAGGTAGAGGTCGATTATCATCATCAAATTCTGCTTCATGTGTATCCTCCTCGCTCCTATCAACGATAGACTGTCGTCTTTTCCCAAGTGCGCGTTGACTCGGCGGTTGTATATGTATCTCAATAGATGGTTCACGCCAATTCAAGAGTGATTCATCCTCTTCATCATCACTGATTGGATTAGGTGTATATTGAGGAAGATCAGCTTCCCTTCGTTCATCTGTCTCTTGTCTCTCTTTAGATGTGAGAGCTGGATCCTCTAGAGTATCCTTTTCACTGCTAATATCGAATGTTGAGATACAACGAAACATCATAATATCTTGAATTGTGGCAGCATTTAGTGACCTTCGGCGATAATGACAGATATCTCGAGCTGAATTGAATAGACGCTCAACGCCCGCATCTGTTGCAGGAATAGAAAAAATATTTCGTGCGACTCTTGCAAGTGTTGGAAACTCGCGTTCATGTTCTTTCCAGAAGGTTAGGGGTGCAATTTTCTTTAGATCTAAATATAGATATTAGCAATAATAAAAATAAGAAGATATCTTATCACTTACTAGTTCCAAGATATTCCGTTAATTCATCATTAAAATGTGTCTTCTTTTGGTTAGAAGTTTCAGCTGTATCCTTGTCAAAAAGATCTTCAAGACCACCTGTGTTTGATTGTTGCAGAAGCTGTGTCGGACGCTGCGCTTCAGGATAGTGTTGCTGATAAGGTTCTATGAATGTTTGAAGGTATTCTCTATATTTTTGACGCGACTCAGGATCATTATCATACTCCCTGCCTGAGAAGAACTTCAATTTATGCTGGGGCGCAAGGATTGTATCAATTGCATAAAGATTATCATGAATTTCCTCGGTTTTGTTGTAATAGAGCCTCAGCTTCTCCTGACCTGCGTTAAGAGCATGAAGCATTGCTTGTTTCCAAGGTACTTTTTTCTTTTTTAGTCGCCGTATTGACCCCTCGAGATAATCAAAAAGCTAATTATAGACTCGGAAGATATTGTGAACAGTAATCTCCTTTGTCTGTGAGAGACCAGTTGTAAACTTGTAGAAAGACTGTGTAATACAAAGAAGATATTCAATCTGTTGTTACTCCTCTATATTGAACTTGAATTGAGACTGTACATGTAGCTCGCAGTATTGATTGAAAGTTGATGAAAGACGCTTTGCGCGACGGAACATAAGAAATGTAGAGTTTCATCGAGTTCTAACATCTTGAAAAAAAGTAAGCTTTGGCTTATCTATTTGAAGACTTAAGAAAGCCTCTCTTCGTTGTGGATTAGCATTAACAAATGCTGCGAATCCACGGATCTAGGCAATTTATTAGTAGACTATTAAGGAATATACTGAGAGGAACTTACCTTTGCAAGAATATAAATAATTCCCTGCTCGCGTTGACTAGTGTGGAGGGACTGTGCTTGTGAATCTGACCACACTCTATCTGGGTTATCATTCTTTGGATTGGCTTTGATCTGGCCAAGAAGTTCACGTAGACTTAGCTGAATCACATGAGCTAAGCATGGGATTCGGACAATAATAGCCTGGTTAGGAAGTTCAAGGGACTGAATTGATTCTTGGATACTTTTAATCAAGGTATTATTGTTTGATGCATTATCCGTCGTAACTGCTAGCACTCGGTTGGTGATATTATATTTTTGGAGCATCTCTAGGAGAACATTGCTCAAATTGACCCCAGAGTGTGTTCCGTAGAGCGGTTCAAAGCCAAGTAAAATCTCACGATATCTCCAATCCTTATCAATAAAATAACCAGTGATTGCCATAAAGGCTTGTTGAAATGGGGAAGTCCAACAGTCAAGAGCAATTGAGAGCTTTGCTTTTAGCGGAAGATCTTGAAGAATTTTTTGCTGGTCATCTTTAACTATCGACTGGAGGTGACGACGAGCAGTCAATGGAGTGAGGAGCGTAGGCCTTGATGGGGCTAGTTGAGCCATTTCAATAAGTTCCGCAAAGTCCTTATGGGCTAGGAACTGGAATGGAAGCGATGATCGAGCAATTAAGGTAACTTGCTTACGTGCCCATTGGTCCTGGGTAAAAACCTTCTTAGGCCGCTGCGGACTAAGATGTGCCTATTTTCCAGAGGAGCTTAGTATATAAGTCTTAACACATTAAATAGAATAAAAATACCATAGAATCAAGTGATTGTTGAATATCTTGCTGCTTCAACCGATCACCAGCAATCCTCTGACATGAATTTGATCCAAGATGGCGTTTCATAGAATTTGTTCCATCTCCTTTATCATGTGGATGGGGAAGGACTTTT